TGGCCGCTGAAGCATTATCCGCTCAGGATACTGCCTGTCATCCTCGTCCCCAACTCCTAGAGACACGTTTTTGTTGCTCCCAAACACAAAAAGCTCATCTCCATTGACATGGCTATTACTACCATGCGCGAGCTTAGTAGGACTATCACGAAACGGGTCAGCGCTAAATGTCACTGAAGAAGGCTGCGGATACTAACACTTGATCCAGGTCGCCATCGCCAACGTCTGAGTCATCGTCGAGTAGAGATTTCAGCGGCGGATGTACCAGCGATCTCGCAGCAATAGTCGAATTATAGAGGTCAAAGGGGCTGTTGCCTTCGTGATCCTTAGTCTTAATCAACTGGCCAACTTTGTTCACAGCGCCAGCAGTATGGCTGAGCAAATCTCCGCGCTCTCTCGCCAGTAACGCTCTCGCTATGGATGCGTTTCCAGCATAAAGCGACCTATGCAGGGCATTCCAGCCACTCTCGGGGTCTTGAGCGTATAGGTCGATATGGGGATGGTCAATCAGAGCCTGGACGAAAGCCAGGGCGTTCGAATCAGGAGAAGAGGATGCACGCAGCAACAATGTCAGACCGGCGTGGTCGCGACTGTTCACTTCTGCTTTGCCTAGACCTGCGCCTCCATCCTTTGCTCTTCCAGGGTTTGAATTGTACCCTGGGGTCTTTCGCGGTTTTGTTGTAGCTCTTGGAGAGGTCCCGATACTACCGGGGCTCGCTCCCAGATAAGATGCGCCAACGCCTACCGCAGGGTTCTTTGCAGTTGTCTGGGAACTAGGTCCGGCCGGGGCCAGCAGACGCCGAAACCTGTCGACATCGTTTTCCCAGAAATATTTCCACAGCAAATGACTCATCGGCCGGGGATAAGCAGCTGTCGGATGGATGGTGAGCCCAGGCGCCTAAAAGCTGCACCTCGCTGTGAGTCTCACGGATCACGGCTTGTTTAAAGGTGCTGTTCGAAGCGCCGGAGAGTTGCTGGCGTCTCGGCAAGCACCGTCGATGTTTTCTTTTGCCAAAGGATTCGAAACTAGGAAGTTGTGCGACTCGGCGAGACTGCAGCCAAACGTGCGTGTGCGGGACTCGACAGGTCGTTATCACCGAATGGGGACGAAGCACGAAGCAATCCTAGGAATGCGCGAGCAGGTCTTGGATCGACGTTCGGTGGCTGAATTCCGTTATCGATAATGTCAAGGGGCGACGGCAAGGTCTTCAACTCAACTAAAGGCGCGGATTTTCAGGATGCTCAGATTAATCCCAGGAAGAGAGTGATGTGGATGGAGGATAAGGAAGTAGGCCGGTCGTTAGATATCTTCAAGCTCCCAGCTGCGTGGCCCTGCGCCAGTCATCGATTATTTCGAGAAGGCGATACATCTGCCGAGACTGGCAGCTGCTAGGCCGAGACTTTCAAGGCTCTAACACCACCCGAGGCTAGTATCACAATAACGGCGGATTCCAAGCGTGGAGGGAACTAGAGATAGATGTCTCAACGTATGAGCCCTTGCATTTATTGCGCCTAATTTTTCCAGAATATTTCCCCCATGCCAATTGGCCTTCTTCTGTCGAATACAGCATCCTTGCCATCACGTACATGTCTATCATTCCGTGTCTCTCGAGGATGTACCCATGATCTCTCATTGTGGTTGACGTTGGCGGGGTTTTAGTTCCGGGCCACGGAGGGCTTGCACCGATAAGACGGACAGCCCTCGCTCCAGCCCTGGCCAATAGCAGCTCGCACATGCAGCCTGTGGTAAATTGTTTTGACACCTCATTCCCAGATAGGGCTTCCCGTGAAGATGGCACATGGCGGCATTGCGCCAGTTTAATTTGCTAGGCCGCAGCGTACTAGCAGGCTTAGCTGCTGGAGGCTAACTACAGTAGTAACAGGAGATCGGGAATTGTCGTAGCCAGGCGGCGCAAGTGAGCGATGTTGAGCATTGCTAGTACCGCATGGCCGGCCCGGCCTTACGGGAGGTCGTCAGCCGTTGTGCATAGGTAGTATGTTTGCGGGGGGCTGATTAATTGGAACAGTCTCTCGCAACAGCATACTAGTAGAGAATCACTGGAGTTTAAGATGGAGATATTGTTGTGGGTTGCAATATAACCTAAAGAATTGATCTCAAAGGTAGAGCCACAGGAGGAAATAGTGGTGGAACTCAGACACCCGAGATAGCCAATTGGGGAATGATGGTATCGTATTATGCTTGGGGCCTCGTCTCAGCAATTAAAGTCGGAGGCATGATCGGATTCTGGAAGAAATCTGCAAGTTACTGCTACTCGCCGTCTCAAGTAAAAAGCGTGGACTGGGCATGTCTGATTTGCCATGTCTGATCTGGCTAATACCGACTCCGGCCTTCACGCAAGCGCTTGGCATCAGCACGGCTCAAGTGGGCAAATCGCCGTAATCTACATCGTATGCTCTTCGCAACCAAGCTAACATTACAGTCCCAACCGCGGCATGGATTCTTCTGTCACATATAAGTACCCAGTGCTCTACTTACATGAGACACCAAGACGCAAGACGCTGGCGCTTCTCACATGCGCCTAATCTAACGCCTGAGCTGGTGTCGCGTGTTCTCGCCGTCCCTGGATACCATCTGAACCGCTAGACCGACACAAGGGTCCTCGCTAGCGCCAGTGGATTATCGCTTACAGCCGGCGACGCTCACCCCACGAATTAGCCTGGTCGCCGCCAACAAAAAAAAATCCCCTCCGCAACGACCCTCCGATCTTCCTCCGCTAATTATAACTACAGCCGCATCTGCGCTCGGCCTCTCTGTCGCGGAATCCCTTCAACATCGCAGTAGATTCAAGTCAAGCTGTCAATCCGTCAAGATGGCCGAGCCGAAGCCCCTTCCCTTCCAGTACCAATTCGCCGCAGGTAGGCACTGATGCTACACACTCCGCCAATGCCATCAACAACAGTATCGCTAACATGTGTGTCGTTAAGGCGCAATTGCCGGCGTCTCGGAGGTACGACATGATCCATAATCCCAACACCTTCTACGGAGGCTTCAGCTGACGATTATTCGATGTTCCAATATAGATTTTGGTCATGTACGTAACACTACAGTCACGACGCTCGCCGAACCAGCCATACTTACAAATCATGACTTAGGTATCCTCTGGATGTCATCAAGACTCGAATCCAACTGCAGACTGGCACGGGTGCCGCCGGTGGCGAGGCATACACTGGTATGCTGGACTGCTTCCAGAAGATTGTCAAGACTGAAGGGTAGGCTTCGCTTTTTTGTCCCCCTTGTTCCGCAACTTTCTTTCCTGTAGGAATTCTCTTCTCACGGGAATGCAGATTTTCACGCCTCTACCGTGGTATCTCCGCCCCGATTCTGATGGAAGCCCCCAAGCGAGCCACCAAGTTTGCTGCCAACGACGAATGGGGCAAGGTCTACCGCAAGATGTTTGGTGTCGACAAGATGAACCAGTCATTGTCTGTCCTCACCGGTGCTACCGCCGGTGCCACCGAATCCTTTGTCGTCGTTCCATTCGAACTGGTCAAGATTCGTCTGCAGGATAAGGCATCAGCTGGAAAATACAACGGCATGGTTGACTGTGTTATCAAGACGGTCAAGAATGAGGGACCCCTCACCCTTTACCAGGGTCTCGAGAGCACAATGTGGCGACACATTCTGTGGAACGCTGGCTACTTTGGCTGCATCTTCCAGGTCCGACAGCTGCTCCCCAAGGCTGAGACCAGCAGGGGCAAGATGGCCAATGATCTGATCTCTGGTGCTATTGGTGGAACTATCGGAACTGTACTGAACACTCCTTTGGACGTGGTCAAGAGCAGAATTCAGAACACCCCCAAGGTGCCTGGCCAGATCCCCAAATACAACTGGGCATTCCCTTCCGTGTTGACTGTCTTCAGAGAAGAAGGCTTCGGCGCCTTGTACAAGGGCTTCTTGCCCAAGGTGAGCTTTTCCATACCCTTTAGTGAAGTCGTATTTACTCACGCCTGCTAGGTTCTCCGTCTGGGCCCAGGAGGCGGTATCCTCTTGGTTGTTTTCACCACTGTTATGGATACTTTCCGCAAGTGGCAATCATAAACTGAATCAAGATGTCAGAAGAAAATAAAAGTATAGAATCCGGTCGGACTAGCGGATAGGCCGCGATATCGACTTATAACACACTGTCTAGAGAACTTCATACTAAGCGTTTAGACAATTTCTTCTTGGGTTAGATAGGTAACTGTATCTACATTGTATTGTTTTGTTTCTTTCTTAGACTATGTTTGCGGGTATTTTGTGGAGTTTATAGTCAAACGGTTCCTCTCCCCTGATTACTAAGGGCAACAGCGAGAAACCATCACGAATACCTTAGAAGTATAGACATGCCGAGTCAATGTTATTGTTCGTCTACTTCAATATATTTGTCGTATATGTCAATCAATTACATAGAAGTTAGTCATCTGGCTCTCTCGCACAAAAGATACTTTGCTCTCTTCCATCTCAGTGTTCATTTAGTTGCTTTCATACTTTATGCATCCCGATCAGTTGCGATTATATGTTCATTGCTACTACATACCTAGGTACTAGAGTAACTACCTAGTAGCTTGCGTGGCTACAATGTACCTGTCCATCAATCATCCCACACTACCTACACACATAGAACGAATGTAAGGACATACACAAGAGCGCAACAGGAGTGCGCGCGTTCCCCGACTCTTCTCCTCTAGGCTTTTCTTTCTACTCTTTGCAGCGCTTCGGAGGAAGAGTCAATGAAGCTCCACGTGATGCTGCAGTGCCTATATAATCCGAAGTTCACACTCTTCACCTTCTTTTATCTCTTCTCACATGCCTGCATAACACTTTTGCTTGAGAATTTCGAACAGTGTTCTTCTTTCTCTAGTTAACACTTCCTTTAGTTTGCACATATCATCTACATTCTCATTTCCTTCCCTATACCCTTCATCTAGACCTTCGGTTGAACATCCAGTAGTTTAAGCCGATTTCAAATCTTGTCCTATCAGCCCCAGACAAGATCGTCATGGACGACGACAACAATCTTCCAACTATTGATCTTAACCCCTCGGGCTCTGATATCATCTCCTCTGAGAGTGGCCAAGACCCATTGCCGCAAGATGGAGCTCTGCCAAATGTTGTTTCATCAAATGGCGAACCTGCGTCAGCAGATGCAACCAACTCGCAAAGCGAAGAAGCGGTGGTTCCAGACAATGATGATGACGAGAGCGCACCTCCCTCTTCTTTTCAAGGTAAAAGCGCCCCATCCATCAAATCAGAAGAAGAGCGCCGCTAACATCTCTAAAGCGCCGAACCTGCCAAGGTCATTAGAGGACAAACTAAACTCATATGACGAAATAATCCATGACTCTGATGAAGAGGGGGTATTCGGATTTACTGGGCCACATGCCGGTAGATTTCTACCACTCTGGCATCACGTCCATGAGAAATCGTACGGCCGAAAGAAGAGAATAAGCGAGTTGATTAGGAGCGGCAGAGATCAAGCGAAAGAAATAAGAGAAAAGGCAAAAAAAATAACGGAACTAAATCAGCGAATAGATACGCTTATGGGGAGGTCGCGACGGCACACCGAAATAGTATGTAATCTCATCAGCTGCGAGAGGGTCTGGGGCTTGACTAACTACTAACACAGACTTGGCCATCTCATGTCGAATCTGGCGAGCTTAGTTGGAATAAGGCTTACAAACGTGCCTGCTTTGAGGGAAATTGTTCGCCTGTGGTAACGAAACTGCATCCAGATCTCTTTCTACGAGCACCTACACAACAAGATCTTAAAGACGAATTGTTACAACCAAGGGCTCAGCATCAAGATATATCACGATCTTTTGATATTCCTGCCAAGGTACAATTTCTGATTTTGAAGCACTTCTTCAACTTCAAGGGCAGTGTGGTTCATGCCATCTCTCGTCTAGACCCCTACCACCCCATTACGCAAGTACCACTGAATTGCTGTGGAAAGCCGAGCTTTCTGCATCGTCTACATGTGGGAAGAGGCAAAATCAGCATTACATTCTCACCCGAGCCGAGCGTTTTCCTAGCTCCATTGCTGGTCTGCAAAAGATGGCATTTCTGGGGCAGTCACATATTCTATGGCGAAAATATATTCGCTTTTTCCTCTTTGGGCGAATAGGGTCGCTTTTCCAAAGGGATTGGAGCGAACTTACAGCGCCTACAGCATGTCGAGATCCTCTGGGTGGGATCACAATATCTCACCTATGCTCTAAGCCGTCGAGGAAAGTTTACGTCTCGCCGCACGTTTCCGCTGGTATTGCTCCCAGAGGCTATCCGTCTCAAGACTCTCGGCGTATATGTTCAGGAGTCCAGCGAGTCTGTCATGCGTCGCAAACACGAGCCGAGAGGCATCATTAATCATATGGCAGCCAAGACTAAGTTGCAGCCCAACTACAGACGTTTCCGAGCATTGCGCTTGATGCAGGGCATCGACTATGTCTACTGCCTTCGAGGCCTCAGCCGAGTCGAGTTCTGGGATTTCGATCGATGGCTCAACACTCACGAGAGAAAACGGCCAGTGCGAGACTTCCACTTTATAATGGATGTGAACAACTCTACACGAAGGCCCAAGGAGGCCCGCGATCGCTCCAGATCACAGCTGAAAAATATTTTTCCAGTGATTACCTCGTTTATGCCATCAGAGCAAGACTGGGCAATGTTACGTGAAGGCCTTAGCAGTCTTGATGAGGAATGTGAAAACGACAGGTCGCCGTCGCCATCACCGATCGGACCGCCGCAAGCCCAAAACGGTAGACCCTGGCCACCTAGAGCATCTACGATAACTGATGATAGTGACTCCTCTTCAGAGTCAAGTTCGGACTCTGACACGGACTCTGACTCTGACTCTGATTCTGATTCTGATTCTGATTCTGATTCCAACTCTGATTCTGGCTCTGATCCTGACTCTGGCACTGGCACTGGCACTGGCTTTGGCTCTGGCTCCGGTTCTGATCCAAATAGCCAGTCTAACTCCATTCCCTCCGAAGACGACCTCACCGCTGATGATTCGCGCCCTGCTGCAGGGAGCTCGCAAACAACGAGCATTGTTCCCATGGTTGAAATGCTAAACTTGCGAGATGACGGCCATCTTGGCGAATACGAGAGTGATGATGAGTCGACGATTGTCCCAGATAACCGATCTGTCACCGAGCATCAGGTTATTGACCTTACGAATGAAGGGAACGGAAGCGGTGAAAACAACTCCGAAAGTCAATTGAACTCAACTCAGCTCTCCAGCGATAACAGGCATGACAGCCCACTGTTTGTGGATGACGGGGGATACGCCCCTTCATATACGCCATCGCTTACTCCGGGAAACCAAGACGGTCGAAACAGCTGGGAGATCCGAACTAATGAGACTACCCGATCAGCAGAGAGGTCTGGCAGCGAATCAAGTTTATTCCTCAGCAGCGTACCATCATTTCTGAACCAAACGCCTTCTAATGCCCCCACACACCGCCAGAGTAGCCCGGGAGGCGCGACTGAGACAATTGACCTTACAGGTCCTGACGATCTGGTGGACACATTTTTGCCTTCTGACATTTTGAATTCGTCTCCAGATTCCAGGAAACGCTCTCATATCAAGGTCGAAGAAGACGATGTGAGCACCGATGCCCCGAATAGTTCAAAGAGAGTTCGTACTATATCGCCAGAACGGTTGGCGCATACTTAGCACATGAAACAAGGTCTCTTTTATTCTTTTTTTTTTTTTCATCTGATCTCTTCATTCTATTGTTCTATTCGGATTTCTCATTCAGTTGCTTTTTTATATACGCTTTTCCTTTCTCTTTCTCTCTCTCTTTGGTCTCCGGGAAAATCGGCGCGTCCATGATTAATATTTGCTCGAGAACGTTCGGCTAAGAATATACACGGGCCTTATCTATTGGGGCCTATCATGATATCACATCGTACATACATACCTGCTAAGGTATTATCAGGTACGGAGCGTCTACAGGAGGAATTGGGATCTTTGACCATCGAATTGGTACGAAATGATCTGCGGAGGTTGAATTATGGGTTTTATTGGCTTGAGGATTTATCATGGGGAGCTAGCTATGCAGACATGGCACTTCAGATTTGCTATTTATCAATTGATATCAATTAGTCACAGTCCAGTACTTCCGCTTGAACTCTTTGCGCCAACAAATAGGTTACATGTAATCCAATGGTTTACGAGCTGTCAGCAGTATATTCGGATACCTGGTAGGTAGGCATCGAACTCGTCAGCTTCCACCACCTCCACCGTCAGTAACATCCAATAGCAAAAGCCTCCCTTCAGGCCTACAGTAGACCTCGGGCTGGGCTGCCCCCTTCTATAAATACTGCCAAAATGTTGATTCATTCGGCGGGACTGCTGGATCATTGGCCGAGTAAAAATTTTAATGTTTGGCTTTGTACCTCAACTAACCACCGCTCCGCATGACTACGCGGCCTCTGCGAAATTTTTTGGATGCTTTGAGAGGAAATGCTGCATCTACAGCGAGGGACACATGCATGTGCAGGTACAGCCAATGCAAGCCATAAACGCCCTGAACGTTAACAGTTGGCATAGAGGCCCACAGCCTGCAGAGAATGACCTCACAGTTCGGAGTACTCCGGGCCAGCAGCAGGACATCGATTCCAAGCGCGCCGAACCGGAGTCGCCTACATGTGCGCGCTGCCTTGCTTTGAGATCATTTGCAGCCCCCAGTTGGCGCATAGCACGGCGCTGTAATCAATCTCGCATACGCGCGGTCTGCTTTTCACAATTCGCAGCACGCTGGCTTTAGGGTAAGCTTTGGGCTGACGGGCTTGTGTCTAGAATCTGTGCCGCCGAGTAGTATTTCCCTCAACTAAGTTGCGTGGCTGGTGGCTGGGGTACTTGGAAGGCCACGCGCGTGACGTAAGGCTCTCAGGGCGCCGTGTCGAATGCGCTGACAAAAAAGACTGCGACTGGCCCGGCGCGATTTGCACGGGAAGGGTGCCTTCGGCTTGTTCGGGTAATTTTGTCCATCCGGGCTGGGGACTTCTCTCCCCTTCTCCTAACGTAATCAACCACTGAGCGTACGTAAACTTGACTCGAGCTAGCTGCATACAAGGCAAGGCGAACCGCCTGATAGACCTGCATTCGACCATCCCTCTGATCAGTCTCTTCTTCTCTCCAACATCTCTCCCAGGCCCGCTCCTCCATCCGCATCATCGCCACCCGCCCAGCATCGAGGCATTCGTGGTTTTGTGACTGCCCGCGGGACAAAGACCGACTGACTGACTGTCTGCTTGCGTCTCCCCTTTGTTAAGCGCCTGTATTGCGATCAGCCGCCCCACGCCAAAGGTTGCAGCGGCCATCATTCTACACCAAGCTTGCCGCCGCGGAATCCGACTGGCGATTCACCTTGGTGCTGCGAAATCTCATCACCGTTTGAAGCCCGCCTTTCCTCTGCGCTGCCGCCTGCAATCGCCGGAGCCGTTTGCCAGAGATTCGGCCCGCACCGTCTAGCGGCTGAACTTGTTGCGCACCCCTACATACAGCCTGTCTATCTCATTTCTCGTCTCCTTTCCAACTAGCTGCGACCTCTGACCAACCCCATCAACCATTCGCGCGCCAATCGCCAAAGCAGCGACACCCACTCCTTTCTCCCCTCTCCTTCGCAACTTTTCTATCCTCGCAAGTTTCAATAATCTCATTTATCCGCCATGTCGAAGGTTATACGCAGCGTGAAAAACGTGACCAAAGGGTACTCACACGCCCAGGTCAAGGTCCGAGATGGTTTGTCGCCGCCACCACCGCCGGAATTTCTGTCATTTGGCCTAGTCGGTGATGCTAACCGAAGCTTCGTTCTGTAGCGACAAGTAATGACCCATGGGGCCCGACCGGCACACAGATGAGCGAGATTGCTCAGATGACATTCAACACGTATGTTGCGACCTGAAGAGGCAGACCGCACCAGCACCGAGCTAATTGGAACGTGATCACAGGTCCACTGAGTTTTACGACATAATGGATATGCTCGACAAGAGACTGAACGACAAGGGAAAGAATTGGCGCCACGTTTTGAAGGCACTAAAGGTTCTCGACTACTGTCTGCATGAGGGCTCTGAGCTGGTTGTCACATGGGCTCGCCAAAGCATCTACATCATCAAGACTCTGCGAGAGTTCCAGTACATTGACGAAGAAGGCCGCGATGTTGGCCAGAATGGTGAGTCGATTTTCCTTTCTATCCGGCGCGCGACTTACTGACCATATGCGCAGTCCGTGTTGCGGCCAAGGAGCTGACCGCCCTTATCCTCAACGATGAGCGATTGCGAGCCGAGCGAAGCGACCGGAAGTCTTGGAAGTCGCGCGTAATGGGCCTCGACTCTGATTTTGGCCCCCAGTATGCCGAGCAGTCTCAGCGACGACAGCCACGATCAGAACGAAGACCCAATGATGAAGACGATGCCGAGTACCGCCTTGCAATTGAAGCTAGTAAATATCAGGAGGAGGAGGATAGGAAAAAGAGACAGAATCTCGCTGGTGCTGATAATGACGATGACCTTGCAAAGGCTATTAAACTCAGTCAGGAAGAGGAGGAAAGGAGGCGCCGCGAGCTGGAAGATGCAAATGCCGCATCTCTATTTGACGATGACACTCCTCAAACTTCGCAGCCCCAGCACACTGGATTCAACCAGGGATACCAACAGGGCAACGCCGTGGACTTCTGGGCCAATCCAATTGACCAGCAGGCGCAGCAGATACCACAGCCAACCGGCTACCTAGGAAACGCATATACCGGATTCCAGCAGCCGCAACAACCGCAGCAAACTGGCTGGCAGCAAAACTTCAACACCGGCTTTGGCGTCGATGCGTTTGGCAACCCGCTGTCTCAGCAACAGCAACAACAACAACAGCAGCAGCAGCAACAGCAGCAGTTCCTTCAGCAGCAACAGTTTGCTCAGCAACAGCAGCTGCAGTCTTCTCAGGCCCTGGATTTGGCGATTCAGCCTGGAAGCAACAACCCTTGGGCGACCAACAATCAGTTACAACAGCAGTCTCTTAGACCTACGCCAACAGGTTCCAACAATCCCTTTGCCCAGAACCGACCGCAGTCAGCAAGACCCGCGACCTCTTCTCTCAGCCCTCTACCGGAGCAAAAGACTCTATCCAACTTCAACCAATCCAGCTTCAACCAACCTCAGATTCAGCTTCAGCTTCAGCAACAGCAGCTGCAGCAGCAGCAGCAACAGAAGCCCGCTTTTACTACTCCCCAGAGAGAGCTCAGCGAACATGAGAGGAAGTTGAACGCTCTGTTGGCCTCTGGAGACGGCCTAGATACTTACGGAAACACGGGTGACCTGCGAATTCCCGCGCAGCACACGGCTCCGGGAACGTTTATCAACAGTGCTGGCGCGGGTCTCAGCCGAATTGGCCCAGAAGCTACCGGCAACAACCCCTTCTTACGGCAGCAGTTCACTGGCATGCCGAGCATCACCTATGGTGGTCAGCCGCAGCTGAATAGCAACCCATTCGGCGCTCAGCAGCGACCACAGCAACAGGGCCAGCCACAAGATTTAATCCAATTTTAATGGAAAGAGGAGAAATGAATTAATTTTTGATATACCACAGACGAGAGATTGTCGGATTTTTCTTTATTGCTCTTGACGCTCTTTCTGATACCGCCATTTTCATACTTTCTTGTTCATGGACTGATACCTCGCCATCTGTTTTTAAAAGGCGAACTGTCTCCTTTCTCCGTGGCACGTCTTCGTCTCTGCTCCGTAAACCCTTCTTTTTTTCTTCTTGATTTTACTGGGGAATGGAATAAGATATTACTCGCTTGGGTGGTTGACATGGAATAAAACTGGCTTATTTATTTTATTTTCTTATGGTCCACGTTGTATGATTATTAGACAACGCACCTCTGAAATTTTCAAAATTGTAGACCTGATTTTCGACCTTGTTCAAATTTGTCCAAGCTTTCCACCTCGTGAATGCCAGCACAGCTATCTCATAACACCTATTGTAGCCCTAAAGTTGCAAGCAAACCTTGCTATCATCTGCCTCGTTATACATAACCCTAAGCAAAAAAAAAAAAAAACAGATAAACAAGCTCAAAAAGAAAAGAAACAGAAAAAACGCAAAGCTGCCGATACGCCATCTCCAAAATGATATATTAGTGACCATTGTGCACATTATATGTGATCCATTGACCTTCACTAAAACTTTGCAACATTCCCGAAATAGTTCTCCTGGGGCGAGCCAGCTAGCTTTCGTATAGCACGACTGACGCGGGTCATCTGGAGGGTGAGCCGATATCCAGCACGGTGAAGGTTTTACGCCTGTGATATAATAGTTTCGATAGCTTTTGCCATAAACAACTTCTCACTTCTTCTTTTTTTTTTTCTTTTTCCCCCCTTGATGCTCAATTAGCCAGCCTCTTCCATCATCTGGATGAACTCTTCGAGGTTGACCCCGCCTTTGCCGTCGTGATCGAGATGTTCTATCATAGTCTGAATCTCTTCGTCCGTCATAGTGCGTTCTTCCTTGATATCCTGCGCCAGATGTCTCATGTCTTCGACCGAGATGATGCCGTCTTGGTCGTAATCAAACATGTTGAATACCTTTATGGCTTCTTCGCGCGGGTCTCGTCTAGCGATGAGCTTTGCGGCGCATAGTCGGAACTGATCGGGGAAAATGAGCAGGCGGTTGACGGGACAGCTATGGGGATCCCGCCAGTCCGGAGGCACTTGGCCGTAGTTTTCCAATTCTCTGCAGTAATCGGGCTTGGCCATGTCGAAGCCGAGAGCGGCAAGGGAGTGTTTGAATTCGTAGCTATTCAGCCATCCTTTCTTCTTCATATCCATCAAATCGAACTAGGCCAATGACACATGTAAGAATACCGAGACGAAACAATACCTGGCCAAGGCTGATTGGTAGCGACTTACGACTTCATCGATATGTTCTCGATCCTCGTCAGCGATGTTGCCGTAATCTTCGTTGGAAGAGACTTGTGGCGCGGGGGGGTTCCGCGACTGCGCATGTTGGTTGGATCCTCCTGCTATTGACCGCCCGGGAAAGGGACGAGGCGTGTGAGAGTTCATGTCGGACAGACAGGCCAGCTGAAGAAGCCGTGCCAGATGAGTGTGTGTATGAGCCCGCTACCGTGTCCGTATTCAAAGGATGGGGTCTTTTTTTTTTTTGTTCTTTACTTCCTCAGAAGAGCTTGTGCTGCTAGTAACAGAGGATCCAAAAAAAGAGGTGATGCAAGGGTTTGGATCAGAAAAAAAAAAAAGGAGCACAAAGTCGTATATAATGGAGCAAATAAAAAGAGAGAGAGAGAGAGAGAAAGACGCACAGAGTATGCAGAGTGCGTCATATAACAAAGGGTTAAAGAGAGAGATATGTAGCCATGGACGAGGTTTACTGCTTGGATTGAAGTTATTTTGCCGACTAGCTGGATGCGACGCGCCGGAGCTTGACACGCGCCTACAGGCGGTTGCGTTCGCGGTCCAGCGGCTTTAGGCCTCAAGCCCGCTGTTGACTCTTCGCTGGACGCACGACTTCTAGGGGCTACACTGGAGTACGCCTGACCAATGTATCTGCCAGGCAGTGGCGCAGGCACCAGCGACTTGCCTGCCTGGTAGAGCAATTGGCGGCGGTGATTGGCCCGCGTTAGTCATCAGGGCGCCTCGGGCCAATGAGAGCAGAAAGTTCTTGTCTGAGGCACCAACAAGTCAGCCTGGTGGGAGCAGCAACACGAAAAAAAAAGCTGAGCTGACCAAGAAATAGCCGGCTTTGCTTTGACCTTGACTTTTGCCTCCCGTCTGCTGCCAACTAGTCCAGAAGGTGGCCATCTGCACCCAGAGGTGATAAAAGGGCTCGTCACCCCTTGAATCACTGTGCTGCACTGGTCTCTACTCAATCAATCGCTCCTTTTTCTTTATTTCCCATTCTCGTATTTGCGCCACTCCCTGGTTTGCTGCGTCGCCATCCGTCGCGGCTCCCCAAAGGGACCCTTCAGCAGCAGCAAAATACTACTACTGTAGTCCAGCTGCCACCAGAACGCGACTTTTCCCTCGTCGCCTCGTCACTTTGCAGCTGGGCATGGTTAATCTGAGCAGTTATCCTTACCCTCAATTCAAATAACACTACATATGCGCGCTTTCTTCCGCGATTCTCGATTTGTTATTCGTATCCGAGTCTGATCGCGCCATCTCGAGTTCTCTCCTCTTTCCGAAGCACGCCTTACCATAGCCGAGCATCGTCTGCGGGCAGCTCCCAGCATCGGAAACTTCCTCCCAAGACCGCGATATACGGACGCCCATCATGTCGTTCGGTGGCGGATTCGGGGGCGGCTTCGGCTCGAACAACCAGCAGCAGTCAAGTGCGTTTGGTGGCTTTGGAGCAAGCACTAGCACCCCTTCATCAGGTACATTTAATCTCGACCGCGACAAGAGGTTGCGCCATTCACTGACAGAGAGACACGCAGGCTTCGGATCCAACCCCTCCGGCGGCTTTGGTGCGACTAGCAACACTGGCGGCGGCCTGTTTGGCAACACCACCCCTACTCCCAGCGGCTTTGGCTCAACAGCTGGTAAGTTTGTCTCCTCAAGAAAAGGTCGCGTGGGCTCCCGAGAGGCTCAGATCCTGCGTCCTTCTTTTTTCGACCATCACCACCCCCCTTCATAATGCTAACGAGGCTGTAGGAGGTTTTGGGTCAACCGCAAGTGGCTTTGGCAGCAAGCCTGCTTTCGGTTCGACGCCTGCCACCAACACTACTTCTGGTGGTCTTTTTGGAGGCTCCAGCACCCCCAGCACCGGTACGGGCTTTGGTGGGTTTGGTTCAAATACCAATACCACTACCCCCTCAGCGTTTGGTAGTAACACTGGCAGCGGCCTATTCGGCAATGCTAATAAACCAGCAGGCGGTTTCGGCACTGCGAGCACACCTTCCCCTATGTTTGGCGGCGGCAACACCACCTCCAATACTGGCACAGGCTTTGGCGGCTTTGGCGCGACCAATACCTTGGGCGGCGCAACTGGTGACCCCCCGGGCACCGCCGTCACTCCCTTCCAAGCGTTTACGGAAAAGGAGCCTAATAGCAACACCAACCAGTCCAACGCCTTCCAGAACATCTTGTTTCAAGATCCTTATAAGAAGTGGTCTGCTGATGAGCTGAGATTAGCAGACTACGCTCAGGGTAGACGGCACGGCAACCCCAGCGGTGCTGGCGCTTTTGGCGTGGGTTCGGGCTTTGGCGGTGGATTCGGTAATACCAACCAGACGAATACTGCAACCGGTGGATTTGGAGCCACGAACAATGCTACAGGCGGATTATTTGGATCGAACACCAACACAAATACTGCATCTGGCTTTGGTGGTGGATTTGGTGCGAATAACACTGCGGCTAGCAATACTGGCGGTGGCCTTTTTGGCAACGCCAACAAACCGGCGACTGGAGGGCTCTTTGGTGCAAATACTACGCAGAATCAAGGCGGCGGCATGTTTGGAAGTGGAAACACCACCACCGGCACTTCTGGCTTTGGAGCGACAAATACCACTGGCGGTGGGCTCTTTGGCGGAGCCAATAACGCTACTACTAACACCGGAGGACTGTTTGGCAGCAATACTCAGAATAAGCCTGCGAATACTGGATTCAGCTTCGGCAACAACACCAATACGGCATCAACAGGCTTCGGAAACACTAGCGGCGGCTTTGGCTCGGCTACGACTAATACAACCGGCGGCGGCCTTTTTGGAAACGCCAATGCTAATACCAACGCCCAAACTGGTGGTGGCCTCTTTGGAAACAGCAATCAACAGCAATCCAATACCTCAGGAGGCTTGTTTGGCCAAGCCCAAACCCAACAATCAGGAGGTTTATTTGGCAACCAGCAAAAACCAGCTACAGGAGGGCTTTTTGGTTCCACACCTGCAGCCGCCAACACCAACACTGGCGGTGGTCTCTTTGGTAACACCCAACAACAGGGAACGACGGGCTTGGGAGGTACAGCCACCGGAGGACTCTTTGGAGCTAAGCCAGCTGCTACCGGCGGCCTTTTCGGTGCCAGCACTGCCACGCCAGGCAATACCGGAGGAGGGCTTTTTGGTGGCTCAGGAGCCAATATCCAGACTCAACAGTCCGCTGGAACAGGTCTGTTCGGAGCCGCTACGAATCAGCAGAAGCCTGGCCTCTTCGGAGCTACAACCGCTGCCCCGAGCGGTGGACTATTCGGCAATACCGCAGCTCAAAACCAGGGTGGACTCTTTAGCAACGCCGGCAATCAACAACAGCAGAGCATTGGTCTCGGTAGCTCGTTGCTGGGTGGCGGCCAACAGGTTAATAATGCCCCCCAGGGCCTCACCGCGAATCTGAGCGATGTATCGGCCTACGGCTCGCCATCACTGTTCGCTGGGCTTGGTGGAAACGAGGTCCCGAACCCTGGTCCGCTCGCCGTTCCCCTGAGTGGACAACCGAAACCCAAGAGGCCCTCTATTTTCCCCATGTACAAATTCACACCTGCGGCATCAGGCCGTTTTGGTACACCTCAGAAGAGAGGATTCGGTTTTTCATACAGCACCTATGGCACGCCCGCTGGAGCAAGCCCGTCTGGCCTCTCCGGTACCCCTAGCTCACTGGGTCGTAGCTTACTTGGCTCTACCCCCAGTGGAACTGCTCTCAGCAAGAGTGTGTCATCCAGCAACCTCCGCCGTACTGTCAACACTGATGACAGCATCCTCTTACCTGGCGCATTTTCGAATACTAACAACACGCGTTGGTATGGAAGCACGGGCTCCAAGAAGCTGGTTATTAACCGCGAATTGAGAAGCGACCTCTTTTCCACGCCATTAAAGGACAAACAGAATGGTGACAATGGTACTGGGCCGCGAAAGCTGGCGAAACGTGTTAGCTTCGATACGCACGTGGACGGAGAGGACTCCCCCCCGGTGCGTGCGGCTCTACCAGCCCCTGGCGATGTCCCAAGCTCTCCTGCCGAGGAGACTCCTCGTCTGGACAAGGTTACGCCCATGACGAACGGACTTCGAACCCCTGAAATGGAGCACATCAAAGGCAAGGATAAGGAACTGGCAATTGTTCCTGAAGAAGACAGCGCTACCCCTGAGCCCGAGGTCAACGGCTTTGACAACGCTCCAGGAAAGTACTGGATGGAGCCTTCCCGTGAGGAGCTTCAGAATATGAACCGGATCCAGCGACAGCGCATTGACAACTTCACTGTTGGCCGAGAGAATGTCGGCTCAATTACTTTCAAAATCCCTGTGGATATTAGCGGCATCGACCTAGACGAGCTCTGCGGTGGCATCATCCAGCTGGAGCCTCGATCTGCGACCGTCTACCCCATTGCAGCGAAGAAGCCGCCTGTTGGCAAGGGCCTCAATGTGCCCGCTAGGATATCATTGGAGCAATCCTGGCCTCGTGGTGGTCGTGATAGGAGAGTCGCAAGTGATCCTAAGCGCTTCAACAAACATATTGAGCGACTCAGGCGCATCGTCGATACTACATTCGAAAGCTACGACGTGGACACTGGCGTTTGGACCTTTTCTGTTGAACATTTCACGACTTATGGACTGGATGACTCCGATGAGGAGACCGACTTTGACATGACTCTCGACCCCCCCGCCGAAGATTCACCACCTGTAGCATTTCATGCACCTACCTCTTCACAAAATGATGATGATGCGATGGTGTTTTCCCAGTCGCACATGTTGCCCGGCGCATTCGATGAGCAAGAAGGGCTGTTCGCAGCTGAGCTGACCAGACCGCAGTCTTTTTTAGGGGTTAGCTCCGCGGACTCTGCTACACATGATGTCAAGTTGTCTCTAGAAGATGACCACATCGCAGAGTATGAAATGTCCGAGGATGAAGACATGACGAGATCTTCTATCGGACATCATCTCGCCGCGGAGCATGACGATGCCTCGTCCGAGGGTGGCCAGGATATTAAGCGTGCAACTTCAACTCCTGGTGGCATTCTCAGAGCTAGAATGAGAGCTATGAAGGACTCAGCTGGCCCCGTTAAGCTTGAAGTCGCAGATGGCGACGATTGGACAGAAATGCTGAGGAAGACAGTCAGCCCGATGAAGCGAGACCGCCAACTGGCCAAAGAACTGACTGGATCTTCTGCTAAGCGTGGAGGTAAAACAGTTACGTTTGATCTCGATGAAGAATCTGACTTGCGGAAGTCGTCCATTTGGGGGCGGAGTGCCGCCAGGCCAGATAGGAAGGATGGACATACGGTCGGCACTCATATTGGTATGGAGCAAGGACGTGGATTTGCAACGAGCATCGACTTGATGAATTCCTTATTTGAGAAGCCAAAGCCAAAGCCAATGCGCAAGGAGTCTAATGCTTCTCCATCTGCAAAAGGTTTTCCCAAGGTCGGTACCCTGACTGTTTCGCTATATAACACTTGTTGAGATTGATAATTATTTCTGAGCCGGTTGGAGGCTTTATTTGTATTTAACAAAGTAATGAATAAAATGCTAAAATTTTCTGTGTTCAATATAGTGGCCCTACGAGCGACAAGCAAAAGTCGTCGCGGCTGAAGATGGCGAGCTCGCCTTTCATAGCGCCTCGAGACCGACCTGGGGGCCAGATGAGACTCTCGTTTTGATTCGATCCCTGGACGGCTCGCACTCCTGTCGGTCAATTCGCGACAACACGGATATTCTGACTTTTCAGCGGTCCAGCATTCGGACTGAGGAGCAAGATGTCCGTCTAGCTACTTTTGCTGCTGAGGTAAGGGTTGTCTGGTTCGAGTGTAGTCACAGTAGCCGTTGTGATCTGACTAGCTAACTTTAATTCGGCAGTCATCAAAGAATTTCCTTTCGTCCCAGGACATCGTGACCGAAATCCGTATGACAGAAGGAGTGCCATATGCTACCTTGCACACCACCAGCCTCAAGAGCGTGTTCCATCATAAGAACGTGAATGATGCCGCTAGCATTCATGAGAAACAGGTCTGGGAACTAGCCAGTATCCTATTCGACGATTTAGACAGCCTGAACGCGACAGAGGAGGAACATTTGGTGCGCAGGAACAAACTGTCCCAATTTTGGTCCGACTTGGTTGAACAGGCTTCATCGACAGCCATCAGCATGGCGGCTACTAGCGAAGAGAAGGCACTTGCATGTCTCGCTGGTCACCGGATCGCAGAGGCCTGCAAGTACCTTTTGGACGGCAAAAACTTCCGCCTCGCTACTCTGGTCCCCCTGATCGGCACTAGCGATGTCGCGAAGAGGGAAATGCGAGAGCAGATCAAGTCGTGGCTAGATTCGAAGATGCTATCTGAGTTCTCCGAGGCTATTCGTACGATTTATGAGCTTTTGAGTGGAAACGTCTGCGTCTGCGAAGGTCTTAAAGGCATGCCTAACGAGGATCGAGTTGATTCATTTGTCATCTCCAAGAACTTTGGTCTAGATTGGAGGCAATCCTTTGGTCTGCGATTATGGTACGCCATTTCAAACCATGACGACTTGTCTGCCGCTGTTGAGGAATACAAAGATGATATCGACCAGGACAAGGAAGATTTGCCTCGCCCTTGGTATGTTGAACAAGGCGTTGCTCCTCTTTGGAACGATGCGAACATCGACACCCGCCAAGATCTCTTATGGGGCCTTCTCCAGCTATATGCCGACCGGGACGCCGACTTGGAAGCTATCCTACGGCCAGAAAACTCACAGCTCTCTCCCCTTGACGCAAGGCTTAGATGGCAGCTGGGTATTGCCCTGACGTCCACTGGCAAGGTCTCCTATGGCGCAAACGGGACTGAGAAGGCTGACGCTGCTACTATTGCATTTGCCGCTCAGTTAACCCGAGCTGGAGAGTGGCTGGAGGCTGCTTTTGTGCTCCTGCATTTGCACCACACAGCATCGCGCAAGAAGGCTTTGCAAGAGCACCTCTGCCAACACGCCAACCTGATTGGGTCCGAATCGGATCTCGGTTTCGTAATGCTCACAGAGAAGTATCGCATTCCCGCGGCGTGGATCTGGGAGGCACTTGCGCTTTACATGCGCTGCGTGAAGAAGGATGCTGTGGCAGAAGTCCAGTGCCTTCTCCGAGCGGGATCACATGCCGAGGCTCATCGTATTCTGATTCAACACGTTGCACCTCAAGCCATTGTTGAACGTGACTACGCTGGTTTGTCTTCTCTCATCTCACAATTCCAAGATCAGCAGCAAGGTATCACAGAATGGACTCAGGGTGGTGAGATTTACGGCCACTTCCTTCAGCTTGTTGAGTGCCGCGAGAAAGGAGAAGTTGCGTCGCCTGCGCTACTCGACAGACTCCTTGCTGGTCTCAACGCAGTGAAGGATATTGGAGCAGAGAGCAACATTACGCGATATGCTGCTATTTCTGACATGGCGGACGAAACTGCCAGGGAAATTGTGAAGGCAACGCGACAGAAACAGGTATGTGCTCCCAGACTAATCTTGATTTATTTATCTATCCATATATCTAACATTAATGCAGGATATGGAACTCCGATCCAGGATTCTGAGCCTTCCACTTACACAGGACAGACTGCTCGCATACTCGGTCGACTTGAGCTTGGATCGTTACAGAGAAGTGATGGCGCATTGAGCATTGGGAATGAGGCTTGATAGGATAGGAAGCAACGAATAGGAGCAATGCGATGGGGGGAAATGGTATATCTGTTTGTTTTTTTAACTGTTTTTTATTTTCTACTTCCGACTTCACCTTTTTTTTTTTACTGTAAACAAAGGGCGAAAGAGGATACACGATCTGGGAGGATAGGAAGATAGCATCATGGCACGAAGGACAGGGAAAAGATGAAGCTAATTAAGGGCTAAATTAGTATTGTAGTATAACCACTGTTCTATTTCGTCTGGACGCGGATAATTGTGGCGTGTAACGAAGATGCAAGTGAAGTGCGAAGGACGTTTTTGGATTTATATTAGGTAGTAGTATTCAGTGACATACACATCCAGCAACCGCCCTCTTTTACCCCCCAATTGATTGATTACCCTGCATACAAGTGAATAGAACAAAGCATCATCTGACAGCCACGCAAACATACTACATCATTCAACTAACCCCTCGTTTCCACTTGAATAAAAACAATGTCCAAGCCCAAAAACTGGCCCATCTCACTGCCGTATCTCAAAGCGCCCCTCCACGGCAAAGACATCTCCCCAACACAGACCCAATTCCTCCGCACAAAACCCCTCCACCTCCCAGCCGCGCCGGCATCCTCGCCAGCCACCGAAACTCCCTGTCCGCACGTCAAAATCCAGGCCATCCAGGACCCTCTGCATCCGGCATACGGCCAGCACGGGCTATTTGCCACCCGGAACATTGCGCCGGGCGGCTTGATACTGGTGTATCTCGGGAGAGTGCACGGCCAGGGAACGACGAGCGACGAGAGCGATTACGACCTGTGGCTTGATCGGGAGATGGACGTGGCGACGGATGCTGCGGGGGAGGGGAACGAAGCCCGGTTTATGAATGATTATAGGGGGGTTGGGGGCGTGGACAGGGCGAATGCGCAGTTTGGGAATGTCTGGTGTGAGAGATGGGGGGAGGTTTGTGTGGGAGTTTGGGCGTTGGGGGGAGCGAAGAAGAAGAGTAAGAATAAGAAGAAGGAGAAGGATGTGAAGAAGAATGATGGTAGAGGGATTCAAAAGGGAGACGAGATTCTGGTGAGTTATGGGAGAGGATTTTGGGAAGACAGGAGGAAGAGCGGCCATGGTGGTGGTGATGATGGCAGGGCAGCTGCTTTATAAGATGCCTCGTTCGACGTATCATGAAGTGCTTTAACTAAACAAGAGCAGAGAGCAAGCGACATGCAAGAGACATTTTACTCTTTGTTATTCAACTAGCCAACGCCCTCTTCTTGTCATTAAGCTGCATACTCTACTTGATTTACATCACAAGTGTCTCCCCATCTACAGCTTCCCTTCCCTTCCCCCCCTCTCGCACAAAAGCACGTAGACATAATAAGAAAAAAAGGTATACCCGGTGTTTTCCTTGCGCCACCACCAAAACCAGCCCCTACGCCGGCTCCTTTACCTAATATCAAGACAGAGATACTACATGTATAAAAGTGTAATAAATAGGGGAGGATTCAGCCTTCAATACCTTCCAACGCCCTACGCATGCTGGTGAAAAAAAAAAGAGTTCTCATCTTCTCAAAAAAATCAAAAGCCAAAAAAAAGGTGGGAGAGGGTGGGGAGAGCATCCGCATCCGCATCCGCATCCGCAAATGCTTGCTTAAACAACTCCCTTTCATTATTCGTCCTCGCCTTCGGCATCAACATCCAGTTCTTCCTCCTCGCCGTCTTCGTCTCCTCCATTGATGCCTTGATCAGAAGGCTCAGCTACTTGTCCTCCGAGCTGTACGTTTAGTACAAATCCATTACTTGAAGGCTGAGGAGTCATGACTCTGACTTCGTCTTTGGCAGGCTCTTCGTCAACCATAGACGTTCCAACGCTGTGATCGCCATCGGTAATCATCTCTGTCCCCGGCGGCTTGTCTCTCCAGCCAGGGGGTAGTCCAGGGCCGCTGTCTGCATTGCCGTAGTCCGATTTCTTCGTTCCCTTAGGCCACCGTCCAGGGCCGCGACCTGTGCCGCCCGTTCTTCTTCTTGACCCGCTGCTCTTAGGCCGGCTGATAGTAGGTCTGCTACGGCTGCTACCCCCGGCCCTTTTAGGTCGTGGCCGGGAGCTACTACCTCCCCCCGTACGAGATCCGGATGGCCTGCTTACGCTTTGCCGTGAGCGATCAGTCCGCCGACTGCCAGCCACAGGCGGGAAAACTTCAAAGCGGTTTGGTGGTATATCACGATAGGGTGTCATCCAGTCTGGCTCGGATTCTGCATCGTCCATGATTTCGTCCTGCGGTTCTGTATTCTCTTTATCTTCAGGCGCCGCTTTCTCCTCAATTGACAAAATGGGGGTGAATTCGGGATTGCTATTGCCTGAATCGCCCGTCTCTGATACAGAACCAGCTATTGACTGTGAGCCATCATTCACCTCGTCATTCATGATGATAGAATGAGACTCTCCAGAAATATCGTTACCGCCCTCTTCGACCTTGGCTTCATCATCTTCCCGAGGGGCAATGGTATTAATAGGTGGGCCAAGCTCAAAATTCACAGCGTTGCTGCGGCCCATCACGTATGGCGTCCATGCAAGACATTCGGGCTTGAGCTGCACATAGCCTTTTGACTCCCACTTGGCTACATACTGCTGGCAGTATTCTAAATCGATCCGGAACGCGTACACCTTTGTCTGCGGATCACGGACCAGCGCTCGAAGGCCTTCCAGAGCTGCAATAACATCGTCAGGCGTCATACCCGTGTCGTCCGATATTTGCTTAATACTAAGGCCGTTTTGCTTGTGTCCATCATCTTTCAGCGTTTCCATGAAATATCGGCAAAGGCGCAAGCGCCAATAATTCCTGTAGGAAACAAGTCCCATATCAGAGAGCGGCTTTTCTGGGGATCCTGTTTTCTCCTCTACCTTGGTGAGCAGATATGAGAAATCAATAAGTAGATTACCGTATCCCTTTCTCTGATGAATCGGCAACGTCAAAATGCATGATACGTTGTTTTGGCTGCTCGCGCGTTTCTCTTTGGAGAAATAGCCAACAAAGTGATAGCCACATTCATCGTACTCACACAAGACGTAAAACAAAAACGGCTCCACGTCGTAATACAGTGTCTTGGATCCCAAGAAAAGCTTCGCCAAAAGGCACAAGTTTTGGCAGTAGACTGGGTTTTTCCGGCCATCCACCTCGAATACTGATATCGATCCATGCCGATATATCTCGTCTCCCGGGGGGTGTTTTGCTGCACATTTAAGCTTGTGGCGCCATGCCACATAATCGGAATTCATGTACTTGAGGCAGAATTCGCATATGTAGAGCACACGGTTTCTACTATACTCCGCTGGGTACGGTGCTGCATACCAAGTATCAATTTCCCAGCCACCAAATTCGATACACTCGATTTGGCTGGCGTTGTCACTTGATTTCTTGGATTTGCGGATAGGCATATCTATCTCTGCCTGCATTGCCAGTACGCGAGCTCTCCATTCGTCTTCTGCGCGCTGTTTAGCTTGGTCGAAGCGCCTCCGATCGTCAGGCTGTGGCAGCGTTTTTGTAGTATCTGCTTCTGCTTCCGTCAGGATACCACCATAGGGCTTTCCTTTCATATCTTCAGTCTCCTTGTCAAACAAAGAGTAGAAGGGTGTTGAATAGAAATCTGTTGTAAAGGGCGTTGGGAGTACGGGTGTTGCTGTAACAGCACCAGAGTTGGGGCGCACAGCTGATGGTGCGACTGGAGTGCGTGGTGCTCGTCCGTTTGCTCCAGACCTTCTCCTTTCTCTTCGCCTGCGCGAGAGAATCTCTTTGAGATTTCCAGCCCGCACGCGCATGGTCACCACAAGTGATCCTCGCGATTTCCTTTCAATGATGACTAGAGACGGTCGAGTAACTTTTAATCGAACCGCACGTGAGCTTCCCCTAGTTGGCTCTGCCGATTTGGCATCAGTCTCTTCATTAGCAGACACGCCATCGGTCGAAAGGCCGCGTCGTCGTCTCCTCAGAGCAATAGTAGCCTCCTCAGGCTCTACGGACGATGTCTTTCTCTTTCTCAGTGAGCGAGGCTCATCCGCGATATCCCCGGCGGCTGTGTGGTCGTTGAGAGTAGTTTGGGTTTCTGCACCGTCTTGCATCTGATGTCTAGGAGACAACTCAGAAGGAGCGTCCGAAAGCTGCGATTCGGGCCTGGCTTGGCCATTGATGCTAGGATCTTTCTCCAGTTCCTCCGGTTCCTCTTCCTCCTCATCAGAGCCGCCATTGTCGCATTCGGGACAGTTCCAGTGCTTTGAGTCTTTATTTAAGTCAGCAAACTTTCCAAGAATGATGTATTTGGCGCAACTTACTGTTCTGTTCGCTCATTGCTGCTGCATCTCTTGCGCATTGCTGGTGAGCTAGAAACTGTTAGCAAATTTCTATCATCGTATACTCCAACTTTTTGGCAGACATACCATTCTCGCCACACCTAGAACACGACAGGAACGTCTCAAAATCCTCACTCGGGTCATTTTCCTCGTCCTGCTTGCAAAACATGCACGTATTCGACGGGCCATCATTCTCCGAATCCTCGTCCTCTTCTACCTCTCCAGCATCTTCCCACGCAGGCTCTTCGTCCGAATCATCTTCAGCATTACTAAGAAGTTCTGAAACGTCGCTCTCTGCGTCATCTTCGGCATCTTCATCCTCCTCGTCTTCGTCGTCGGTATCGCCTGGTTTGATCTTAACCGCGCCAACCCCTTCGTCGCCATCTTCCTCACCATCTGCGTCATCGTCCTCATCGTCGTTCAGCTGGAGGGGGTGACCATTGTTAACCACTATTTGTTGATCCACAAGCTCGTTATAATCTTCTCCCTCCGCATCTTGATCCATTTCGTCGTCAATCTCCTCTCCGGAAGCATCACGATCACTAAGCTCCTCGTCATCTTCGTCCATGTCCATGCTATTGCCGCCATTTATTCTATCCTCAGCAGAGATGGCGACTATGGTCTGAGTCTTTAAGGGTGCAGGGGTGAGCGCATCCTCGCCAGCTGTGTCCGCTGTCTCGTATTCAGCGTCCTCCGAGAGCCTGACGCTCTGCTGCAGCTCCTCCTCCATCGACTGCGCGCTCGTCATAGTTATCGCTGCTTGTTGAGACTCGTAGAGTGTGGATATCGTTTTGACGCTGGCATATCGATCGAGAGCCCTGGATATACTCGAGGCTGATATCAGGTGGCATGCATGGCGCTCCCTCGGATGCGCTTCCTAAAGCAGAAAACTCGCTAATCGCAGCTGCTATCGTGTAAGCTCTATGTAAACATCTATAAGAGGCGAACTGATCCTCCCTACCAAATTGTACGTAACTGCAACGGCTTATGCTTATTGACTGCTCTTGTTGGCGATGCGACAACAGCCTCAGTCGCGTTCTCCAACCTCGCATGTCCTGAAGTCGCGGAAGTAGGAGGCACAGTGCGTGCGCATTTCATTATCGCGTTTTCCCGCCAAATTTTGGGCTGTAGACAGTACGGAATAATGTGGCGCTAACTATGCATTGGTGCAGGGATGCGTCCTGGCTGGGGCCTCAGGCATCGATTTCGACGGCTCCAATTGGAGCTTTGCCCACTGACGTGCAGGCTCAGTATCAAGAACGAGGCTCGGCAGACTCGAGACATTGCGACAAACTTGAGCAGGGCTCTTACAATTGGAGTGCCCAGTTCAATTTTCGGTATTTTTTTCTCGGTCGAACGCCAAGTGAGAGACCGTTCCGGCGGCGCAGCACCACCATGCCCGTTCCTTTCGAAACCCTGCTGCCGTATGGCATCATGATTGTCGTATGTGCTATACCGAACGAGACTTCACCACAAGGGAACCCGAGGTAGCTCACAGTTTGTTGCTAGATGTTTGGCGCCACAGGCACCGGACTGGCTGCCTTCAAGACGTGGCAGAACGAGGGCAAGCGACCGCGCTATTCATTGGATCAGTGGGACAGAGTTAGTCAACTTCCGAGCAGCGGATGCGGCCATTTGTATTCAGTAGCTAACCATGACTTGTAGCAAAGTAAGAAGCTTTTCGACGAACGGATTCTTTTGCATATTTTTCGATCGAACTAGACACTAACTAGCATTCAAAGTGATGGACCGAGACCGCCGACTTACAGGAACATTGAGAGGACAGACAGACAACCCCCAAGCACCTTTGGGATTTGAATTCAGCAACGGGTGGAAGGTAATATCCTTGCATATGTACAACGTCTTCTTATGGACAAGTGCTAATACAGTATGCAGCTGGAGAAGCGATTTACTTAGACGATTACGGTGTACAATCGGAATTATTAGAAGAGGGGGGCCTCGACCTCAAAATCCAAATGAAACAGAGTGTATATATACCAGGCAGAAACTCGGCTTCGCTGGCCAGCATTATATACATGGCTGTGCTAGTAAATGGTGGTCAAAAATCTATTATTAAGAAAATCTAACCCTCTATTGAGATCTCTGGTCTGTTCTTATTGAGGCCTTCCAGCAAGGTACAAGCCTGGCACATTGCTTGACTGGACATATAGCCGCATTTGACGCACTTTCCAAGTGTCTGCAGCTGAACAGGGCCAGGCTCCTTTGACCGACGCTGCCGAATTGGAAGTTTTACCACATCGTCACTATCGATGACTTTGGGTGTGGCATTTGAAGTGATCTCAGTCTCAAGGCCATTGGCTGTGGGCTTCTCCTTGAGACTTGCTTCCATTTGTGCGAGGTCGTTCCCTGATGTTTTTGCGTCGGCAGATCCACAGCCACCCATCCCCTCGCCTTCGTCGCAAGCGCATGCCCCTTGTCCCTTATCTGGCGTGAGCCGGGCCATGTCTTCGCCGCTCCGAACAATGTCCAATATGGCGCTTGGTCGAACCTTTTCCAGGTTCTTGATGAGGCTTCGTGCCGTTCCTCGGAATGCCTCAGGACTGTATATACACTCCGTACTAAAATAATCCAGCTTCTTGTGGTGTGCATAAAGCACAATCTCCTTTTCGTATGCATACTTTAGAGGCTTACTTCTCTTCACATCATTCAATGAGCCACCAGTGACAATACTGGTGCTGCGAGACAGTCGTGGTAGATCTCCTCTGAGAAGATTCATGAGAACCGTCTCCGCAACATCATCCGCATTGTGACCAGTGACAACATGCTTGATTTCCAGCGTCTTTGCGCCCCTGTCCAGCGCCTGCCGTCGAAATACGCCGCAGTACGTGCAGTTGCCCTTTTTTCCAATAGTCTCCACGACTTGGTCCATTGTCCAGCCATATAATTCGTCATATCCCACGATCTTCAAGGGCATGTCGTACTGAACTGCGTTTCGTTTCACCGTTTCCAGGGAGTCATCTCTATAGCCTTTGATTCCTTCGTCTATACTGAGGAGAACGAGATCCAGCCCATAATCGTGACGCTCGTTAAGAGTCTTTAGCACGGATGCCAGTACTGTTGAGTCCTTGCCTCCTGATGCACCGATGGCGACTTTCTCTCCGCGGTAGAACAGCTTGGATGAGACGATGGTATGGTGCACTTCATCCTCAAAGACGGCTATGAAGCAGTCGCGGCATAATTTATGATGGTTCTTGGGCCTCTTAACTACTGCCTTGTTTGTCTGGCAGCGGACACACGTGGTAGGCGGCATCTTGGTGTGTCTATAAATAATCTGAGTCTGAATGGTATATGAGTCTGAGTCCGAGCCTGGGTCCGATAAGGTAGCTGATTTCTCTTTGCTCTTCAAAGGGAACAAGCAAGCTGAGTATTAGAGGGTATCTCAGTTCGATAAGGTATGGGAAAATGCCTTGAAAGCAAAATATCTATGATAAAAAAGTAAAGTTACGCAATATCGATAGTATCATTAATCGTCTTTCATTACTAGTCGCCAACAAATTTAGTTCTGATAAATCGCAATAGCGCCCATGATTCAAAGGTACTTAGGTACATCATTCGAAACTTTTTTGGTAATCGATAAGATCACGTGATCTCATTCACAAAGCCGCCTCAAGTTAAGCTACAGCAGAAGACCCACATTGGAACGGATGCTGAAGCCCTAATTTTCCGCCCACCACATAGTCGAACTTTTCTTTCGACTTTTCTTTGCAACCCATCCCGCTCCGGCATCGAAATTTGTTCAACATCGAACATTCGCCCATCGCCCAATAATCAAGATGGTAAGTTAACAGTCACCAAGACTCTAATGGCCACAGTTTGTGAGTCAAATGTGCGAAAGCGCAATTGATACAATGGTGTTTGCTTTTATTTGCAACCCGTTGGACATTCCGCCCGATGTTCACTTGAATGTGAACTGAAGGGTGAAGACTTGGCTGGAGACGCAGCAGTGCGCTGAAATATGCCACAATGCGTTCTCGTTAGAGTTCAGAGAAGACTTTTTGGCTTGAGCCCCTCGCTGATGTCTTCTTTTCTCAATGACAGCCTCCCAAATCTGGCAAGAAGGTCGCCCCTGCTCCTTTCCCTCAGAGCAAGGCTGGTAAGAAGGGACCCAAGGTTAGTAAAAAAAAAATTATCATGAATCTCCCCAGCTAGAGGGAATCTTGTCGAGATGGTCTAACGAGATATTGCAGAACCCTCTTATCGAGAAGCGCCCCCGCAACTATGGCATCGGCCAGGACATCCAGCCCAAGCGAAACCTTTCTCGCATGGTAAAGTGGCCCGAGTATGTCCGCCTCCAGCGCCAGCGCAAGATCCTCCGTCTGCGTCTCAAGGTCCCCCCCTCTCTGGCCCAGTTCCAGCACGTCCTTGACCGCAACACCGCCGCCCAGGCTTTCAAGCTCCTCAACAAGTACCGCCCTGAGACCAAGGTCGAGAAGAAGGAGCGTCTCCTGAAGGAGGCTACCGCCGTCAAGGAGGGCAAGAAGAAGGAGGATGTCTCCAAGAAGCCCTACACCGTCAAGTACGGTCTCAACCACGTCGTTGGCCTGATTGAGAACAAGAAGGCTTCCCTGGTCCTCATCCCCAACGATGTTGACCCCATTGAGTTGGTTGTCTTCCTTCCTTCTCTCTGCAAGAAGATGGGTATCCCCTACGCCATCATCAAGGGCAAGGCCCGTCTCGGCACTGTCGTCCACAAGAAGGTTAGTTTTGAACCCACAACTATCACGTAAGAGATGGGGGGAATTGTATACTAATTTGATTAATAGACCGCCGCTGTCCTGGCCCTCACTGAGGTCCGCTCCGAGGACAAGACCGAGCTCTCCAAGCTCGTCTCTGCCATCAAGGATGGTTACATGGAGAAGCACGAGCAGTCCCGCCGACAGTGGGGCGGTGGCATCATGGGTGCCAAGGCTCAGATGCGCATCATCAAGAAGCAGAAGGCTATTGAGGCTGCTACCAAGATTTAAGCTTTCTTCTAATACCCGGGTTGCATTTGGGATTTAAGGGATTATCATCGGTGTTTAAGGATTCAGGGCATGGCAAAAAATGAATGAATTTCCAGCACAGTTGTGTATCCCAAATATGACCGTTCTACACACATGTGTGAAGTGAAATGAGTGAATTTGCTATAAGGTGACGATGACATAAAATTGGTGCAAGGTTGCAGATGCTATTGGCAGAAGTCAGCCTTAATTGCCCTTGACACTTTGCTCTCTTGGACTGTAAAGCAACAAGGCAAGACTCCGTATGTAGACAATTATGGTGAGAACGAAAAGGGGCCATGCGAGTTATCCGCCGCAGAGCTCCATCTTTGATAGGGGCGTTCCCAGTAGGATTCATTGCTTCCGTCGGATAGGCAATATTGGTTTACATGACTTCGACAAATGTTCCCTGCCTCGGTAAAATGAATAGTAGTTGTAGTTGACTACATGTAGTCAATACGATGGGAGCCATTGAACCAAGGTCTTAGAATGGCTGCCTACATGTAGCAGGGAATCTACGAGAGTCTTGGTAAGCATCTTAATAATATATCCATGGAGAGCTCGGCAATGCGACGAGTTCAGATTGGTCCGCATCTACTCGCGTGTTCCGTTCGTCCAGCAGTTCGGCTATGATCTCGTAACCGACGGCGTGGTTCTGATCTAACCAGGCTTCAGAGCGCTTGAATTACCCATCCTGGCAAGAGAAACGCCATATCGGCTAGAAAACTTCACGAAAAGAGCAACAATAGAGCGAGCACAGCCGTTGAGGACCTGATTTGGAAAGTGAAGGATCAGAAAGAGAAGAGCAAAAGCGAAGCTAGGGCTCGCAATTTCTGCAGCGCTATCCCCATAGCCACACGCACCGGGGAGGCTATCCGGACCTAAAGGACAGGCCAGCGATGGAGGAGAGAGAAGAGGAGGAAATCGACTCCTGGGAGATAAATGTTGGCGAGTATACGAAGGCAAGGCACAGGCTAACGCAATGCTAACGCAATCTGATGAAAGGCCCCATGATAGTCGCTTGTGGTAACAGACTGGAGAACGTCGGACGATGCGTTGGGGGCCAAGATTTGGCACTTGGGAAGTGCTAGAGATGAATTGACAAGGGGATCTGGCGAGGTTTTGCTTCTTGCGGCATAGCAAAAAGATGTCAAGGAACCTGGCAGCAGCCCCACATGCCGGTCACAGTGCTGTTATTACTGTACATGTACCCGACAGGCCTCGAGCAAGTACCAGCTCCATTTCCGAGGATGAGGGCATCATTATGGGTCCCAAAATGCCGCGAGATGGGACCCAGCAGCTAGCCGCGCCGTTCCACTTGGAGCGATGGGGAATAGACTCGTTTTTAGACATATCGGCCGGCATTGTACATGGTGGACGCAGCAGCAAGGCGCTGAATTGGGCGATTCCAAAATGCACGTCCTCGCCCTTCGCTTGGCCACATGCCCCCCTTGAATGCTCAGCTTGTCCGGGGATGCGAGGGAGAGAGGGCGAGGGAGAGACAAAAATGGTACAGCTAGAACCGTGACCGAGTGCTCGGTAACCGGCGCGGTGGTAGGATTTTAGTCCACGGACTCGCATTTATTGAAAAGTACGCCGGCAATCATTGGCTGTCACGCATTGATGGACATCGAACGATCCATGCAGGAAAACGGGCAGGGAGCCACGGCATCTAGACGATATCAACCTGACAGGTCTGATATCACTGTGAAAATCAAAGAAATATTGAATCCGGCAATTTAAGCATGCAATGCAGGTTAGGATATTAGTTGCTTTTTGTCTCGGGTTTTTCTCTGCTATTGTCTTAATGACGCATTTTCCTTGTCTTCCCAAATTTGTTAGTGCTCTGTCCCAATCCCGACCCGTCAGGTCTGCCAATTTCCGAATGAGGCAGCGCATGTCAACACCAACACTCTGTGGGGACTGCAAAAGAACCAGAAGCAATTCAGAGTCAATGCGAAAACACCAACCCGGTACAGGTATGCAGCGCAACCCAAGACATACTTACTAGGCCCGCCCCCACCAGTGTTTTACGTTTTTCTTTCTCTTTCTTTTTTAAGAACTACTTGCGGCCGAGAAGAAACAAAACAACGGCCGAAACCACAGGCTGGCGTAAAAAGCTAACGTATCAGACTGTCGTTTTTCGCCGAGCAGGGATTCTCCAAGCCTTAAGACGTTGTCACCGTTGCATCGCGGAGATTTTTGAGGAAAAGAAGAGGGCGGAGCGAAACAAAAAGGAAGAAAAAAAAGAAGTAACAACGTGTTAGGGAAAAAAAAAAGGAGCGAGCGACAGACAGAAAGACCGCAACATCCTTACTAACAAGCAATGGCCATCAGCGCCGACAGCCCCAATCCCCCTCCAGCCGCCAGCAGCGGTGCCGGTAAGCCGCCCGTCCTCATCATTGGCGCAGGAGTCAGCGGCCTGCTGCTCGCACAGCATCTCAAACGTGAAGGCATACCCTTCCGTGTCTTTGAGCGAGATGGCGACTTGGCGACCCGCGGCGCCGGCTGGGGTCTGACGTTGCACTGGTCGCTGGCGGCGTTGCAGAGCCTGTTGCCGGCAGGCCTGGCCGAGCGCATCTGCGACGAGTCCAGCGTTGACCGTTGGGCGGACCGGCGAGGCGAGGCGTCGAGGTTTCCCTTCTTCAATCTGGAGAGTGGAGAGCTGAAGACGCAGACGCCCGGAGCGGTGAAGAGTGCGCGGATTAGGGTCACACGAGAGAGGCTGCGGAGGTTATTGGCGGAGGGGATTGATATTGAGGTAAGGCTGACACTTTTCTTTTTTATATTGAGCTGCGCATGAGGCTGCCTATCTACTAGGTGCCTATCTTATCTGCAACTGCCAAGCACATACATACGTCAAGAGAGCTCTACTGCTTAGCAGCGATTGCTCTTTCCATTATTTTTTTGTCTCGCCCCTAGCCATCTCTCATTCTGTCACTAAAATCGCTTGCTAACACCACCATTTCTCAAGTGGGGGAAGTCTCTCCACGACTTCACAACCAACGACAACGGCACCGTCAACGCCATCTTTGACGACGGCGCATCATGCACCGGTACGCTCTTAGTGGCGTGTGATGGAGGCCAGTCCCGTGTGCGGCGAGTCTTGTTCCCCGACGAGACCAAGTTCATGATGCAGCTGCCTGTGCGGACGATGGGCGTTAAGATCTCGTTAACGGCGGAGCAGATCGAGCCAATCCGCAAACTGGATCTGTTTTTCCTTCAGGGCGGATCGCCACTGAACAATTCGTTCATGTACATCAGCGGTGCGTAGCCCAAAAAAAAACCTCCCTTCCCCTGTCCCTTTTTTCTTTCTTAATGCTCCGGTCTACTACTCCTGCATTGTCATTTGCTTGCATTGCCCATCATTTTGAGTTTGACATCTACGGTCGCTTGTTCTTGTCGATCTTTTTCTTGGTGCCTTTTTTAGGGCTTCGACCCGCCTGGAGCTTCTTTGCTCTGTGTGGAGCTCCCAGGCCGAGTCTCCATTGCGAGGTACAAGCAATGGAATAAGCCTCGGGAGCGGCGGCCGCCGTCGCGGATCCGGCGATCATTATCGCCTCCCGCAGCGGCACTGTAAAATGCTAAAAAACGGCCTTTGATGAGAAATGACAAAAACAGCGCACCCAAAAGAATCGCATCAAAACACCGTCAAACGCGCACACCAACTGCTGTTATGGCCATTAGTACTGACGCATCGCAGTCCTTGACGTCCCCGGAAACCAGATCGACAGCAACCCAGATGTCTTCCACTGCCAGATGCATCTCTCATGGCCCTATCACTCGAGCAGTGAAGCCTTAATCGATGTGCCGGCCACCAACCAAGGGCGGTACGAGCTGATGGTCTCCTTCGCAAAGACTTGGGCCGAGCCTTTCCACTCCTTCGTGCTCAACAACGTACGTCCAGACACTCCCATTAAGCGGCTGGATGTGCTGGACTGGGCGCCGCCTGTTGGACTGCGATCAAAGGGTCCAGTAGTGCTGATGGGCGATTCATTCCATCTAATGTCTATGTGTAAGTGCGCCTCCCTTTTGTGCCGTTTGGAGATTTTCTTTTTTTCACTTTTTGGCTTTTATTCAACCTCTCTCCCTTTGCTTTACATGGACGATGCAAGTTTTCGCTTGCTTACTCACTCTTACTCTATTTTAGACCGCGGCGAGGGCGCAAATCACGCCATTATCGATGTCCGCGACTTTGCGACACACGTCGTTCCAATACTGTCGCTACAACACACCCAGCAGGGCGTAGCGCAGGCCCAAGATTCCGCGCAGGCTCTGCGCCAGGCGCTAGATAGCTATGAAGACGCCGTCGTCTCTCGTTCACGGCCAGGGGTTTTGGCCTCGCGCAGGGCGTGTTTAGACGCGCACGCTTATTCTAGGCTGTTTGGAGAGGGAGCCTCAGCGGGCGGCGTCAGCCCATTGCTGAGCAAGCGCGAGATGGCGCTCCAGTTCGACGATGAGTCGATGGAGCTGATGGGCCAGTAGGCAATACATTACTACATACAAGCCCTTGAGTTCCCCTGATTAATGGAGCACGGTTTGTATATTAGTTCAAGTTGATCGTTCGAGCGAATAATAGGTTACAAAGAAGCACTCGTAACGTACGTGCTTGCATTGACTTTGGTTCCCCGAATGAGGAGCCCTCAGCTAGCCCAGCCAAAAGCCAATGGGCCTCGTTCCCGGGCCTTCATCCAAGTAGCACTATACAGTAGACGAACTAGTCTCGGAGAAGATAGCGATATATTAAAATCCCCACTCGCTTGTCGTACCGCCACACACAATGGACCATAGATTAATTTAATCAGCCCAGGTACCATAGCAAGGTCTTTGTCAGAAGAATAGCATAGACCAGGATTCCCACTTCGCCTCGGAAAGAGAGCGAGAGTGAAAAAAAAAATCCACTTCGCCAAACTAGACTTGAAGTATAATAGCGTGGAGTAGCAAAGTCTAGATCCCCCTATGCAAGAAACTTTCCCTCCGGCAAACTGATCCGAAACGAGGCATGTACCCCCTACTTTGCAAGGGAAGAGAAAAAAAAAAAAAGCTATTGGTAACCAGGTATATGGATTGTTTTCATTGGTTTTGCTTTTCTCTTCGCCTATTGTGCCTGTTCCCTTCTTTGTCTCCCTTGTAATCACTTAGATAAGATGAGTACGTGTACGTACATTGATGTTTAGCGAAGTAGAGCAAGCAGTCGTTTCTCTCGCTACCATGTCTTGTTTTAGTAAAGCCGTTTGTCTTTTTTTCCCTCCTGTTTCTTGAAACTTGACGCTGCAAAGGTTTCCAAATGCCACTGATGTTTATGCATTGATGGTGTTTCCGCGCAGTAGTTGCCATGTGATTCCAAATAGAGGAAAGGGGGGGGGGGGGGGAGAAGGAAAAAAGAAAAGAAAGAGAGAGAGGTACTATTTTCTACACGGGGGTGGCTATAATTACCCCAGTAATCCTAGGTGCCTTGTTCTCGCAACGAGCTGAAACAAAGTAGTATTTACTATTGGCTGCAGTGTGACAAATACTTTTTGGGCGTTGCCATTATTAAAAGTCCAATGGTTTGTTCAAGGTAATAGTGATGATATTCATTGCCTTGTGGCTATTTTAAACCCATAGCTCCATGATATTCTTTTTTGGCGGCGCATCTCTGGCCCCTAATAAACTCCACGCGAAAATAAGACAAAGCAAATAGAAGATACTCAAAAATAGATCCAAAACATCAGACATTCCATAACGTAGTAGCAAGAAGTAAAACCATTATCGACAAGAAGAAAGAGAGAAAAAAGCAAGGTGTATCTCTAACGAAACAAAACAAATAAAGCAACAACAAACAAACTGCAATTCAATGTCCTATTTTACATGCTATCTTCAAAACTGTCGTTTCGCCGTCTGGTCTGGCCGCGTTCCTCGTCGACTTGCACGCTGTATGTAATGGACTTCATGATGCCAGCTCCTTGAAGTATGTTTTCCTCGCTTGAGGACTTGATTGCGGTCGAGGCACTCTTGTCATGGTGGTCGTCACGGCTGTGGCTCACATCGCTGAGTTTGAAATGCTCGCCCTTCGTACCTCGACTGTGCTGATTGGATGATCCGTTGTTGTATGAGTTCTTTGTTCGATATTCCTTGGCTTTTCTCATGAAGACTGGGGCCAGGAATGGCAGGGATGAAACCATGTTCTAAAGAGGCATGTTAGCTCTGCACGCGTAGTATCATTGCAAGAGAGATTACTTACGCCGACGTTGAATTCAATGGTGCCCCATAGAATCAGCATTGTGGAGTTGCCGTCACCAGTTGAGATTCGGTTGATCTGGGTATATCTCAAGATGGAGCAGACCGTCGTGAACAGGCCAAGTAAGAAGATACCAATAAGACCGAGCTTCTTGGCCAGTCGGATATTGAGTCTGAACAAGACTGGCAAGGGAAGAATGGCAACGACAATGTCCGACACAATGGTAACGACGGCATAGGCTGTAAAAGAAGGTCCAGGAGCTAAGCAAGTTCCGCTTACATGGGGGTTCCATGACCTTTGAACTGGGCTACAGGCAAATATGAGGGAAAGGGCGCAGCCCAAGTGCCCTAGGAAGACTAATGCAATGGTGGCAAAGACAACATAACGATAGGTCCTTTGGTCCGTTCCCTTGAGGAGTCGCAGATAACTGATGAGGAGCGCAATCTTGAAGAAGCTGATGCCAATTTGATAGATGGGACGTCCCGCAAAGTTAACCTTTGTGTAGACATCGAGACTGGCGGGGGGCCTATCCCTAATTGGCAGTCCCAGGCCATATCTTGTTTCTGTGCGTCGCGTTAATATTTGTCCAGGCCACGAAACCGACCGACAATATGGAGCGGGATTGACGTACGAACAATGCAGAGAATGGAGTACATGAGAGCAAACACGACGGACAATGCGGACATCCAATCGTCACTGGCAAGACCGCGCGCGGCGAAGCGAATGTAAAGACGGGCACCGACAGTCAAGATGGAAAGAACCGAAAGAACGACGCAGATGGTGATGATTGTCGGATATTGGGACTCGGCGTTGACCGCCTCAGAGGCGTTTAATACCCAACCCATGATGAAAAGCAGTATATATTTTAACTGTTGGTGGACCGGGCCGAGTAGAATATGTTGTTGGCTGTTGGTGTTGGCTACAAGGCGCCTCCGGGTGGCGGAAGAAGCGCGGCGACAGGCGAGAGAGCGTGAGAAAAGAGGCTGTACCGCCAACAATATGTATAGATTAGGTAAATGTTGCAATTAATCGTAGACTGCAACCCAAAGGCCAAGGAAAGAAAAAAAAGAGGATCGGTATAAGCGGGACTGAGGGAAGAAGCGGCCCCCAAGGGAGATATAGGAAATAGAAATGAGCGTATCCAAGAAAGGCGTCGGACGATGTAGATGGATCCAGACCTAGTAGACGCAAGGCATGTCTTGGATAGGGTTTCTTTCTCTTTCGGTCAGCGTGAAGGTCAGACACAGACTGCCACCCTGAGCCCCTTCGGGATTGCTCGTCTTGCCAAATTTTCCGCCTCAATGCGACCTTGTCGGACGAATACCTTGCGTCCGTGTATTTATCCGCATCTCTAACCCCAAGATGCTCGTTCGCGATGGCCAGGCCAGGCATTAACGGTTGCAGGTGCTCCGTGTCGCCTCTTGCATAAGGTGCTAGTCGATCCCGGGCAGTATGACGGCCTCGAGAGCGCAGGGACTCGACACATTCGACCGAGCACAGCTGGGGCCTGTCCAAAAGGGAGCGAGCTGCGATGGGTATTAGAGCCAATCGTGCCGAGAATTTGCCCTGCGTCCCCTGCAACGATGCTACGTATTCGGGCTGTTTTGCTTTTGCAGGAGTCGTGCCTTGGGAGGCAATGCTACGATGCCGTCGCACATTAAATTAGCAGCACCAGCGTGGTTGTGACGTCTCCGAGATTGGCTGGAGGTCCATTCCGTACTCCGTATCTTCTCCATAATAGTGTAATGGCCCGTAAAAGGGCTCACACTATTATCCAATCTTTCGTATACTTGGCTTAGTCCATGCTGTCCGTGCCCGTAGCACAAAGACAGCATTGCTCTCATCAGGCGCGGGTATGGCCATCCCTGACCTCATGGCAAGCAAGGGAGCGGATGCGCGGTAGCACTATCACCACCCCTGCCACCGGACTGTACCCATCAGACCTGGGTCGTGTACATGTCAAGGCAATTGGTGGCACTGTGGCACTGTGAGGCCGTGGCTTGGGCCGGCCTGCGGTTGGCGTGGTGATCTTCGCCAGTAGAAAGGCTTTCTGAAGCTGGCGCTCAACAGATTGGATCTGGCGGCCACTAACACCAGTCGGCTGTCGCTTTCCCGCCCATGGCACCGCTCAACCACCGTTCTAGCAGCCGCCGGGGACGGTGAACCAGTCTGTCCGGACGGTGGACTGTGCGTGTCTCGGCGAAGGGATCGTGGCAGCAGAAGCACCACCTCCAAGCAGCTGATTTGACGTTGGCGATACGTTTGAGACAGGCTATTAATGGGGGCGGGCTCAATGCAGTCCGAGACATTGTGCGCCAAGTTTTAGCTGTCAAGGAATGGTACCATTGAGAATCGTCTCGTCCTCCTGATCAGGCGAAGAAGAGAAAGAAGAGATTTTCTTCATGGTGCAAGTACATAGTAGCTCTGCTGGCACGCCATATTTGGCACAAAGTGCGCCGCTAAGACATCTGCTAGGTATGGGATCGTTTTTTGCTAGCTGAGAAGATCACTGGGGCGATTTGGCGGGCCCAAAGACGGCCACACAATTTGACACTTTGTGGCGCTAATCGCCGTGAACCTCAATGGACAGAGAAGCAGATGGAAAGTGTGGCTTGCAGAACCATCTGCGGTATTATATTGTCAGCCATCGACGCAGGGGCCCGCTGAGCTGAAGATAGAAAACGAGGAAACAGAAATCGTCAACAAGTTAGTTGGTAGCATCGCTGCAACTGAACAAACAGCCGGGCGCGGATCGAGGCCCAAGCTCGAACGAACTGTAAGAGGATGAGGGAGAAAATGAGACTTGAAGAAAGAAAAAAAAAAAAATGTGGAGCAGCCAGCTATAGCGTAGCGGCGTCGATAGGTGTCTTAGTACTTGTACGTAGTACGTAATAATAGCGCAGGAACGTTCTCCTGGCCAGAGTGCCATAGAAGAGGATGAGGTACATTAGTGGTTTCTTCTTAATGAACAGCAGCCCAGCCAATTACCAACAGGTTTAGTTGCACAAAGTACGGGTGAGCCAATCGGCCATAAGACAAAAAGCAGAGAAAAGAATACATAGGAAAAGACGGAACAAATGAGTACTGTATGAACAACAGCCCTCAAGCTGTGGATGATCTAGTCGAAACGGTAGCAATGCCCCGACGAGAAGACGCAGCACCTCGTCTACCAGAGGCACCGAGCACTTCCGAGACCATAAGTTATGGAGCGTACAGCAAGGTTTTACCCCATACAAACCTCCAAGGCGATGGCCTAAGCTCTCTGGATACAAGGGCAGTAATTCTGCTGTACTCAAGCCCTGCTGCCTCTAACCGAGCATCTCTTTGTTCTACGTCTGCATTATTATATAGGTATAGCTAGTAGGTACTACAGACAAATTTTGTAGGTACTGCAAAGGCAACCCGGCTGCCTGGGTGACATACATGATACATGCAATGCGCGGCGCAGTACCTGCGTAAACGAAGTATCAGGTGCGTCTGCAGGCCAAACCACGCGAGGTGGAGTTACATATGTGAATGGAGTGCATACAAGCAGAGAGTTCAAGTACGGCAATACGGGTATTTCTCAAGCTTGGCAGCACCATGTTGTACATGTATGTTGTCGAGATTTGCAAGGAGCACTCCTTACATGAGCTAGCACAGGAATAGTCGTACGACTTTACGGAGTAGTGCTGTTACGGAGACTGCACAAGGAAAAAGAAAAGTTGCAGCATCTGGCTTGTGATGATGGCAAGCCTATGGGGCCCCTCTCCAGCCGCAAAGCGGGTCGAAGAGGTGGTGGGGGACTAGTGCTGAGCTTCAGGGACCATGAGCGCCTACTTGCTACCGTACAGGCACAGTACCCGCTGGGCAAATCATTAGCTGGCCCTGACAGTGCCAATCGATTGCGCATGGCGGTGCGAGTACCTTGTGTGCTGCGTGGCAGCTACCTCTCGAAGATGGAGCCCCCATGCTGGGATCGAGCTGCGGTCGAACTGCCGGGCCCCGGTCTCTGTGGCCACGAATTATGGATCGATCAATGCTTCGGGACGGGGACCTTTTTTTGCGTCAGTTCGGCCGTTGTCACAGTCGATCAATCAACGTTACTTGGTCGAAATGCCCTGGGCGCCGAGGAGCCCCGTTGGTTCATGCTCGGTGGCAGTTCGCAACGCCGCCGTTTACTGTACGAGAAAATCTCCGCCAAAAGAGCTGGAGAGATGCTGGACCAGCGCTGCTCGCACCAGAGCACCTGGAGCACCTACAGCAGGAGCAGGCAAACTTGTACGAGATGCGTTAAAGGCACCGCTATAAGCCCGGCCCTGCCAGTCCGTCGGAAACGTCTTGGCCCCTTGGCCAATCTTGGGCCAGCCTGGCTGCATTCAGCACACCACCACCACCGACCAGCGAGCGCGGCACCGCTTCCGCCTAGAAAGACTCGCCTACTGCGAGCAATACACGACCTTCCTCTTCTCGCAGGCCCCTGCAGCGTCCGTCTTGACCCTTGAGCCGGCGAACCTCTGGTGTCTGGTGGGGGAGCTGGCCATGGGGAGCCGACCCCGTCACCGCGTATCTTGTGCTCGTCCAAGAACGCGGCATTGAGGGCCTCCGGAGATTTGATCTGCCAGCAAAGACTGAACCTTGGATGACGACTGCCGTAACCCTCTGGCAGCCGCGGCGACCCTTCTGGACTGCTTCTGCGTCGTGCTCCCGGCACCACTTTGACACACCCATTGTGGCTGCACGGCTGTCACATCCACCGTCACTAGAGCACCGCTGGGGAGCCCATTTACCTTGCATACTCCCTTTGCAGCTGCATCCGGCAAGCAGGGCAGTCTTCCTTTTCTCGTTAGCACCGCTGTTTCCAGGTTCTTTTCTTTTTTCTTTGTTCTTACGGGTCAACTGCTGCAGGCATTCTCAGCGGTGCTGGGTCGCTACTTTTACGGGTCCACCGCTCCAAGCATCCCTGGTCGTGCATCTAAACCATGCACTTATCGCCGCGGTGGCTCCTCGTGGCACCGCTGCACCTGTGCCATCCACCCAATCCTGCAATTCTCTCGCTCAGGCACGATATCGACATCTTACAGCACCATCCCACGAGAGGTGCTAGCAGCGGTTGGTTCGTCTAAGAGCAACAAAGGACGAGGGTGGTCCCCCTCCCCCTTCTCTTGGCCACGACCACGGCCACGGATCCTGGCTCCGGTCTTGTCAAATCCTTCGTCGCTCGTCCTCTTTGGGGTTCCATAAATCTTCTTATTACTACGTACGGCATCCTCTCCCCTTCCCACGTCGTATTCGACCTACCTTTCCTGGCTCCAGGTGCTGATCGTTTGCAACCAGCGCCGATCGCTCTTTTTCTAAGAGAGATTTTCCTTTCAAGTCCATCTCACACGCCCTGGATCCTTCCTCTTCACTCTCACTCCCTTGATTGGCAGTAAGACGCAGAGATTTACCCATCACGTCACTTTCTCTAGTCTCTGTCCCCGCGAATCTACTCTCCACGGGCCACCTCGGATCCGGATTTGCGGACATAGATTTGCTTCTTTTCCCCAGAGCCGCGAGTCGTGAGTTTTGAGGGCAAAGGCAAAGATGTCTTCTCATAACAACAGTGAGAAGGGGGGTGATGTCGACGTTCGCGGCAACACTCCCTCTCACAGCGATATTGATGTTCCCGAGGCCGGCATTGATGATGCCTGGAAGTTTCTCAATGAGCATCGCGATGCCGATGGCGTTGCCGCTATCAACATCAATTCTCTTCGCCGCAAGATTGATTTCCACATTGTTCCTCTGATGTTTCTCTGCTACACCATGCAGTTTCTTGACAAGGTCATCTTGAATGTAAGTTTCGTACCTGCATAATACCGCCCCCACCCAGATAGATGGCGTGTGCTTTGACTAGAGGCCTATCGTACGTTGTGGCACGACATGCTGACGGTGACTAGTATGCCGCTGTGATGGGACTCAGTACAGATCTGAATCTTAAGGGCAATGACTTTTCCAACGTGGCCACGTTCTGTTTCGTCGGTTTACTATGCTTTGAAATTCCCAACAGTAAGTTGAGCCTCGTCCAGCCACAAACGACTTGTCTTTCCTTTTCCCCTCTCTCCTCCTTTGAGAATTAGCCATGCTGACTCAATGTTTCAACAGCATACTTCCTTCAGGTCGTCCCAGCTGCCAAGTGGCTCGGACTCAATGTCACACTTTGGGGTATTGCTACCGCTTGCGGTGCCGCCGCTCACAATTACCAAACACTACTCGTGTCTCGTGTCTTTCTGGGCATCTTCGAGGCCACCATTGGACCATCTCTGATGCTCATCAGCAGCCAGTGGTATACAAAATCTGAGCAGGCTCCTCGCTTCTCTTTCTGGTATCTCGGCCTGGGCCTGGGACAGATTCTTGGTGGCGCTATCTCATATGGCTTCCAAAACGTCTCCGTTGGCGCCTCTCTGGCCGGCTGGCGCATCATGTTTGTTGTCTTGGGATGCGTCACTGTTGTCATCGGACTGTCAACCTTTTTCTTTTTGCCCGATACTCCCATGAAGGCTTCTTGGCTGTCGAGCAACGAAAAGGTTGCGCTGCTGAAGCACGTCAGCGTCAACCAAACCGGTATCCAAAGCCGCAAATTCCGCCCCAAGGAAATCGTGGAGGCCCTCCTTGATCCTCAGATCTACCTCTTGCTCCTGTCTGTTGTCTTGGTAAGTTGTCCTACAGTATGGAGTCTTATACCTTGGCTCCTTTTGCTAACATTGAATGTTCTGCAGCTCTCTGTTTCCAGCGGTGTTGTTACCACTTACTCGGCTACCCTCATCAGGAACTTGGGTTATCCTCCTAAACGGGCTGCTTTAATGAACATGCCCTCAGGCGCTGTCAGCATCTTCTTTACATTGTTAGTTGGCTTTGGCGTTCGAAAACAGTCTCACCGATGGGCGTGGATCATTGCCTGCATCATTCCTGCGTACGCTTCCGGCTCTCCACTAGAAAAGCCTGAGTATCATTACTAACTCTTTATAGTATTATTGGAGGCGCACTGATGTCTTTCCTCGACACGAAAGCTCACCATGCCGGTGTTTTGGCAGGTATTTACCTAGTCAATGCAGTTGTCGCTCCCTTGACCCTCTTTTACGCCGTGAGTAACTTGCCTAATCCTCCCAGCCAGCACCTAGCCTGTACAGCGATGATTAACAAAACGGATATAGTGGACTGTCGCCAACGTTAGCGGTGCTACCAAGCGTGCCTTCGCCGCCGCCATTGTTAGCGGCTCGTTCTCTTTGGGCAATATTATTGGACCTCAAACCTTCCAGGCTCGCGATGCGCCCGATTTCCGACCTGCCAAGCTGGCAGTCATGGGCACGCAGGCTGGATGTGCCGCGACTACCTTTGTCCTCTTTCTGTACTATGTATGGTGCAATAAGAGACGCGGTGACAGCAGCAAGGACACCGAAGAGCGCTTCATGTCTCCTGAGGTCTGGGCCACCATGACTGACAAGGAGAACAAGATGTTCCGATACTCTTATTAAGCCTCTACGCATTGCCTTGGACTTTTAATAATAAGCCAGCGGGTTTCTTTCTTTTTCACTTTGCATCAAATCTATATTTTAATTAATAGTATATAACGAGTATCGAGCAACCATATTGTTTGGGAAATTTTCACGTCGGACATACGATATGATACACGTCTTAGATATCTTCACTAGGATAGGTTGGAAAATCAGAAAGCGGTCGCTGTCTATAGATGTTGAGTATATATTCAAATTCCTGCTTACAATACATGAATGACCATTCTTATAAAACACTTGCTCAAACCTAGTAGTCCTTGGACCTAATTACAGTGCCGCTTCTGGCAGCATCGAGGGCCTCAATGACTCTGAGCTGCTCCGACGCGCTTTCCTCTACTGAGATTTGTCCCTTGATGCTGGGATCCCATTTTTGGAATTGAGCCTGCATGACCTTGAGCGCCTCAACGACCTGGGGTGGTTTGGGGCCTGTTTTTACACTAGAATTAGCAAAGACCATTTTCGATACCACAAAAGAGAGGGAATAAGAAGGTCCTACCTTCGTGAGTATCCACCCAGCCGGGGCAGATGGCAACAGTCTTGATGCCCTTGGGAGCAAGTTCCGCAGCGTACTTTGCAATCTGGACATTCATGCCGGCCTTTGCAATCGAATAGGCCAGGGCGTAGTCGACGCCCGTCTTGAGGATGACTTCGTTGTTGGCCATGCTGCTGGTGATGTGGGCAATCTTCTTGAGGTCGCCCTTCTCAATCAGGGGCAGGAAGGCGTTGGTCGCCCAGGCGGCGCCCCAGACGGCGGTGCGGATGGGCTCCTCGTAGAACTGCCTGGTGGCCTCGAGGTCAAAGGGCACCTGCGTGGGCGAGTGCGAAAAGGTGGTCATGTCGACCGAGTTTGAGTTGTGGATGAGGACGTCGAGCTTGCCGTCGAGGATGGCGCTGGCCTCCTTTGCGGCGGCGAGGATGGACTGCGGGTCGGTGACGTTGCCGGTGATGATGTGGATGTTGGGGTGGGCTTGGGCGAGGGCGGCGAGGGGGGAGGAGGGGTCGAGGCTGCGGACGATGGCGAGAACGGTGTTTGAGGGGGATTGGGCGAGTTGGCGGACGAGTTCGCGGCCGAGGCCTTTGGAGGCGCCGGTGATGGCGTAGGAGGGCATTGTGGAGGAGGGTTGTTGAGGGTTTGATTGTTTTACTTGGTGGGTTGTTTGTTGAAGATTGTGTTTGTGGTCTGTTGTTTAGATACTGGAAGGGTTTGTGTTGATCAAGAGGAAGTTTTACTCTTATATATCTACAAGTTGTAGTTGGTTGAAGTGCATGTAAGTCAGTTCCTTGGAGGGCTACGTTGGATTTCAAGTCTACTGATAGGGGTTGATGATGACAAAACAAAGATGCGATGGCATAATACAGTAGGAATCTTGTGTGGACCTCAGAGCATTGGCGATTACCAACCTGTTTTGCCAATGCATCAAGCATATAGACGAGAGGCAGAGCTGAATAATATGGAACAAAAGTGCTGAAGTGGAACGGCCGATCCGAAGTCCCAGGGGCCGGTCTCCATTTTCAACAATGGGTATTACTATATACAGGCTATTTCTGTCTTCCGCGTGAGGCTTTTGCCACAGTGATAATTTGCATGGAGTACGGGGTATATCCCATGATACATCTTCTGGTGGATCTCAAGATCTTGTTGAATCCTTCTCGCAAAGAGAAACGGCCGATCCGGAATCCAGCGCCCGGTCCCACTATAAATGGGCCTGCCTGCCTCAATCTGGCCAATCAAAGCCAGACTTTGTCAGCATCGGAAACGGATGCTTTAAAACCCAACGGCCGACGGGTCTTGGACCGGCCGTTCCAACTTACACGGCCGCCGCGACTGTCGAGACTGGGAGGCGAATCAACTCCCCTATCTCTTTCTACCCACGTAATAATAGCTAATGGTTGAATCCAGAGAGTGGAATGCCAATTGCCAAGAGGAGAGCTTGCGTCACGTGCACAAATGCAAAATGCAAGTGCTCGCCGCAGTCGGACAACTTGTGCCAGCGATGCGCCCGGCTCGGCAAGCAGTGCGTGTATCTAGACTTGCCGGAGAGGAAGAAGAGGCGCAGAAACGATGATGATGATGAGGGGTGAGACTTTCTTTTTTTTCTTACCAGTGCGAAATTTGATGAATATGAGAAGCCAGATTCGCTAATTTGCTTGTGCCTTGCCTTTCTCCTTTTGCAGTGGTAGTAATAGCCGAGTTGTTGCGCTGGAGAATAGAGTTGAAGAGCTCGTAGCACAACTCGATGCGATAAGAAATGGAGGCACTCGGCATGTTCCCACATCTTCCTCTACGGATGACACGAGTCCTCCGAGCACAGGGGCCTTGTCGATTCCAGACGCTCTGCGCAGTTCAGGGCCGGCCTCCCAAAAGCCAGAACTGCTCGACGCCGTGTCTGAAGGCTATCACGGCCGCGAACCCCCAAAGACATCCGTGCTGGAAGGTCTCCCAGACATTGTCGACCGCGGCTTTCTCAGCGTGTCGGAAGCAGAGAATCTAGTATCGCAGTTCAAGTCCCGCTTCGTGTGGATGTTCCCCTTCGTCGTGCTCGATCCCTCCCAAACCGTCGTGGATCTCCGCAAAAAGGAGCCGCTCCTCTTCCTCGCCGTTGTCGCGGCCTCCATCCCCAGCGCGCACCCCATCCGGAAACTCCTCGCCGACGAAATCATGCAGCACATCACGTCGCGCATCGTGGCGAGCTCGGAGAGGAACCTGGGCCTGGTGCGGGCGCTGCTGGTGCTGTGCGCGTGGTATCGGTATCCCGCGCAAAAGGGCCACGTGCAGCTTATGCTGCTGATGAATCTATGTACGACGATGGTGTATGATCTGGGGCTTAATCGATTAAAGGGGGAGCTGACGACGGATCAGCAGAGGGCGCTTCTTGGAACGTATTGGGTTACTGCAAGGTAAGAATGAAATGAAAATGAATCAAGATTCTTCAGCTGGTGCTTGCTGCTAAATATTTTGTTGTGCCATCATGTAGCTTACCAAGGGGGTTGAATCGCCCAGAGGCAATGGCAAACAGCAAAAAGATTGAAGAATGCTGCAACAACATGGCTGTTTCAACCGAGTACCCCTCTGATAGATGCATCCGGCCGTTTATCCTGGCCCAGTCTTTCGTAAATACCATCGACAGCAGCTACAGCGAGCTCGGGGAGTCAGGCCATGACGAGACTCTCGTCAGAATCATGGTCGGCGCCAAGCTGCGCCAATTCGAGAGTCTGGAAGCCACTTTGAAAGAAGAGTTGTCTAGACTTCCAAACCCAACCAGTATGCTGTTCTGATGAAATATCATTATCCAAGATAGTTTTTTTCCCAGTGCTCAGGTAACTAACTCTGCTGATTCTAGCCAGTGTATTCACCTGCAACATGCACTACGTCAACATTGCCATCCGAGACATGGCCCTCGACGACGAGTACGTTTCTTACCAGACTCGTCACGCCTTTGATCAGTCTCCCTCCGCCGAGGCGTTCAAAACATCAGCCTACAGATCATCACTCCTCTGGCATCTCCTCCGCCACAGCAAAGCCCTCATCCAAGCCTACATGGACATACCCGACGCCCAACTATCGCAAGTCACTGTCTTCACCCTCTCCCAGATCTGTGCCTCCCTCGTGATCCTACCGAGATCCGTATCCGCCCTGCTGAAGCTCATCGTCGCCAGACAAGGTCCCCCCCATAGTCGCACTTGGCCGGTCCAGGGCGAGGCGTTGGACGAGGCGCGGGCTATCGTCGACGAGGCGGATTTCCTCTCTACCACTATCCGGCTGTACGAGAAGTTTCGGACTCTGATAGTTGGCCTTACGACGCAAGAGAAGGGGCTGGACGTGGCTGGTACGCTGTGCTGCCACATGAGCGTGCTGGCGAGCTGGTACGCGCCACGAGTGCAAGCGATCCTGGGCGTCGATCTTGTAGTCAAGCATCCGCTGGCGTCTATTACTCCTCACGCCGGCGACATTGTCGACGTTATCAATGCCGCCAACGCCTCTAATAGCGGCAATACTAGTACTGCCTCGGTTCCACCAGTGGTTTATCACAGCACAGAAAGGACTGGATCGACTGATGTGCAGCAGGGGTTTCCTGGGGCTTATACCGGTGCGGAGGATGGCAATTACTTATTTAGCGATGAGTTGTGGGCTTCTGTGCTGGAGAGCTTTACCAGTTTTGCGTAAAAAGGGGTAAGAAAGGTAGGTGTATAAGACACGAAGGACATGTCACAACAAGAATCAGACAAAACCTTTTTTTTTTCAAATAAACTTATTCAATTTAGCTATATAGCAATTTTTCAAAGATGTGCAGCAAAAGCACACTCTGCAAAAAAAAACAAGAGAACAATAAATTTGAACGCCTATCCAATAATGACGATGCAGTTCCCAACGTTGGATGAAATGGGATCATTAAGAAAAAAAAAAAGAGAGAAAAAGAGAAAAACAAAAAGGAAAAAGTCTAAATCGTGTCCTCCTCTTCCATCTTCGTTTTTTGTGCTTTTCAAGTTCATGAAAAAGCTAATATACCCTGGATATCACGGTTTTTGTTGTCATTCAAAACGAATGTTTTGTTTTTTTAAAAAAGTCAAACGCTTTCCCTTATCCTTGAGCTCAGTTTTTTTTTTATGGATTTTTGTTGTTTAGACCGTGGGGCCGGCGGCAATGACATCCTCGGTAGCCTCGCTCTCGTACTTCTTGAAGTTCTCGCGGAAGAGCTGGCCCAGCTTGACAACCTCCTTGTTGAAGCTGTCGCTGCCGGCAGTCCAGGCCTTCTTGGGGTTCAACAGGTCATCGGGAACGTTGGGGCAAGACTGGGGCACCTGCAGGTTGAAGACCTCGTAGTTCTCAAACTCGGCGTTGGCGAGCTCGCCGGAGTGGATGGCGTCGAGGATGGCGCGAGTGTACTTGAGGGGGCATCGCTTGCCGCCCTGGGCGAAGCCGGCGCCGACCCAGCCGGTGTTGAGCAGCCAGGCGTTGGCCTTGTTCTGCTCAATCTTGTCGGCGAGCATACGGGCGTACTTCATGGGGTGCAGGGCCAAGAAGGGCTGGGCGAAGCAGCTGGAGAAGGTGGCCTGGGGCTCGTTGACGCCGTCCTCGGTGCCGGCCATCTTGGAGGTGTAGCCGGAGATGAAGTGGAACATGGTCTGGGCGCTGTTGAGCTTGGAGATGGGGGGCAGGACACCGCGGGCGTCGCAGGTGAGGAGGATGATGTTGGAGGGCATGTTCTCGGTCAAGCAGGGGATCTTGGCGTTGGAGATGTACTCGATGGGATAGGCGCAGCGGGTGTTCTCGGTGAGGGTGACGTCGTCGTAGTCAACCTCGCGGGTGACGGGGTCGAAGACGACGTTCTCGAGGATGGAGCCGTAGCGGATGGCGTTGTAGATATCGGGCTCCTTCTCGGCGGACAGGCCGATGCACTTGGCGTAGCAGCCACCCTCGATGTTGAAGACACCGCGGTCACTCCAGCAGTGCTCGTCGTCACCAATCAGGGCACGGTTGGGGTCGGCAGACAGGGTGGTCTTGCCGGTACCAGACAGGCCGAAGAAGAGGGTGACATCGCCGTTCTTGCCCTCGTTGGCGGAGGAGTGCAGAGTCAGGACGTTGTGCTTGATGGGCATCTCGTAGAAGAGAACGGTGAAGATACCCTTCTTCATCTCACCGGCGTACTCGGTACCCAGGATGACCATCTCCTTGGCGGCGAAGTTGATGGCGACGGAGGTGGCGGAGGTCATGCCCTCGGTGTAGCGGTTGGCAGGGAACTTGCCGGCATTGTAGATGGTGTAGTCGGGGTGGAAGTGCTCGAGCTCCTCACGAGGAGGGCGGATGAGCATGTTTCTCATGAAGAGGGCATGGTAGGCGCGAGCGCAGATGACACGGACGCGGATTCTGTACTTCTCGTCCCAGCCAGCATAGCCGTCAATGACATAGATGCGGTTGCGGGTGTTGAGGTAGTCGACAGCACGCTCTCGGTTGATCTTCCAGACCTGTATGGCAATCTTGTATTAGCATCGAAAACAGATTTTGTTTGTGTATCGTCTTTGCTCATTGTCAATCTCCATCGTCATTGTCACGCATCACCACTTGATTCAGTGCATTTCTGTGTCTTAGGCACACACACACGCACACACGCACACACGCACACACGCACACACATACACACAGCGGAATAAGCCAGCCAATTGCCCGCCACAACAGCCGTGCTCAGCGCCCAATCGAGAACTCGGCATTTGCATTCGCTTCCCCAAAACCAGGCCGGAGCAAACCGGGTCGGAAATGGAGAGCAAAAAGCACAAGCTTTCGACGCATCAATCACAAGCCAATGCCGCGGATGCAACTGAGGCGAGGGCCGGGCAAAAGTCCTGAGCGCCGCTTATGGTCGGCTACCCAGATTCGGCTTCGGCTGAGCGGGGCCCCGGCTTTGTATTCCATGGGTCTTTTTTCTGTGCCGTGACTTTGGCCAAAAGCCCCCCGGGCAAATTGCAGCTTTTTTTTTTATGCGTGTGTGCGTGTGCGGGGTGACGCCAAGCTAGAGCTGCATCTTGGCCTTTTTTATTGGGCACTTTCTCCGCATGCACTTCCGATTCGACCAGAGCAGCTGCAGATTGCTGGCTTTCTGTTGCTTCGGGCATTGGCTGCGCTTTTTGCTCTGCTTGCTTGCTTCCAGACGGTGGCGGCGAGGGCTGAGCAGCTGAATAGGAGGCGCCCCGCTCGCGTGACCATTGACCCAAAGCAAAAGAGAAGGGGAGCAAAAAAAAAGTATGCAGGGATGAGACGCGTTGGTAACGAAAACCCAAATGGGTAGATTCGGAACACGCACACAACAATGACGATGGACATGACGCTTGCAGCGACGATCAGGCACTATTACTTACATCTTGGCTCATGGGCTTGTTGACTGGTCCCCACCTGCAGAATGGTTAGTCGTGTGGAGCGCAAAAGCTGGATTCAATGTGTCACTCAAAACGTACCAGATGTTGTCTTGTGATGAAGGCTCCTGGACAATTCGCTTGTCGAGGGGAGATCGGCCGGTCTTTGCGCCCGAGTAGGCCGTCAGGGCACCGCTGGAGGTGATGGCAGTGCCGCTCTCGTAGACGAGGGCATCTTCGTAGAGGGCGGCGACGGAAGGATTGGCGACCTGGAATTGGGCTGGTCAGCGAGCTGTGCTTACACACATCAATTGCGAGCAAGGCCAACACTTACAATGGCGACGCGGTCGTAGTCGATGTGGGCGATTTCGTGGAGCTCCTCCTCTGTTGGAAAAGAAAAGTGTTAATGCTAAGAAGAAAAAAAAAAGAAAAAAGAAAAAAATCTTGTCGTGCTTGCTCGCTGCGCTCAAGGCAAGGTGAGCTGCATCTGGACAACAGGTGTGGACATACCGAGCTCGGTGTGCTCGCGGTAGGGCCTGCAGCGCAATTGGTGTTAGTCGCTTATACATGATAGCCAACAACAGCAGCAAGATGAAAGCATCGGGAAGCACTTACTGAACACCGCCAGGGTGCAGAGCAGTCTTGTTAACGTTGCTAGAAATCACTGTTCATGCTGTTAGCCGCCCAAGTCTGACAGATTCACTCTTTCGTCATGGCCATTGAGGGCAAAAGACTTACTCTTGCGTAAATCTATTCCCGAGGCCTGGATCTGTGACTTGGGACCTTTGACGGTAGGATCAGTGTATGGAGAGGCGGTCCTGTAGAGGGGATCCATTGGATAGTTATATATTCCGGAGCAAGAGTCGACGGGATGTCGTTTGGATGAACTTTGGTCTTTTCGTGTCCCTTCCTTTCAGCTGCTAGCGACAGGGGAGGGGGTGGCGTGTGGAGGATGACGGCGGGTTTGTTTCTCCAGAGTGGACACCCGGGATCAGGTACAGACGAAGTGGATGTATGTACTTTTTTTTTGGTGCTCTAAGCAGATCAGAAGGACAAAAAAGTTAGCCCTGCGATCGAACAGTCCCGAAGCTGATCCAGGCCGGGGCCTTGTTTGTGGAGCCGTGGCGGGCGGTGCGAAGCTTCACAAGGCCCGGGGCACGAATTTATCTCGGAACAGAAAGGCAAAGCAAGGAACGTTTGGGTTTGATTTGATAGGGAAAAGCAAAACAAGGGGGGGTGCGAGCCGAAAAAAGAATAGAAAAGAAAAAAAAGAAGAAGAAAACCAACAGCCGAGCGTTCTTGTGTGTGGAGTATGAGAGGAAGAAGAAATATGGGGGCGTGTGAAGTCTCCTGTGTAGGTGCTACAACGGGATAGTAAGGGCAGCAAGCAAAAGTAGTGTGTACTGAATACCCCGTACTTTGCAAGAGATGTTGAAAAGAGAACGATGCTGTAGCCGCTTGGTATCGTCTGCGCTCGGCTCAAGACCAAACGAGGAAGAAAATTAGGTAGCCAAGGGGGGCAGCCAATTAATTCAGGCAGGGTACTTTTTGAACCTTCTTTTTCTTCTTCTTGCCTTGGCTGCAGGGTAAAGGGGCGTGAAATACAGTGCAGGGCAGCACAAATAAAATAATTGAATTGATAAATTAAAGAGGTGAACTCACGATGAAGCAGTTTAGTGCGGCGGTGGGAAAGCCGTAACGAGTAATGATGCCTTGATGACGGCACAGGGCTGCAAAAGTTGAGTAGTGGTAGATATCTGGGAAAGCCAGAAGCTTTTTTCTTAATTCGATGCTAGCAAAAAAAGCTATGTCTATTTCTCAACAACAACAAAAAAAGAAGAGGGAAAGCAGCCCTATTTAAATCTTGATTTCCCCAATCGCCCGTCATCTTTTCCAAACCGCCGTACGATGTGCGAATATGCTTTTTTCCTGTAAACGAATCACACGTGCAGTCAATCATAGGCGGGCAGCGCAAAAACCGGATCTGGGCAATGCCCAATACAGTCTCACTCCCGGTGCTCCAGCGCCGCCCGGGAGACGAATTTGGCTTGTCAGTGTGTATGAAAGCAGCAGCGCTTCCCTTTTTCCACGCGGACTATTCCGATGCCCATGCAGTACGGAGTACTTTGCTCCAAAGGCGTTGCCGGCGCGGCGACCTGCAGCGGGGCGATTACGTACGGAATGGACGATTGCGGTGGTGCTTTGCCTAATGGGGCGATTTATGGCCTGGGCTGGCGATGCTCGAGGTGGCGATTGGATTTTTCTGCTTTTACCCCGTACTTTTGGGTAATGATCTTGTAAGAGGACTCTAGTGCTCCATAATGCGACCACATAGTGCGTCCACGGCACATAATGATGATGGCTTTGATGGATACGGCTATGGATACGATACGAGTAATACCCTTCACTGACCGGGTCACGGTCTGCGCCGGCCTCTGTGCAAATACAGCAAACAGCGGTTGTCGTTGGGTAATGAGAACGCCGCAGCTGTAATTGCTCGGTCACGGGGCTGGGCCAGCGAAATAGCAGGAACCGTCAAAGGGCCCATGCCAACCAAGTCTAGACGTCGGCTTGTTCACCATGAGTAGTACATAGTAGGTGCAAGTGTGTACATACATATAGAGTCATCCACTCGTTCGTCCCCGGCCCCCGGAAGCCCAAGGCTTGACTCATCATCCATCCTCCGTAATCCAGTACTTGTCCCGGCTGCCGCAGCGCCATGCAAACGGCATGTACACACTCCCGGCTGCCTACGGGGGAGGCGACGGAGGAAAAAGAATGATCCCCATTGGAGGCGAGGCTAGCAAGGGGGTGAGATTCTTGCAAAGGCTGGATTTCGCATATGGGCACGAGATCTCTCTCCTTTTTTTTTTATCCAATATACAATCTTGAATTTTATTGCCCGGCTGCAAAACCCGGTGGTCACGCTCCCGAACCCGAAACAGATGCTGCAAGGTTAGATGCTGCTAGCAGTAGGCAATACCAGTAAAAACCCATGGCCCATTCCGGGATGCTAGTCATGGCCGCCTTGTACGATGCCGGCTGGCCTGCAATCCGGGGAGACAGAGGCCCAGCCCAGCCCGGGTTTTTGCCTTGCGCTGCCGGGCGTGTCTTGGGCTGTGCATACCCGCAAAGGGGGACCTAGGCTGCGAATGGTTAGTAGTCGAGGCCAGCTGGGGCGTCTGTCTACCCCGCGATTTCTCAAGTCGCTCTTCGAGAACAAACAAAAAGCACACCCCGGTTTTCCACGAGGAGCAGCAGGTACAGGACCTGTGCGCGGCTCTGCCTGCTTGTCTGCACCGGCGGCTCCTCTCGGCAGTAAAAATAGCAAATGCCATGCTCTCTGTCTGGCATGAACTTTTCCTGCGTGTCTCTGTGTGATTGTCTCAGTGCCGGGCAGAGACACAGACTCGGCACCAGATATCCGAGCAGCTGAGCACAAAGCCCGTCATCCACGCACAGCAGCACAGCGCGGCGAAACAAGAGCTCAAGCCTCTTCATCCCGTCCATCTTGTAGAATCGAGACAAAATCCAGCAAACCAACCGAGACGCACGGCTATGCAGCCAATCCCTGCGCCAAAGCGCCTCCGTACGTCTCGGCCCAGCGGCACTCGCTCGACGGGGCAAGTCCCGTGATTGGCTGCCGCCCGTCTGTTCCGACTCTTTCCGCAGCCAAATTTCTGCTGCTGGCATTCTTTTTTTCGAAGCCCTCAGAATTAATGATATTTTCCAGCAAGCTGTACATGCTATTGCCACCCCTTTTTTTATTTATTTATTTTATTTTATTTTTTTTTTTTTTTGGCAACGGTATTTTCCATCCATGCATGTGTAGTTGGGTACGAATGCTTGGGTTGGTCTTTTAAATTAATCGCCACGATGCACAATGCACGGTAATTCCCGTACTTACAAATTGATAATGCTTGACAATGGCATTTCGTCGCCTGACTTGTCATTTGCATGGCCAAGAGGCAATGTGACAAAAAAAAGAGAGAGAGAGAAAAACTAGGAATACATGTACATTCTTCGTCATGACGATAAGAGAAGCCGAGAAAATACGCAATTTCGATCCACAATCCACAGCTGTTGTTTCGTCTTCTGTTATCGTCTTGTAGTACAAGTATGTAAGTCAATAATGGAGTAGTCAAAAGGCATTCGCCCACCTGATCCCTACCCTATTCAGCACTTGGATCTTCCCCAACTCAGCGTCAAGCTCGCCGTTTTAGGCTATGCTCAGCGCTCTGGTGCCCTTTGTGACGTCTATTGGGCCCCCTTGGACAGCACCAAGTCAAGCCCGGTTTTCACTAACACTGCAGTGGTTTGTCCCATCGTCGTCGTAAAATCTCCCCGAGAAGGTCATTTTATATACTACCTATATTACCTAGTAGGTGATTATATTAGTACTTATATTGCTACCTAAAGTAAAAGAGAGATATTTCCCATCAAGCCTGCTCCTAGCCAAACATCCTCAAATCTATAATTCCTCTTTCATCATCCTCCTCACATCTTCTCTACTTCAACCTCATCAGCCTCATCGTCATCTTCTTCCTCTACTACTTACTACATACTTCTTCTTCCTATCATTCCCTCCCGCCCGACTTTTATTTACCGTATTTGCCGCCCCACTCACGGACCCCCGAATCCATCCACCCGCTGCCTCGAAATTTTCTTGCCTCTGCCTCCTCTTCGCTGCCGTTCCGTCTGCCACGGCGGTACGGGCTCGGAAGCCCAAGGCGTCTCCACCAATCCCCATCTCTCCCCTTTTGCTTTTTTTTTTTCCCATTCTCAATGTACATACACAATTAACATTCCTTTCTACACTCCCCCCCTTGCTTCCGATTCATTTTCGTTTTTCTATATAGTATACTATGTAGGTACATAATGCTTAGTCGTACAGCACGGTACATCCCAAAATACACTGCAAACGCCCCGAGCACCACTGCTATGTACCTTGCTTTGAATGGAACCTTGTAACGCTACCGCGTGCTTATACGTCTTCTCGCTGACAGGATGCCATGTCTACATGTAGGTATTCCCACAGGCCCGGAGCAGTCCGGGATGTTTTGCCATATGGCTGAGTAAACTCCCTGCAAACCCTAGTCCCTGACCCATCAGGCACTGAGTATTAGGCGCCTCTCTCTCTATTCATGATGCATGCAGGTCATAGAGCACAGATTCCCACACGCCCCTAGTTTCAGCCTACAGGCACATGCAAAAAGTAGCCCATGCTTGACTGATTGCCTCCCCCCTGATTCGTCCACCTTATCTTGAACGAGTACATATTTAGTAGGTACTACTAGTAGCAACACACCCAATGTTCACCAGCCTCGGGCAGCAATTTTGCTCGGATTACGGCCGGTACCTGCTCGTATCTGCTCGCATCTCCGAACTGCAGCTTCCTTGGCGGCTGAAAGTATACCCTATATCGTGGGTTTCCGACCTCATATCTGCCTTGCCTCTGTCAACGGGTCAATACGGAATGTCCAAGTCTTCGTTTCTTATCTCGACAATCTCGAAATCACCATGTATGATTGTTATGTATCTCATCAAAGCTTAGTTTGATCTCTTCATTTCCTTCCTCGGCTGACTATGGCTATTTCGATTCAATCCAAAAAAAAAAAAGGCTCTCTTGAACTAAAAAGATCTTTCGTCGCCCTTCTAATCTTTTGCAATCGTGGCATCGTATGGCGTCTACAAATGCTTTGTCATGGTCTTGCATCTCTCGGCGTATATCTTAACTCAACCGCAGATCATGCCAACCTACAGCCCCCTGAGCTTTCCACCCTAAGCACCATGCAGGCCACAGCTTTTGTATGAGTTTGTAGCCGACTTTTTTCACATCTGTCTCCTTGACGCCTGTCCATCAGAGCTGCTCTCAGCCCTCATCCTTTTTTCACCCTCTTTCAACCAAGCCGCCGGAGGCTGGCATCTTCTCCCTTATGCTTTTTAGTAGCTTACTGGCAAATGATTCCTTACTGGTCCTCGCTGGTAATGAGTTTGGTGATCTTGCCGATGGCAATTGTTTGTCCCTGTGCAATGTTATTAGAAAAAGGAATCCAAAAGAAAGAAAGAAAGAAAGTCATCATGTAATGGGAGCATCTCTTCATACCTGGTCTCGGAGGGTGAAACGACCCATCTGCGGGTAATCCTCGAATTTTTCAACGCAAACCATACCAGCGCCTCCAGTCACCTGAAGTCTGGCAATGATGCTGTCGCCCTTCTTGGCGTGAGTGGGAGGAACCTTGCTCTTGCGGTTAGTGCCCTTCTGGAGCTTGTGTAGCAGCGCCGCAAAGGTGACCTCTTCGATGGCCGCATGTACGTGAAGCACGCAGTTGAATCCGGATGTGAGAATGCTCTTGAGGTCCAAAACCTTGATTTGCGCCTCGAACTCGGACACGCAGTGCACAAGTCGCTTCGGCGAGCAAAGCACAAATCCGGGCAGGATGTCTTCTTCTTCAATGCCCTTGAGACGCAACCGAACCTGGTCACCGCACTGGAGAATGGGCTGCTCCTCTTCCTGCTCTCCGTAGATGGCAGCCGTTTCCACGGGCTGCTTCCTAGGCATCATAATCAACGACATGCCCTTCTTGATAACTCCCGCCTCGATCTTGCCGTCGACCATGGTGCCCAGATCGCGGTACTTGGCATTGATGGGCATCATGAATGGTGCGTTGACCTTGCGCTCCAGAGCCTGCATGCCGTCAAGGTACTCCAGCAGTGAGGGTCCCTTCCACCAAGGGGCAACACCCTCTGGCAGTCGGTCCTTGATGTTGAGGGATTGCTGAGCGGCCACGGGCATGAAGTAGACGTCAGTCTTAAGGTTGTAGCCGGTTCCCTTCAAGAACTGCTGTAGTTTGGTAGTACACTCCTTGTAACGCTCCTCGGACCACTCCACCGTCGGGTCGTCCATCTTGTTGATCGCCACAATCAGCTTGTTGACACCTTGAGTCTTGGCAAGCATAGCGTGCTCACGGGTTTGTCCTCCTCTTTCGAAACCTGTCTCGTATTCGCCCTTTCGCGCTGAGATGACGAGAATGCCCACATCTGCCTGAGAAGCACCTCCAATCATGCTAGGGACATATGTCTTGTGGCCAGGGGCATCCAGGATACTGTAGCGTCGCTTCTCAGTCTCGAAGAAACCACGTCCAACCTCGACGGTCTTTCCCTTGGTTCGTTCTTCCTTGGTCAAATCCATGACCCAGGAGAGATACCATGACTCACGACCCAGGTCCTTTGCCTCCTTCTTGTACTTGTCCATGGTACGCTCGTCGACCATTCCGGTGGTCCACAGGATCGAGCCGCCCAAAGTTGACTTGCCTGCATCAACGTGTCCGATGAAAATGATGTTGACGTGCTCCTTTCCGTAGATTTCTTTGAGAGTATCATCGTCCACATCAGCTGCCTGCGCCTTGAGGACAGCATCGACTTCGCGCTGAGCCTTCTTCTCTCCGGCAGACGGGCTGGAGCGGCCAGATGATGGGTCGGGAGATGTCCTTCCAGAAGACTTGCCGCTGGCGGAACCCTTTCCTGCCTTCTCGCCGGTCTTCTCAATAGCCTTGGCTGCGGTAACCTTCTTGCCCGCATCTGGGGCGTTGGACGGCTCAGTCTTGGCCTCGTCCTTGGCCGGGGAAGGAGAAGAGGCAGCGGGAGAGCCAATCGACAAGACTTTAGCCTTGGGCTTTGCGTCGCCTCCAATGCTAAGCACCTTGGCACCTCCTTCGTTGGTAACAACAGGCTTGGGTGCGCTAGCAGCAGCGGCAGGCTTCTCGACGGGGAGCGACTTCACAGGGGCAGCCTGTGCAGCATTGTTCTGAGCGGGGGCTGCAAACTGCTGTTGTTGCTGGTTTCGCTGGCCTTGCTGTTGGCCTTGCTGTTGGCCATACTGAGGATAGCCCTGGCCTGCGATAGTAAAACGTGGTTAGTCCGTCTGTGGCAGTCAAAATAGGTGGACATGGCAAACATACCAAAGTTCTGGTTGTAGCCCTGGTTGTAACCACCGCTGTAGTTTTGATATTGCTGGTTGTACTGATCGAATCCCTGGCCTGCGCCATACTGAGGATAGAATCCCTGTGGTTGCTGATAGTACTGCTGCTGGTACTGTCCATATCCCCCGCCAAAGGCCTGGCCAGGCTGGAAAGTCTGAGCGGTGGGCTGGAATGAGGCAGCGCCAGGTCGGAAGCCGCCCTGGGGAGCAGCAGGGTTGACGTTGAGCTGCTGCTGAGCCTGCTGAGCGAGGTTCTCGTCCTGAGCAGCAGGATCGTCCTCCCAAGAATTGAGGTTCGACATGGTGGCGATTGCAATGTCTTTCTCGTCTGACCTTTGTTGGCGGGGCTGATCGTTCGAGAGTCGTCGACTATCCAACAGTGCTTCTCTCTGTCTATCGACCGCTTTGTGGCCTGGTAAATAGCACTGAAGAAGCGGGTGCCGTCGGAGACCTTTGGGTAGGCAGACTTAGGTCTTGGGGGTTGAAAGCGACGGTCGACGTCTCGCTGGTTTTATGGTGGAGGTTGTGAAAATTCGAGCCCCACCAAGGCAGCGACATGACATCGATAAAGAGCGTTGCATCAAGTTTTTGTGGAGGGGCTCTTACAGTGCATTTCCGCGTCTTGGGCACGGTATGCAGTTAGGTTTAGCGAATGACTTTGGCAGTGAGTCAACAGATGATCTCAATGCAATCTAATATAGGCTACAGTGAAACAAATTAATGGCGCAGAGCCTTAAAGTAGACATACTCACAGGCACAGAGCCATTTCAAGAGGCGAGTTATTGCTGACTCTTGCTTTGTGCTCTTATTCGTAGATACCTATCTGGCTTTTAGGCACCCTTGGGGCGGGTCTGAGTCAGAGAAGACTGTTCGCACTGTAGCTGCTTCGAGTCCGCTGAACAACCTACAGAATAGATATTTTATGCCAGTAAACGACCGCCGCTGCTTACGAGCCAAGCTCTCATCATGCCTTGAACTCAAATATTAATTTTTAAATTCGTCTCTCTCCTGTAATTCTCTCATGAAAATCGTTCCAACCACCGAATTGCAGCTATGGACGATTTTCTGGCAGCAGTTGGCGCCCAGGCCATGAGATACGCCATACGGTCTGGCATTGCCTTGACGTCCTCTTATGCCATCAACCAATGCTCTCGCCTGCTAAAGGCGGTCGATGACAAAAGTCTCCATTCCGAGCTCAGGTTGCTCCAAAAACAGCTGCATGGCAAAATTAAGGTATTGAAATTTATCCATCAATTTTTCTCTCGGAGAAAAAGAAGAATCCCTCCCCTTTCCCCCCTCTCATCTTTCTCATGCTGATCGTTAATGTTTAAGATTATCTCTCCTGCGATTGACCTTATTGAGTTCAAGTTAGTACTATCCACTTCTATCGTGATATTCATCGGCAGAGATGAACAGGTGCTGATGGGTTAGATCTGGGCGAGGAAACGTCTTTCTTGAGTCGGCTCTGCCTCTCGCAAAATCTCTTCACCAGCAAATCGTTTCTTTGGGCCGTCGTGTGGAGGGCGCCGCAGCAGTCGAGGAACATAATCACGATGTAGGAGAGAATCCACAAACCAAAGAGACTAACCATGATGCATTGAAGAGGGTAATTACAGATATGAAAAATCTTCTAGCTGAGATTGACAGGGAAATTCCTCTTTTGCAGTTGGCTATCTCAGCATCTGGCGAAAGCCTATCTACTTCACTCCCTGCTGGAATATCTCCTTCTCGACTGTTGCAGGCTAGTACTCTCTTGACTGTTGGAGATACGCAGCATGCACAGGATCCTCGAAAATCTGTACAAATTGGGCCTTCATTTACGCTGTCTGTATACATGCTATTCCTGGGGCACGCATCTGTATCGTCTGCACCTAGACATGAAAAGTCAAAATCGAGTTCGGGAAGCAGTAATCACCAAAGTAGCTCGAAAATCACAGACAAATTCCCAGTCTATGGCTTGGGCGAGCACGATAGAAAGCCTGTATGGCAGGAGGCAATACACAAGGCCCGGGTGAGGTTATGCAGGTCAGCATGCAGCCCAGCCATTGATGAACAAGGCTTCAATGAAGACACCTACAACGCATCTAACCTTGAGGCCGGCCTAAATTATGCCTATCACCTCGAAATCATCGAAGATTTGGACGATGGGCGGGCTCATGAAGGCGCCGCCTCGGCACAAGCATACAACGGCGTCTCAAAAGCCGGCATTCGTGAACAAATTCCGATCTATCAACTTGCCAAAATATTCTACACGGATACTGGTAGAATGCTCAATATTGGAGATGGAACTGAGGGAGAAAACAACCCAGTTCTGCTCCTCAAACGAGACATCAATGCATCTCAGCTGCCAAAACAAGACCCTGAGAGGTATGGAGATGTAGATAACTCTACGAATGACGATAGCGGTAGCCAACTAGGAGCAAACGAAGATGATCAAGCCGATGTAGACCGGCAGCTATTCGGAGAGTCGAAAGAGAAGCGGTTGTCTTTAAGAAGCTCCAAGGATGCTGAAGAGAGCTGCATCACCGCCTTCCCTAAACATCTGGATCCCGAATGGATAGCCTTTGAGGTGTTCGAGGAAGATGACGATCAGAGCGATACGAGTTCCATCTCCGGCCTTAACGCGGACTCATCCGATGAGCTCGATGGACGCGGCAATTCACCAGAGAAAACGCCATCACGGCTTCGCGCAGCCCTAGACTCGAGTTTGGTCTCTCAGATCAAGAATCTGTCCGTTCAGCCTAATTCACGCAATACTCTCACCTTGAGCTATTCAGATCCTAGCCTTGGTCGGCCATCGCGAGAGCTAGCAGCAGATTCGGCAAGAGAAGCGCAGGATTTCGTTTCGCGGTCACCGTTTGGCACTATCACGACGTCGCTCTCCCTAATTGAGATGCTCATTCGGCTCGCTGGCCTTCAGGAATTCCAACAGGCGTCCCATTTGTCAATTCCAGACCATATCTTGACGTTTTTCTTGGAGGAGACATCGACGACTGGGTTGACAGGCGAGGCTATGTGGAGGGCTAGGAGTGCAACAAAACGGCGGGTAGGGTTTGACCCGTACACTGATACAGCATAATGAATAGCAGATTGAGACTTGCTTTGTGGCACAAGGTTGAATAGAGAGGTAGAATAAAAAAAAAAACTTTGTAAGAATACTGTTGTAGCAGAGCTAGTTTACTAGGGCGATTTATGTCGTTGCCGATGCCACAAGTCGCATAGAATGGTGCGGAAAGGCGGTTCATAGTTGTCTACCGTTCGAAAGCCTCAACGTCACAGCACCAACATTTCTATGACGCATGTCGACGAGCTAAATGAACACCATCATCTATTACTTCAAGACTTGTGACAAATTTCTTATTGATTCGTTTTCTGGATCGATTTTCTTCTCCCTCTAAGCTGGCAACAGTGATGATTCCTTGATCAACAAATTGCCTGATTGTTGAGTTGTTGAGACGGCTCGCTTGCATAGGCTGCCACGTCAGCGCATGCCCCCTCGAGAGCTGGATCCTACCTCAGCGTCGGTTTCAGATGCATCATAAACCATATATCAAAGAGTTTTTTGTGAACTATTTCCACTTGTGTTTTCATCACTATCCGGCTAACACAAAAATGGCGCCTCTTATTCCTCGTCTGCATCTCTTTGAAATTGATGACCAGCCATGGTGAGAAGCTCCCGTACTAGCGCTGCTCTATCTTGATCTAGATTCGACACTTCGTCAATTCCACACAACTACAATATACAATTATAACGCAATTATCTAATAAATGAGCGAATATCTAGGTTCCCTGCATTTCTACGCAGTCGCATCCAGAATGCTCTCACTGCTGCTTGGAACTCCAATACTCCTCTTCAGCCACAGTCACCCGCGCGTATCGCTGCATCTACACTTATTCGTGAACTTGACAGCTCACTCTCATCTTACACCTTCATCGACTTCTGCGCCGGCGGTGGTGGACCTACACCAGCGATCCAGAAGGCCATCAACACTCATCTCAAAGCTGAAGGAGAGCCGCCAGTTGATTTCATCCTGACGGACTTGCATCCCAACGTGGGGGCATGGGAGAAGGTCGTGAAAAACTTTCCGCAAATAGCATATGAAAGGCAGCCTGTGGATGCGAGTAAAGCTCCTAACCACCTCGTGGAATGTCAAGACGGAAAAAAAGTGATGCGACTGTTCAACCTGGCTTTCCATCACTTTGGCGATGCCTTAGCGAGGGATATACTCAGAGATACAGTGAATACAAGCCATGGATTCGCTATATTTGAGCTTCAGGATCGTAGCCTCTCAAGCATGATTAGTGTCTTCATGCTCGGGGTTGCATCTGTAGTCATGGCACCGGCTTTCGCCTGGAAATGGAGAGATCCCATTTCTCTCGCATTCTCATGGCTTATGCCAGCCTTGCCATTTGTCTTGGTATTTGATGGAATAGTTTCATGCTTAAGGACAAGAACTCCAAATGAGATAGAAAGTCTCCTTCGTGGTTGCGGTGCAGACACGAGCTCATGGGAGATGCGAAGTGGTAAATGCAAGTTTATCTGGCCGTGTGGATATCTGAGTTGGGTTATATGTAGACCCGTCGAGAGGACTTGATAAGCTCTATATACAGGCAATGGGGTGAAAATTATAATCGTTGCAGCATGCGATTCCATATTTCAGCACAAAATCAGTTAGCGGAACCACCAATTTACGGATCCATTTAGACGTCCATCTGATTGCTTGCTCTTGATAGAATGCCACCAGCCTTTTGGAATGAATAAAGCATCGCCGGCAGACAGGTCTACCTCTTGCACGTCCAATGCCGCCGACTTGTCTTCCCACACAACGCCGTGAAGCATCTCCCTCTCTTCTCCTTCCATCATCTCGGTAGATCGGATTCGACTGTTTCCAGATTGCCGAAGCCGCATTTGTACGTTGTTATATATTTCAAGTCCTGCTTTGGGCGGCAGCAGCCTCACCACTTTGCTACTACACAGCTGGCAGAACAAGTTGGGATTCGGATCCCGATGCAGCGGGGTATAGGTCGGCTCAGTCCCTAGCCATATTGAAGAGCTGTATATATCGCCTCTCCCGACTTTGCGAATTAATTCTGGAGCTGGTACATCGCTCTGTAAAGAGCTAGGGAGGTCTGATAATAGAGACTGGGCAATGTAAAGCTGCACAGGCGGGTCTGCTCTTATCCTTTGGGCTTCATTGAACTCGAGTGCTTTGACCAGAAGCCTCAACGGTGCATAGAGCTGAAAGAACTGGTGATCGCGAGAGGCTTCTGAAGCAGCAGCAGACTGAAGAGCTACGGCCCAATCTCGATCAACAGCATCTTGGCTGTTTAACAAGCTATCATAGAGACGGGATATGGTCTCGGATCCTTGGAAGAAGGGCTTGATCAGCTCATAGGGGAAGACCAATTGGTGGAAAGAGTCTATGTAGGAAGCAAATGCCGTCTTCTCTTCGTCTTTTTTGAACCATTTATGGAAAGCTGGAAGAGCGTATGTAGGGGATGTATCAGGATCTGAAAAGACATACGGTCTTTCGGCCTTGAAGCTATCCTCGAACGTTAATCCATCTATGACGCCAGGTCTCTTCACTGGTGAATTGGTTGCGGAAGCAAGGCTGCGGAATGGCACATTCAGGATCGGAGGCTTCCACTTCGGTGTGCATTGAAGAATCTTGAAGCTCCTCTGCATTGTGGATATGTTACAAGCTGATAGGTGGTTTCAGAGGACAGAGGAGTGGCACAAGATAAGCACCTAATCGGTAGGATGCACTGGATCTACCATCGTTGTCGATGGGCGGAGAACAGAACACAAGCTGAGAGACGGTGCTGTTTACCCATAAACACGATCGGGGTCATTCCTTTGGTCAGTACTGCTAGGCAGTAGCTGCTACCACCCCATGCTTCCTTCTCTCTGCCAGTCCGTCCTAAATAAAGCTTCCTCGTGCCTGCCCACGGCTTGGAAGCGGCAGAATCTGTCACCGCCCGCCATAGCTCTTAGTCATGTTTTCTTCCCTCCTCCACCACAGCAAGCTCATCCACCCAACGCCACTGCTCTATCAATTGCGACTTTGGCCAAACCGCGCTGGCTGACCCGCCTATTCATCCTCTCAGACGCCCAGCCTTATCGCCCGAGCTCGAGTCCGACGAGGCTGCCACCAACCCGCACTGCTCTCGCTGCCTCCGCTCACCGGGAATACCTGCGCGATAAAGACTGGATTCAACCTGCCCTCGTTTTGACGCCACATCCCACGGATTTGCAGCACCGACCTGCCATCGCCTGCGTGGGCTTTGGATAGTGCCCAAAGCCTAACGTTTCGCGCCTAGGACGCTGCCATTGACGCCAGAAAATCACCCCGCCACGCCTCCTGCCTGCCTCTAGGCGCTAATCTGGACCCAAAGCCCAGCACCCTTACGCGACCTGCCACCTTCGCAAATTTATCGATAGTACCACCGCCAATCCATCCCACGAACGAACCCCACCTCAGCCAACCTCTTGCCTTATCTTCAGTCTTCAGCCTTTCGCCTTCAGTCCGCACGCAGCCCTTGATTGAGCGTTATCAATCGCTGTCCTTTCTTTGCCGATATCATGTCGACTTCTTCGGGAACGCCCGAGTCCTGGATTTCCAGCTTTTGCGCTCTGCCTGGCCATGAATACTTTGCTGAGGTTTCCGAGGAGTTCATCGAGGATGACTTCAACCTGACGGGTCTGCAGACCCAGGTTGCTATGTATAAGGAGGCGCTCGAGGTACGTGGCATATTGGCTATATCGGCCCTTCCATCTCCCTCTTCTTGGCATATGTTGGCCTGTTGTGATGCGGTTTTTCAATCCCAAATGTTGCTAACTCGTACCCCTAGATGATCCTTGATGTCGAGCCAGAGGATGATGAGGATGAAGACGAGGATGAAGAAGACGAGGATGAAAACGAATCAGGAGAGGACGCCGATCGCACAGGCATGCGACATGGCGCAGAACGGCGGCACCATAGCAGGATGGCCAGCGACCTATCTGTCATCGAATCATCAGCAGAGATGCTCTACGGCCTCATCCACCAGCGATTTATCTGCTCGCGCGTAGGCATCCAGCAAATGAGCGAGAAGTACGAGTTTGGTCATTTCGGCTGCTGCCCTCGAACACACTGCGAGCAGGCACGCACCTTGCCTGTTGGCCTGTCCGACATTCCCGGTGAAGACACGGTCAAATTATTCTGCCCATCCTGTCTCGACGTTTATGTTCCCCCTAATAGTCGGTTCCAAACTGTTGACGGCGCTTTCTTCGGTCGCACATTTGGAGCTCTCTTCCTCCTTACTTTCCCCGAATACGATCTCACCAAACGCGGTGCCGATGTGTTGTCAAGCACCAACTCCAAGGTACCTGAGGACGAGAGCATTCTCAACGGCATGTTTGCCAAAAATATTGCACCAGGCCTTGGTGGTGGGCACATCTACGAGCCCAAAATTTACGGATTCAAGGTCTCAGAACGAGCGAGATCAGGCCCCAGAATGCAATGGCTACGAGACCGACCAGAAGTTATCACCGAGCTGGATGAGGCACGGCTATACCACGAGCAGAACCCCGACTCTGACGAGGAAGAGGACGAGTCTATGGCTAACGGCCGGGCACTGGTCCGACGGCGACCGCCGGGCAACGCTCGCCTTCGCCAGCGACCAAATCACAGTGGTAGTCCTATGGCTCTGTCCGCCAACGGTGCCGAGTCTGAGCTGTAGCGTAGCGAAGCCTTACGTAGCGAGACTAAATGGAATTGGAAACGATATAAGCGCAAGACAGGGCAGATGAACATGATTCGTTCTCAACAAAGAGTTTTCCATATCATGACGCTATTTAATATGAAGAAAACTTCCAGACGAAAGAAGAGGCAGAGAGATAAGAGAGGAAATTACCATCAACCGTCGCTGTCGACCTCAATCCGTTGTGTACGCAAGCAAAGAGGAGGCGGACGGCTATCAAGAAAGTAAGGTATGGATGACATTGGGCATGCTTATGTGCACTTTTGGAATTCATTTCGTCTCTCTTCTCCCCAATTTCCCATATTGCTTAAGAAATGTAGGCTATGCGGTGTTCCTTCTCCTGTTCATCATGCTTGGGAAGAGCTGAGCCGAGGTGGCGTTGTGGAAGCTCATCAGTGACGGGCGGCTTAGAGGTTAGAAAAGGAATTAGTTCAAGGGATAACATTCAAAGAAGGTCAAGGGGTTGTGCACACGATTCAGTTAGTATGTTAGGAGAGACGGGTGGGATGATACCTTGCAGGATATGATTAGTTTTAATAATGCGGATGAATGCGAGGTCTTTTTTTTTTTCTTCATGAAGAATATGTATATTTATCTACCCGTTCCTGATCTCGTGATAGACATGTGCGTCCAGTATACCACAAGATCCGAAGACAAATGGCGTGTGTAAAACAAACATAAATTGACTGCCTTACTTATCTCCAACTCTGATATGACAGGCAGCCCACTCTCCCTGCAGATCCATCACCATAAAGTCTCCAAATTATCAGATATCCTCCTCATTTTCACTCCTAAAAGTAGCGTGCTTGTACACAGCGTTATATCACCTCATAGGAGATCCTTTACCCGGTGTCCAACTAACTCCGCTTCCAAACCCTCTTCCCCTCGCAGGCGTACTTGGCGGCCCAGGAGTAGGCGTCGGCGTGGTCCCATTCTCCACAGGCAAAGGAGGCGGCGTCTCTGATCTAGGGACGTCCAAAACGCCATCTCTTCTTGGGGGCTTAAAGTTCACGTCCCTCCCGGCGCGGTAAATATCCTGCAGCATCGCATCCAGGATCCCAGCGTCTTTGAACTCAAGGTATTTCCTGTACAGCTGGAGAGCCGTCCTGGAGTCTTCGATGGAGTCGTGCGTCTCCATTTGGATGTCTTCCTTGAGCAGGTACCATGCCAAGAAGGCGAGCGACAGCTTTCGCAGGCGTGACTTTAGGAAGAATAGGTCGATAGTATCGATGATTTGCGCTTTGGGGACATGGATGTTGATGACGCGGAAGTCTTGCTTCAGTCCGTGGCCCAAAAACTTGCAACCGAGGTTGAGTAGTATCCAAAGCTTCTTATATGCCACCTTTAGAGGCAGCAGGCTATGTTTTGTGGTGTGTGGGTTCAAATCATCTTCGGTGATGCCCGAATATGACGTTAAATAGTCGACGATGGGTTCTCTGATTGAAATATAGTCGTCGATGAAGGGCACTCCTTCGAATTCGCCCTGGCCTCGCACAACGGAGGCGCGAGCCAGTGCATAAACTATTGGCCGGATGGTTTCTCGTTCGCCATCCGAGTTCATTTCAATCTCTGGCTGTCGCACCGCAACAAATTCAGTGTCCAGTGCAATGATCGTTGATGGCCCAGGTCGCTCTGTTACTGGGTCCAGAAGCTTATATGTCTTATTCTCGGTACGTGAGCTGGGACTAGAAAAAGAATGTCAGCCGTGGTTGTCTTGTTATCCGTACCAATGATGGCCTAACTTACTTGAAATCTTGATATAGAAGTGATGTATCAATGTTGTTCTTCCAACTATTATCGATCTTGTTGTTTGCATTCTTAACCTGGAATGTGACAACAGAGGGAACTTTCCAAGAATTATTAAATGAAAGAGCTTCTTCTGAGCTCACGGAGCGAACTAGAAAATCGTTGAATAGGTGCCACTGGCTCTGACCGGGGGGGTTTGGTTCAGCATGAGCAACTATACAAAAGTTAGTAACAAAATAGAAGAACAGAGAAGGAGCACATTTAAGAGGACGAGTATCATACCATTAACCATGGCTACGAGATGCGGTTTTTGTGTCTGGCCACTCTCAATGTTGATAGCCATTCCAATCAAGGAATAAACTGTGATATTATGAATGCCACGTTGTAAGTGAAGCTTCAAATCTTCCCCCTCGTAGCAGAAGAACTGGCCCTGTTCGACGATGATGCCGATTTCTTCTGGTAGCCAGCCAGGCGTGGACCAAAGCATTCGATGATCCGAACTGGTAATTGCGGTATTGAGCATCAGGACATCTGGGACGCTGTGGATGGTTTTTCTAGTTGCAATGGTTTGATACCGTTGGCATCTTCCGCACCATCCCTTCGAAGTCGTCTCTCTCTCCACGCTGCTCTTAAGAATTTGGGAGAAAGTGGTGCGAGGAATCTTGTTGTTTCGACCTGGGGCTTTCTGGAAAATTGTGTCAGAAAATAGTGGCTGGGAGAACTGAGGCTATTCAACTTACAAGAGGTGGATAAAGCAAATCGTTTACATATGTCGACCCAGGTCGGGTATACTCGCTTCTGCAATTCATACATCTAATAGAGCTAGTTGCTTTGGTCGCCAACACCTATATCATGGTTAGCTTATAAAAGTTCCCACGAGAAATATTGGATATTTACCTGATCCATCAAGGACGAAGCTGGAGCCATAGATTTATAGTCGCCAGCAATTCTCTCCAGTAGGAATCGGGTTAGCCCCTGTAGCATTACGTTTAGGGATGATCCATGTGTATCCTCTTCCAGCAATCCCAAAGGCGCAGCTAAGGTTATTGTCAGCAATCGAACAATAGAATTTTGGTTGATAATGGGAGCGGGATTGAGTCTAACCTTGAGGGTGGCTGCTGAGAGTCTTGAGCATATTAGTAGCCTGGCAGATTGATCCTTCTGCTTTCTGAAGCATATCGAAAAGAAATCCCAGCTCGCAAAGGAGGCAGACCTCGCTCACACAGGCTGTAGCTGCATGTTGTAAAGCCAAGTTTCGAATTAAAGGTGTGAAGTGCATGATTTGAAGGAGCGAGTTGGCGTACGAGTTCGATATATGAATCTCGAGGCCAGAGTATCGTGTGGTATTATAAAAGCTGTCTTGTTAGCCCGGGGTTCAAACGCAAAGATATATTCATTTACATACCCAAAATCGAAATCATCGACACCAAATTTACTGTATTTGATCTCGACGTTTCTATACATCATCGGAAATTCTGATTTTCTGCTCTCGATTTCCAACTCTGCAAATGGATTCGAGAGTTCATCTGCCTTTTCTGCAGAAGTCAACGAGTCCGATTTAGCAAAATCTCGAGCCTTTTCGCTAAGAAACTTTGGAGCTTTAAGGCCAGAATTAGCGGATTTGTTCGAGCTCCGAGTATCTTCAAATTGGTTCCTGCGAAGGCCTCGTGTATTTCGACCGTAGAGCCCAAAGTCGGCAGATTTAAGGCTCGCAAGGAACTGCGGATCAAATTTGACTGGGGGGGCTCCAACATCTGAGATCAGTTCAGGCCACGCAGAGGCAAGTGTTTCTCTGTAGTATGGCAGGCCGATAGAATTGAAAGGGCTGCGTCGCATTAGCCTATATACCCATGAACACAAAAAAAAAATATAGCATGCAACTTACGTTTCGGGAGTCCATTCTATAGGTTGAATCGCGTCTTCGGTTGTGGCGAATTCCATGGGAGTAGGTAAGTCAACGAAATGGAGTTTGGATGGCGATCCCCATAGATGGATATAGCATTCTGCATCGGTGAGAGCCATAGCCTCGCCGGAGGGGGCAATCTCAAACATGCTGAGGTAACTCAGCACATTGGCCTGTCGTACATTACTGGTGTTAGGGTTCATGAGGTCCACCACATGCATCTGGCCGCTTTGAGACACCACAATGCTGGTCGTGAGCATGCGCGGGTGCATGCGTACATATGCCGCGCCGGCAGGGAACGGGATCGGCGGCATCGATGTCATCTTCTTGATATCGAAAACGTTGAGAAAGGGATCCAACATGTAATTCTGCCCCTGGCGAAGCGAGTAGCCGCATGTAACGATGAAATCGTGTTGAGCATCCATGTCATTGATTAAGGCTGAGTGAGCATTCCAGGTTTTGACGATGGCGAAGGTGATGGGATCCAAAAGGTGTACTGATCCGTCTCTCGTAGCTGCGCATATATAGCGCCCGCGTTTCATAATCAAGTATTGATGGTCCGTTCGAACCTGCATGACAGTTAGAATCAGACACACCCGGCGTGGCTTCATGGCTCTTTCTTACCTGTTTGACGACTTCCCCCTTAATGAGGTCAATAACAAACATGCTGTTTTGTAGACCGGCGGCTATGATCTCTGCCGTTCCCTTTGAAGTGAAACTCATGCACTTCAAGTCTTTCATGTCATCGTGCCTGGATGGTCATCAGTACCTTGGCTCGCCCAGAATGCAGTATTGACTGTCCACACACCTGATATGCCACATGGTGGGCCCTCTCCTAGATGCCATATGCACATCTTTGGCACCCAATGTCACAACACCTTTATCGTTTGTTAAAATCTGCCGAACTGGCCCGTCTGCGGCTTGATGCGCCTTGAAGGTGGAGTATCGTTGAAGCTCGGTGCCCAGAAAGGAAGTGACTCGACCCTGTCAGATGTTAGAAAAAGTATGGGAAAATAGGCGGTTTGCGACTTGTTCGATCGTACATATTCGTTACCAGCCCAAAGAAGCTCTTGGGAGGTGTCAAAGGTCATTGTCGTTACTTGTGTCGGCAGCGCATGAACGCCCGGAGGCGGAAATGGAATGCGAGCGACCTGTCAAGAGTAGTAGACATGTTAGTGCCATGAAGAATAATATTCATAGTGGTCGAGGACGAAATAGCGACAATAGGCAGGCAGCGCAATAGCTCTGGCGACAGCTATCGGCGACGATAACCACGTACCTCATCCCAGTCTCCGTCCATTGTGGCGATTTGCTCATTCTCCCCGGTACCAAAGCCCGTGTGGAAGGTCGCAATGGTACCGCAAGCCCTGCAGAGGCTCCACGGGAGTCCAAGCTAAGAATGCGGGCTCAATCGACAGAAACGCGGCAAAGAACTGCTTCTAACACCACGATATCGCTGAAGTCGGAGGGACGCGACCACCCGTTAGTTAGGAGGGGCAGTGAGGTCACTAATTTTATCCGATGTAACTCCGAGGCCTACCCTGGGAGCTGCAAAAGTTCGAGATGTTTGGGTGTGCAGCTGGAGGAAATGGATGATGAGAAAGGGAATGGGGGAATGGAAAGGGGATAGAGGTTTATTTCTGCAGCTGGATGATGGGCTTGTTTGTTTGTTTTGAGGTGGGTAATTGGCACATCTATAAGTTTGTGGTAAGGTTCTGTGAACTGCCATAAGCTCAATCAGTGGCTGGTTTAAATTGTGCCGCGAGCTTCGCCATACATGTAGAACGGATCTGCTCTGATACCTAATTAATGTTCTACTTTACGGTATACTCTTCCCCCTAGGGCAAGCCATAGAAAGAGTTAAATAAAAGAGTTGCGGGTTACCCAGCAACGGCCCTAACAAAGTTATCTGATATTGGTATTATTTCGCCGAAGCTGGTTTTCGAGGCTGCGAGAAGACGGCCGAAAAAAGAAGAGAAGCTAAAGCGGGAATGACCTTGGCAAAAAAAANAAAAAAAAAAAAAAAAAAAAAAGGAAAAACATCTGAGGCTATAAACAGCTTTTTTTTATTTCATTTCTAGGGACTTGGTATATAGTAAAATTGACGGCATATGCGCCTTTTGGCCTCCCTGGTAGCCAGACGATATTCTCCCCCGATTGCTCCACCTCTACCTTCCACTTCGTCCTCGTTAATTCTCCAATCTCGTCCCAGAGCCGCTGAAAACTCTCCTGGTTGTGGAGATAGGGTGAGGAATCATCCTTTTCAGGCTTATGAGTAGAAGTGACGCCGACGTGTCGGCCGTATATGAAAGCGTTGCGTATCTCGGGCTGTAGAAAGCCCACCAGTCGCTTTCCGATGTATAGCTGCTGCTTCCAGCTAAATAGATGGAAGAAGCTGCCAGCATGAATGATGCTGATGTGGCCGTTGAGCTCATCTAGCCTCAGATCGTCGGGGTCCGTTATATCTCCAATGGTAAAATGGGCACCCAAACTGCTCCTGTCCTGGAAGAGGTCGTATCCTGACGATATCAACTGAGAGCTGGAGTCGAGCCCGAATAATCGTGATCCGTCAACGCCGTCATCTCGAAATTGCCTTAGCGCTTGGCCAAGCCCGCAACCTAGATCAAGTAGAGTGTCTCGAGACTGAGATAATCTGAGCCGGAAAAGGGCCTGCTGGTAGCGAGAGTCGTTGGCGTCATTCAACGTCAAGAATTTCCATCGCCCAATAAAGGGCATTCTAGCATACGCCCATGCTGCCTCGCGCTGTGAGAACCCGCAAAATCAGCAAGTGAAGACCCGGCCACCGTGAGCGCAAATAGCTTACAATCCTGATAAGATGAGAGTCGATTTCCTCGGAGGGAATCCTGCTGTATCGGACGAGTAAATCGCGGATTGGAGTGATGTTATCCGGGAGGCCAGGCATGAAGGCCCATTTTTGTAGCTCTAGGATGTCCATGCAATGAGATGGCGGCGACGTCCAAGGGAAGAAGCAGGGTGAGAAAGCTATCACTGGATGCGAGATGGATCGGATCACCGGAGTGCAGAGATGCAGACAACTATCTTCATGGCCTGGACGCGCAGCGCGCGGGATTCCATCAAGCAGGATTTCAATAAAGGCCCTCCATGGTGACGGATCAGCTTTTAGTGCACTCCTGAATGCAGGTGTCAGTCGATGTTTGGAAATGGCATCGATGCAAGGGCATCGCAGGCATGACGGTCAAGGTTGATGAGCTGGTAAAGGAGGCTTGAAACGCATCCGAGGTACTACTAATACCCCATTGACCCCGGCCCAGAGGAAGCAGGGCGCGAGGGATGCTCTAAAAAAAGCCGGCGATGTTGCTACGCCGATAGCGGTAGAGGTTGACTGCCTAATTTTGTCTTCCCGCGCGGATAGGAGCTGTATCAAGATTAAATGGCTGCTGACTCAGAGCGCAATGCCGACTGGCCGACTATCTGCCGAAGCGCTATGCTTATCAGCCAATTTGCTTATGGTATGCCTGGTCGCTCCGTCTCCACAATGCCGCAATGCCGCAATACCGCACAGACAAGCCAAGATGCAATGAGTGGCTGACTCATCCTTCAAAAGCAGTGCTGCGGGAAAAAAGAGGGGCTGCGGTTGAGCCGAGCATTTTCCGCCTGGTTTCGGAGAAAATTCTTTTCCCTCCTCCCTCTCTACTCGAAAGAGCGAAGAGCACACCAACATCCCGTCGCCTATTCCCACGCGGCGACGAGTTATTCCTTTCCGTTCAAACGGCCCAGTTTCGCAATTACCATCCTCCGTATTCCAATGCGATAGAGTGTAAGTCAGCCGTGCAGCTCGCCATCAAGCCAGGCACCAGACCAGCAACAAAAGACTTTCTATATGGACACGCTGTCGAGTGACAAGCTGACAATGGCTTCAGTATCCGTGTTGCATCGGCGCCAGATCGCCTCCAACAGTCGCGTAACCGCCGCGTCTGGCTTTTCGGCCACAGCTTTGCGTAGTTTGCCTCAGAGCACAGAGTGCCAGCACTTCTGCCTATCCCTTGCCTGAGACTGTCCTAGGTCTTCATTAACGATTCTCATTGGCCTCTTCCTTGGCAGCCATGAGCCCAGGCCGTGAGGGTGAATCGGAAGAAGCCACTAATATGTCGTACCCATCCCCGGGTGCCGAGGCCCTTGATGCAGGCCCATTCTATCATACAAGCACTCGCGATGAAGCGCATGAGCATCATGATCATGAGGAGCACCAGCAGCCGCATGATCAGCATGACCCCAACCAGGTCCACGCACCAGAGCAGGACCATGGCCAGGTGCCTACACATGAGCCATCTTCTCCCCAGCATCACATCGCAAGACCCCCCAACCTGGAAGAGCTTCAATTGGCGGCTCAGCTTGGGCAGGGCTTGGCTGGAACAGCTCTAATTCCGGCCACCGACCCCAATATGAACGTGGAGGATCCCAGCATGCGTAACATTATGCCACCTGAGCCGGACCAGCATCAAACACCATCGTACGTCCATGAGGCACCCACATCTGATCATATGGTCACGCATACCATACCCGTTCCCGTGGGACCGCCGCTGCCGCCGCAGTATTCCATGGGAGATGGTATCCCTCCGCGAAAACGATCAAAGGTGTCTCGTGCTTGTGATGAATGTCGACGAAAGAAGATTAAATGCGATGCTCAGTCAGATACCGGCGAGAGTCCCTGCTCTAGCTGTGCTCGGTCTTCCATGCGATGTCTGTTTAGCCGCGTTCCCCAGAAGCGTGGCCCCAGCAAGGGGTATGTCTTTTATCTCTCTTCTGGTTCTCTCTCACCTCTCCCTATGGCGGGCATAGTATCTTGTGTTATGCTAATGCAAGAGATAGATATATCAAGGAACTAGCGGACAGAATACATAGCATCGAGAACAAGCTGGAGTCTGAGGGTAGCCTTACCCAAGACGAAATTGACCGACTTCTAACGCCAGGGAGCCATCGCGCTTACAACGGCTTAGTCCCTGCTGAGGAAGCAGGTCGGAAGAGAGCATTTTCGAGCATATCGGCGAGTGACTTTAACGCAACTGCTCCGCGTCAAGCACCATGGGGCCCAGAGCCACGGCCAATACTCCCGGCGCCCGCATCTTCGGACACCTTTGCAGGAGCAGGGTATGCCAACAATTCGCTTGCCCCTCAGCCTGCTGCTGTCAAGGCGGAAGCAGCTCCCCAAAAGCCACCCGTTGCGTCCATGGACTCGCAGATAGTAGACACAGAAGAAGTGCCAGAGGTTGATGAAGATTCTTTGCATGAGTAAGCGCCATCCCATCTCTCCAATGCTTCATAGAGCCAGAGCTAACGGGTTATAATAGCTATCTCGCCCATGTTCAAGCCATATATCCCATACTGCCAACTGGAAAAGCAAGGATCCAGTCTTTGCTGTCACAGTGCCCCTCGTCTGTAAGGACAGCATTTATCACAGCACTTCAAGCGATAGGCCAATCATCAGGGGATACGCAAACTGCGAGCTCCCTTCTTCACGAGTGGGAGAGTAGTGAGGCGCCACACTCGCGCGCCACCGATATTGTCCATGCCCAAACACTTCTCCTCTTGATAATCGATGCGGACTGGCGGTCTTCGTCGCAGCTACCATTTCTTCTGGCAAGGGCAGTAGCGCTCGCCAACACAATGAAGTTGTGGAAATTTACGCCAATCGAGTCGGCTTCAGAGTCGGATTCAGATGACCAGCTGTGTGTGCGGATTTGGTGGTCTCTTGTACTTATGGATCGCTGGCATGCGGCTGGAACCGGAAAGCCATCGCAGATCCCCGATAGCAGCGTCGTGGCACCGGCTGGACTGGAGAACACCGTGGGTGAGGTGTGCTATTACTTGATTCGTAAGTCTATTACTTTATTCTTATATCAAGAGATATTGCTTCTTGTTGCTAATGACAATCTCATTAGGTCTATCAAAATTATTGAATCGGATTGCATTCGTTATTTCTACAATGCAGCCGGGAACATCTACCGCTGAACCAGCCATGGCCGCTATTCTGGTGGATTACATTGAGAATTATCGAGAAGATCTTCCAGGTCACATCGAGGCTGTATCATATCCTCTAGTACATCTTGCGTATTGGCACTGCAAGCTACTAGTGACACTTTTAACGCCTGGAGCTACACCAACGGAAACACTGTGGCCAACCTCTGAGCTCGCCACTTTACTGCTGGCAAACGCTCATCTTAGAAGCCCTTTCACCAATCACTTTGTGTCTCTAGTTACTATGTCGCTGGCCAGACTCGCCAAGATGGACAGCTCTCGCGAAGGCGCTACTAGACTCATGAAGGAGATCCTGGAAAAGCCTACTGGAGGCCACTGGGATAGTGTAAGAGAAAAGTTGACAGAGCAGCTGCGGCCAACATCATCAGTGGAAGCTACTGCAAGCCAGGGCTTACAGCACCTGGCAGATTTGGCGACAGCACATGAAGGCATTGCGCCTGGATCAGATGATATCGCATTTGGTCACACGTTGGCATCGGGCTATCTAGACGTCGCTTAAAGAGAAACAGAAGATTCCCATTCCTTCTGGCCAGATTTCAGCCTGAGCCAATCTGACACCATTTTTGTGGAGGTTACCAGCCAGATTTCGAATGTATAAAACGAATGGCTGGTTTTTACTATTCCTACTCTCCTTCTTCCCCTTATTTCTTCCTTTTCTCTTCATCTTTTCGTGTGTACTACAGGCGGTGCTCTAGCACTGGGTCTAAAAAAAGCGTGGGACTGGCGATAATGGGCGATGATGGCTTTTGATCGATGATGATGCCACGGCTTTACGGTGGCTTATGATATTGTTACAAGGAAGACAGAGGCTAAAAGTTGTCTGCGTATATGTTGTACTAGGCAGATTAATAGCAGTGTAATGAAAGGCAAAAAAAGAGGAGAGAGGTGTAGCATTAGCATCCCCTTGCGTGTCAGATACATGATTCCCCATAGGCAGGAATAGTTCGATCGGTGAGGCTGAGATGGCCCATGGGGCGGGAAGGACATGGTCGTGGATCCCTTCCTACACTACTGTAGTATAGTTGGCTGAGCTGAGCTGAGCCACCGTCATGGCCCTGGCCTTGGTACGGCACGGCAGTTTCATTTGATGCAGCGTCTGATACGCACGCTGCCTGTTTGACTTAAAACAAGCCACGGCCATGTGCGGTAGTGAAGCAGCCCCAGGCGTCGTAATCAAAAGTCAGCTCGGTTGAACATTCACTCCATCCCCCTTCCGCGGGGATATGCATTCCACCACCCTTACTTAGTAACTGCTGAAGCTTCGTCCTGCTCAACAGTTTTTACATGTAAGCTATCTATCGTGTAAGCCACTAAGCTCTAATCCTTTACGACGACCGACCACGTAAACGCTCTTCTATATCTAACGCCTAGCGATGTAGATAGTTTCCTCCTAGAGGCGAAAAAAATCGGATGTCACCTAGGCCCCCCTAGCTTCTGGCTACAATCTACCTAGGAGGCTTTTCGTCTATTCCCACCTTTTTTCCCCTACCCACGCCAAGATCAGCCACTTGGCATGTCACGTCTCGAACGAGACTGGTCGCTTTGTGTTGAGAGCCTCTAAGGCGGGTTTTGTTTGTCCCACCCTAGCCCTCAGCGCCTACATGGAAGGGAGACGAAAACGAAACGCCCACTGTCTCTCTGTGACCCTCTCTCTCTGCGCCTCTTCTCGCCCGTTTCTTCACTCTTTTAAAGAGGAAATATATTGCAAGGGCTGAGAATACTCTCCCCTAGAATATCATCTAAAAATTGGAAAAAAAAAAAATAATGATTATTCGGTATTTATTTTCACGGACCAGAGACCGTCTATATCAAACCATTGCCGCGTTTCAACTCCCCTCTTCTCTCCATAACTAAAAAAAAAAAAAAATCTCCACACAATTCCGGCTATTCTCTACCGTAGAGCGTTCTCCTCCTCCTTGTTTCAAGGCTCCAAAACAATCTTTTGTGGAAACTGCACAGTACAACACTGCCAGATGCAACAGAGGCAGAACAACCGCCTACTTGTAGTTTTATCCACTTGAACGGCCTAGTTTCGCTGTCCGTCCAAGTTACTATTTCTTAGCAAGGCCAAGCCGTTCCTTGTCCCCTTAGTAGCCGTTCCGGTTTCTCCCCGATAGTAGTATACCTTATTCTTTCTATACCCGCATAGCGAGTGGGCTTCCACATACAAATCTCCTCTTATGTAATCTTTCTGCTAAATTGGTTGGTTTCCCATTCAATTTAGTCTTTCACACGGAGTACTTCGTTCCTGAAGCCGATTGCTTCTCTTCATCGCAGTACCTGAACTACCGGTAGCTTAGAAAACCGTTAGTGGGAAAAAAGCCAAGAAACCACACAAAAGAAATACAGAAAAAAAAAAAAAACTTATCCTTCAAGGCCCCCCTCCCCCATTTTTTGAAACGCTCGTCAGTGTAGGTAGATTCCTCGGAGTTGGATGCAGACGCCTTTGGCACTGACTGGAAATGGACCCAAGCGCTCCTCTTTGGTTGCTGACACGGTTGATTCTTCTGTCTCTCGGCCCTCTCTCGGTCAAGGCGATCGGCATTTGCGCAGGTGTCAGTCGAAGCTTTGAGCGTTAGGAGTCCCAGCCAAATGGCCGAGCAGGCTGGCGAGTTTCAATTGTTTCCTTGCACTGTTTGTTGGACTAGACGGAAAATGCGCCGTTCATAGATCAAAGCCTCCCATTTCTATTGTTGTGCAGGTCTATACTAAGCTAAAGAGACAAAAACCATCACCAAAGAGAGAGAGAGTAAGCAGCTCAAGCAGATCCTCTCAGTAAAATAACAAAAAATGTCTATCTGTTCCAGAAACTGTTATATACTTGTATGTGCAGCGACTCTGAACATCACTCCACACAAACATTGCGGATTGTATCAAAAAAATAGAGAAAGCAAAAAGCCATCATCATGTCCTCGTAAAGCCAAGCAGACCCATTGGGTCCGCTTCAGCAGTGAGAAAAAGACCCGATAAAAAACAGGTAACGAAAGCATCGAGACCTCCACCCAACAACGCAGATCCAGCGTCATGATGGAAAGGAAAAAGCCCAGCGACGCACCGACAAAAACCCCAGACACCGAAGCCTTGTCCCACCTCCATTGCCCACGTTTCCACCCCTCCCAAGTTGCCCCTGGTTCCCTCCACCCCACAAATTGTAACCCGTGCCCCATTATATGAAATCTAGAGACGAGGAAAAAAAAAGGTTCCCGCTTGTTACCCAAGCCGCAAGGGCCGGGTGATTCAAGCGGCAAAAAAAGAAGAAATCGAGAGGCTGACTCTCCAAGTTGAACAATAGGCCATTTCGAAGCAGCCTAAGCCAAGCCAGCCATCTCGATTCTGAAAAAGAAGCGAAGAAAAAAGGAAGTTTGATGCTCGCGAAAGTGTCGCTCAAAGATAGCCGACCGAAATAAATCAGGTACGCCCTCCAGACCACCCAAAGGCCCTTTTTTTCGTTGTATAAAGCGATTTCCAACGCCTTTGTCGTTACGCGTTCAAGATGCCAACCACACCATGGGGGTATTCTGTACGCCAAGGTAAAAAAAAAAAAAAAAAAAAAAAAAAGTAAAAAGTAAAAGCGTAAATGAAAATGATGGAATAACCCAAAAAAAAAAAGAAGAAACAATCACATTTCCCAGTAGCCGGCCAAGGAGCCGGCTCCAAGAGTGTCCGAGTTGTCGTCGACAGTTGCGACAGTGCCGCTGTAGTTCGGGATGTAGAAAGCGGGGTCGTCCTCGACCGTGGAGAAGTCGCCAGTCAGAGCCTGGTTGTCAGCCTTGTCAAAAAGGCTGTAGTCAATGCTGGTCAAGTCGACGTTTGCCTGTCGCAGGTAGCTGCCGCTGGTAGAGAATCCGTCGTATTCGCCCTCGCCACCAGGCATAAAGTCTTCCACCTCGGAGACGTCGCCGGATGTGGATGTTGTGCCGGCAAGTGTGGGCAGATTCTCAGAGCCGCTGCCGAAATCGAAGTGGCCGGTAAATTGTGTGCCGGCCTGGCTGTAGCTGGAGGGGGTGAAGGTGTCACCGTTGGCTTCCCTCAAATCGTAGTGGCTCCAGTCGACTGACTGTGCTAGGCTGGCGCTGAGGATAGGCGCATCGGCGTCCGGAAGCCCGCTGGAGAAGAGATCGAAGCCCGGAGCGCTAACGTATGTTGCGTAGTTTGAAATGCCCGACAGATCCAAGGGGGGCAAGTTGCTGTTTAGCTGCGTAAAGCTGGACGAAGATAGCAAGGGAGATGCCGCTTCCGACTTGACCTGGCGCTGCTCGCGGGTAAGAAAGCTGTGTTGCACTGCTGCGTGACCCTCGCCGTGGGCTTGGTACAGCAGGCTGTCGGTGCTGGCGGCTGAGTTGACCCTGTTCAGCTGATACGGCCCGCACTTCTGGGAGGCACGGTTGTGCTTGGCCGGCTTGTGGTGGCCGTGTTGGTCAAAGGTCATGCCCATGTCGGACGAGTGAATCGTATTGGCCCGTCGCCTCCTGGGGACAGGGCGAGGAGGAAGGGTGGCGGCCTTTTGCATCTCGCCATCAGAGTCGGACTCTGGAACAGTGTCCAGTGGCACATCAGTCTTCCCGGCACAGGTGCATCGTCCACCATGGTTGCAGCAGCAGGTCTCTGGGCGACACGACAACGGTTTAGAAGTGAGACCTTGGTAACTGTTTGGCTCGTATTCTGTAGACTCACCAACATGGCCCTCGGCGGGTGGTTGCAGGTGGATGCACTTGCTCGTCTTCTCGCCGCAGTCGCACTTTATATGCGCGGATCGAGACTTGCGCATTGAGCGACAGTGCGCACATTGGGAGACGGGACGGCCCTTTTTGTTGATGTGCTGGAGTGGCCGGTCTGTAGAGCAGAAGAGCTGCGAGTTAGCAATTGATGTCTTACGGACGCCAGCCGGTGTAGTTGCAGTTGCATGTTACACGATGCATGATGCCCCAGCCATCTGCTCGGCAACCACGAAAAAAGCAAAGAAACAGACGAACGGCAATTAAAGACAGGCCAGGGCGGCAGGGTTGCTGGGACTGGGGGGGACGCCGCGGGGCACAAATTGTTTCGCAGCAGCGTTGAGTCGACTTACTTGCGTGCTGGCAGTTGCTGACACGGTGACCGCGCACACATGCCTCGCAGGCATACTTCTCGCCGTCGATTAGCATGTTGGACTGGGGCGTGCAGAGTCGTGATGCGAGGCCCGGGGGAGGTTTAGCAGAGCAGGAGAAGAGGCGAGGACAAGGAGGCGGCTGAGGTTCCAGGAAGTGATGGATTAAAAGCAGAGTTTCAAGGCCTCTGGCAGGCTGTTATTCGGCTCTGGATCGGCGGCTCGGGGCACGGGGAAAAGGGCAGGGCCAAGCAGGGCCGATGCAATTTTGTGTGGTGCGTGTGAGTGCTGCGCTATTGCGCCGAACCTGGGGGGTGGGCGTAGAACCAGGATTGCCAGAGTGGGCACCGATGCGCAGTTGCATGCGCTACAGGCGCATCAGAAGCTAGAAAGGGGAAACCCGCCAGGTGAAGAAGAACTAAGGCGCTGCTAGTCGCAGGCCCCAGGGCTAAGGCTAAAGGCGGGAGGCGATGAAGTAGCAGCAAGAGCTGAGCCAGACGAGATCCGCCCGTGACAGGTTGGTTCTGCCGAAGGAGAGGATTAAACAGGTAGAATGTCGTATGCACTCCGTACCGTACCGTACCGTATGTACTCTGCAAGAGCCGGTGAGGACGAGTGGATATCGACGGTAGCGTGTGCGAAACTATACCGGTAGAGTATAGCAGCGTATAACTTGTAGGTAATAGTAGTGGTATACAAGTATGGAGCAGATGTATGGAGTAGGCAGATGAATGGAGTCCGGAGTAGTATATAGTGCCTACTGTATCTATACAGTAGCAGGTATACTTGGCTTATTCTCCGGAATGTCGTGCTGCAGCGTCTAAGAAGCAGAGCAGAGCGCCCGTTCGTGGTTCTCGGTGCAAGGGCAGTTGACCGTGTTCAACCGCTGTGTCTGCCCAGGAAGAGCAGATGGCGCCAATGCCTCAATATGAACAAAAGTGACCGCGCATGGAAAGCCGGAATCGACTGGCGGCAGAAAAGGTTGCTGCGTTCCCGTGTCTCCCGTGTGTCCTTTGCGAAAAAAGGGCCCGGCTCGAGGTTGTATGTAGAAGGCCAAGCGAGTTTGGCGCCAGCCCGGGAGCCGCTAGCTGGGAGCTGGTGCGAATATCGGTTTAGCCCAGGTCAGCCGAGACCTGCTCAGTGTCGTCAACCTGCAGCAAAGCAAGCGGATCCAGCCAGACACGTTCTGCTTTGCGCGCACGCGGGTAACAATAGCCGTGGTAACGTGAGAGCTGGTGGTGGTAGCAGTGGTAACGGAGGAGGGGCAAATGACGGCAGATGAGGAACGACGATGTGTAAACGGAATAGACAGAGAGAGGGAGAGACGAGGGGTGGAGGAGGAGAAGGGGGAGAAGAAGGCGGCTAGAAGAGAGCTATTGCTGCCACTACTACTATCGAGTAGGTGAAGAAATAAGCGTAGATGTAGATGTATGTGGATGTAGAAGGAAGAAGGAGGACATAGAGGAGAAGTCGTAAGATACTGATGAGAGAGCCGGAGAACAGGAGAGAGAGAAGAGGAGAATGGAGAAAGGCTCCGAGCGTCTCGGCGGATAGGACGGGCTCTCAATGTGTTTATTCTTGGAAACCCAAGTCAATGCGTGTAAGACAGACAATAGACGGACGAGCAAATGGTCAGAACGAAAGGAAAAAAGCGGGTGGAAAGAGGGCAGTGTTTCTGTATATAAGGTACTATACTAGATGCACGAGACGAGCATCAAAGTACAGTACACACGCAGTACCTGTGATTAACTTAGCAACAGCATGGATCGCAGGTAGGTATTAATTAATCGCGTTCTGCTACCAAATCGCCAAAGCCTGTCGGCTCTCGTTCCCTTCTGGCTCGTGCTGGTGCAGGCTGGGCCATGAACGGCCATCCTGAATCAAACACTGGGTGGACGGTTCGGGCTGGCACAATGACGGTTGTCACAGCTGCTGCTGAGCAGGCCGGGGGTGCGACTCGACTCGAGTACCCTCGACACGACAAGGGGCCGGCCAAACGAGCGAAACCAGGCCAAGCCGCTTCAAGCACAAGGCGCGTGGAACGCCTACCGAAGCGGGCTCGCTCACTCGCGCTGTACAGTGCTCGGGCCAGTGAAATCCTGCAGGCAGGCCGTTCTCCTCTGGCGGCGGCTCCGCTCTACCGTGCCAGAAGCGACAGCGATACACGGGGGGGGAGGAGCAGCAGCAGCCTCCAGACTTGGATCGCGGCGTGGCGCACAGGGCGAAAGGCGGTTAGCTGTAGTGGTAATTGCGTTTTCCCTGGGTGATGGTGTGCAGCAAGCAGCAGAAAAGGACGGTCGCATGAGTGGGATGGGCTGCGCGCCCGAAGAATTCCGCGTCTTGCCTTGCTAACGAACCCGGCGCAGAAGAACGTCGTGCGGAGGAGCAGCCTCTTGGAAAGTTGCCATTGCCTTGCCTTGCCTTGCCTTGCCCATCCCATCTCGAATCGCCATCGATCGGCGGCGCTTCTCGTCTGCCTTGTTGCTTCCATGTGCTGGGCTGGCTGACTGGCTTGGACTTGGGATGGGACAGGCCCTTCTGGCGGGCGAAAGGGGAACAAGGACCAGCGCTGGCTGTCGCGGTACCTGCATCCTACAGAGGCAAAAGGCACAAGTGCCTTGCTTTAGCTACAAGCAGACACTGTAGGCGCAGCTGCGTAAGGTACATGTAGGCCAGTCGTCGCCAACAGGCCCGTACCACTTAACGTAAGGTACATGTACTTGGTGCTTCCTAAACTTCGCTACCACCGGCTCACTAGCATCCGCCCACAGCTCCAGTCTGCATGGAGCATTCTCCGTACATGCCAGTTACCTTAACTGCAGGCATTCTGGGGCAAAGTCGCCTCTACCTACTGTACCTAAAAATCCCTGGGCAATGCACGTCGTACATAAACCGTCAGCAGCATCACCAACACCTACATTCAGGTGGCGAGCTGGGCAATGGGTTGATTTTGCTGTAGACGGCACTGGCAGTGTGTCCCCCTCTCAGGTCTCACATTTTTCACTGCAGCTGCGGTGCTATTATTGCGCCGTCCGTCCATGTGCACATGCGGGCAAGACTCTGTCGGCAGGCATTTCATTTAGAGAACCGCATCTACCCCTTCTTGCCCTCCCCCGGTTCTCCAGTCCTGAGATATCCTTCCTTGTATGGTATGTACGGAGAAGCAAAAGTGCTAAACTAATGAGCCTCAGATGATCCCGCGGTGTCTGTCTGTCTGTCAGTCCCTTCTACACCAACCCCAGCCGGCCCTTGCCTCTCCCCATATATATGCATGGAGAGAGAGAGCGGTTCTTGCGGTAGAGCTTGGCCTTGGCATAGACGGTCGGCACACTCCATCTTGAGGCTAGCCCATGCTGCCAGGCGCATGGCATTGCGCCATTCTCGTTTCCCGCCACGCTCTTTTCATCCTTCTTTCCTTGTGCCCTGCCACGGGCGACAGTACAGGTAACATTTCGTGCAGTTGGCCTGATCCTCTCCACCGGATCATGTACCATTTGTAGGCACCTTCGCTATTCGCGGCATGAAAAAACCCAATTCCCAACAGCCGTAGTGCTCCGCTGGTGGGGAAAGGCTGCTTTGGCGTTTGCTAGCACTTTGGCTCGAGGATCCCTGGGGAAATTTTCCGGATAGGCTATGCTTTGCTTTGCTCAAGACCCTGAAGAATTCATGCTAGGTCTGCCATACTGCCATACTAGGTCGTAGTGCTACTATGTAGTATGAACAGTGTAAGTGCATGATAAACGCTATTCCGCGGATACCATGGGCCTGGAAAATCGCTTTTCCTTCCCAATGCCGGATATCTTTCATCTAGAAACTGAATCCAAAACTTCTCCCAATCAGTCTTTTGCGATTTTCCATTGTCTATACGAGGCTCTCCTCCTGCACAGCGAGGCAGTGCCAAGCCAAGCTACGTTGGTGTAAGCCGCCTAGCCTGTTCTTTTTACGTCTTCACAAGTGATCTGACGGTTGCTTGTCCGTCAAAGCGCGGGCGAGGTTGTTGCAGCCAAAAGACGCGGGATACTGCGAACGGGATAGCCATGACAGAATATGTCTTGCCGTGCCAGAAACTCGCCCGTTCTCTTCACTGTTTCGTTCCTGGGCCACCCCTTTGGACTTGGTGTTGGCCTTTTCTTGATCCCCACCGTCATCTGCTCGTCCTCGGTCCCGTCCGAACGTTAGGTACTTTTCATCACGGTAATGTGGGCGGCAGGGCTTTGTCACGTTGATTAGTACAGCCAGGATAAGGCAAGTCTAGATAAGCTGATACGCCGCGATGAAATGCACTGTATCATTGCATTAGCATACATAGCTGGGTGTACATCAATTTTCATGGGCGTTTCTTTGCCTTTTTTAGCAATTCATGGCCAGGGAGAAACCCTCCGAACGACAGACTTAGTCGAGCACATGCGGCCCTTCTCCTGCTTCGTCCCTTAAAGCTGATGAGGCTGTCAGGACCTTAATTCGCCTTGTACAACCATAGCTGCAGGAAACCGTAGCAACGACAAGGTCGGCAATGTAATGGCAGGCCAAGGGACTTGCATGGGGTGCTTTTCCATGGCTGACATTAGTAGAGATGAGTGGCCAGATACATATGTACATAGACAGCCGGCGCAGTCCAATCTCCCAGTGCGGGCGGTTTGAGCAGAGGAATGCATTACCTAAGATGGTTAGGTGTTCAGGTGAGATAGGCACTGCAGTACCAATACCTTATGTATAATATCATTTGCGAATTGTTATTCAAAGGCTTTCGTTTTGCCACCTAGCACCTAGCCGTGGCTTGAATAAAAAGGTTAGTCTACTCAAATATATATTTACGAAACACCTATTACTTGAAGCTAAGTAGAGGCGGTAAGGTAGAGATAGTATAAGATTATGATGCGTGTACATGTAATTGCAATTGACGACTTTAGCTGCTGCTAGGGTGCTGGCAGCTGGACAACAAAACCCGGGCGTTGAATGATAGTAACTCCCTAGTACCTATAATTTGCGGTAGGTAAGGTACCAGCTGTAACCATCCTCCCAAGGCAGCAGCATTACTTGGTTTGTGCCGTGCACTGCCAGGCGCTGTGTATGTACATTGTAGACAAAGACATACCTAGGTAAGGGACCTACCTTTTTCAAGGCCTGTCTGCAGACCTGGAACAGTCGGCCCATCGGTAATAGGGTCTGAGCTCGTGGCATGGTGCGGAGGGTAGTCCTGTGAAATGACCAACAGTGTTTCGGCGCATGGCGATGCTACTTATTCCGCGGAGCAGAATTCAGGGGCGTGCAAAGGCCCCCCCAAAGACCCCCCCAAGACCCCACTGACGTAATGCATCGCGCTTGTAGGTCCCAAAGCCCAGCATGCCCAATCGTGCCGCTGGTGCTTGTGCCAAGCTACAAAATAATGCACGATGCTGCACATGCCGCCTGTCCGTGTGTGTGTGTCGAAGAAGTATAAATGCTACGGTGCTAGTAGGTAGTTGGCTACTAACCTAGTATTCACTATGGCAGCAACAGATGCTGTCCAAGGGGCCCTGCGTTTCTGCAGAACTGGCTTGGTATGGCGTGCTCTAGCCCCAACGATGCAAGGTATTAATAGGCACGTTTAGTGTAGAAGATGCAGAGCGTGCAAATAGTGTAGATTAGGTACTAGTAAGGTGGTGGCACTGGGCATTGCTAGCAGCAATTAGGCCGACAATCGCGATGAAGGCATGGACAGCATGGGGGGAAGAGGCTTTGTTGCGTGGGGAATGGAATGGGTGTATCTGACTCGTCAAATGACAGAGGGCTAGGCAACTCATTTGCTGCTCAAACAAATGACCAGTCTTCTCTTGCTCCATAGCCCCAGCTTCCTTTTCAAACCAGGAGCTATTAAAAGAGGATCGGCGCCAGCCATGCCTGTACGATTGGCTGCAACCACGCGGGTGGGCTTTTTGCTGCTGCATGTAGGGGGTCTGGACCGAGACTCCATAGCGGTACGAGTTCCATTCACCACCGGTAATACTCCGTCGTATCGTATTGTATTGGAGGAGCCTTCTGCAGCTCAGAAATTGCAATGCCCAGCCGTCGAATCTGCTTCTTGCCAGCCGCATATGCTGGGGGGGGAGTGCTTGGTCCCTGAAAGCAGCGGCAGCTGCAGCAGCTCTCAAGGATGATTTCAGCTGCTGGCAGCATTCTGATTGCGCTAACAAGGTGCTCTGCATGTAGTCAAGGCACGGTACCTGGTGCTAATGCTCCGTTTGTACGAAGTACGAGGCGCGCCTGGGATGGAGATGCAGCCAGATACAGTATGTCGAGTACCCTATCCAGCAGCACCGACAGCCGCTCGCAAAGGCGACGGGAGACCAGGCTATTTCCAGCGCGATGCGTATCAGCGGCAGCTCCAAATCTGACCGTCTCGAAAAGCTCGTGACCCCCAGGCAGATGATTTGCAAATACGGCGATCATGCTAGCTGTATGTATATAAGCTGAGCCGAACAAAATCGACACGCGACTAGCCCCGCCCTTCGGATCCGAACTGCCTGTGCTCTCAGAGAAGAACGAGAGCTGTCTCAGCGAATTCATCAATTGCCCAGATCCAGCCAAGGGCCGGACATGTCTCGCCGTTGATGCAAATCTTCAGTGCGTCCTTCCCCGTACAAGTATGCACCGCGTGCGGCTGGAAACATGGTGCAATTTCGGGTTAGCCAAGATTACAAGCAGTGCCACAAACACACATGTAGCCTGCCGACATCTGCCCAGCTTTGGGATCAGAGCCTAGAATCTGCAGAATCACCTGAAGTGGCAGAAGGGGGGGGATGCAATGGAAGGCGAAACGGCCTGGCATGTGGCATTCGCACTGTACCACAAGAGGATCGAAAATGGATCGGAATCGCAAACGCGCCATGATTGGCAGAGGCGCCCAGGCGTCACAAGCGCCACAACGGATCTCGAAATGGTTGATCTTTCTAGAACTATGAGCGCGCCGTCTGCTCATTGGGCGCGGACGAGTGGTCCCCCAGCCCAGCAGCTAAGAAACTTGGCCTTCGTCACCTTTGGGGGAGCTCGGCTGGGCCTCTTTTACATACTTGTTACTTCTTCTTACAGCGACAGCCAAGCGCCGTCTGATAAACCACCCCCTGGGCCGTTCGTTTCTTCGTCTCCCACACCAGAAAACAGAGCGATGCATGCAAGCGTGTCTCTGTGGCGTGTCTTTTGGGCGGCAAAATGCGAAAAGCTTTGGGTCTGGTCTGGGAACAGCAGCCTTTGGGCCGCCCGGAGTTGAGGCGCTGACGACGACGATCATCCAGGCATGAATGGGCTTACGGCCCGACACGATCGGCATCGCCCGGGAACGAGCTGATGATGTGTGCAAAAGCACGAACAGGTGTGTTACCGGCTAGCGATGTGTAAGCTATGCCATGAAGCCATCTGTATGTACGGTAAAGTGTGTGCGGCATCCCCCTCATCTTCATGCAGGCGACAGCTTTGTTGAAGACACGCTTGTCTCGAAGCTTGGGAGGCGCCGCCGAGTTTCCAGGCTGCTAGTGTCTCGCTCGATGCCTCCCAAAGCGCCCGCTCCAACGGGCCTCGTGCCCGTATAATTGGAAGCGTGAGCGCGCTCCTTGATTGCCCAGCAAAGGTCTGATACAATGCTACGCTGCCCGAACAATAGCGCCGGGCTGGGGAAGGGCACACGAACGCCTTTTAGTGGGGGAGAGATTTCGCACATGTCTGTGACTTGCTGCGACTTGGCCAGATTTTGCTGCGATGCGCCAAACCGCCCAAGCCGGTGCCTCTTTTTTTCATCTGCTTGCCCTCTTCTGCTGCGAATCCCGGCCCTGTGATTGGCTGGGTGGAGCTGATGTTCGGATCACAAAAATTTCGACTTGCCCCGCCTACTAAGCGCGCTGGCCGACCACTCAGTTAAAAGCAGGTCTTTTTTTTTCTGACTGCCGAGTTTTTCTTTCCTCTCCCACACACACACACAGTTCCGTCAAATGTTGCTTTGATCCAACTGCACTATGACGTTCCTCGCAACCCTCGACCTGCTCTAGAGCTGGATCAGGTCATCCTCACATTGCAGCGCGCGCAAAGAGGGGAGGGGTTCGGGGTGTGTTTTTTCAGTCTCTTCTTATCGTCGAAAACAAAAGCCCTTCTCTGCCGTGTTTTGCACAGTTGGGCAGATTTTCTGTTTCACTTCGGGCTGCTGTGGAAACGGGACTACCCAAAGCCACCAAAAACCCGTCTTTGACAGGCCCCGTCGCCACTTATTCCGGCGGCTTCGGTAAGGCCTTATCGGAGTCGAGATCCGAGAGATTCAAGAATTTGCGGATGCGGACGACTCACGGCCTCGCCGTGGTTGAATCCGCGTCCGCTGGTCTTCGGTTCTGACGTGCTAAGAGCTTTTGACTCAAGTTCGATGTTCTTATTGATTGCTAACCTCGGTTTTTGCACGGCAACACCGCTTGTTCTGATGTAGTAATTTTCTTTTGTCTCTTTTTTTTTTTTGTTGCCAGATATGGCGTTGCTATTTTAGCTTCGTCAATCGACATCTCCGTTCATCTCCCATTGACCTAGATGTTTTCGCACTGGCATAGAACAATTACTCGTTGCTGGGCACCCGGCTTGGAGATGTCGTTTTGTATATCAACGACAAGCCGGGAATCAGCTGTAGAAACATATCACACCGTATCTTGCAATTTCTGCTGTCATTTCTCCCATCTCGCGTTTTTCTTTCGTAATAGCCGAAGTGACAAGAGTCTTCAATCCGGATAGTGCGGCCCCAGCATTAACCATCCGCGGAGACCTACGGCAGATCTCATCTTTACACTCCTCTCGTCTGACTCGCATCGCGGCCGGTTGACCATGAATCGTACAAACCATGCCCTCTGCAGATAGGGCCTATTTTCCCATTCTGTGCCGTAGTGGATGAGCTACCGAGAACTCAATCGCAGTGTTCCTGTGATGATGTCATAGCTGGTTTCTTTGGTGCCGCTAGAATAGCCCTTGAGCTTTAGTGGATGTGAGCTTGAGAACTGGTGAGATGCTTGAAATCGCGGTGAGAGCAGAGCATCCACGAGGCCCTCGTGTTCAGCAACGTATACGTTCTAAGTGCTACTTAGATTTGGATTGAAATGAATACTAGGCGATTACGGCGCAACGATCGCTCTTGGCTAATCTGCTTTGCCTGGAGGCTAAAGCGTAGTTTGTGAATAGCTACTATTAGTAGCTAACATAGCTCTTTGCTATTCTATAAATACCATAGTAGTGCTTATGCCATCAATTCGTTTAGAATCGCTTTAACGCCCCAATTGCTTTAAGATATTTATCTATATACTTGTACAATTCAATGGGGATCTATTTATGATCGAGCTAGTAAGGAATGGTGGAGCGATGGCTACGGTGAGATTCGCGTTAACGGCTGCTGCGAGAGAGAATGCATATGTGAACGTTGTGGAGGTTAACCATGAATTGTTGTTGTTTAATATATACCCGATGTTGCTTTGATCCAATCATCTACTTGTAGAGTAATCTTCTGCGATTTATGAGTGCCCTTACTGGTACGGCTGAACTCTTCTCTGCTTGTCTCGCCATGCATAAGCACATGTATATCTCTACCCAGGTAGTAAGTGGCATGCCTCTTTTTGAAAGTCATTACTTTGATAACTTCTGATTTTTATACCCGTAATTTGCAAAGCCACGCAAAATCTTACCCTCTGACTTACCCCATTCTCATCTAGTGTTAATATTAGCATTATCTGCGCACTCTTCTGAATCATGTTATATACTTATCTTACAGTGTACAAGATGCTGATCAATTTAGGTTGATTGATGTTTATAATTGCAATTTATTGGCCCTCAACGTCCTTGACGCTACCAAGACCAAGCTTGAAGATCAGGGTGATAAATCGTTAGAAGTTGAACGATGATGGCCCTGTGTTTTGACTAGCAGCGTGGTGAGTATAACAGAAGAATCTAAAGCTAAGGAAGTAATTTCCACGCACAGAAATGTTTAGCTTCTATACGATGTCCCGAAACTTGTCGCTCTATGATAAGTAGGAAAATAGAGACTGATCAGAAAGCCCAACCACCACATTGATCATGAACTCATTGAGGCCGAAAGGTTTGAAGCTCTATTTGAGCGGCAAGTCCTTACAAAATGTTGAAGCTATGAGGCATTCCGTCCTCCTTGATGCTAGTAATGATAGACATAATAAGTTCAGCAGTGCCAATGAACCGTCCTACGAGGCCACGGCAAGCAACGAAACCTAGGGACAGTTTCTTTTCAATGTTTATCGCATTGTGCTCGGCTATGTCTTAAACATGGAGCAAACACATGAAGCTAACACATGATATGTGATATATAGTACCGGATATCTACCAATTCTGTAGAGAATAGATGAGCAACTAGCCTCGTCATCGGCCACCTCGTCGAACACTATTCAAGAAATCGAGTTCACCTAGCCAATTTCTCGTGAACGAACGAGAAAGAACAGAGGCTCGGTTGGTATGTAAATTGGCGAAATTGAACTTTAGCTAACTGCACAGCCAACGCAACAGGCGTGCACAATATCCCAGTTGTAGATCAATTTAGCGTTAGATTCACCGTTCCGGCTACAGGCATATATCTCTACTGGCAATATAGTGAGAGTATTATTATGCAAAGCAACGAGTGTTCTGCATCCAGTTTCTATATTGACTGCATTTTCGTTGGAGATTGCGGCAAGCTTCCCGCATCATTGGGTTTTGCACGGCTCAAAGAGATTCTAATTGTAAACGTGATAATATGGAACTTTGAGGCGAACGCAAGTCTAGAACCCTTTCCCCGTATACGATGGATCTGACCATAGCCTGCTACATGCACTCATCTAAGAATGAGTCGTACTATGAGTTTATAGGATAGACTTGCCAAGTTCTGATATTTACGGTGCCATCACGATAGGGCTGAGCACACTGTACCTATATTTGGCCTGGTTTAAACATGATTTTCAAGCTCAGCAATGAAGCCACTGGCGGGCAAAGACAGTTCTGATGGACATACCCGACTCGTACCATGGAAAGTCAGAAATTATCTCTCGCAAAGTTCAATATTACCTGGATGAAAGAGACGCAATATCTCACTCAGATTATTGAACGATCCCGGATTTAACCATAATGGCCATATAATGCTTGCTCTTTTAAATTGTGAAAAACTTGATGAAATTTCGAAATCTTATCTATCAATTCAGCTGCTGCTGGCTCGGTATATGTTGCAAAGACCAGTGTAATAAAGGGCTGTACCTAAGCCGAGCTTCAGTGACTAGAAATGCCTGATAACGGACCATGGATTTCTGTTCTTGTCTAACGAGGTCTATTTGTTTGATTCCTGTCTATATCCTTCATATAAATACAAAGACAAGCCGCGGCGGGAAAGTCATTATAGTACCAACAGGTGACGATATACCCAAGTTAGCTATGCTACTTTCAATCGCTCGTGGTGTTGGTATAAATATGAACCAATCCAATTTTCAAGAAAGATTTAAAACCACTTGCGAAGTTTAACGTTAAGATAGAACAGGAAAAACACAGTTTCTATCAGCGCTTCGTAATACTGGTTGGGTGGAGCTATGGGTATTGAAGTTGACGGACCTGTGTACTGTTCTTGGTCTGTACAGCGACTTGTTGACTCCATAGCTCGTTGTTGGACAAGGGCTATATAAACTCTTCAGTATTTGTGTACTTGACCCATTTATATTTCATTAGATGATACGTAAGTGCTATTATGCTTGTGACGGATATATCTAGATAGGAGAAACAGCGCCTGTGAGACCATGATAGAATGGGATTGCTGGGCTAAGGGGTCATATAGATTTGCTGTGTTCAATACTAAATGTTATGTGGTCGTCTTTCTTAAGAGTTGTAAGCTCCATTTTGTCATTTCTTTTTTCTGTTGGGGGTTTCCTGTCAGATCTAAGAAATCGAACTTTAAAATCTCTGTCATATTGAACACTTGTCTGCCTATCTTTCGAAAAATTTCTGGTCTACATACATGTAGCTACGCAATGATATTATAGTTAAGTAGATATGCACGATACAAACAATGAAAAGAGAGAAAAGCAATTACGATTTAATTGTTTCTTTTGCTTATAAACATGAAACCTGCTTCTTAAGACGTGCAATTTTGGTATAGCAGTTAACGGCAAGGAGCGTTCGTAGCCAATTTTTTTTAAACCTATATATAGATGAAGAAGAAGAGCAAGCATTGACACAATTTCAATTGGCAACACGATAGTTATACATTGAACAGGGACAGCCCCCAGAAGATTATTGACGAATAACCTGAACTTGACATATATCCCATGACAGATATTCTTCAACTTTTAAGATCTTACAGAATTTCAAACGATGAGCAGCGCCACTGGATATGCATAGGATTGTCTTTATGATTCTTTTTTTTTTTTTTTTTTTTTTTTTTTCCCAATATTAAACCTACTAACCTTCCCTAGTATGTATGTCTCTCATCACTGCCAAACATTGTCTTGGCTGGCTATCTAGCCACGCGGCCTCGGCAGAAAATTTTAACTTGAAGAAACTGGTCGGTTTTGAGGGCGATTTGTCAGCCAAAAAATTGAAAAGGGATCGACATTCCGCATATTATCATTCTAGAATATGGCAATTTTATGCTAGGGAAAAAAAATGAAAAAATAAAAACTGAACCAGAAAAACCAATCATTTGTCACAGCCAAATATGAGCGAGCGTTGATTCGCCTCCCTCCAAAAGCCGTGCTTGGCCAAATGAGATGCTCTCAGCCAACAGATTTCGGCCTCGGGTCTCAAAAGGGCGCCACTTATATGCTTAGTTTGCCCTCTTGCCGGACCATCTGTTCCGGAGGACCCCAATCCTTTCGCTGCTGACGGGGGTTTAATACGGAGCAGAGCCGATCTTGTGTCCTAGTAGGCTAGAGTGGCAGAGGACTGATTGAGCGGAAAGCCTGGAGACTAAAGAAATAAGAGATCAAGAAAAACTCTTCATACTACCTATCTTACTGCTCCTGGCCAGCCTTGACCTGGGGCGAACCGATTGAAGTGCAGCGGTATGTGGGTTTTGAGATTCGATTGATTACCGAGCCTAGGTACTAGAGGTACACGATACACATCTATAGGTACATGTACTGCATGTGCATGCAAGCAATAAAACCACCTATAACATTGAACCTATAGTATCTACCCCTCCATGCATGGTGACGCTATAAGTGGCAGATGAGAGCACAATCACGTTTATTTGGCCACAACCGCGTGTCTTTGGCGCTTGAATTGACGAAGCGTCGGCAGACGAGATGCAGCTTGGATTGATCAAACACAGATCGCCATAAAGATGCCTCTGATCAGACAGTGAGGTAATACGCCATCATCACATGTGCGCTCTTACCCCTCACCCGCCTACTACTGTATGTACTAGGTAGGGAGTAGGCAAGCACTATTATGCACATGTAGATGGTACTAGCAGTAGCAGCACCAAAAACCAGGGCCTGCCTACATATTGCGCCGGCATGCGAAACATCGAGAACTGACTGGTGCCGGCTCCATTAAACGCATCTGCGCTAATACTTCGGAGCTTAAATTGTCTGCGGAAATGCCTGTGCCATATGATTCGCGTGCAAGGCATTTCTTCACTGGCCACGCACTCGCAGCGTTTGATTTGCGCCTCCCAGACTAGGCCCTGGCGATATGGGAACGCTGCTAGGCACTAAACGACGATGATCGGCAGACCCTTAGTGGCATCAAGTTATCCCAACTAATGCAGCAGGTACATGTCGCCTCACCCGCTCCGTCCTTTTCTTAGCAGCATCCCATTCCAGCCTTTTCTTCACTCCACACAGATCTGTTTCTGTCTTTTGCATCCCCCTGGTTTTCTTGGCATCTCTTCCACTTCTCTCCCCCCCTCTCTTGCTAGCCTAGCTCCAGCCCGAGTGCAGCTTGACTCCAACTGTATCTTGACCTCCCTGTGTTGCTTCCTCCCGAAGATGCGCTCAGCTTGAAAACCGACGCGGCATGTGCTTCCTGCAGCTTGACATACTCAACGAAGCACAATCTGTGCCTCAAACAACTCGAACTCTCAGATAATGGACTCGTCGCGGCAAGATGAGTCGGAGGGAGCCTCAAACGAATCCACCCCGGCTGACGGCCACTTGGAGACCGCGGCCAGCGCACACGACGATCAGACGCCCACCTCAACTCAGAGCGCAAGATGTGATCAGCCACTGGGCCACCAGTCACCTACCTCAACCTCCGATGACCTCGCGGGTGGTCGAGTATTTCCAATCCGCTCTGTAGTCCGCGTTGGCCCTGTTTCCGACGAAGACTTGTTCCCCCATCTGACCGAGACTGACAACCAAGGCCCTGGCATACCGGTACACCTTCTCAGCTCTGCCAATCGCACAGAGTCCTGGATCGACACCCGCAGACTAGACTTTGAGCCTATGTCGCCAACATCGCCGCCTCCTCCCAATGACCGAGCTGCCCAAATCCGCAAAAAAAGGGCCATGAGTGGGCCTTACAGCAGCGTACAGGCGGATGCCGTTCGTCACAGCTCATCGACGCCTTTGAATTTAAACCTAACCATTTCAGATAAAGATGACGACGACGCAGTTGTGCCTGGCGACGATGGCAAAAGCTCTGAAGGCGATAATTCACTAGTCCCGGCTGAGGCATCTGTGACTTCCGACGACCAGCCATCAGGCGAATTCCTGCATGTTGCAACCCGCTTTACGCACGTTACCACCGACGAAGGTCATGCTGTTATCACTGGTAGAGATGGGGTTTTGCAAAGATGCGAAGAAGAGCCCATTCATATTCCAGGTGCTATTCAAAGCTTCGGTGTCCTCTTAGCCATGCGCGAGGAGGACGAAGGCCAGTTTGTTGTGCGATATGTCAGCGAGAACTGCCGGAATCTCCTGGGTTATACGCCTCAGCAGCTGTTTGGGCTCAAGAGCTTTCTGGATATCTTGACTGAAGAGCAACAAGACAACCTCTTGGATCATATTGACTTCATCCGAGATGAAGACGCTAATCCTGCTGCCAACGGACCGGAGGTCTTTGGTATCTCGATCAGAGGCCGGAAGGAAAAAAAGAGTACAAAACTATGGTGTGCATTGCACATAAATCCCGTTCACCCTGATCTTATCATTTGCGAGTTTGAAAAAGACGACGATCAAGAATTTCCTCTCCAACCCCCAGAAGAAAATAGCTCTGCTATTCCTACGGATACTCTTAACGGCAACCCTACTTTGGAGCAAATTGAAGAAAGTACAGAGATCTTAAGCAAGCCACTCAGGATTTTACGGAGCGCCAGGAAGAAGCGAGGTGATCAAGGGGCAATGCAGGTGTTTGACATCATGTCCCAAGTTCAGGAGCAGCTTTCTTCAGCCCCTGATCTTGATATATTTCTAAAAGTCCTCATCGGCATAATAAAAGAACTCACAGGGTTCCATAGAGTCATGATATATCAATTTGACTCTTCCTGGAATGGAAAAGTTGTGGCCGAGTTGGTTGATGCTTCAAAGACTTCTGACTTATACAAAGGGCTACACTTCCCAGCATCTGACATTCCTGCCCAGGCACGCGATTTATACAAGCTGAATAAGGTTCGCTTGCTCTACGACCGAGACTTGCAATCTGCGAGGATGGTGTGCCGGACTAAAGAAGATCTTGATGTACCCCTTGATATGAGCCATGCATATCTCCGCGCCATGTCTCCCATTCATTTGAAGTATTTAGCTAATATGGCAGTGCGGTCATCCATGTCAATCTCCCTCAATGCCTTTAACGAACTTTGGGGGCTGGTGGCATGTCACTCCTATGGGAATCATGGCATGCGTGTTTCTTTCCCGATTCGAAAAATGTGTCGCTTGGTGGGAGATACAGCCTCGAGAAATATCGAAAGATTATCATATGCATTGCGACTTCAGGCTCGCAAGTTGATCAACACCGCTCCAACCGATAAGAACCCAACCGGATATATAATTGCATCTTCCGACGATCTATTACGGCTATTTGATGCGGATTTTGGTCTGCTGTGCATTAGAGGGGAAACCAAAATCTTAGGGGTTATTGAACAGAGCCAAGAAGCTTTGGCCATGCTTGAATATCTTCGAATGCGCAAATTTACGTCGGTCGTTGCGTCTCAAGATATTAGAGAGGATTTTACGGACTTGCAGTATCCCCTTGGGTTCCAGGTCATCTCGGGACTACTTTATGTGCCCCTGAGTGCTGGGGGTCAGGATTTCATCGTTTTTTTCCGCAAAGGACAGGTTAAGGAAGTTCGATGGGCCGGAAATCCATATGAAAAAACCCTTCGAGAAGGTACTGTGGGCTATCTGGAGCCCCGAGCCAGCTTCAAAACGTGGAGTGAGATTGTCGTTGGTAAATGTCGTGAATGGGTTGAGGAGCAGATTGAAACTGCAGCGGTGCTCTGCCTGGTCTACGGTATTTCTTCCTCTGAACCAAATATGAGAGAGCTAGTTATTGATTTTGTTACTTCTAGGTAAATTTATCGAGGTTTGGCGAGAAAAGGAGGCCGCTCTACAAAACACTCGGCTAACAAGACTTCTACTGGCCAACTCGGCGCACGAGGTTCGCACACCGCTTAATGCTATCATTAACTACCTTGAAATCGCCCTTGAGGGGTCACTCGATCAAGAAACAAGAGACAACCTTGCAAAGTCTCATTCGGCATCAAAGTCGTTGATTTATGTCATCAATGATCTCTTAGACCTGACCAAGACAGAGGAAGGCCAGCATCTAGCAGTGCAAGAAACTTTTGACCTCGCCACCTGCGTGGACGAAGCTGTAGACCCGTTCCGCACCGACGCGAAGAGGAAAAATATTGAATATCAGGTCACAAAACATCCTGGATTACCTCGATTTGTACAGGGTGATAGTCGGCGTGTTCGCCAGGTTATTAAAAACGTTACTGCAAATGCGATTGCCCATACAACTTCTGGATTTGTTAACGTTGATGTTCTCGTTGCCGAGGTTAGAGAGGATCGGCAAGTGATAATACAAATTGTGATTGAGGATTCTGGCTGCGGCATGAACCCTTCACAAATCGAAGCCCTGTTTCGAGACCTCGAGCAAGTCAGCACGGAAGGATCGGCACTGCAGCCGGCAAATGATGGAAGAGACACAAATCAAGAATTAAAGACACTAGGCCTTGGTCTAGCTGTTGTGGCTCGGACAATCAGAAATGCGGGCGGCCAAATGAGGCTAAAATCGAAAGAAGGGGAGGGTTCTCAATTTGTTATCCGGTTGCCTTTCCAACTGCCCGAGGAATCCTCAGATGCAGAGGGCGCTGGCAATAACCCTATTTCTAGTACTTACGATATTTCGGCAACCAAGTCGCTCCCCCTAGCACAAGAGAACGAGATTTTACTACTCGATCACAGCAAAGGTTCTACGACAGATTCGATTTCCTTAGGGCGACGGAGCATTGATAGTCGTCGAAGCGGTGTTAGCCAGGATGGAAGCCAGAAAAGTGATGCGGATCGCTTAATTGATGCTATCAAGACTCCTCTTGCATTGCAAGACAAAGATACCGAATATTTCTCGTCCAAAGCTCATCTGACAAGCGCCTCCAATAAAATCAGCAACACAAGCTTCACAAGCCTCTCTGCTCCTTCAAACGAGCCTCCCAGCCTTCCCGATGAAGATCTTGGCACTGCCAAAGTCCGTGACACGAAAGTGCCAGTTCGAGCAATTAAGGTACCAGACGAGTACATAGATATGCCTTCTTCTTTCAGACAGGAGAAGAAGACAGACAGCATTTCTGAAGCCGACACCGATGCAACCGAATCGAAGCACCCGCCCAATTTGATCAGCAGCGCTGTGGCGGATAATAGCGCATTGCATGTGCTCATTGCAGAGGATGATCCAATCAACATGAAAATTTTGAAAAAGAGATTGGAAAGAGCTGGTAATAGCATCCATCATTCAGTAAATGGACAGGACTGCGCATCAACTTATAACGATAACTCGTCCGCGTTTGATGTTGTCCTTATGGATATGCAGGTAAGTAGCATCCGCTCTCTGCATGCTTCTTATCTCTTCTAAAAAAACACTAACATCACTTTTCAGATGCCTATTGTAGACGGCCTTACCAGTACAAAGATGATAAGAGAAATAGAAACATCATCTGAACACAAGGGTCATTCGACTCTGGCTTCGAAATGTGGCCGGATTCCCATATTCGCCGTATCAGCCTCTCTGGTGGAAGAATTGAAACCTACTTATGTCGACGCAGGATTTGATGGATGGATTTTGAAGCCAATTGATTTTAAGAGACTATCAACGCTTCTAAGGGGCATATATGATGCCGAGACACGAAAGTCATGCATATACGTTCCCGGGGAGTGGGAGAAAGGTGGCTGGTTCACAGAGTCCACAGAGGAGATCATTTTGAATGATGGAAATGATTGAAAGAGTAATGATATTAACGAAGGCTTTCAGTGTATAAGAGTATTATAGGGAAATGTATACGGAAATATTTGTGGCGTTGGGGTGTTGGGTGAGAATTATATCTTGTTCACCCTTTTTTTCTTTTCTTTTCTTTTTTTTTTTTTTTTTTTTTTTTCGCGAATAGCTTTTTTTGGGCAATAGACGAGCCATGATAGATACACTTTTGGGAGATTACGGCCGGTCATATAGCGATTCGGAGAGAAGAGACTGGAAATTATGTCTTGGTGCATGGCATCTTATGGTATATGGGATCTGCTGCGCTTGAGCTGGGCTAGGGCATTATAATCGACAATAAAAAGAGACATTATGAAAAGATAATTTCATTGTGAGTACTTCCTTACTCTTTTCAAAAGCAGTTGTGGCGATTTTTGCAGTTCCGCTAGTCATTGCCTTATGAAGAGGATTTGTGTTGCTCTGAGGCCCTATGTTATTTCTTATGAAGGATTTTAAGAGGAGGTTGAAGAGTGTTGTTTGAAAGATGCCAAAGCCTTTTATAGCATTGCTTCAATTGTAGCCGGTTAAAAGAAAATAATACATCTAGGTAATACACCTAGGTCCGTATCACTTTGATAATGGGTAGTGCTTGCAGATACATCGCGCGGAGAATGGATATCAAAAGCTTCGTGGGTTATACTAATGAGAAGGGGAAAAAATGCATGTGATGATCTTATATTCAAGGTAAGATACTAAATTAGAGACCTTCTATCTACAGCACATTTTAGAATCATGGGAATCTTCCCTTTTACCTAACTCCCAATTTAGAAGCCGAAAAAAAAAAAGGAAAACAAAAATAGATGTCGATGCTATCAAAAGAAAAAAAAAACGCGCACATTGCAAACCATACAACCCCCCTCCCTCTCCAAAATAGTTAACGTTCGAAGCAAGAAGGAACAGAATCGGAGCCCATTATGATATCCAGAATGAAAAAAAAAAAAAAATGTATATATACAAAAGAAAAAAGGAGGGAAATCGTGATTAAGATAAAACGTCGTATACCGTACGATGTATCAATATCATCATGTTTTAGATCTCAACATCCTCTTAAACAGACCAGGTTTTGTTTCGTGGTTTTCTTCCTGAATATTGTGCTGGCCAACGATGCCCAAAAAGACCTGATCAAGCGTCGTGGTGCTGACGCTGTAGTGCTCAACGCCGAGACGAGCCTTGTTCTCTTCAAATAAGACAATGAGTCGTCCAATGGCGCCTTGACTGATATCACTCCCGATGGGCGTCACATCATCGGCACTTGGGCCTTTAGTTAGGGACAGAACCTCGCTCGAGAGGACCGAGAATCGTAATTGTCCATGGTACATCTTCGATTCAAGCTTGGCTGTGGGCAAAGTGTCGCGAATCCACGACGTTATGATATTCATCTCCTCGTCTGTCGTTCTGGGCGCTGTGCTCGACACAAGGTGCACGTGTAAAGCATCGCCGAAGCGGTGCCGAAGGTCGTCGGGCGTGCCAAGGGCAAGCATACGCCTGGCTAGAATGCCAGCACGGCCCGCCAATGCATCGGCCTCTTCCATGCTATGCGTTGTCAACAGGATGGATCGGCCAGGAACTGTTGCCTGGAGCGTCTTCCACATGACTCGCTTAGCTGCAGCATCTAGACCTGACGAGGGCTCGTCGAGCAAGACGACTCCGGGGTTACCCATGAGGGCAATTCCCAGACTGAGCTTGCGCTTGTTGCCGCCCGAGAGAGCCGCTGCCATGCGTGTGGAGAAGGAACTGAGACCTACGGCCTGTAAGACGGCAGTGACATTGTGTTCGATGTCAGGGATGCCTCGAACTTGAGCGTAGAACTCGAGATGTTCTCGAACTGTCATCTGATCTAGAGCGTCGATTTGGGGACAGACGCCAAGGTTTGCCCTCGCACCCGCCAGATTCTTTGTCACGGACACACCTTCAATGGAAATGTCGCCGCCGTTTAGATTCGGCTTCAGATCGCCTCGGATCAGCGATATAGTAGTGGATTTACCAGCTCCATTGGGACCCAATAGAGCAAAGACCTCGCCACGCTTAACACCAAAGCTAACGTTATCCACGGCAAGGTTCTTGCCAAACGATTTGGTTAAATGCAAAATCTTTAGGCCATCATCCTCCGCGGAGCTCGTGATTCTAGCCACTTCCTTGCCCACCTCCTCATCGGGCAGGGCGGAGGCTTCTGGATGTTTATGGCGATTAAACAAAGCTCTTGCAGAAGACCCTACATTACCGCCATCGAACCAAAGTAGGAGTCCCAGCAAGATGAAAGATTGGATGATAAGATAAAGAATGGGGCCTCCGTATTGTTTGATGCCACCGGGGTTTGTGGAAAGTTCGTTGCCGTCGCAGGCAGTCGAGAAAAGGTTGGTCGCTAGGAATAGAGCCCTCGTCGCAGAGCCGATGGGCATGAATGCCGAGATCACGTAATGACAGACCAAAAGGGTGTTGTCGATCTTGGAGACCTCGACATACGTGACGACACAGACATAGGCGATCAAATAGCCGAGGAAGAAAACCGCTTGCAATGCAGCCGCCCAGGCAAACGTGGCAAGTTGAGATTTGGTGAACAGAGATACAACGTAGGCCACCAAAATGGAAGCCAGGCCGTATAGGAAGAGGACCACAAAGATGTACTCGATATGGAACCAAATGTTTGATAGCCCAGCCCATAGAGCGGTAACAATGGCGGCGCCAACAAGGGCCATGGAAAAATCAAATAGCAGATAGGCCATCCATAGCGGAAAGGGTCTGACACCGTTGGAATACTGCAGACTGCGCACAAATTTTCTGCGTTCGTTGCTAGGATACAGGGCGAAGAATGCGGGATAACAGGCAAGTGCTAGCCCCATATAGATGACCAAATTTAAAGCCTTGCCAATTGTAGGATTGTAAGGGACATCAAAGGAGGACCATGATGTTGCAATGGTAGTATTGGTGAGTAAGACGTCGAGGAACTGCTGCGCCGTGAGTGGGCTCGTGACGAACAAGTTGGCAACCCACGCAATGGTGGGGTTTGTGGTGCTATCACCGAGCCAGAGACCCGTAGTCACGTTTTCATAATTGTCTTTTACGAACTGGTTGAATTCATCAAACGAGTCAACAAGGTGAAGGTTGCCAAGAGAAGCTGCGGCAATGTTGAAGATCGGACCAGGGGTGCCAGCAAAGACGGGCTGGAAGAGACTTGAAACAAGGGATAAGTTGAATTTGTCAGATGGCCCGGCAAGGAAAACAAGGTTCTCATCATCGCCGATTTGAGTGAAAGCATCTTCTGTATCAGAGGTCGAGGCTTGATCGCTGGGTTTGCAGCCTGTTGGGCCATTGCCCTTCACAAATAGAGATGTCAATCCCGCCGCGGCAATTGGAAGTACGAACGCAACAGCATAGAGAACCCAATTCCTCTTCAAGATTGTCCAGCGCTTCTTGAACAAAATAACAGCTTGTTCGAAATACCCCACTCGCCTGCCGTCGAGAAGCTTGAGGCCAAGACCCGATTCCATCGGGGGGCTGCTGTAGCCTTGCGAAGAGCTGTTGTCATCTTTGACTGGCATCTTTTCAACGATCGTCTCTCGGAAAACTTCTTCATCCTTAATCTCCTCGGCAACCTGCAAGAACACATCTTCTATGGTTGGGCCAGAGAAGCGGAAGTCGGTGATATTGGCCTTCTGAAGCGCCTTGATAACCTGGGCCGCTAGATTGGACGTAGGGGCAACATAGGTTATCAGATCAAAGGCGTCCTTCTTCTTCACACCGTCGATAGTGGGCGAATCTTTAATGTCTGGGTTTTTGTGCACGTTAACTCTGTAGCCGCCTCCGAGCGTATCTTTTAGTTCGACGGAAGAGCCCTCAGCCCGCAGTGTTCCCTTGGATAAGATGGCAATATGATCAGCAAGGAGATCAGCCTCATCCAGGAAATGAGTAGTCAGAATCAAAGTCCTCTTTCCTCGCTCGGCCAAGAGAATGTCCCAAAGCTTCCGACGAGACAGCGGGTCAATACCACTGCTCACTTCGTCCACACAGCAAACAGCACTTCCACCTGCCAACATCATTCCCAGCTGTAGCTTTCGTTTTTGGCCTCCAGATAGGGTTTTCGCAAGAGCCTTTCGTTTATGAGGGAGGTCAATGGAATTGATCAGCTCGGTGATCTGCTCCTTAGTCGCTGGCGCGTTTGGTGACTTGAGTTTGTCGAATATGATGAGATGCTCTTCGACAGTTAGGTCGTCCCACAAGACATTCTTTTGCGGCGCAATACCCATACCACCCTGCCCATCAATCGTGATCAATCCACTTGTTAGTTTATTCAGACCAGCAATGGCATCTAGAGTTGTGCTTTTCCCACTTCCATTAGCACCCAAGAGGGCCACAATTTGGCCTCTCCTAACGCTAAAGCTGAGGCCGTTGACCGCCACAACAGGCTCCTTTGGCTTGGATCCCAATGCAAACAGGCGCGAGAAGAAGCTAGGCTTGTAAATTTTGGTGAAGCCATCTAGCTGGATGGCATTATCGCCAAGGCTGTCATCCCCAGCTCCCAAGATCTTGCGACCTTTTGTTGAGGTACCGTAAAATCGCTTTTCGATAAGTGCGGCGAGAAAGGGGTAGACAAAAATGTGAATGATCAAGAAGATCCAAAGAGCAATGCCCGGAAGCTTCCAGGGGCTGCCCGGAGCTACCTCGACAAGATTGGTAGCTGTGTCTTTTCTCTCAAAGCGAGACATGAGCGTGATGAAGTAGACATAGGCGCAGGGCGAGAAGAGCAGCGACAGTATCACTACGGGCCCCGTTGTGGGCTGTGTCAGGGACTGCGACAAGATACCAAGTAACAGAATGGCAAGAATAGCGGTGATGCCGCTGAGCTGGGCCTTTTTGAAGAAAGACGCAAACAAAATAGACATGGAGGCAATGGCAAGACCAGCGGTGATGTGGAAGAGAAGGACAATACCAAGACTAGTGTACGCAAATACACCATACTTCACAATGATGGATCCTATAATCCACGCCGGAGCATATATGATGGAGAAGGAAAGATGGTGAGAAATGATACGAGCCGCCAGCGCCATCCACGGTTTGCGAACAGGCATCATCGCATCTACAAGTTGCGACATGCCAGTCTCACGCTCAGTGGCAATGTGACCAGTCAAGTGGTATGAAATCCAGATCACAGAGGCAATGAAGGCAACTCCCATGAAGCTTGTGATGGCCTTGTGGAAGATTTCCCTTACCTTGATCTCTCTCTGTTTCTGAGTCATGCTGGTGTAGGGCATCTCCTGGGTGTTCGCGAGAGTCTGAGGCGCGCTGGTGTGGTTCATGCCAACTATGATGCCGTCGATGGTACGCTGAATAGGCAAAAGGTAAACTTCCTCGGGATTATCGCTCTTGTCCACATTGATCTTGATGGGGCTGCTCGTCATCTCAGCATCCGTGCGAATGGTATAGTTCCAGATGCCCCCCTTTCCCTCGTTTGGTGAAGACCGCATGACGACAGCCCCAAAACAGGCCGTGACTCCCCGTAAGCTACTCCGACACTCGGTGAATAGAGTATCTTCGCTGCTTGCCCTGACGATGTCGATGCGAGGGCCCTGCTCCTCGATTTGCGATTGGAGCGAATCCAGCACCTTCTCTATATTGCCCCCTGTGAATCCGTTATCGATCAAAACGATTTTGTCTCGCCCGCTACCGAAAGCGTCGTCGAATGCCTGCGAAAGAGACTTGATGGGATGCACCGACCCGAAGCCATATATCGCAGGCGGAACAAACAGGTTCTTTGCGAAGCTGAAGAAGGCGGCCAGGATGATGGGCACGAGGAAGGCCATGACAATGACCTTTGTAGGATGGCGGAGTAGTACATGTCGGAAGTTTTTGGACATCAAAGTCCGGACTTGTTTGATGAAGGCCATGGCGACGAATGGCGAGCTCGATGGCCGTGAGCGATGGGGAGCGTATTTAGGAATCCCCTGCGATCCTTGTGCGCTTCACCAACATGTAGTGGAATCCCGGCTTCAACAGAGAGAGTTAAAGAGAGAACCAGACGCACTTAATACGCTCGCCAGCTACAACCCGTCGAAGAAAACAAAGAGAATATGAAAGATGAGAGTGAGAGGTTAGTGGCTGCGTGTGTCGCCTCTGCGACCCGCGTCCATAGGTTAAGCTCGTGCTGGCGCCTCAGATATATCCTCCATGAGATGGCGTGCAGCTTGGTTTGCTCCAGGCAGTGGCGGAAGCAGCAGATGGGGAGGCAAAGTGCCGAAACGCCGTGGCGTCAAAAATCGGCGGTACTCTGGGAGACGAACGAGGGACTGGGCAGTGCGAAGAAGTCAGTTGAGATGAATGGGCCGATGCTCTGCGTCTGGCTTTGTTGGCGATTGGAAAAAGACAAGCCCCATACGGAGTTCTTTAGTGAGACTCGGCATTGACCAGGGTGCCGGTTCTTGGCTTAGCTCATGTGCCTTGGCCGATCTGCTGCTGCTTCCTGCTTTTCTCAGCTGGCGATGCCACTGGCCCAAGGTCGAGATCGCAGCAGCAGAGAAGAAGATGGCAAAAAGAGGACCAGAACTACCTCTGCAACGCACCAAGCAGCCACCCGGGGCATCGCGCCGTACCGCTTCGCTTGGCTTGAACGCCTCGATAAAGTAAGACAAAAACAGCGTAGGTGCAATCCCCACAGTTTACGCGGAGGGTATACGCGGACGCTATAAAGACGCCCGCCTCGGGGAATCGGTCAAGGGGTGAGAAAGGATCCGAATCTGCAGTAGTTCAGGAATGAGGCAGGCATCGGAGAGACTCCGTGCTTTGCAGCTGTTTGTAGTGCTGCAAGATGTCCCACTGTATACCCAATCAATATATCTCAACAATAGATCCAGCGAGTTATAAGGCTTTAAATTACATATTGTTCAAGAAAAGTGAGTAAATAACACAGAGCTGAGCACGAGCTCCACACCCCTTCGGGCTTAAAAGCCGGAGCTCCGTATTAGACCGACAAGCCTACCTATTTATAAAGGATCACAAAAGCCACGGTTTTAAGCTTTCACAGTGTCCACGATGCTCGCCCATCCTGTTGGGGCAAACAAATAAAAATTGAAGGAGGCCTCATGTAGAGTCTCTCCGCGTATATGCTGGTTTAATTCTAAGCAAAGAGTTCAATCTTCACATTCCTGCACCGACTGGTTACTGGCACTGGCACTGGCACTGGACCGGGATTCGGGAAGACGTCGATCCGACTTATATTGCAGCCTGCGCGTCCAATCCTGCTGAGCCTCTTTCTTTGTGCCCATGTTTATTGCTGTCCAAGGCAAATGGGTATTGTTGCTCGAAAGGGAGTAGCTTCTTTGCAACTTGCATTAAAATTGACTTATTGTGCTCCGTATTACTCCGTAGGCCAATAACAAAACAAAGAAAAAGCTTGGCCAAGGGTTACCTAATTAAGTTGGTCGTGTTCTTGTTCGAATCGAAATTTTGATAGAGCTAGCTGGTTCAACTTGCATCGATAGCAACAGAAATGAAAATATAGGCCTAGAACGTACTTCCAATATAGCCGAAAAACCAAAATCCAGCCCAAGGTGGATATTTGGTCAATATATATTATATGTATATAAAAGTTACATGGTCATGGGTTGTATATACTTTCGTTCATCATTCAACCAAAAATCCACCGCCCCCTTCAGCATCATCATCATCATCGCCAACCAAAAATCCACCTCCTCCGCCATCGTCCCCATCGTCAACTACCATGTCAAACTCGTCAGTCTCGTCACTTTCTGCGCCCTTTGCCTCTGCTTCTAGTTCTGCTTCTCTATCCGCTTGCTGTCTCTCCTCTTCCCCTACTCCGCTCCAGATTCTTTCGCGGATCCTCAGGCCCATGAGGAAACGCCTCCAGACCTTCAGCGCAACATATCGTCTCTTCTCTTCTTCCACCTCTTGCTCCAGATCGATCATGCCCTGGATGCTGGCACGGACAGCCTCTTCAAACTCTTTTGCAATGACAACTCCTTTTAACACAGCCGTGCCCTGTCGCCCCTTGAATTCAAACCCGGTAAGCGCTGGTGCGCAGTCAATCCCTAAAACATACGCCGCACGCCTAGCGTATTCGTCTGCTATATGAACGCCGCCTTTGGGGATCATGCTGGGTACATATACCTCAATGTTTCCAAACTTATTTTTAGGAACGCGTCCGTTCCGTACCGGCGCTGGCTCGTATAGATATGTTTGGTCCATTGTGTAAATTGGAGTCCCCGCATCGCCATCTGCATCTTCATTTTGCTCTTGGTCGTCAAACCTAGACCTCTTATTTTGCACTCGTTTGGGTAGCCACTTGGCAGGAATCTCCATAGGCTTTACTTCACGGCCAAGTCGGAACCACTTTTCGGCACTCCTCGCCATTCGTACATCCTTTCGACGGAAGACCTTTTCCAGGGGCGCCCTGGCTCCAGCTGCAACCGTTCCAGACGGTACAGCCCCTGGAACGAGCACTTCGTGTCGGCGAAGGTGGCGCTCTAACGCATATACGGGATGATCCTTAAAATCCTGCACATTTCTTGGCATTGGTTCTCTCGCCTCGACTCCGGCTAGCTCGTTGTCTTCGATCTGGTCTAGATCGCTAGGAGTTTTGGGTCGATACATCTTCATAACCTTATTCCACCATCCCTTGCCATCCTCCAACGCAGTTTCTATGCGCAGCTTTCGCGTCTTTGCCGTATATGCTTTCGCATACCGTCGAGTAACATCCTTTGCAGTACCATCTGCATTGAATGCAATGACGTAGCTCAAGGAATTCTCTTTATCCGTGATGGGAGGCTCAAAGATCTTTGGCTTCCAAAAAGAATTCATCACCACAGGGTCTGTGGGCTGCCATTTTTGGTGTCCAACATCTAGTATTTCCACCCAGTATACTGGATAAGGTGATTCGCGTATTCGCGTAGGCGCTTCGAATATTTGGCGAGACCTAGAAGGAGCTGCTTTGGGCTCAAACTTGTAATCTGACGCATTTGGGTGTCCTAATCTGCGCCTAGCAGTAGAAGGGCCCGCGGAAGCGGCTGGTGAGACAGCGTTTGCCATTTCTCTGTATTTTGCCACCTGAGACAACATCTCTTTGGTTTTGGACACTGACTTCGGCTTGGAGCTCTCTTTCGGTTTGGGTAGTGTGGGTCCTGCAGAGCCAAATGAAAGAGGTTGCAGCGAACATACAAGTCGTGCACGAACACCAACGCTTCTTAGTAAAGCACAATAAAGCTGAGCTCCAACATCCCGCGAGCCTTGGAGAGTCTTGGCTGCTTCTCTAAAATCTGATTTATCCAGACATGAGTCCATATCACTGGGAGGCTCGTACTAAATAAGATGTCAGAGACGATTCTCGAGCCATCGGGAACAAGATACGTACGCTACTAAGATGGTCCACCTCTTCTGCCCACAGCGACCTTCTCATGCCATGCTCTGTAATCTCATATTTTGTCGTCCACATCTCTGCGACTTGCTTCAGCCCATTTTTAAGGCTTTCAGTTCTTCCGAATTGCGAAAGATTCGTTCCGGGAGTCAGATATTGAATCATCTTGTCCGTCAGGTGAGACCGAAGTTGAGCTTGAACTTGAGAATCATTGCACCAGTGATTCCGCTTCGCCACATGAGATAACAAACATATCAAATGAGCTTTGTGAATATCCAGTCGGCGCTCTCTCTCTTCTTTAGTGAGGGGCTTTCGTCTATCTGCTGCTTGTTTCGACGTCATTGCAGATTTTTGTGCCGAGAGATTGAGCTCCAATTCCCTTGGTTCTTGCGATTCAGAATCTCCATCTGTTAAGGGCATCATTAAATCGACATCCTGAAAACGCAAATCTTCGTCTTCGTCATCTTCCTCCTCATCTGACCCTAGTTCAACTGTTTGAATAGTGGGTTCAGGAATAGCAACGTCTTCAAATTCCGCATCATCGTCCTCGTCTTCATCCTCTTGATCGAGGACACTTTGCCGACTAGATTTGGAAATTGAAGTTGCAGCCAATGGTACTGGCGTCGGCTCTGCTGTCTCTGCTGCCTTCTTATGCGACGGAACACCTTCACGTCTTCTCTTCAGCGGCCTCTCTGGTGAGCTTGCGGCCGGCGCAGCAACTCCAGCTTCAGCCAGCATCTCTTGATATATGTTTGGCTCATCTCCGCCAGTGGAATTCGCTTGTTGCCGACCGCCCCTCTGGGGGACGTTGCGTTTTCTTCTAACCATTCTCACATGACATATTAGAACTTGGCGTTAATCCAGGTTCACTTCACTGCAGGCGCACTGTATATCCGCGATCCCATCTACTGCGTCATGAGGATCCACGCGAGTGGCGGCGCGAAATCACGTGCTTCTTAATGGGCGATGACTAAGCCTTTGCTCCAGTGCTTTAAGATCGTATTCGAGATCGTGAACAGAAACACTATGGCAGCACTGTGCAGGTGTATAATCTCTGTCACCGTGGTTTATCTTCGAAGCAAGTCTATTCACCTTCATCGATAAACTCTGATTTGGCAGAACTAGACGCAGATGATACTCAGATTTTGCGTTTCTCTCCGAAAAAGGCCACCGCCTCTAAAAGTGGGAACATGACCCTAGTAATTATTCAGGAAGGTAATTTCTTGTTATATTGCGCAAGAAAAGAAAAAAACAACAGCACGCATGAAATCTAGAATATCTATCACTGATAGACCCCAATAAATATACTTCCTTGCTATCAATAAGCCCAGGATCCCACGGTGATTTCTTGGAAACTCCATAATCACTCAGTTAAAGTTAACAAAAAAAAAAGTAAACACAGCAAAGTACATGTGCCATACAAGCAACGAAAGACCACCACGATATCAACGCCAATCAATACCAAATGCGCACCTCAAACTTATTTATTTTGTCAACCAGCCCAAATAATCAGCAACGATGAGTGTTACCATCCTAGACGATCATCAGCCATTTGAATCTCAACCTGTACAAGCTTCCAGGGAATGATGGAGTCAAAACTTACGCATGAGGGGCAATGCGGACATAGTACGTTCCAAATCCTCGGTAAAACCTCAAGACGCCCTCCTGTCTAGCTACCTTGGTGAAGCAATCAGCCATGCTCTTATAAGGAAGCTTGCCGTCGGGACCCTTCTGTTGCTTCTGCAATCTCGTCTTGACAAAGTCGAATGGGAGACTGAAAAAACTGGCGAAAAAGCCCGCAATGGCACTGGCGCTAAGAGTCTGGGCTCGGGCAGACAAATCCGTGTTCTTCTTCATCTGGGCCTTGGCCTCGCTGAAGAAGGCGAGCTGACCAAAGTTGAGAGCCATGGCACGAACTACAGTTGGTGCGGCGCCAGCCCAAAGAGCAGCGATACCTTCACCCTTGGCAATGGAGCCTAGTGCGTCCACAACTGACTTGTAGTTCTTTCGCTCTGCAATAGGTTTTAGGCCATCGCTCTGCATTCGAATAAGCGCCAGATCTGCCGGGTTGCCAAGCATGGCTGCCAAACCACCAGCTGCCAAACCGGCAGTTGCGCGATCTGCGAAGCCGATGCTTCGATCCTGAGCTTTTGCCCGTTCTGCTAGTCTTGCCATGAAAGTGTCGAAGAAGCCCAGTCGAGCGGTTGTGTATACAGCCTGCCGAAGAAGGCCGGCAGATAGACCAGTATACAGGTCGAGGGCCTTTCCGCTAGAGATGATCTGTCGAGTGACAGATAATGCGGTTGGCTTCGGCCCTCCAGAGGTGCCCTCGCCAGCAAGCTGGATGCGGACCTTTACCATGTCGACTGGCTGGATTACGGTGGTGGCTACCATTCCACTGATACCTCCATTGATGAAGGGCAGAGCAGCTTTCATGAATGGAGTGTGGATAATGTCGGATGCCTTGGCAGCCGTCTCACTTCTCTTGACGGAGTTCATGACGTCTGAGGTCCTTGACCGAACGGACTCTGCTGCTTGCCTGATGGAACTCATTGCGACGGCAGCGAAGAGCTAACTTATAGATATTATAGTTTTATATTATGTCTCAGGTAGTCCGGATCGGATCTCGCCAACGGAGGACCCTGCCTGCCTGTTTCTTTGATTGACTATGGCATATTAGTCAAGCCCAGTAAGCATCCATATTGTGGCAACACGAGGGACATTATGAGTGGTATAATAGGAGGCACAGGGTATGGACGGTGGAGTAGAGGCATTAGAGTCTGGATTCGGGACTGTGATCCCGCCATCGGCCACTTCTTCTCCCTAAGCTCGACGGCAGGCCGACAGGAGCCGGGATGATACCCGAGCTTGAGGAGCTTGGAGGGGCTTCCGATCGGGAAGTCTAGGAGTGGGTTCAGAGTGGCTCCGCTAGCCGTCGCAGATTGGCGGGCGAACAACTGCTAACAAGAGGAGGAGAGAAGGCCGGAAACGAAGGTGCACTCACCAAATAACTCCGCGTTGAAGTGCCTTTTCAATACTGGACCCTGTTGGACCCAATGCGCCCCTATTTAAGTCGTGCACACGAGGGCCGAGCCACTGGTGGGGAGGGAGGGAGGGGGGTTGTTGAAAGCCGGGGGTGATGGCAATGGCGATGGCGATGACGATGGCGGGGGCTTACAGCTTGAGCGAAGCTGATATCCAGATGCCTTGCCCAATGCCGAGAAGAAGTGGTGCTTTGCTGGCTCAACAATTCAACGCTGTCTTGAGCCCGGATTTGGAATGCGCCGGGGCAACTGGTTGACTGATTACGGAGCGCAGATCAAGTGTGAGACGTGATGGGATTCAGATACACCACAGGATGAGACCCGGTGTACACAGCACTATTTGCGCAGAGATTGAAGCGACGGAGGAGATGGCAGGCAAATCTGTCACGAAGGTGCTGTGAAAGTTTCAAAAGGAAGCAAGAACAGAACAGCCGGCCAGTCGAGCATTTAATATCTAGTGCACGTCGTGGCTGATCATACGCATGGCAGCCGCTCTTGTCCACTGGCGACCCTCCATCATGTGGCGAGGAGACGCTCACCGTGCGGAGAGGCAACCTCGTTGGAGAGGAGCAACCGCCTCTAGGCTCTCGGTATCCCGGATGTCCAATTGCGGGGGAAGCATATGATACGTCCCCAACATGGCGACGGAGCAACGGCCAACCACCAGAGCGTGTTAACCTTGCTAGTCATTGCCTGTGCCTTGCGTGGCGCTGCGCCGGCATCTGGTGCTGGCCGATAAGCATTGTCTGCGACAACTCATGCGCCAGCAGAAGTGGCCATTGTGATGGAGCGATGATGAATCGACCGCGGTGGCAGTTGAAAGCACATGGCGATGCGAATCCAATACATACTTTGGACATGCAGCTTGGTGCACGAGCTGCAAAACCGGTTTAGGCTCCGTCAAACATCCAGCGAGCTCCTTCCTGGAACGCTTCCCTGCAGCCAGCTTTTTCCAAGTGCTACTGTATGTAAGTATTACGGAAGAGCTTGCAGGCATGGCTACCTTTGCCGGGACAATGATTGCAGCAGCTTGCATCTGGCTCTTACACGCTCGCTTCCGCGTTGTCAAGCATCAAACACACACGGATGGACGTCGGACGCTGGTGATTCTTTGCTTGAGCAACGATGCCTGCATATCATCGCTAGCGCACCCAGCACACGAGAATCTTCAATCCCAACAGGCTTCATGGCGTTCGACTACTGAATGGGCTGCTTAACTCAGTGCTGGCGTTGCTGCACGCGTACATCACACACAGAAGAATGCGGGGTTGCGCCATGTCCTGCTTTCAGGCATCATGGCTTAGTCCAGGAGTCCCTCCAGCCGATGCGACGTCACTCGACTTCACTCCAGGCGCAAGGTCGTCAGCCACGCAGCGAGCTCCGGAGCTTTTTCGTGGTAGCCCGTTTGCTTCTCATTGGGCGACTGGCGAGAGATTTGCTGCCATGATTTGGCGGATGGGCGACGCTTCACATGCCTGGTCCTGCTGGCATCGCGACCAAGTCTTGTTTTCCCAAGTCTTACACATGCCTCATCAATGACGTCTCCGTGGGTTTCTGCTATCTTTTGTCTCCTATCCGACTGCCGGGTGGGCCAGATTCCTGGAGCCCACCCGGGTTATGGAGCAATCCCCAGCAAGGACGCGCTGGTCCGAGCTTCTTGCATCGACTTGACGCTGCTGTGGAGTCTTTGGATCGCATCCTCGCTGGCTAAATGGCGGGCTTTCGAGCAACCGAGAGTCATGACAGCGTTGAGTAAAGCCGGCATCCAGTCAATCCATTGCACGTGTGTAAGCGATGCACATAGGGGACAGTACTGTAGCGTAGTGCTGGAATTTTTTTTTTTTTTTTTTTTTTTGTCTCACCGTCCACCAGCTTATCTGCAACAGACCAACTAGCAAACAACAAAATTAGAAGCCATATCGCCATTCTAGTATAGCGCCATCTACCACTATGAAAAGGGCCCCTTCTTTGTATGTACTTCGTATCTGCGGGGAACCTCATTCGGTTCCTTTTTTCCGCGAACTGCTAGCAGCCAATGCCTCGGGAAGCGGTATCTCTATCCGATCAGATCAATTAATCCGTACATATGCGCCTCCATTCCAATCACATTCTTCCTTGTTCGTTTCAGCTCGTGAAACTGATGCCGGCTCATGTCTGCGCTTAAGCCTTTTGGCGATAACAATAGCCGTTGAAAGGGCGTGGCCACGACGCTACAGCCGACAATTCCCGATATCTGCGATCCGAACTTGTTACCGCGTCCAAGACAGTTCATTAGCCAAGATGCTAAGATTCTTCGACATCCAGATTCACCCATTGTATCCGCGTTCGGAAAAGCCTCAATCCGTATCCCACTTGTCTCTCTAATTGCCGGCTGCTGATAGGCTCTCCGGTCTCGCTACTCGTGTTTAACGTGCATGCCCAAGCTAACAATCGCGGGACTGAGCTCCGCTGTTATCTTAATTCGATCAGTGGACGTCTCAAATCTTATATCGGATACCGAGTCCTAAATCTCGGTTTCCGCACCGGCAGTGATTATTCCTTAAACATTTTGCTCTCAACTCCATTATCCCCATTATCTATATCCAATTGGAGCGTAATGACTCGAACATTCCACTAGCCAAGTCTTGCTGGTGATAGACCGCTATTTTCTGTGTTAGCTTCACAGTCTTATCTTCACAGTCAAGTTATATCAAAGCGTTGGCACATTGTGAAGTGACGGCGACTACCTCTGTCGTTTTTTTTCTCCGTATACTCAAAGCCATATATACTCTATTGTCTACTAGTCTAATACAACGAGGGGAATCTTAAAAGTCGTCCACCGTCAATCACAATGACAAGTCCGTTGCAGTAGGCCCCTGACTTTGAAATCAAATATAAAATGGTTCCAGCCATGTCCTGGTCGTTACCCATTCTCTGCAAGGGTATGAACTGCGCTGGCACTTTGCCTGGGGTATCCGAGTTCTCGTTGAAGCGGTTAACGATGGGTGCGGCCAATTCGCTCGGGAACACTAAGCGGCAAATGTCAGTCGGTATCCGAGGTTATCATGGCAACTCTACGCCGATGGCGGAAATTGATATTACTTACATCCCGGAGCAATGCAGTTTGTCCTGGATAATAAATGACTCGTCAGCTATCTGAAATCCCCTTGCTCTATGGCAAAGGCGTCTAGACGACGACGTCACTTACCTGATATTCCATCGTGGCAGTGCGGCCGAGAGATGCTTGGCTACGTGTGTTGCAGCCGCTTTTGACTGGCCATAAGCCCAGCCTCCTGGTGCGGCTTTGTTGAAACTGGCAATGGAGCTGGTGACAATAATCTGAGAGCTTTGCTCCAAGTTGCCCTTCTTGTTTCCTGCATCCAGAAGCTTCACAAAGGCAATAGCGGTATACCAGACGGCACTTGTGTTCACCGCAAAAGTATTCGTGTAGTCTTCAAAGCTGATGTCCCAGTTTGAATCTGCCCACTCCTCAATCGACGTGTCGTCCTGGATCTGGATGGACTGAGGCCCACCAATACCTGAATTGCAGACCAAGACATTCAGATAACCAGTGTCTTGCTTGATGAAGTCGACAGCCTGCTGTAGGCTTTCCTTGGAGGTCACATCACACTTGACAGGCACCACATTTGGGCCCAGAGAAGCAGCAGCAGCTTCTAGCACCTCCAATCGGCGCCCACCAATATAGACCTTGGCCGCACCATTTCTTGCCAATGCTCGGGCCATCATCAGACCGATGCCTACATAAAAGCGACGAGTTAAGATGTCGTATTTCCTTGAAGAAGTCTGCCTGGTCGAATAAAACAGAGAAGATTCATCACATCAGATGCTTACCAGTTCCGCCGCCTGTAATGAAAGCCACGAGTCCATCGACACTGAACAGGTTGTTGGCCACAACGGCCTCATCAAGATTTTGAGTTGCCATAGCGTTTAGGAGATGAATTGGAAATAATGAGGGCCGGATTCTCAGCTATAAGATTTCTAATTATCCGGTTACCCTTTGCGTGATGCCTGGAGAGTTCTTATTCGACCCCTCACCAGAAGCTTGGTAATATATTAGTCCCCATTCCCCACCATCTTCAAAGTCGAGCAGCTACTATCTCCGGTTTCGTTTGTCTTCAGACATCTATACACTGTACCAAAGCGAGAAAGTAGCGCAGCATTACCACCAAGTAGCCAAATTTAACACAGTGTTAATTCCAGACGCGCACCACGCTAGCAATCTTGAACAGGGGTCTTGGATTTTTTTCGACAATTGCGATCCAGATCTTATCTTAGCTTCAAGCTCCCTGCCCAAGAAAAAAAAAATTGTTGTCAACATGCCCAAACGAAAGCGCTCCGTCGCAGAAACCGTACAGAATAAATTAGAAAAATATCGAATTGATATATTTCGAGCTCTAAGCTCTGCAAAAGTCTATGAGCGAAAGCGCTTCAGCACCAAGCTGCGCGAGCCTGGAATCACAGTCGCGAAGAAGACCAGGTTAGAGCGCGAGTATGGAGTATTAAAAGTATGTTCTGCTGCAAGACAAATGCTCTTTCACAAATGAGAAGGATAGTTTCAGCTAACAGCAATCATTCAAGTCTCTCGATCTGCGGCAAACTGCCCGCCATCACCTGCACTCGAATCTTCTCCGAATCAAGGCCGTAGAAACGTCGAATGACATCCCAGAGGAGCTCCGCGCTGAAGTTCCGCGACCAACCCTTTCTCCGGAAGAAATTGCATTGCAGAATAATGTTATAAGCATTCTATGCAGTGCAAGCTCAACCAGACATGCGCTCGACCGTGCGATTACAGACATCTGCGAAACAATAGGCGTGCCTGTTCCAACCAAGTCGAAGCGTGTGAGAAACAAGAGAAAAGACACAGAAGAGCAACCTGCAGATAGGGAAGACGAGGACAACGATGAACAAGAAGACGACGTGAAGCCTTCAGCCGACTCTAAGAAGAAGAAGGAGAAGAAGGAGAAGAAGCAAGAGACTGCGGAAGAAGACCCTGACAGCGAATCTGAGTTCGAGGGCTTTAGCTCTGATGCAGACGAGCCTAGACCAACGATTGAGGAATTGGAAGGATCTGATCAAGAAACTGCGGTGACAAAATACGATGATCTGCTAGGTGGCTCTTCTGACGATAGCGAGGACGAATTTGACGAGGAGTTGTTGGCAAAGTACCGCGGGACGGAACAGGTCAATCTGGACGATATATCAGTATCCGGTTCAGGGTCCGAAGCTGAAGATGAAGACGAGCAAGACCTAGAATCCATAACCGGCTCGCGGTCGCCCTCACCGTTACCAACGAGGAAGCCAAAGAAGTCAACCGGCGACGACGGCGACAACGACGATGAGAAGCCGAAGCCCGAGACCACGAAAAGTAAGAAGGAGAAGAAGGAAGAGGAGAAGAAGAAGCGGGCTGCCAAGGCGGCATTGAAAGCAGCCCGGCCAGGCGATTCCACTTTCCTTCCTACACTCATGGGTGGCTATATCTCCGGATCTGAGTCCGCATCCGACATTGATGCCCCGCCTAAGAAACGCCGTGGACAGCGCGCACGCCAAGCCATCTGGGAGAAAAAATACGGAGCAAAGGCGAAGCACCTTCAGAAGCAAGCCGCAAAGGGCGGCAGAGATGCCGGCTGGGACATGAAGCGCGGTGCTGTAGGACCAGAGGACCAAGGCCGAAAGCCGTGGAAAAAGGGAGGCCGCGTGCCTGCAGGGGCCGGTGGTAGAGGAGGCTATTCACAAGGCCGAGGAGGAGCAAATGCTCACCAGGAAAGCAGACCAGCCCCTCCGCCCAAGCCAGTGAAGAAGGATAATGAGGGGCCGTTACATCCCAGTTGGGAGGCCCGAAAGAAAGCAAAGGAGCAGCAGAAGGGTGCTGCATTTGCTGGCTCGAAGATTGTTTTTGATTAGCGAAATTATGATGCTGGGATACATATGCCTATTGCATCTGAGGGCACGTCTCGAAGCGATGAGACAAGAGCTACTATAAATAAATAGATCGCGATTGAAGATTTTGCGATGATAATACAAGCTATCTATAGTACAGAGTTTTATGTCGACCCAAATGCTAGTAAAGTCAGTGTACCAGCGGTTGACGATGAATATTCTCAATTGCGTAGATCGTGAATTCTCTTTTCAACACTTTTATACTGCGAGTGCCGCTATATATCAGCCAATGAAGTTGCGGCTCCAACATTCTACATGTCTAGTCTAAACTAGCATCTATTGCTTGCAGACACGATCAGTAATCACTGACAATAAAGAGATAAATCAGCCGCCTGGCTTGCAAGCATCAGATGCATCAATCAACCCATGATGCAGGGGAGCTTAGCTAGGCAGCAAGGCGGAGCTGACAAACCATGCATGTATTGACCACTGCCATGAATAAATGAGACACAAGCCCATCATCAACAACCGGGCTGTAAAACGGTTAACATTTACACGCAGATCTTTAGTTCAGTCCTCAACTGCCATGGCGGGCATCTATACTTTTGTCGGGAGTGGTCAGCATGAATATTTCGCAAAAACAATCACAAAGCCATCTCATGTAAAGACAACCCCCAGAGAGACATTTCATTATAACTTCTCAGATATCCCAGAATCTGTTTTGAGCGATTCGCAGACATTATGCCAGCACTGCAGCGTGTTGCAACTAGAAAGTGTACGCCTGACACAGACCGCCAGCCCCAATCGTAACTACCCTCCAGATTTCGAAGCAGACCCTCCAGAGTTGAAAGCAGATGTTCCTGGGTTTGAAGCGGATCTAGAATATCACCGCAAAGATACCGTTCCCTCGCTTCCACGCCTGGCCGAGTCCGCAGATGCTGGGTGTGGCTTCTGCTGCCTTCTTCGAAACGCCGTAATCCAGCATTTCAAGCGGTATCATTTAGAACGCCTTCCCGATGATACGATCGAGATGGTTCGGATCCGCCATTACTGGAACTTTGGTTTGACGGCGTTTACTGTGTACAGTCCTGCCTTTGATAGACCTTGGCACAGGTATGACTACCTTACTTTTCGCGTCAGTGCCAACTTGAATGGTATGATACACGTTAGCTCTCTTAAACTTTGACAATTCCTCTGACTTGGCGCGGGTGTTCAGATGAATGCGCTTCAGTCTTCGACATCTACACAAAGCGTATTCCAGATAGTGTTATATCGCCAGCCGGCATATTCACATTAAAGAAATGGGTTTTGGGCAGCAAAGAGGAAAAGGCTTCTCTAAAGGCACTCTTTCGGCCTACAAGACTGCTCCACGTTGGGGGTAGAAAGGAGTCGGGTTTGATTCGTCTTGTGGAGACCCATGGATATCCCAACATGGATGAAAAGCCTCAGCAATACTTGGCTCTAAGCTACTGCTGGGGAAAAGATGGCCCTTCGTTGAAAACCACAAAAAGTAACTATGCTCATTTACAAAAGTCCATCTCTTATAGTGCCATGCCCAAAGCGTACCAAGATACCGTGTGTGTTGCACGAGCGCTTGGTGTGAAATATATATGGATCGATGCTCTGTGCATTATTCAAGATGACAGGGGTGACTGGGAAAAAGAGTCCCGAATGATGGCAGAGATCTTTCAAAATTCCTTGACTACGGTTATACTACTCCGTACAGCATCATGCAACGAAGGCTTTCTGGAGCGGAACCCAAGTATCAAGATCAATTACCAAAACCGCCAGTGGAATGTTCGCGGCTCATTTTTTCTTCGCCACATGCCCTTTTCCTATTTAGACGCAGAGTCTGCCATACGTGGTGAACCTAGCTTCTCAAATCGACCAGTCTCGTTGGAACTTCGACACTCACCCTGGCAGACTCGCGGCTGGACATTTCAAGAGGATATGTTTTCAATGAGAAAACTATATTTTGGACAGCTCATGATGTATTGGGACTCTCTCAAGCCTGTCGATATTATGAGAACAGAGGACACAATCATTAACGACAGGTTAAATCGCGTTGACGAGAACGCTGAAACTTCAATCATCCATTCGTCTGAGCCATGGAGAGGTGACTACGATTACGACGGATGGTATTACCCAATGCTCAATTACTGCAAAAAGACTCTTACGTACGAGACCGATAGGTTAGCTGCGGTGTCTTCGTATGCGAAGCTCGTGGCAGGTAAGAGTGGAGATACATATGTAGCTGGCTTGTGGAAGAAGAATCTCCATCGTGGTCTGCTTTGGAAGATAGACAGAAGGCAACGCAGGACTTTCAGTGGGCTGATGAGACAATTATCAAAGCCCTCTGGATACATTGCGCCATCTTGGTCATGGGCAAGCCATCATAGTATCTTGCACTTTGATCTTTCAGATGGCATAATGCAGCCCGAGTGCGAGGTCCTCGAAGCCAAGACAAGGAACTTTGGAGGTGATGCATATGGTCCCGTACGCAATGGACACGTCTCGATCCGCGGAAAAGCCTGCAGAATCCCTGGCGGAAGGCTTCGAATGCTGCCTCTAATGTCCCCTTACCTCAATGTGCAGTGCGAGTGGCTGGCTATGGATGATGAGCAGTACGTCGCTCAGTGTGCTCTCGATTGGAGAGTGACAGATGGTGGCGGTAAGCAGCTGCCAGAGGCAAGTGGTGACTCTGTTGATGCAGTTGAGATGCTTCTCATTTCCAGCAGCTATACGAAGAATGCGAGCGCATTCTCCAGGAAGCCGCAGGAGTGGGAAATCAAAGAGGAGGACCTGCCACTTGAAGTCATGCATGGTATTTTGCTCTATCCGACTGGAAAGTCACGAAATGAATATTGGCGAGCTGGATTGTTCCATTCTTTGGCTGATGAGAAGGGGGGCAGGAAGTATTTTGATGAGTGTGAAGAGCGCACCTTTCGGATTATTTAGGCATGAAAGAGAGAAATATTGGGGAAGTTCTAGTTTGATACTATTCTATCGACTCTGTCTCTGAGATGATTCATCGTAATGAATGGTTGCATTTTATTTAACGAATTCTAGTTATTATAGAGCCGAGAGTGGCTGGATGCTGCTAACCGGGTTTCCTGAAGCATTCAGGCCACTTGTTCCTGGTAGTTGCGAGGAATAAAGGGGGTATTCACTTGCATGTGTACTATTTATTATCTTTCATGGGTCAACAACATATACAACAAACTCTTTTCACTACAGCGCTGGTTTACCTGTAGCTGGGCGGGTAGCATCACGCATTGCAACAACTGAACCCCCCCTCCCTAAATCGAGTCAGGTCCTAGGTGACAGCCTGTTCACGCAAGGCCCGCCGGTTTGGGTGATTGTTCAACTGCGAGGGCTGCGCTCGCTGCAGCCAGCCCCGTGAAGTGACCGGTAACATGGGGATCGGGCCCGATGAAGTTGTTGGGAAATCCAATTTCGAAGGGCTTCACACTCTCCAGGTACTCCACTTGCTCTTGTGTCAACTTGATGCTCAGCGCCTGAATGTTGTCTCTCAAATGCTCGATCTTGCGGCCGCCGACCATGGGAAACACACGGGTCGCCTTGGCTCGTACGTAGGCGAGTGCAATTGCCGTGATGGACTCGATGCCATGTTCTCCAGCAACCTTCTCTAGCGCCTCGCTGAATCTTCTCTCGTCCTCGCTCTGTTCGTTACCGTGCATCGAACGTAGGCCTTCGCCCTTCTTCGCCCGCTCTTCCAACGCCTTCTTCGTTTGAAACTTGCCTCCGCCAAGAACATCCCATGGCGCGAGAGCCATTCCATATTGACGGGCCATTGGGATGATTTCCCTTTCAAAGTCACGCAGCATGATATTCCAGCGACCCTGATAAATGCTAAACGGAGTCTTGCCAAACGCAGCGGCATACTCATTAGCCGCGCTCACAATCCAGGCGGGCGTGTCGGATACCCCCAAATAGAGAACTTTGCCTTGCTCAACGAGAACGTGCAGGCTATCCATGATTTCTTTGATAGAAGAGGTAAAGTCCCACCAATGAACATAGAGGATATCGATCCAATCGGTTTGTAGCTTGAGGAGTGAGTCGCGGACACTCATGTGCATGCTTCGTCGCGAGTTGCCAGAAGTATTAGGTGTCCGCCCTTTTCCAAGGGCGTGTGACTTGTAATCAGTGGTGTATTTTGTGGCAATGACCATCTGGTCACGGTTTTGCCGTGTCGCCATCCATTCGCCGAGCCATGTCTCGGATTCATCATCTTGGTAGCAGTTCGCAGTGTCAATGAAGTTACCACCAGCTTCAAAGAAATAGTCGAGAAGCTTAAAAGATTGTTCTTTATCCATTGAGCCCATAAAGTTAGACCACGAATTACCAATAGACATTGCTCCTAGTTGGAGAGGAGATACACGAATGCCAGCCGTAGAAGAGAGGATTCGATATCTCCCAAGCTCGGTTTTGGGCTCGGGGGCTGGAGCGAAGACTTGGTCCATGTTGATAATCTTGGTATTGTCCTTTGTGATGTTTAATTAATATGTTTAAAACTGTGCAGGTTCTTCTACAAATGAATGGAGAGAGGGGAGACACACAAGCCATTTATATTCATGACTTGCAACCTAGTTGGTGGAACAACCTGACCTTTTGCTTGAGTGAATATGGGACTCTCAGACTATGTTACTGTCCATCTAGTCTACTTTAGTAAATCTGGGATGCTCGGACTATGCTACTCCCTGTCTAGTTCATCGTTGTGACCGATCGACTTTGGTAGTCATGTTCTGAACTAGAAAAGTCATAACCGTAAGTGGCCCCGCTCCGACACTTCTTGAATAACATAATACTGCAATGCCACTCAAAAGAATCAAACTCCGCGATGTCGATGTGCTATATTGATCATTATATCCGGAAACTCCGAGGCAACGGAAGCTTAGAAGGCTATTAATTTCGTCTTTTAGTCATCTCATTGTCTCGGATTTTCTCTAAGTTTTTGGATATTTGCAAATTAGGCTCTCTTCAGCCACATTTCTCATTTTGAAAACGACTTTACTCATATCAATCTTCGTAGGTCCTGGGCGACGCACGAGGCTGGAGTTTGGGAGGTAGTGAAAAAGCTAATATGACAGTAACCCAATATATCGAAACTTGATTAACGCCTCACATGCTCTTGCATACTCTGCGTCTAGTAAATGAATATGTATTTTTGTTCTGTTAGAGGCAAACATTTCTAGTTTGATCGTTCAATTGCAAAATATAGAACTATACGTCCCCTTTCTCCTACAGTTTTGGCTCCAAAAAAAAAGGAGAGATAGTATTCCTCAAAGTACTTCGTAGAATAGTAATTACCTATCTCCAGGATATATATGCGGACTTAATCAAGATCCACCTTGTGGCGCCGCACTAAACAACCAAACCATAGTTGGGCCCGACCACTTCAGGAAAACACCAAAAGTTTTCGGCCGAAAACTAAAGCTTTTAAATACTTTACACATAGTTTATTTACTATTCGGCCGAAAGTTGTAAGGAATAGCTCCGTAGACTCTATCATTCATACCGATATCTCCGGATAGGCGCCCTTCTGAAGAAGTATGACGATTAAATAGATATAAGATGTATGAACAGCAAGTTGTATTTACGGTTTAATATCATTGGTAGATACAACCATCTTCACACCTTAAGCTCAATCAATTTGCCAACAAACTTCAGCCATGTCTTCACCAATCGGGGTCTCGTTTCCATCATTCATGCTCACCATCAGCGGAGAGCTCTATAAGCCCGCCAACGGGTCCCCCAACCGCAAGGGCGCTGCCGTTGTGGTGAGCCACCCCATGACGGGGGTCAAAGAACAGACGGCAGCGGACTATGCCCGAGCTCTATCTTCAGCGGGATTCTACGCCTTGACATTTGATGCTGGCTACCAGGGTGAAAGCAGCGGCGAGCCCCGTGGGCTTGAGGATCCCCACCAACGGGTCGAGGATAACAAGGCTGCTGTTACATACTTGACCACTCTGAAGGGCGAAGTTGACCCCGAGAGAATCGGCGTCCTGGGCATCTGCGCATCGGGTGGATATACCTCGTACGCTACACAGTCCGACACCCGCATCAAGGCTCTTGGAACAGTCAGCGCCGCCTGCGTGGGTCGGATGACACGCAATGGTGGTCTCTTCGAAAGCAATAATAAAGAGTCGCCCGAAGCCATCGCTGGCGCTCTCAAAGCCGCGGGAGACTGGCGCACCGCCAATGCCAACGACACCAAAACTCAAGCACCTCGTATGTTCGAAACTGACGCATCCTCAGTACCAGAGAATGCGCCTTCATTCTTTAAATCGGCTGCCGCATACTATGGCTCAAAGCGCGGCCACCATGCTCGATCCGACCAGCGAGTTCCCCCATCGAGCTACGATTTGATGATTGGATACGACTCGTTCAACTATCAGCATCTCATTTCGCCGCGGCCGTTGCTAATGATTGCTGGCAGCGATGCTGAAACTCTGCACTATAGCAGGACGGCAGTGGAGGGGGCAAAGGACCCCAAGGAATTGTTTGTCATCAAGGGCAAGAATCATTTCGATTTATACGATGATTTATCAGAGTCGGCGCCAAAGCTGGTCGAGTTTTATGCAAATGCGCTCACCCAGTAAACAAAGAATTATAATTTAGTACTCATCTTAATCATCTTCACTTAATTAATCTAGATATTACATGTTGAGAAGGCGCAACTTAATTAATCCGCCTTGAAGAAGCATCATAAACTTACCTTTGCCGTAGTGAGCGCCTCATCATAGACATTGAGGGTAATATATAGGCCGATGGTTAAGATCTATTCTTGCATGTAACACAACCTGTTTTATATATCAATGAAAGGAACTTGCAATTCTGCCACCCCAGCAAGATAACGCACCCTTTTGGCTACGCGACATTTCTTTGTTAGCAGGTTGCAGAACTGAGACTCTTGTTCTAATTAGGCTGAACATTCCCCTAATCTATGCTTACCCTTGTACACGTTTTTACCAACAATGGTGGTTTCGAGCTTCTTTCTCTCCATGTTGCCATTATCTTAATGTTTGTTGACTGAATTTTCATCACTTGTAATGCCAGCCTTACTAAATTATTTTGCTGATTACCTCACGCATCACAGTGAAGTCATGCGTGCTATGAAACATCGTCACCACTGTTGCATAAGGCAAGCTTATGACACCCATGATCGCTGTGTCTCAACCACTGGCTCAAAGCTATTTGCGGCACTTTGTTTCACGTTTAACCCTCCGTCAAGAGAGTGGTGGGCAGCATCTCACTAGCAGCTTCCTTTACGGATCAACGGGCAGTTGCGCTTAAGCTGCGGTCCGATGCGCTTTCTTTGAGGCGATCATCACTTCATCATTACTAGCGCTCGACAGTCAACGTCGCGATCGCCTCGATTATTAGCCACCATGCCTCAGACCTACGTTCGTTCATGGCATCTGACATAACTACACAACTATCCCCGTGCCTGTATTCTTTTTCACTTCAATCATCCATGATTGCATGATTCGCCCATCCCACCTTGGTAACGGGCTAGTCAAAAGCAGTCGTCGCATCCTTGGAAACCCGCCATATTCATAGAGCCTCAACAAGGATCAATTAATACATGTACTTCATGTAACCATCAGCCCCAGCCTCCAACCCCCCCACTGCGCTTATTTTTCAATCTGGGTCAATTACGAGCATCGACACCCACAATTTGGCTTGACGACATTGTTATTCTAACCATCAAAAACGGCGTCCGCGATGGAAGACGTCATGCGCCAATCACCTGCCGATCTCATCGAAACAGAGGGTCACGAGCAGGGATGTCCTCCAATAGCAGTCTATCTCGACTACCCCGGCTTTGCAGCAGCTCACGATCGCAATTAGGGCACATGCGAAAGCGAGTCTGCGGCTGAGCCGAGCCTGCAGGATATAACACCTGCAGAAGGCCAATCCTGTGTAACCAATCCTTCGACCAGTGATGCGGGAGCCATGTCGGTCGCTTCCACCATACCTTTACGACAAGACGTTGGCGAGCTGGAAGCTGGTACATCCACTGCCATGCAAGAGTATAATTCCCATTCGGATCGTGGCTCTGGACTTGAGAGCTACTTCGATCTTGCTCAGGGCCCTACTGCGTCGATCAAAAGGCCTGCTGAAAAGCAAAAGATGGCCTTTGAAAAGACGACCCGCTCTACATCTTCTCATCTGCCCTCTAATATGTCCCGGCGCAGGGCGACAAGCCAACTTGCTTCCCCTATTGTTGATTTTGATGTTGCTACGGCAGAGAAACCATACAGAAAGCGCCAGAGCAGTCAACCAGTACCGGGCCCCAAGTGCTACTACATTATTGATCCCAGAGTCCCCGGCTTAGCTTGGTACTTGGCAAAGGGAAAGGGCAATTCAAATTCACCAGAATATGAAGTTGAAAGCGTACCAGCTTGTTTGGTTCACACCAGGCAGAATCATGTAGGATATCTTATTGAAACAGCTAATCGAGACGAGGTGACCGTCGACGCTGGATATCGATCAGCATCTTGGACTCCAAAATACCAGAATGGCTGGGCTACCGTAGCAGAGCCTCTTCAAGAAAAGGCAAACATCAATTCAGAAACAAAATCCAATAAAAGGGTGAATCGATTTGAAAGAAGTGACGCTGAAAGAGAACCACCCAGCGATGAGTCGAGTGTTATCGTGAACCGCCGCGAGATTCCCCTCATAGCGAAGAGTATCATACGCCAGTTGCACACAATCCGGCCGCAAGAGCGCATGTATACCACAAGCAACAGTGAAGAAAAGGACGGGGCTTCATCATCTGAACAGCGAGATCTCGAGAATATCATCGAGGCTGCCCTGTTGGAATTTGGGAAACTAGCGCAATACAGTGATAAAACCAGGGCTCATGGGGAAGAAATTACCTCCGAGAACAAAACGCCTGCCCAATTCAAGCTTGAAAGCGAGTCTCAGCGCATTAATCTTCGGCCATCTATAGCTGCAGATCCGGCCATTACGTTGAGCATACCTGAGACATCATTTACCATCCCAGACGCTGATCACAAACACAATGTACTCAGAAAAGACTGGAAACGAGGAACTTCGACAGCGACGACGCTAATTTCACCACAAAGCATTACTTCAATCACCTGGACGAAGCATGACGGGCATTTGGAAGAGCCGACTGGGCCTCCTATAACAACAGACAGTCCTTCAGATGAGAATTCTGCCGAAACACGTCGCACCTCATCCTGTCATGGTCACAGTCAAGACCAGAAATTAGAGGCCTCGCAAACCTCTCTTGGGGCTTCCAGTGTCGCATCATCCATGACCTCGTTTCCGAAACTACTTTCACGCCATTGTACTCGAGAATGGATCAAGCCTCTTACTAATTTGGAAGACTTTCACCACAGGCCATCATCTGAACTAAAATACCCAGGATCTGAATCTCGCGCCGATCGCCCTTCCCACGTGCCGTTTAACGAGAGCTCATTCTCAAACTCTTGGGCCGGCGATAGTTTCCAATCTCATGATGCTTCCAGCTATTTTACCAATGAAGCTCATCAGAACGCCCGGCGTTCAACCATATCCCAGTCTCCACTGGGAAACTTGAAAAACTTTGGTAGTCAAATTGGCGCGGCGCGGCACCGCCGTCGAAGTACGGCATCCTACGATTCCAGGGCTCCGGTCTGGGAGGATCAATTTCTGCCAAGTATTCTAAGCAGGTTCTTCCATAACAAAAGTAAAGGAACGCCTGGAAGCCCCGATTCCAAAGAAACGATCCATTCAGGAGCTCTGGCCCCTTGCAACTCGCCGGCTCACGGCCATTATTCAGCGAATAACCCCAGATCTGGAAATGGGTCGTTTCATGAACGAAGCCCGACTGTGTCGGTGGAGGACAGAGCCAGGATACAGGAAGTCCTTGTTGGAGGCCCCGCAGCAATGCACAGGCGCCGATGCGATACGTGTTCTGAAGATAACAGGCCTCACATTTGTGAGGAAGACATGGAAAATAGAGTGAGGTGAAGATATGAAGAGCAAGATTGTACCAACATATGCGAGTAAAATTAGTTTTCCGCACCTTTCCCTATGTTGTATCGTCCGCATAATAATATTAATAATACATCATCATTGAATGATCTTTGTCCTGTTATGATGTCGTGGCCGAATACCAAGTATTGCATCAATGCAGTCTATTCTTCTATTCTCTTTTGTCTTCCGTTCTCAAGAAAGAGGCTATGTTACATATCTTTGCCAAAATTTAGATAAACGAATACGGTGTCACCAAATATATCCTAGTAGACACTACATCAAAGTTTGTTTGTACCAGAAATTTATGAATGAAACCGAAACTAACTAGGTGTACTCCGTATCATGCCAGTATGATGAGAAAAATTGCGCTTTACACCGCCTTTGACGCCCTTGCTTTATTCTCCCGATGTCTTTTCTCCTTCGCCGCCGTCTTCCTGCGAGTCATCCACGACTTATTCAAATCCCTTCTGTTCTCCCAGAACCATTTCTGGAAATCGGTTGTGGCAGAATGTTTTCCCCCTGCAGGGCTTTCATCATCTTCACCTTCTCCGTAGCCTTCTTCCTCTCCCTCCTCCTCTTCCTCCTCCTCCTGTTCATCAGCTGCATCTCCTTCTCCCATGTCTACGTCTTTCTCAGGGGAAGCGCCCCAAAAGCGCATACGTGACGGATGGGCCGTATCTGGAGTTGGGGCAGCACTTCGAGTGTGGCGCCATTCAAAGTCCTGGCGGGTAAAAGGCGTCATGGGCGCGGTGGCTGGTGCGGCTTCGGAGGACTGCTCTTCCTCATCTTCCTCTCCGCCTCCGAAGAAACTAAAGGGCTCGTCTTTGGGAACGGATGTGGGCCCATTGCCGTCGGGTTTCGGTCGCTTATACAGAGCCTCTAGGGGATGTACCTCGACATTTGTTGGTGTCTCGGGAGGTGGAATTTTAATCGCCAAGGGCTTGGTGCTTCCCGGGGCGGATTTAGATCCGCTGGCTTTTGATGAAGATTTGGGTGTTTCCTTCTCTGCTGCTTTTGAGGGTTGCTCTTCCTCTTCATCTGAGTCTTCGCTCTCGCTTGAGTCGTCACTTGAATCATCGCTTGAAGTATCGCTGTCATCGTCCTTCTCCTCGCCGTCAACCTTGCTTGCAACAGGGGGAGTCACTTTAGGAGTTGCTTCAGCTTGCACTTTTGCCCCAGCTTTTACCTCCTTTCCAGACTCTTCTTCAGACTCTTCCTCAGAATCGTTTTCCGATGATGTGCCTTCTGATGAAGTACCACTGCTGCTGGTGCTATCATCTTCCGACTCTTCGGGCTCTGGCTTGGGTTTGGGAGCTTTCTTTTGCCGCTGCGGTGCCTTTGGTTTCTCCTTCTCCTTTACCTCCTCCACGACGTTACCCTCTTCGTCAACCCATCCCTTTCCTTCCACATACTCAGTAGCCTTTTTCCGGTCCGTTGCCACAGAGGCTTTGAGAAAACTGGGAAATTTTGTAGTTTTCTCAAACTCATGGATGACGACCTCTCGTGAACTACCCTTCTTCTTGCTCCTCTTCTTATGCTCCAACTCTCCGGGAGCCAAATTCTTCATCGTGTTCGGCGGCAGCTTTGTCTTCAGCAGGCACTCCTCTCCCTCTGTGTATTTGGACTTTGGTCGCTTTCTCTTCTCTTTCTCTTTACTTTTCTCTTTATCTTTGCTGTCCTTGTCCTTCCTTGCCTTCTTCTTGGTCGTTGTCGGTGTCTCGGTCCATCCTCGCTTTACCTGGCGGTCATGCAGCGCGACGCCCTCCAAAACATCTATCTCTCGCTTTCGTTTCTTCGAACCATCTTTGCCTTCTTTAGAAGATTTCCTTTTCTTCTCAGGGACTTGCTCTTCTTCCCCGGTCGGCTCTATCCGCGCCTCAGGGCGGGCCTTCTCAATCCGCATCTTGCACCCCTTCAGCGTCGCTCCGTTCAGCTTCTTTTTCAACTTTTCCGCATCCGCTTCGGGAAGTTCGACAAATCCGTATCGCTTCTCCGGGAATGTTTCAATCGTGTGGTAGGAGATGTTACGAGCGACCGGGAGCACTGAGGCAGGAAGCACAACCTTGACCAGTTCGGCGTCAAACGGCGTGATGTGAAGGCGCACGAAATCGTCGGAGTCGCCCATTGGGAGCTGCACGAAGACGTATTCGGACTATGCACCGCTTTTTGCAAATTTATCCAAGCGCGTTCCGAAAATTTCACCGTGTTGCGACGCAATTAAGCGCCCGACAAAAAAATATCCTGGAAAGGTGCAAAGTCGACAAGGAGCTTTGGAAATTTTAGCGGGTCTAGAGACAAGAGGACGGGAGTAGGGACTTGGGTTAATCCGCGCCGCTGGTTGCTACTCAGCTCTAGGCATGTATTTTGCTACCCTAATGCTGGCTATAATCTTGCTTTTGAATCTAATGGCTTTGTAAAGAGGTGGTTATAAAGAGATGTTGAATTAATTTTGTTCTCACTATTTTGTAAACTGGGATATAAAAGGCAAGAATTTAAGATAAAATGTATTCATACTGTTCGTTGGAACAACTGCGTTTACACTTACGGACATGCATAAGAGTATTTGGCATTAAAGTCAGATCAAAACCATGCATCTAATTTGCCTCTGACCAAGACGTTGTTCTCCCCCTCTCATAAAGGGAAGGAAAAGCATTGTCAAGAGCCCAAAAAATTATTTACAACCATCAAAATAGTACAGTCAGAGAGTCATTTGCATGTCTATAAAAGCCTCGTGCCACCACCAACTCCATCTTATACCATCATTTGGGCTATCCCAATAAGAGTCCTTCATATAATGTTACATAATTTTACAATAAGTACGTATTGAAACGCGTATGTCGCTCTGTGTATCAGAAAGAAAATGCCTACTCTCTACTCTACAGTGAGCATGCTCGATTACTTTATACATTGGGTGAGAGGAGATCGTATTTGACACATCGTTCCACCTAGACAACCGCAGATTAGCAAAAATAAAACTGATAGAGAGAGACAGAGCCTCATATTGGAGACACTCACATCGTCGACGCTGGCTTGCAGGAATTTTCTCGTCTCCAAGCCCATCCATAACATAATCATCGAAAAATCGCCATGTTTCGCCATCTCTGCACCACTTTGGGCACTTAGCTGTCTCAGAATCGGAAGTGAGCTGCTCAGTAGATCGACATCGGGGTTTAGGCTACGACCAATGCCTTCAAGAAGAAGAATGCTGATGACGACGTTGACAAAGTCGCCCTCTAGACGGACGTGATGATTGCGCACCATGGAAAGGACTTCTTGTAGAATATCACCAATCTTGACGTTGCCAAGTGCGAGGGTGCGGCTCTTCACGCTGAGAACCAGGTGCTGCATTTTGAGAGCAAACACTTCTTTATCGATGACGGCTTCAGGTTGACGACAGCGTTCGCACATTAGATGGCCGGCTTTGTAGCCGTCAAACTCGGCGACAGCTCGGAACAAGGCCAGGAAATTGTCACGGTTGGGTGCATTCAATTCCGTTACAAGTCCCGTGTCTATAAAGACAAGCTGTGGACGATATCCTTCCGCATCAATCTTGGCCAGTTCAGCTTCCCATGCTGCCCTATCCTTGCGGTGTCGGTATGGGCGTAGCCGTTCTAAAACTTGTTCTGTGACATCTAGTTGGTTGTCATCCGAGGCAGGCGGTGATTTAGGCGTTTTAGGAGACCGACGTAATCGAAGATCTGGTTGCGCGGATTGATAGAAGCGGACCATAATATTGCCTGGGTGCAGATCGGCGTGGACGAAATTATCCAGCAGCAACATTCGAAGAAAAGCGTCCAATCCCTCATTTGCAATGTCATGCTGGAAGACACCGCCTCCACTCTCCATGAAGTCTGCGAGAGGTATGCCTTGAGCAAATTCCTCAATAAGGACATTGCGGGTGGTGAACTCAGAATAGGGGAAAGGGAACGAGGCAGTCGTCCTGTCCTTGAAATTCTGCCTGAAAGTCTCCAAGTTGGCCGCTTCTATTCGCAAATCTAGCTGAAGTTTCATCATCTGGCCGAACTGGGCAACTTCATCCGGTAAAGATAGCCATTCAATCGTAGGGATGGCATTAAGCATTGAAGCAAAAAAGCCCATAATCTTCAAGTCTCTCCGCACTATGCGTTCGACTTTGGGATGTAGTACTTTGACTGCGACGTAGGTTGATGGGACCTGCTTTGGAGAGCTTTTCAACACAGTCCTCACTTGTTGCTTTACATTCTGAGATAGCGGCCGTAGCCTCCGCGAATCCGCCTCAAGATCTTGCGGCGTTGCGAGATCAGGCTTGAGCTTTGCTTTGTACACTTGCGCAATTGCACCAACTCCAAGAGGTGTCTCGTAGAATTCGTCAAATATGTCTTCGAACTTACGGCCATTGAATGCAGCCTCAACCGTCTTACGGGTGACATGCATGGAATGAGCCGGAGCATTCGAGTGCAACTTTGACATTGTATCGCACATGGCCGTGGGGAAGATGTCGGTTCTCGATGCCGCCCATTGTCCGAGTTTGATAAACGCCGGGCCTGCCCATTCCATAGATTGCACAAGGAAGCCATACCACCAAAGGGTGCCACTTCGTTCCCCATCTTTGTCAGGATGCCGTCGGCCAAACCAAATTACAGGAACCGAAAGAATGACAGGTACGAAAATAACCATCAGGTGTAAAAGTCTGGCTCCAGTGCAAATTGGCTCCCAGATATAAGTGTCCCAAATTAAGACAATCTTGTGCACAATTCGAGACAGTCCCTGGTCGTCATCGTCAATGGATCTCCGAATTTCAGCTCGGGATGCCTCCAACATACGAGACTCGCCAGTCTCATCAGTGTCTCCATTATCCGTCTGTAATAGCTGAACAAAGGCTCCTGTGCCTAGCGCAGCTGCACCGGCCGAAGCATGCAGCGATATCCGGCCTCTTGGCTTTCCTTTCCATGCTGGCAACCTCGTTATGTGAATCCAATTACATGATTCAGCACTACTCCGATATATAGTTTGGCGCAGCGCATACGGCCGAAACAAGGTGCGCCCGCAAAGCCGGCCAAAGACAAAGCCAGTCCTCATATCGGCGGACTCAATCCCAGGCCGATGTAGGCTACTGTCATAGTCGAATCCTCATGAAGAGTTCTAGCGGTTCAAGCATACCAAAAAGAGGAAGAGAGAAAAAATAGAGCATCGACCCGGAATCACAAGCTTCTCTGCACGAATCCCTGCAACACGGGATTCCGAATTGGTGACGTATGATTGACACGGCGATAATCCGGCTAAACACGTGCCCACTTAGGTGCCGGCCAGAACAAAGAAATGAAGTTTCGGGCTTGGCCGATTTGGCTTAAGAAATTTTTAGCCTCAGATCTCATCCACTCTGCTATTCTCCGAATTTCTCAGCAACTTCTTGCGCATTTGCAGCAAACGAGACTTCGAATTTTTTTTATTATCCTTTTTAATTGTTTAATATCAACTATACCTTTTATATTTCGCAATGGGTTGGTTTTGGGCTGAACCTGCTTCTCCTCCGGCTGGGCTTCCTGCAGGACACCCGGCCGTGTCATTGAACAAAGAGCCTCCGGTATGATTATTGATCTGCGACGCAAATCTAGTAGAAGCTCACGTACAGCAGGCCAGTTGTCCGATGCACCAGAAATCCGCCGATTCTTTCAACCCACACAAGTCTAAGCCCTCAGAGAAAACATCTGCTTCCGGATGTCCCGTACCTCATGGTTCATCATCGCCATCACCAGCGTCAGGATGCCCAGTGCCTCATGGATCGCCACCACTGCCGGCGTCTGGATGCCCTGTGCCCCATGCCGCTCGAGAGAAGGAAGAGCCTAAGTCGGTGCTCTCTCAACTCAACCCTCTGAACTACATGTTCCGAGACCTGTCACAGAAGCCTGCGGCCAATCAGACGATGGCGCTGCCGGTCGAGCGAGAGGAATCTTCCATTCCTAGAGGAGACGGCGAGGGCACGTGGGAGTACCCTTCGCCCCAGCAAATGTACAATGCTTTGCTGCGCAAGGGATACACCGATACCGACATCACGGCCGTTGAGTCTATGGTATCTGTCCACAACTTTCTAAATGAGGGTGCATGGCAAGAGATCATTGGCTGGGAAGAGCGCTTCGCACGAGGACTATACAAAGGATGGCAGGTCTGCAAGCGAGGAGAAGAGCACACGGCCGAAGAGTTGGATCGCAACTGGGATGGATCAAACGTCACCCCAACGCTCATCCGATTCCAAGGCCGACCCAAGGATCTTACACCAAAAGCCACGATGTTGCAAGTCCTGGGCTGGATCTATCCTTCCAAGTTTGGGTAAGATGAAATTTTCTGTTATACCCCAACGAGAACGGAGAATGCTAACAAGAGATAGAACTGATCTCCCCTTTGATCGCCATGACTGGTTTGTCTCACGAAACGTCAACGGTGAAGAAAAAGAGATTCGATACGTCATCGATTACTACTCTGGAGAGCCTGAGCCAACTGGAGAACCCGTCTTCTACCTGGATGTCCGACCTGCCGCCACGCCTCTGGGAAGTGCAGAGCGAATCATCCGATGGAGCACAGACGTGTGGTGGAAGGCTATCGGAGGTGACCAGCGAGAACAGAACCCACAGCCATTCTTTCGCCACAACGCTGTCAAGTCTTGAGCCTAAATGATTAATGTGTCTATGGCGTCTTTATGGCATACAATTCCCTGCTCTTTTAAAATTTCACGATTATGTTTGTATTTGTATACTATCACGAATGGGATAGGCGTTACTGTGTATTAGATATGACCAGTTTGCTGTATATTTAGCTTATATCCAATTCTATAAGTGTTATTTGTGCCTGTATATCTATTTTTACCCTGAATGTGATTTTCACAGCAGCTAGAAACACTTGATCATTGATGTTGTAGCTGCATCATGAAAAGCTAATCAAGAGAGAGAGAGAGAGAGAGAGAGAGAGAGAGAGAAGGGAAAAAGTCATTAATCTTGTATGTATTTAGTTTCGCTTATATTCCCTTCCGAAAAGCAAATGCATTTCTTCCGCTATTTCCGCCACGCTTTATACAATATACCTTTGCATCTACAGAGACGCTCATGTAGAACAGGAGATACAAAACCGTGCTTCCACATTGTATCCTATAAACTCCGAAAACCACCAAAAATGTTGTCCCCCCAGTGAATTGGTTAAGCGGAAGAGGAAAGAAAAAAAAAAGTTGCGTCGAAGGTCTCGTCGCTGTTAGTGAACTCTCTGAGTAGCTCTCATGCTTTGGGGGCAGACAATTGCCCCTTTTCGCTATATATACTTGCTGGTGGCCAGCATAATTCATCTCGAGCTTGGTTTCATGAGTTTAACATGTCTCAGCCCAATGAAAATCAAGTTATAGCTTTGCCTATTTGATGCTCATTGTGTAAACCGCTCTTGTTGCGCTTTTTCTGCTCTGTGATGCTGCAGAACTTCTTCAATCTGTGCTGGCACTGAGATCCATTGGCTTATCCCACAGGTTGCGAAGGAGAGCGGTCATACCATCCTCCTCCTCGCCTCCAACTAAACTGGAGCCACTAAGTCTTTCGTTTAGTCGGCTCAAATCATCTCCTTCGTAGCTCGAGCCTGCGCCATTGGTCTTCACCGAAGCCGTTCGTTTGATTGAAGGTGCTTGGCGTCCCTCGGGCATGCTAATGTTTCGAACATGGCGAGCTGTGGGATCTGTTGACCGTTTGCTGGCTGTCGTTGAGCCCGTGTTGGTACGAGGGATCCTCTTAGTCTTGTCCATTCCCGGGATGCGGCTGAGGCGGTTCAGGGACCTGACAATGGGATTCTGGTGACGCCGGACGACTAAATATTCCATTCCCGTCCGCTCTAAGAGCTTAGTAACACGGGGGTCCCGACTGTTGCCTCCATCGTGTCCTGGATCTCCAATACCGATCAAGGGTCCAGTTCCTACAGCTCCACTAAGACCAGGAACGGTTTGTCCGGGCTCAAGAGAAGAGCTAGCGCGCTGCAAGTTAAGTTTCTGTTGTGTACGCGATGTGATTGTAGAGGGCGCGGCTGTTCTTCTGGTAGGTTTAGGTACCAGAGCGCTAATATCACTCTCTATCGGCGACACATCTTCGCTGGGATGATACTCGTGGGATCTTGATAAGTTGGCCATTGAGTGCGGCCGCCGAACAAGGTCCTCAGATCGGTGAGAGCCTCCTCCGCGAACGGGGTTGTAGAATGAACCCTCGCTGGTGAGGCCTGAGCTAGGGACTTCGACGAAACGCGAAATAAGTCCATCTTGTTGGCTTCCGGTCGGCGGAGAGGGCTCGTGGGTGGTCGAGGCAGGCGATATGTGCGTGGGAGTAGCCTTTGCCATTTCTGTGGACATTTGAGGTGGAGCGCCGTGAGATGAGGTTCTTTGTAGCAGTCGCGTCGTCGGGTAATCTTTTCGCTCTGCTGCTTTACGCGAGGGCGATGACGATAATTCCGGTCGCACTGTTGATGCCTCCGTCTCGGCCTCTGCTGATTCCTCTACTGATGAGGGCACCGCTGGCGCTGCAGTCGACGCGCTCGGAGTCTGCGGGCGAGAATTTGCCGCACTGCCTCCGGGAGGGAAAGAAGAATGTGTGCTGCTATTTAATGAGCCCTTTCGCGACAAATAAGGCGAATTAGAGCCACTGGCATCAACCCATTCGTCTTCTGGGTCATCCGAACCGAGGTCGAAGTGAACCTGGGACTTGGTGGCTTTGTGAATACCGGTACCGCTGGCGCTGCGTTTGAGCTTGTCAGAGGAAGAGGACTTGGTGCGCTTGCTGATCTCGACGTGCGAACGATTGCGCTTCAGGTTGCCCTGAGACAAGCTCTTGGGGATGGCCGTAGCTGAGTCTGGCTGCGTTAATTTGACCTCGCTGGTCGCGCGGCGGTGCGGTACAGGTCGTTGAGCGAATTGGGCCTCGAGGTCGGTTGGGGAGCCCTGCTTCCTGCCCAGATTGATTCTGGACGAGCTGTTGTGCGGCTTGTGCAAAACCTTGCTGGAAGAGGGCACACGGCCGTGGAGGCGGCCAACGTGGCGCTGTTTCTGGTGTTTTGGGCGGTGATGCGGATGGCCTGAGGAGGTGACGGTGTTGGCGTCGCTGTGGTCGCTGGCGTGATGGTTGAGGGGAGGGCGCTTTGATTGGCCCCCGGTCGCGGCAGATGCAGATGCAGATGCAGATGCGCTGTCTTGGTCACTCTCGGACGCCATGGCTGCGGTGGTTTTTGCGCTGGCTGTGCCGCACCGGGCTAGATTGCTCAAGACGAACGAGCCGGCGATGGCTCTTCTGTCACTGCGGCAGAGGAGCTGCAGAAGAGCCGCCTCGATCTCGATTGCTGTGATGCGATGCGATGCGCAGAGCCGGGCTCAACTCTGGACTCGACGGACGGCGGGCTTGTAAGTGCCTGTGGCCTACTAAAGCCGGCACCGAAAGGCTCCTGGTGGAGGGTGAGACACGTGTGAATGGCTATAAAGGGTGGTTGATGTCGGCTCAAAGCGACGCGATGCGACAGGCGGGCTTTCGGACAGTCCAGGGGGGGTCAATTGACGGCAGCACCTGTAAAAAAAGCGCTCCGGGCGTCCAGCACGGCCGAGCGGCAAAAGGACTGGGAACGCGAATTGGCGCGGCCGACAAGGGATGAAGGATGCAGGATGCAGGATGACCGATGGACGAGGAGAAGAAGAGCTTTAAGAGAGGCGGAAAGACGGTGACTGGGCTGGCTTTAGGAGAAAAAAAAGTGCGATGCGTTTGCTGCTCGCGGCAGGTGGAGGAGGGTTGAACAAAGTGTAATTGTCATGCCCTAATAGAGGAATAGTCGCTCTTCCCGAGACAGACCGCCGAACCGGGTCTTTGATGCAGCCGGAGAGACAGGAGGAGGCACGAGCAGATGGAGGGTGGCCGGGCCAGCGCAGTGGTTGAGGCTGGATGGCGAGGCTTCTGTCGGGTTTCTGCTTTGTTTGCTCTTTTGTGGCCCGTCAGAGGTGGCCGTCAAATGCTGGATATGGAGTGCGGAATACCAGGAGCTAACAGTAGACGCATACCTACGTAATGGAGGTAATAACTTAAGCTTTCAGTCCATCGAGCATTAGCACTGCTAGCACTGGCATTGTGCTGCAGGTGTATTGTTATTCTCAATAATTTAATTTCCCGTCTTTCTTTCTTCTGTTTCCAGCTCGTGCCTCTTCTCTTCTGTTGCTTCGCTGGAATGCGCGCAAGAAACATTGTCTTAGCTCTAATCAACCACCTTATTCAGTGCCATGGCATAACCTGCGTCATACTACAGTACGCATAGGCTGCTACCTAGTACCAAATGGGCGCTCTCTCTGCTCCATTCTGGATTCCTGTACTTCCTTGGCGTTCCACGCTGCTCTTGGGCCGCATCAGGTTGTGCTACTGTCCAATCTCGCTCTCCCAAAATGGCGAATCCGGGCTCGTTCGCTGCTTCAATGTCCAGGTGAGTGGCGCACCGGTGAAGGGCCCTTTGTGCAACTTTTGGAGATTAGGCTCTGTCTCTACCAACAATAAGGCTTGCCATGCAACCTGTCGGAGCGCGCAGTTGAGCGAGGCTCTGCGTTCCAAAGCCGTCTTACATGTACTTACACGCACCCCATGGCTCTCGATGCAATCAAAAGCCCATGGGGATTTCAGGCTCTATCCGGGGTACGTGATTTTAGGCCATAGAGCTGCTGCCTGGAGTTGCCCAACCTATTGCATCGTTGCCCAATATCCTCGAGCTTGCGAGAAACTGGTTCCCACGCTGTACTTGGAGACACCTACACCCTTGTTCACAATGTAGCGATGACGTTGGGTTCTCGGAATGTTCCATTGCCGCGTCCCCCTTTTCCATTTTAGCCTACAAAAGCAACAACAATTACTCCTAGTGCCAATCGTAGGGCTTGAGATGTTTAGTGATTAATTGTAGTACTAACAGAACAGGTATTGTATGGAGTGCCGGAATTGTTACTAGGAGACGAACCGAAATAATGTGCGTACTATTCGTTCTAGCCCCGATCCCGGAGTGGTTACAGATTGAACCTGATAAATTCATTGCTCTTCAACCCACTGTAACAGCACTGCATAGGTTCTGCAATTTGGAAATCTCGGCATATCAAAGTCATAATTCCAAGTTAGTTAGAAAAACTTCTACCAATGGGCGCATCTTTCTGTTCATTCAAAGTACAGGTATAATGCCACCATTCTGAATTGCAAGATTGTAGGAATTATCACGTGACTCTCTGCAACCTTCGATACCGAACTTTCGCCCCACAACTGGACTCTTATCTCCATACATGATACAGAGCACGTACGGAGTCGCAGTTTGAGCTTTAGCCTTCTTTTGAAATCGAAAGCGTCGCGACATTCTCCATCGCCCTTCTTCTATCTAACTTTAGTATCTGCGAGACAGACGAGCCGCTAGTTGAACGATGTCTTCAATTTCCGAGCTCCAAGCAGAGCGGCAAACATATCAGGAACAGGTACGAACCGAGACGCTTGCTGCCTTGATCCCATCTCCCACTCTAAAGCTGGCTTCTAACTCGAGTTTAGTTGGATCTTGTTTTTGCCCAAATCCGCGATGACCCCGATAATGCTGAGCTCAAAGCGCTTCAAGGAGAGCTGAAGAACTTTGTTGATCTCCTCGACGAAAACATTGCCGATCTGAAGTCGAAGCAGGCGCCCAAACCCGATCCAAAACCAGCCGCGCCTTCTCCAGAGCCGGCCAAGTGGTCAAAAGAGAACCATCCTGCTTTCAAAAAGGCTGCACCACCGGTTGAGGAAAAGGAGGAGGTGACTGTGCAGTACCAGGTCAATGATTCCGTTATGGCAAAATGGATTTCGGGCGATAAAGGTTTCTATCCTGCGCGTATCACTTCCATCACTGGATCATCTACGGATCCTATCTACATCGTGAAATTCAAGACCTACGACAACACTGAGACGCTCCGGTCAAGAGATATCCGCCCTATTTCCAATAAACGAAAAGCCGAAGGCCCTGTATCGGCATCAAGTACTCCAGTGGCCACTACGCCGGCTCCGGGAGTTGTTAGCTCGGCGGGCGCCACGATGTACCCGGAGGCGAAGAAAGAGCCAGAGGCAGAAAAAGATGCTGTTAAACCACCCAAGCCAAAGAAGATCAAGGCCAATAAAGAGTTGGAAGCTGGCAAGTCCAAATGGCAGGATTTTAACGCCAAGTCAAAGTTTGGTAAATCTAACAAGAAGGACTCTATGTTTCGTACACCTGAGGGAATCCATGGGAGAGGTAAGGTTCACTCAAATCTTAATATGGGAAAAGCACTTTTGCTAACCTTTCTGGATCAGTTGGATTTACTGGCTCTGGCAAGACAATGAGCAAGGACCCCACACGTAGTCGTCACATCTACCAAGTTAATGAAGAACTCGACTGAGAATGCCTTGCCTAATCTAGGCAGCATGGGAAAAGCTTGAATTGATGACGAAGAATTTAGAGGCGTTAGGGAGCTGGGAAACTATTGTTGATACCGCGGTAATATGCCTTGCGATACGTTGTTGAAGAGGCTAACATTTATGCATTTGGCTTTTTTTTACACCAGAATTTTTTTATCGCGGCTTCGAGAAGAAGAATGAATTAGGTTATGGGAATATTGTTTGCCATTAGGCAAAATACAAGATGCTTTATTCAAGAATAGGCGGCCCCCTTTGGGATGTGGGATGCATTGCTAAGTTACGATGGCAGGTTCAAACGACCACCCTTTCATCAAACGAAGTTTAACTTTCCGAGCATGCCGTCTAAGTATATCATTTCTTTTTTTCTCCGTTCAGAAAAGAGGATGAAGGAAAAAAAGAATTAGTGATTGTGACGCTCGTGTTGCTTTAGATCGATCTTGGGGCAGATAGCTTTAGCTATATCGATAAACGCTGATGCTCGTTCGCTGGATGGCTCAGCGACGACAGTCGGCTTTCCCCTTTCCCCATCATCACCAATGTTGGGATGAAGCGGAATGTCTCCTAGAAACTCAATTTCATGGTCTTGACATAGCTTTTCCACCTTTTTATTTGATCCAAACACGTTAGTATCCTGATGGCAGTGAGGGCAGTTGAAGAGAGACATGTTCTGCACCATGCCAAGGATGTTGACGCCAACTGTTTTGAACATGTTGATGCCTTTAACCGCATCTTTCGTTGCTAAAGTGTGTGGTGTAGTGATGATGACAGACCCTGTGCTGATTAGCATTCGAGAGAATAAAAATCATTGTGCTCCCTACGAAGAAATAGTTGCTTACCGTCCAGAATAACTTGCTGGGTAATGGTCAATTGTGTATCACCTGTTCCTGGAGGCAGGTCTAACACAAGAATATCTAAGCCACCCCAATCGACTTCGTGAAGGAGTTGCTGAATAGCTTTCATAACCATCGGTCCTCTCCATACAACTGGAGCACTCTCGCCTACTAGATAGCCCATTGACATTGTCTTAACTCCGTAATTGGTTAGAGGCACTAGCTGATTGTCTAACATTGTTTTAGTCTGAGTATCATATCAATATTTAGAGCCACTCTACTTACTACTAGATAGCCTGGGCTCCCCTGACAGATCGAACAGGGTCGGAATAGATGGGCCAAAGATATCGGTATCTAATATTCCAGCGCGGAAACCAAGTCTAGCAAAGGCTAGTGATAAGTTTGCTATTTTAATCTCAATTGTGAGCTGGCCCAATGACTACTTATTTGTCTCGAAATGGACAGCATTTGGACCACCCACCAGCGACAGTGCTTTTACCAACGCCGCCTTTGGCGGAGGAGACGGCGATGACCTTGTCTACACCAGTAATCTTCCGCCTCTGAGGCCGTTTCGGCCAATTTGGCGGAGTACCTGATCGAGGGAGACCCTAAAACATTGTCAGTAAGAGCCTCTTAATGTAGAACGTGGAGGTCTCACAAGTGGATTTTCATGCTGAAGAGCTCTTATAGCTCGAAAGAGCAGTGATGAAGTAGAGCGCATTGTCGATGATTACACTGGACGATCTTAATAATACTATGGAATAAAACGCAGTAAACCATAGGCCATTTCAATTGATCTGAAGCATGAAACTCATGTGACGCAAGATACCGACTTTGACCAAGATCAGTCCTCTACTCGTAGAGTAATAAATAATTGCGTTGTAAGAAGCTCACTCATGCAACTTTGGAGACAGTATTGGCAGATCCACTTATATAAGCCATAGATGGCTAGCGTATTTCGATCTGCGCGCAATTCATGCAAGCTAATTTTTGCCGCGATTCACCGCCTAAAAGTTTAGACTCGCGGTTGTTTCTAGGCGGTAGAAAAAATCCCAGCGTGGGGCTCTAACAAAGTCTCAACCAAGCCAAATCACATTCAAAATGGCCAAAGCAAAAGGACGCGCAAAAGCATTCCAAGATCCGGATGAGGAATTGGTCAAAGGTATTGTAGTTTGGTATTTTCCTTTCTTGACCATCTATTGTATACTAATAATGGGTAGACTACGACCCCGAAGCCAATGGGAACAACGACAATGACAATGGAAGTGGCAGTGAGGATGAGCGCGCTGGCACAGAACATTATGTGACTGTTGGACACAGCAAGCTTAGAGAGAAAGAGGGTCTTTCTTTAGGAAAGCAATACCGCGGATCTCGGGTTTCGCGCCATGCCCTAGAACAGAGCAGCGATGATGAAGACGAGGATGAGGAAGAAGAGGAGGATGATGACGACGACGATGCTGAATACGATGATCCCGAGACTGCCAACTTAGAAGCTGATACTGCGGAAGCTAGCGACTCGGAAATCAGCAGTGACAACGCTCTGGCAGAGTCTGACGATGAGCGATTGGACGCTTTTGTATTCCGGGGTAGCTCAAAGCCCAAGAAGTCAAAGAGCAAGCGAGCCACCGCGGCGGATTTTATGTCTGAATCTGAGGAAGAGGAAGATTCCGACAAGGCAGAAAATGAGGAAGACGAAGATGGAGACTCTGACGAGGATATGGAGGATGGCCTTGATGCACTGCTGAATGGTGGAGCGTCCGATGAGGATGAGGATGAGGAAGAGGATGAAGATGAAGATGGAGAGAGTGGCGAAGAAGAAGATGGGGAAGAAGATGAGGAAGGCGAAGACGAAGACGAAGAATCAGGCAAACAACCTGCAAAGCCTTCCCTGGACGTTCCATCAAACCAGACTGAGGTACAAAAGGGAATTGCTATTCAACAACAGAGGAAAATCTACGATGGGCTGCTAAACATGCGCATCCGACTCCAAAAAGCAATTGTTGCCGCGAACACATTCACTACTTTGGACTCAGACTCAAATTCCGAGACGGAGGCTTACGAGGCTGCTGAGGAAGCCGCTATTAAGCTGCTAAACACCATCAGCGACCTCCGAGAGAATCTGGCCCCACCAACTGCTGCGGGCAGCAAACGCAAGCGAGCATTGGAAATTGATTTCTCGAACCAACAAATTTGGGAGCAGATTCAACAGGACGATCAAAGATCCATAAAATTCCGGGAAGACAGATTAGACAAGTGGTCTCGCAAGGTGCAAAGCGTTACCGTGGCTGCACCAGCAAGTAGACTAGGTGCAAAACCCAAGACGCTTATCAGTGCTCTGCAAGACCAGCTAGCCAATCCTGACGGCCGACTTGTCAAGCGCACGCGAGTGCCCCGATCCTGTGCACCGGCTCAAGCTTCCAAGAAGATTACCGAGAGTGAAGATATCTACGACGATGCCGACTTTTACCAGCTCTTGTTGAAAGAGCTTGTGGATCAACGCACCGTAGAATCGGCAGCAGAGCAGTCAAGCGCTGTGGCCTCTGTTATGCTCACCGCCAACAAGGAGGCTAAGACTCGAAAAGTTGTGGACAGAAAAGCAAGCAAAGGACGAAAGTTGCGATTCACAGTGCACGAGAAGTTACAGAACTTCATGGCTCCTGAGGACAGGAGAGCATGGGAACAGGGTGCAATTGACCGCTTCTTTGGCACCTTGTTCGGCCAAAAGATGGAGTTGAACGAGGAGGAAAGTGAGGATGATGAGATGGAGGCTCTGTATAAACAAGATGAAGGACTTCGGTTGTTTAGATAAGACAAGGGAGCCGAAGAGGATTATGGTTCTTTTCCTTTGTCCATTCTTATAGGGTGAGACTTGATAGACGGCTAAAAGAGATATCGGCCAAATTGGATAACAAATACACTGTGAATAATTTCCTTTACACAGCCAAATCATCTCTGACATTGTACATTTTGGTGTATAATTGATTATTAGACCCTGTCTCATTGTGTCATTAGAAACGATATGCTCTTTACAAATCGTCAAGATGGCTGATCATTTGCTTGAGCTCGAGCGCCTGTGTCAAGTGCGCCATTCCGAATCCGAATCCGCCTCGGAACGCTCCATCCGGGGGCGGGCGGGTTTTCTCGGCTCTTCCCCACAGCGCGGAAGTGCTCCATTGCATCCCACCTTCATATGCCGAGCAAAAGAAAGTAGAGGGAGCTGGAAGATTTCAAGCTCAATTTTTTGTTTTTATTTTCCCTTCAAAGATAGCTTCTGTTAAAAAATTCAGAGACAGAGAAGAAAAGAGAAAAGAGATGGCTACTACAACTTCTTGGGTCCCATTGGACCGAAATGGCGACTTCTCAATCCACAACCTGCCCTTTGGTATCTTCTCTGAGGGTAGCTCACAACCCCGCGCTGGTGTCAGAATTGGCGATTTTGTCATTGATCTCAAGGCGCTTGCTAGCGATGAGCAGGTCAAGCAGCAGCTGAGCTCGCTTCGTGACCTAGAAGCAGTCTTTGGACAGGCATCCCTCAATGCCTTTGCTGAGCGCGGGCGCTCTGTGCATCGTGCTGTGAGAGGCGATCTCCAGCGCATTCTAAGCCAGTCGACAGACGTGTCTGCACTTCTCAAGGACAATGAGGCGCTGAAGCAAAAGGTGCTGATTCCAATCGAAAAAGTCAAGATGCATTTGCCGATGCAGATTGGAGACTACACTGATTTCTACGCGGGCTATCATCACGCCTACAAGGTTGGTGTCCTGTTCCGAGGACCTGACAATGCGCTGCAGCCCAATTACACCCATCTACCTGTGGGCTATCACGGCCGCTCCTCCAGTATCGTCGTGTCCGGGACTCCTATCCGGCGACCTCGCGGTCAGATCCTCCCCAACCCAGCAGCGACCCCCAAAGAACCGACGACGGTCGCTTGCCGCCGACTAGACTTTGAACTGGAGCTGGGCTGCTTCATCTGTAAGCCCAACGAGATGGGCGAGTCAATCGATATCAACAAAGCCGAGGAATACATTTTCGGGTTTGTTCTCTTGAACGACTGGAGCGCCCGTGATATTCAGGCCTGGGAATATGTTCCTCTGGGGCCATTCAACGGCAAAAACTTTGGCTCAACCATCAGCCCTTGGGTTGTCCTTGCAGACGCCCTGGAGCCCTTCCGCGCCGAGCCGCTGCCGAATGATACCCCTGTCCAGGATTATCTCAAGGAGACGCAAAAGAAGAGCGTGTTTGACATCCAGCTCGAAGTCAGCCTTACTAGTGAGTACCGTTCCCACCCCACCCCTCCCACTCTGTATATATGCATATATACAACAAGTACGCGAATGCTGACTATGCGGTGCGCCTCAGCTGAGAGCGGTGATCACGTAAACTTGACCAAGACGAGCGGCCGGAACCTGCTCTGGTCCTTCCCCCAGATGATTACGCACCATACCGTCGGCGGATGCCCCCTCCGGGCCGGAGATTTGCTAGGGTCCGGAACCATTAGCGGCACAGAACCTCGTGAGCGCGGCAGCTTGTTGGAAATGACCGAGGGTGGCAAAGCTGATGTTCAGCTTGAGAAGGGTGGTGTGCGCCGCTTCATCGAGGACGGCGACAGCTTGAATATGAGGGGATACTGTGAGAAGGACGGTGTGCGGATCGGATTTGGTGACTGCGAGGGCAAGATTTTGCCTGCTCATGGGTCATGAGGAGGTATGAAAAAGAAGTGAAAAAGAATGCATAATGTGAAATGTAATAAATAGAAGAAAAAGAAAAAACAACTTATAAAGTAGACGGGTCCGAAAGAAAAAAAAAGTATGCGACTCATTTCCTACAATAAAAGACTTACACGAATGAAATGCTTAGCACGTGTCTAATAGAACTTTACAGCAAAGACCCTAGGCAGACAATATGAAGGCACATCATTAGGTGGCATTTCGCACATTTTCTCAGTATCACTGTTTCGCAAGCTCTCAGCTGCTTTGAGAATGGGAGTTGAAATCTTTGAAACAACAACATCACCCCGTATCTCATTACCCATGGGAAAGTGACATCCAAGCCGTGCTCCGCGGGCCCCACGCGCTGCAACGCAATCAATATAACGGAGGAACTGTGACCGCTGTTGTGGCAAGCGCGTGCAGCGGAGGATCGGAGATTCCACATGGTTTTTGAATGCGCTGCCGAAGCCCTTGTCATACCATGCTGCGTTGGGGGTGCTACCTGGTTGCAATGATACTTCGCGCTTGGATTATCGTGCCAATGGCCTGTCAAGGCAGATCCTGAGAGTGACGAGTAATATCGACGCCCACGCATCGCGCCGCCACGTCTCCACCGCGCTCGAGAGCTGCGACTCAGCTTTCCAACGGCTTATAGCCTGCGCAATTGTAGTACCAGTAGCGGTATTTCGTATGCGCCGGCAGCAGTCCGTACTTCAGCTGCAGTTGTTATCTCGCACTCGGTTGCAAACAGGGCAATATTCGCCGGTCGAGTCGGCGCTCCAAAGTCACGTGGGCGCGGCTTTATGCCTTTTGGTGCGGCGTGCCACAAAGTCCGAGGCACGGCTGTCAGTGGCCCATCCTCCCTCTGTTCCCTCTTGGGGAGGAAAAAAGAAGAAAGGCATCTCTCTGTAGAGCGGACGGCATTCGTTGCCTGCACCTTGCGCGCGCCCCATGGAGCAGATTGAAACGCAGGCATCAGACTTGCGCTACCTGACGGCGCCAGTCGGCGCTTTGAGCGACTCAGCGAGCGTCTCGTACGAGACGCCGCAGTCACGGCCGCAAATGAGCCCAGGTTCCGCCATGTACGGAGACAATTCCGCGCTGCAAGCCGGAGGCGATTCGCCTGTAGACGCCAATGCAAATGGGAACAAGAGGAAGTCTATTGAAGATGGGACTGGAAGCGCGAAGCAGACGAGGAGTAAGAGGAATCGGGTGAGTCCACGATTGTCGTTTGAGGCTGAGCGCGTGTTGAGATGCGATGCGATGCGATGATGCAGCGGGAAAGTTGTCATACGGCCAGGGGGGAGGATAAGATGCGATTCACATGCTTGCAGAGCCAGCATCGCATAGATATGATTATAAACACTCAGATTGAATTCCATCAGCTGACATCAAGATCTATTTAGTACATCTCTATTGCATGGTAAGCCTGCATTCAGCTGCCTCCGACGATATCCGGTGATCTATCAGGCCACAATTACACATAGATTCACATCACCAATCATCTTATTCAAAGAAATCGTGGACATAAAAGTGAGCTAAACTGAACTATACTGACTTTTTCGGCACACCGCGTATAGCAATGAGTGTAAAAGGCGCAAGATCAAATGCAATGGCGAAACCCCATGTCAACGATGCGGCAACCTCAACCTAGCCTGTCTCTATGCGCCAAACTGCTGCTCTAACAGCTTCAAGGACTCAGACGAATTCAAAATGATCACAGCGCAGCTAAGCCGCCTCCAGGAGGAGGTCAACTGGCTCAATCAGACTATGAGAAATATGCAAAGCGAGCCGCGACTCGCGCCACCGACTTCTGATCGCATCATACCTACTGGTGGCTCAGTCATTGCGCCTTCCCCATCACAAAGCTCAGCATCTGGTCATCGGCCAGATTATCTTGGGAAGCAAACGCCATTTCAAGGCCCAACTAGCACGGCATTTACCTTGGATGTCGCCAGGGAGACAATCAGTAACATGGGATGGAAGACTACTGAGGAAGGAGACGATATTGAGCCCTTACCAAGCAGCAATATGACGACGACAATCTCAGCCCAGATGGCTGATCCGCTTTTGGAATTTGATAAAGACGAGATGGTGCGCCTCTGTAGAGTGCACGAAGACGAAATTGGGATCATGTATCCCGTGATCAATATCCAAACCGTTATTGCCCATGTCAAAAACGTCTCGCTATATCTAAGAAATCAACGACCAATGGAGCTCCTGAATGATCTTGAAACCTTGCAGTTGAAAATCATCATATGCTGTGCTCTTGTCGTAGAAGGACATGGCCATTCCGAGAAGGCATTACGTCTGTATGAGAGCATGGAAAACATCATTAATCGAAAGCTCATGTCAGACGGCCTTGATGTCTGTGACCTTCCCCTCTTAGCACTTGTAGCTGGCTACCGATTTTTGTCCAATGAGGAAGTACTCGCATGGCGCGTCATGGGTCAGGTGGTCCGACTATGCGTCGAGCTTGGTATTCACCAGAAGAGGGGGTTGATGACCATACAAAATGAGGTCGAGAGAAAGAATGCACTCAACAGTTTTTGGTCGGCATACGTTCTCGACCGTCGATGGGCGTTTGGTACGGGCCTACCATACGCTATACAAGATGATGAGATTGACCCAACCTTACCTTTACCTGTAAGTTCATCAAGGCTTTGGTACGAGATAGAGCTTAGTTAACTGATATTGTTCTAGGATGAATACCCTTACCTTGTAGCCATGATTACGTATTCTCGAATAGGTGCCAAAGTGTGGCGTCAGGTTAACCATTTCGGGCCCGTCCTTGCACATGAATTAGGCCAAGAGGAAATTGAACGACTTGACCAAGAGATCTTACGGTGGTATGAGACTGTTCCAGAAGAGATTAGAGTGCACAGCTGGAACAAAGAGACCCTGATAACATCGACACCATCATATAACCTCCAACGGTTAAGGATATGGACATATCTACGATTTAACCAGGTAAGGCCATCAAATTTGTGGCATTATACACTCAATCAAACTAATAGCTCACTTAGATACGCACCTGGCTATATACCCCTGTTTTGCACAGCGCAACTAGTATCATGGCGCATCCGTTAGAAGCCCAGCGCGTTGTCGACTTAGCCAAAGACACAATTCAGTACCTCCACCACCTCAATAGCACTACTAATCTATATCGAAGAGCACAAGTCTTCTATCACCAATTCCTTTCGGCAGCCATAGCAGTTGTCTTTCTCGCATCGGTACACGCCCCCGTGCGATTCAGCGCCGTCTGTCGAGAAGAGTTCTACATGGCCCTTGATTTGGTCAAAGATTTGTCCGTCAAGAGCTGGGTGTCTCAGCGGCTATGGCGAACTATCAAATCACTCAAGGACGTGGCTCCCCGATTTGGCCTGAATCCAGATGAGGATCCTCATTCGAGCGCTGCTCTAGGCATGATTGGCCTTGCCAGAGGCCACATGGACACCATGCCGACAAACCAGCCCATGTTTCAACATCCACCGATGCCACCCAGACAGAATTCAGAAAATATGATGCCGAATAATAATGGCCAAAAGATACAGAGCGAGATGTCGAGGATATTTGAGGGCTATGTCGGTCTAAACGGTGTTCAGTTTGGGAGCAATGGAGAAGACCAGCATGTGCCGCCTCATCATGCTTTGACTTCTCCAGATCCTCAAAATCCCATTTTCCCGTCTGCAGATGGAACGGTGTTCCCTCATATGCGTGAGATGTTTTGAAGGAACGTTGATCATCGGGGTATGTGCATAGATCGAGGATATTGGGATTTTTGAATTTCTCTTACGGGTAGCCAACGGATGATTGGACCTGTGCTGATGGCGTGGGGTTGTTTTGGTGCATTAGAATAGCCATCTTTTTTCTTCTTGCTCACATTTTCTGGTAACTGCTTGTTGAAGCGTGATCAATTAATAAACAAATAACAATTCTTTATCAGATGGAGTCTATTGATCATATCCAGAGTTTAAGCGCAAGCAGTTTTCTCTGTCTTGGTAAGTTTAGCCTACTCGGGAAAAAAAAATGTTGTATATCAATATCCCACCACAATTTATATCGAGGACTGCCGCGATGCCCGATTTTTGCCTGAGGCAGTTCGATGCACTCCGCCAATTTCTTCAGCAATACCCCTACCTGCATGTACTTATGCAGCTTACTGCCTAAGGTACCTACCTTATCCTAGGCATAATCGAGCGTATGAGATAATACCTACTGGATAGAAATGCCTTCCACTCTCTCCTAAACCATGCAGCATGAGATTATGTGGTCAATCACATCTTCTGTTAGGCCAGAAATAAGTCCCATCGCCAATTCTCACAATGCGCTGATACTTGTAGTCTACAAACGTTGGTCGCATAGAAAAGCATCGCTGGTGACGTCTGGCTAACAAAATACGCAGCGTGCACAAGTAAGTCTCACGATTGGCTGCTTCTACTCAAACATACACATTCGCCAATTGAAGGAAATCGATGAGCAGAAGAAGATGGTCACGACAGTCAGAATGGAGGGTGGCCGCGAGATCACCGACAAAAAGGCGGGCAGACGAATGTGTAATGGGCGGGAAAGTCCCACGTCGCGCGTTGCCCGAGCAGTCGTCGACGAAGTTCGGAGACCCCTGAGCAAGGATGTGGCAGTTCTCAATTGCTTAAAGCGGAAATTCTCAGTGGATTTGACCACTAAGATTTCACCATTCGGAGAGTCCAGACTGTCCGACTCAGGCATTTCGAAAAGTTTCCCGCGGAGACAGGGTCTGGCCAAAGGCGTCTGTACATGGCTCTTAATATATGACAATAGCTAAGAAAAGAAAGAAAGAGGAGACTTTCTTGATACTGGAAGAGTTATTCAGCAAACAAGTGCGACACGACCGACAGAGCGCACTCGAAGTCCCAGTTTGGGCGGAGGCGTCAAGATAACGCTTTTCGGGCTTTTGCCAGCGAATCATCCCCAGTTTGCTTATCCTGGGCTGATTGGGCGAGAAATACAGAGCAAGGGCAGATGATGACATCCAAAAGCGAGATTTCAAATGAAGGAAAAAGCGCTCTGGTTTGACAACTGGCTGTGTATTATGCGCCAAAGCGTGGTCATCGCTCTTTGAAGCACTTTCAACATCCATTTACCATGGTCTTTGCGCCTGCTTATCTGCCCCATTCAGACACGAAGGACAAGGCGTCCCCTCTCCAGCAATTACTAATTTTCCCGGAAAACATTTTTTCTTCAGGTTTACGCTGTTAGTTTTCCGCGGGGAACGTCTGCTATCCACTTCACCCACTATTCACAATCAATGGGGCGCAGTGGGCACCGCGGCGCCCAGGGCAGAAAGTTTGCTAACAATGCTGGCTTTCGCAGCCGTGATCGGGCGGCTTGACTTGGATGAGCCTATGACAAGAGTAATCCGGTATTGTAGCCCATCTTCATCTGATCTAGCATATTTACTGACGTCTACAGCGGACCAGGCGGAAGGCTTGTTGGTCTTACTTACTAGGTATCACAGCTCTAGTGGAGGCCATGATCTTTGATGACACTCCGTTAACGGCTACTATTACGCTACAAGGACTACCTTGTATAGCATAGGCACTCCACCTATTGTCTCAAAATGGCCAGATTTCGCTTGGAGAAACGTCTAGCAGCTTATCGTCCCCATGTAAGTAAGAAGTCTCTGTTACTAGCGCTGTTGGTTGACAAGCGTGGGTATTTGAGAGCTCCGTCCGGAGTTGCCTTGGAGAATCTTCCCCATTATTGATTGCGAGTGTGGACGTCGACGTTCAACCTTGTAGATGGCTGATTGGCTTTATAGGTACCTATACATTTTGGCTATCCCAGCTCCACGGGAACGTCGGTCATAGTCGTGCCATTGTCCCAAGTACTTATACTGTGGCATTCGCTTTCTGATGGTCTAGACACTCAACTAATGCCGCTTCAAACTGTGTCATCGAATGAGTTGCAGAACTCAGAAGAAAGTGAGGCTCTGTAGCGGAAAGCGCTGGACATTGTACCCCAATTGCTGCTATCATCGCTCTGAGGTGGTACGTGAAAGCTGAGTGCACTCTATTCTCTATTCGTCTCTTTGCTGGTCTCCTCATGCAATTGGGCTGATCTCACACATTGTCCTGCATCGGCTATCTGTGTCAGTGAGTTCGTCATGTTGGTGGCACTAGAGATTTTGATATTGGATTCAAGCTAAGACTGCTAGTTTCCAACCACCTCGGCCACTAGCCAGGGCTCGTGTTCTGTACTTCTAGCGTGGCAAACTCTCTCTTTCCCGCGGCGAAGCCAGACCAATCTCGTGTTGCAACGCTGCGCTTTATCGGTTCTACTGATTTGATCCATAGACGAAACGTAGATTGCATGAACGCATCCATTTTTGATACCTTTCCTCAGTTGCCAATAATCAAGCTCAATTCCATGTTGGCTAAAACATGGACGAAAGCCAACAACAAAGCGGCGGCGGCGGCGGAAGGCCGTACAGGTCTCATCTCCGGCCGGCCTGCATCCCCTGTCGCAGGAGAAAGTCACGATGTCAGACCGCAGCCGACAATGCGGCTTGTGTGACGTGTCTTGCTCACCAGACTGAGTGTTATTTTCCTGAAGATTCTCGAACGTTAGAGTCCCCGGAACCTGCCCGCCGTCGCCGCCGTCGAGCAGAAGCTCGAGCATCTGTGGAAGCATCCGGGCTGACCACAACGAGGGCAGATGTACGAGCCGCGGCATCATTCCATGGGAGTGCAAAGGCTAACACTTCAGCATCCATGGCTGGATCAAGAAATGCGGCCATGGGGCGGCAAGCTTCAATGCCAGTTTCCAATGCACCGCCCACATCAGTTGCTGCAATGTCGAGGCCGGGCCCAGGGTACCACGACAGGGCGGAAGGGTCAGCAATGGCATTGGGATCTGATGATGACCAACTTCTCAATCTACACATTGTAGGGCCAGCCACCACCAATGACAGCCAGGTTTTATCTACGTACCTCTCAGGCATACCCGGGGCTACCAGGAGTACCAGAATGATTGTCCCAGAGCCTGCCAGCTGCTCTCGCCCTGTTCTATTTACTGAGGTTCAGAAGAGGCCAGTTGGAGTCAAATTGAACCGTAGTCCTTCAGCGGAGAAGCTGGAGATAATTGAGAAGCTCCTAGAACCTCACAATGAGGCCGTTATTGACGAGTTCGTCGTCCTTCCTTCTAAGCTTCCTTGATTCGCGCAGGATCCTAGAACCTCCACGTAGCTGACTACTTTTCTTGTAGATACTTCAGAAAAGTGAATGTATGCCTTCCACTTCTGGATGAGGCCTCATTCCGTCGTCAGTATCAGGAAGACAAGACGCGGATTTCACCGGCGCTGCTGGCATGCCTGTATGCCCATACAATTATATACTGGCAAAGCTCTCCAACTTTGAGTCGATATAGATGCCCGGAGAGTCGTTTTATCTGGAATCTTGCCAGCGAAGCAGTATATTCTGAGCTTCATCTGTCGCCAGGGATGTCCATCATAAAAGCGATTTTGCTAAACATTGGCGGTCGCCCTACTACTTCACTGATAGGAAACGGCGTGCTTCTCGGGTCTGCAGTTTCTATGGCGCATTCCCTAGGCTTAAATCATAATCCTCTTCCATGGCAGATCCCGCAGCCAGAGAAGTATTTACGCATGAAAATCTGGTGGTCGGTGTTGGTTCATGACAGATGGTACGTGTGGCATTTCTGTTATAAACACCGCAAAAAGAGAAAGAAGATGAGAGAGCTGACTTACAAGTCAAATTTTAGGACAAGTTTGGCGCACGGCACACCGCCTCATATCCAAAAGGCTCAGTATGACGTGCCTCCGCCAACCATAGAGTACCTTCGACAGAGTTCAATGGAAGCAAATAACTCACGTTTTGAGGTCACAGCCAAAGTATTCATTTCGCTAGTAGCTCTAAGCGAAGTGCTTGGCCTATTTCTGCAGTATGTTTACTCTGTTAGACGGGAAAGGCTGACTACTACGGACCTCGAGCTTGCATTGAATCAATGGACTGAGAAGCTGGAGGGTCCCTGTCGCCGCATTGTCTTGCACGGATCTCATCTAGAGGTCAACGGGGCAGCAAACCTTCGCTTAGCATATTTAACTGCTAAATTGTTGCTGCAACGAATACAGCTGGAAGCGGAGAAGCAGATGAACGGTGTAAACGAGGAGCAGATCATGAATCGCTATTCGGCAGCGCGTATGACATCTGAGGAAATGTTGATGCTGATTCAAGATTTTCAAAGGGATCATCTGGGCGACTTTTGGATGGCCGTCAGTTCTTTTTCTTTCCCTTCTGCCGTCAACTTCCTGCTGCGGTGTGCGCTGGAGACAGAGAACACTCCCGAGGGGCTAGTCCAAAGCCACTCCTTCAAAATTGCTCACGACCTAATCACCGCGCTTCGCTCTCATCAGGAGCAGCATAAGTGGGATTTAGGCGATATTTGCATTGCCCAACATGCCGAGATTGTGGAGAAGATCCTGGCGGGCGTGGCACCTGATGAACAAGGTGGGAACAACAGCAGTCTGGACCTCCAAGAGTTTGACGCATCGATTCTAGACCACGTTTTCCCCAGCATATGGGATCCGTTACAAAATGCTTTCACTTGGTAACAAAAATAGTCCCATGGCTGGTCGATTTGTGGGTTGAACTAGAGATAGATAGGGGGGTCCTGCAGATAATACGGAACAAGAACCGCCACGGGAAAGTTTGCGGCCGCGGCCAAAAGGGAAGTTTCCCGCGGCCAAGCTAGGAAAGCCAACAACCGCCACGAAGATATCCACAACTTCTCGATACGATATCGGAAAAGGACGAGAAATAATCGTGAAGGGCAAAAAGTTTTTCTTTAAAATGTTATATAAGACTGGTTTGTTCTTGGAAACGAGCTGTATATTGAATTCACATCATCGAATACCTCAATCGACAAACGAACTGGAAGGTTTTTATAATCATTTCTTCGAACAACTTCATACAATATAATAATCTTTTTCTTTACTTTTTAAGTACTTTCTTCCAAAAGAGACTCCTTCTATTGTATTTCAGTCAAATTACAAACATCTACAATGGCTCCGGGAGCTCTCGTCGGATCTGATAGCCCTCTTCTGGCTCCAGTCTCTGGAAAACTTGATGTTGCTCCCACGCTCTACGACGGAATTGATGAAAAGGAGCTCCAAGAGAAGTCTAAAGCTTATCTTGCCAACTATGGCACCAAGTTTCATGACGACGTAATTGTTGGTTCGCGAGGAATGTACATTTACACAGCTTCTGGCCACAGGATCCTTGACTGGACTTCAGGTCAAATGTCTTGCCTCCTGGGCCACGGACATCCCGAGATTGTCAAAACCGTTGTCGACCATGCCATGTACCTCGATCATCTCTTCTCTGGGATGGTTTCTCCTCCTGTTATTAGTCTCGGAGAACGTCTCTGCAAGGCTCTCCCTAAGGGTCTTGACAAGACCTTCTTCCTCTCTACCGGGGGCGAAAGCAATGAAGCTGCCATCAAGATGGCAAAGATGTACACTGGAAAATGGGAAATTGTCGGTCTCGGCGCCTCCTGGCACGGCATGACCGCCCAAGCTTTGGGAGCACAATACCATTATGGCCGTAAGGGCCAGGGCCCAACTCTCCCAGGCCAACTTATGCTTCCCTCTCCAAACGCCTATCGGTCTGAGTTCCGGAAGCCCGATGGATCTTATGATTGGGAGGCTGAACTTGACTATGGCTGGCGCATGGTAGACTTACAGTCCACTGGTAACCTTGCTGCATGTATCGTGGAGTGTATCCAGAGCTCTGGAGGAATGATTGTTCTCCCTCCAGGATACCTCAAGGCTATGAAGAAGCACTGCGAGGCAAGAGGCATGCTGCTAATTGTCGATGAAGCTCAGACTGGTGTTGGACGATGTGGTGACTTTATGGCCATTAATCACGAAGACGTCGTGCCTGATATTCTGACTCTTTCCAAGACATTGGGCAATGGTCTTCCTCTTAGCGCAGTTGTTACCAGCGAAGAGATTGATCGTGTCTGTAACGAAAAAGGCTTCATGTTTTACACCACTCATGTCAACGATCCTCTTCCCGCTGCTGTTGGTGACAAGGTTCTCGAAATCGTTTTCCGAGACAACCTCGTCCAACACGCTCGAGAAGTGGGAAAAGTCCTTCAAGACGGCCTCTTGAAGCTCAAGTCACGATACGGCTGTATTGGCGATGTCCGTGGCCGCGGCCTCATGGCCGGTGTTGAGATCGTGGCCAGCAGAGAAACCAAAGAGCCAGGTCTAGAGCTGGCCAAGAAGATTGGAGATACAGCATACAACCTGGGTGTGTGGGCAAACCTGAGCAGTCACCCGAGCTTTGGAGGTACCTTTCGAATTGCACCGCCGATTACTGTAACGGCGGAGCAGATTGAGGAAGGGTTGGCGATGTTGGAGAAGGCATTTGCGGAGACTGAGGGGACGGTGCCTCTTTACTAGAAATATGAGATCGAGGAATAAAAGAAATGTTAGAAAGGGAGATCATGGGAACGTTGGATTTAATGACTATATATATATATGATGAGGGGTATTGTTTTTGGCGCATTTTATGAGCGGTTTGGTATTGAAAGAATAAGAGACGCAAGCATCTACATACTCTAGAAAATTACTTAGAGGGGATCTTGTCTTTAGATAAATAAAATGCTTCTTTTCCGACTCCTTGGGTCATCAGGCTTTCCTATGAATTTGTCGTTACTGCAAGCCTAACCAGTGGTGCATAATTTTACACGTGAAGACGGCATATTTAGCTTCAACCAGATGCTTTCTTGAGAATGGCATTGAAGAGGAAAGAAAGAAAAAGATATCATTCATAAATCATCTAATTGACATTCCACATTTCGCAATTCGCCTGTCTTGTACGGCCGTAACTGAATCAACTTTTTCTGCCATTTCGCTTGCTTTTTCATGTATGGCACTGAAGCAACAAACCCCCCACCCAATTGAAAAAAAAAAAAAAAAAAAATGCAAAGGTATCAAAAAACGCCTGTGTCATGATTGAAAAAAAAAAAAAAAAAAAAAAAAAGCCGAGTAAAAAAAAAACTTTGAAAGAAGCGCTGCCGCCATGATTGCTCGTTCGCTGATGCTTTAACGTTGTGGTTGAAGAATGATAAAGTGTATGAGGCCTCGAATATTGTGATGCTGAGACATTGACATTGGTATCTTTTGTGTCATGTCGTTGGAATATGCGTATCGTTGTTGTAGCACTGTGAATTTATCGTGATCGCAGCTTGAGATGCGGGCTGAGCCGTCGGAAGATGCCTCGTGTGGCGACAGCAAGGACCATCAGGACCTCCAGGCCCACAATGCTCACCCAGACGGTGTTGAGCAGCTTCTCCTCGTAGTCGGAGGCGTAGCCGTTGAAGTTTGAAGCCATGGAGTAGCCGGACATGCCCCGCGCCATGATGAATTTTTTTTGGAGGGGATGGAGCAAGTTTGAACTGAGAGAGACGAACAAAAATGGAAACAGAAATAGAAATTGAACGAGGCCTCCCGGTTGTTTTATGTGCTTGAGTGGCCCTGAAACATGCCTTGTCAGAATATTGAATGATGAAGAAAAGGAATGTGAAAATTAATAGGAAGATCTAGCTGGCTTGAGACATTATCGCATCACTGCATGCCCAACTTCAGCCCAACCCTCAGATCCCCGCCATGAAAGGTCGGTCACGAGAGCGCAAGGAAGGGTGGCGGCGACGGGCAAATATCGCAAGGGATTGGAGAAAATCTCACCGTTTCTAGGAATACGCAGATGTGAATAGCATTAAAGAAAAAAAAAAAAGTCTCGGTGTAACTGCTGGCTATGGCAGCTCTGACCTCAGCTCAAGGCGCGTGGATATCCCGTCTCGAAAAGATATGGAGAAGACTCGCGGTCAACGATTCAACGGCTGATCGACATGAGAAAAAAAACTGGCCCAGAGGTTTGATATCTCCAGATGCCTCTGGCGGTCGGGGCCAGACGTCGAGTCGGTGCTAGTCTGTATGCACTCGGGTGGATTCTCGTCTATGAGATGTGCGTCGCGTGAGCTTGGCTGCGCACCATCTGCCTGTGCCCTGTTCCTAGCCCGGTCTAGCAGAGACTATTGGCTGGCGACGTGTAAAAATTAAAACAGGGCCTGCGATAAAGAATGAGGTCGATGGAAAACAAGGGCAAAAGATGCGAATAGTACAGTAAGCGAGGGGGTGAAGAAGCTGAAGAAGATGGATGGATGGATGTAGAGGAAACGGTGGCTTTTGCCGGGTCTTATGGCCTTGCTGGCCTCTTGCCTTGGTTGGGGAAGTTGGTTTTGCTTTTGGGCTGCTTGTTCCCTTTTTCGATTTTTTGCCGTCTTCATGCCCTGGTCATCGTTGAGACGGACCCCACGCGTGCCACCCTCGTCTGTTGCTTCGGGGCCAGTTCTTAGCTAATACTGCAAGTCTGTGAGACCGGCGATGAGAAGAATTGGCTGCCGGAGGGAGAACCGGGGGAGGTGGGGCCGATGGCCGGAGACTGAGACTCAATCATACGCTCGTTTTATCGTCTTGTAAGCTACAGCCCTTTTCCATAGATGTAGACAGATGTATGCTAGTGAGACCTATTGTTTTTTTTCTCTCTTTGTTTGTTTCTTAGCTGTGCAAGGGACGCTGCAAAAGAAGAAAAGAAAGAAAGAATCCTCTCTTCTACTGGTTGGGAACTTGCAGCTCGCCAAGGGTCCAGCTCAGAGTCACCCCCGCCCTTTATCCCTGCTGCGGCCTATGGGGAACGTAACCGCGCAGCAAAGCACAGCAAGGGTAGAGGTCGAGCGCTGAAAATGCGGTGACGCCGACTCATACATATCCTCTGGGCTGTAGCAGTGGTAAGAATATCTTCTTTTTTTTTGCAGCGTTGGTTGTGCGAAACAGCAGCGGGATGTCGTTGCTTTCTTCTTCACTGCTCCTGCGGCTATTTGCTGCGAAAAGAGCCGCCTTCAACGTGTACACTCTCTCCTTGGAGATTGGTCAAATGTCTCTGCTAGAGCTGAGTCAGTCGCGGCACTAGCCGTATGTAGGGACATGTAATCGCATTATTGGCAGCGTTTAAAAGCAATTTCCTGGTTAATGGCGGGATGAACACATGTTCCATATTATCCAGATTACAGGCACACCACCTTCTTGATCGGGACCTGGCAGCAACCCAACAGGCGCTGTCAAGATTATGCATGCGAGATCCAGGCTGCCATCGCACCGAAACTGTAATCCTACGTTGCTTCACGCTTTCATGCTTCATATACATGTTTCGTTTATTGTTTGGCATCTCTAATTGCGCTGTACTGCAAAGCCTCGCTTGTTGTAGTTGCTGTCAATTGATTTGCTCCGTAGCAAATCCGCGCGCTACTGTAAGACGTCGTTCCCCGTATGGGGCAGACATGGAGCGGTTGGCCATGTGGGACCGGCCTGGAACTTGGACCGTTTGAGCTGATGCTGGTAAGTTCATGCTCTTCCAACTTTTGTTCATCTGTCGTATGTGATACGAGGGTTATATGAGTACCAACTCCGAACCAAGGGCTTGAATTGAGCAGGCGGCATTCTATAACCATACGAGTCAGCCACATACGGACTTTAAGCTGGTCATTCATTAAGTGACCCAGTGTATTGCTGCCAAGAGCTACTCTTTAGAGTTACCGGTAAAAGACTTGCTTTGGCTAGTAGTCGAGGTGTTATTATATCAGCTCACCTAGTAGGAACAGACTGGTGTGGAATCAATGTACTATATAAAGCAGAGATTGTAGCATACTGAATGTTTATGAACATATTGCTGATCTGTACCATATAGGCTAGGCATATTCAAGCCAATTGTATTGGACAGTACAAAATTAAAGCGGCACAACAAGGCATCAAAGCAAAGAACAGACAAGTTAAGCGATATAGCGCCCGCAGCAGCATTACAACTCATACGTCGTGATGCAAAGTCCAAAATTCTTTCCAAAGAATGAACCACACAGAATACAAAGAAATACAAGCGCTTACTTTACTTGATAGATGTAGGATTAAACAAGTTCTGGAGAGGGGCTTTCTTATTTGCTGACGCCATTATTGCACGATATTAAGATGCATACAGTGACATGAACAATGTAAATGCTTCATAGATTAGTACTTCTGGAATATAAATTGAACCACGGCCCCAACCATAATCTAAGAATATTTAAACATTAATCTAACCTGCCGCAAGTTATACAAATTCAATCTATCCTTTTCTTGTTTTAAACTATACTACATAAAGATTTCTTTTTCTTTCCCTAAGGCTATAGTATAGTTGGTCAAACCCTCATACACTCCAGTCCGACTCCGACTGCAAACATGAAGCCTTACATCTAGCCTTACGTTTGCTATAGTGGCAGCTGCTGGTTCATATGCAAAAAATTACGGTCCGAGTACAAAATGCATTCAGTTTTATGATGGAGTTGGCTGCCAGGGCCAATTATGCGAATATGTTCCCACTCATGGAGGGAATTGTTTTGTGTTTAGTGCATTTATCTCTCTCCAGATTTCTGGTCAGGCATTTGGGGGTGTCATCAACTGCTCGATGTATTCTGATACCAATTGTCAGAATCAGATTGCTCATGTCTCGAATGACGGCGCTGTTATATCGAGCGTCTGCGGGAATGTCCCACTTGATGGAAATAACCTCCCGATTCAAATTGCACAGTCGATGATTTGCATTGACTAAGGATATGGATTAAATAGAGCAGTTTACATACTGTTGGACTTTAGCTTCGTGCTCGGCAACCACATAGAAATACCTTGTGTTTTCCAATATTCGAGTTGTCCTTTATATATACATATACATTTCAAAACCCTAGGCAAAGCATATAAACCTTTACGGAGAAACAAAGGGGGCGGTTATATGATACCGAGAAACACCAGCAGATGGCGATAGTCGTATCCAAAATTTAAATTATTGGACAGCTAGTACCGTAATCGTGCCGGGATAGCAAAAACTGATTGGTTAGCATTGACATGCGCGCACCAAATGGGCTTGATCATCTTAGCCAGGAACATGGTTTTTAAAGCTAATAGAGTGCTGTACACTCAATGTTTGGACACAGGTGGCTTGTAAAGAGGCCGATTGTAGCTTGTGGCTGAGGTTTAGCTCCCAGAGTAATGCTGCCTTATCTTCTCCACTCAATGATACATGTTCTCCCACGTACGGCTATGGAACACTCTCGTCGAAATTCATCCATGACTCGAGCTTTCACATGTCTAGACCAGATGGAAACGTCATCCACGCAGCGATGCTGAGCCACGACGAGGCCGGTGGAGACTCTGGCGCCGATAGCACCGCCACATGCCGCATTAGCCTCACCCCCTTCTTCATGATGACGTCGCAAGATTGCCCCGCCTACACCCCTCAAACAAGGCCGACGAGCTTGCTCAGGAGGTGCTGCGATAGCTAAATTGCGCGACAGGCTCCCTCTGAAGTCACGAACTTGTCACTCAAGCAAACGCGCTATATAAATCGCCACGCCTCTTCTGCCCGATTTTGCTACTATTCTCAAAATTATTCTTCTCACCAGCTATCCATACAACCCTTGATATCACTACTAAGCTTCCCGCCAAAATGACCACCACCGTCCACGTCAAGAACATTGCCGCCGCAACAGGCGATACTGAAGTCAAGGACTTCTTTAGCTTCTGGTTTGTCCCCCTATCCTACTATTTTTGATCGCTCTGGACCTCGTCTAACATTTTTCATAGCGGCAAAATCACCGACATCAAGGTCACCACCGAGGGCGAGACGAAAAGCGCAGAAGTCACTTTCGAAAAGGAGACTGCCATGAAGACAGCTCTTCTCCTAAATAACACACAGCTCGGCCCCAACCACATTACAGTCGCCAGCGCCACCGGCGATGTTGAAGATGATGGCTCTCACTTCGCTCGACAGGGCAACAACAACGACGAGATTACCCAGGAGATGAAGCCCCGCTCTCGCATCCTTGCCGAGTACCTCGCGCACGGCTACGTTGTTGGCGACGCAGCGCTCCAGCGCGCCATCGAGCTGGACCAAAAGCACGGCATCTCGTCAAAGTTCCTCAACAAGATCCAGGAAATGGACAAGAAGTACCAGGCCACCGACCGCGCCAGGACTACCGACCAGACCTACGGCATCTCGCAGCGCGCTGGCAACTTCTTCGGCGGCCTGAGCAGCTACTTTGAAAAGGCCAGCAACACCCCCACCGGCAAGAAGATTGCCCAGTTTTACATTGAAGGCTCGAGACAGGTGCAGGATATCCACACCGAGGCGCGGCGACTTGCTGATCTGAAGACGGAAGAGCACGGCAGCGCTTACAAGGCTGCTGGCTTGGATAAGGTCTTTGGCAAGGAGGCTGAGAAGGAGAAGCCAGCGGAGGAGAAGCCTACTGATTCTGCTGCTCCCGCTGCTGCAACATCTACTGATGCCAAGAGCGGTTAAGGCAGTTAGAATATCCAACCTGTTGTTGTATGAAATGATTCCCGCAAGATGTTACAAGTTGAGATTACATGTTCCTATTGTGCTGAGTTCAGATGGTTCCTGATATGAGTTTTACGGTTTCAATGCAACAGGCGTTGGTTAGTTTAGCGACGCAAATAGTTGATGCTATGAAAATGAATATTGTACAAATGCCAATTTCTCTTTTTTTTTCCCACTTTCCTTCCGTCAACGGACATTGCCCTAACAATTGAGCGGAGTCCCTGCGGATATGATTAGTAGATGGTCTATAGCTTCGCGCGACCTCAGTTAATATTCACAGTTTCCTTCTCCCTTGGAAAACTTGTGTTCAAGTGCGTCGTCCATTGGTCCTTTGGGGTTCGACGTGAGACACTGCCAGTCAGGATTCAATTAGAAGCTGCTTATGAGCGGCGAAATAAATTGATGAATTCTCGCTTACATCGAGTTGATGTTTGGGATCTGTCTCGTTGGGTTTGCTAAGGCCAGATGCCTTGCCGGATCCGGGAGGATCCTGAAGCTGGCGGCCAGATTGGCGTTCAGGAGGAGGAGATTGATGACCTTCAGGCATGATGGCTTTGAATTATGCTTTGGTTGATTTTTTTTAAGAAAAAAGAAAAGCTGCTTTAAAGAAACTTTACACTTTGCGACGATGGGGGATTTCTTAAGTAGAGCTGAGACAGTGCTCTTTGCTGGCGTTGACGTCAGCGCCCTCATCATCGAGGAGCGATTGCATCATGTTGATGTCGCACAACAACTGATAAGATAGCGAACCTTGCGAAATCGACGAAAGTAAAAATGGAGCTTTGTTATGACTGGAGGTGTTATGCTGGGTTAATTGGAGCTATTCTTTGCCTTTGTGTGCACCATAGCGTCCGATCATCTCGGCGATTATTCTACGTGCCTGAATCTTGTTAGCACGGAGCACTGCACCAATGATGAGATTATGCCGTTCCATTAGGCAATTACTGCTTGTAGATTAACAACATGGAGAGTACCCAATACTTCTCAACAATTTATAGTGTTGACTACTACTAAGGTAGCAGGTAGTTTCCCATTAGTATTAGATACCAGTTATGCTTGAGCAAACCTTGAATGGGGCAATGTGTCTCAGTTGTAGGCAAAGAAGAGGCTGCTTCACGTTATTCGACAATCTCCTAGGTGAATACATGTACATGTGTAAGCCCGCTGAATCAATGCTGCATTGAATGCTTAGGGGTTGTTTGCATCCGAATTGAATGCATGTTGCTCTTCCAAGATGCGGAACAACTTGCCTTTATAGAGCTTATTAGTACTTGGAAGGTATTACTGCCTATGCAGCAGGAGCTTTATGTTTGCGCATCCACCACCACTGCCACATAAACGTTTAAGCCGTCGGCAGCCAGCGCCAGCCAGCGCCAGCCACCTGCACGCAGGCACCAGCAAGCCCCCTAAGCACCGCCAAGCGCCCGCCGAGTAGCAGTACTCTAGCGGACTTATCGGGTAACTTTTTAGTGCCCGCGGCGGCCATGGCCACCAGATTCCCACGCACCCCGCACCCAAGACTGACCGAAGGGGGCCCTTCGTCGTACCGCCAAATCCAGATGGATCCCAACTTCTCTTGTCTCAACCTTGTCTTAACCAGCTGCGACACACCGCATCTTCAAATCTCGTTTTGCCGGTGACTCTTCCTTCTCCTCTTCGTGCCGCAGCAGCAGCTTGTCTCGCACCAGCCACCGCCGCCCGGGAGACGAGAGCCGAGCGACGCATTTACACGAGATTAACTCGCAATATAACAGAGCAAAAAAAGGGTGCAGGCGTGCTTTTTGTACAAGACAGCAAAGATGCCAGATCTGAACTCGGTGCCTCCATCGCCTCACGTCCTGGCAAGTGGCACGCACTCTCGCCGCCAGTCTGCCAACCTGCCAGTCGCATCATCGCCGCCGTCGACTCAGTCGTCTGTCAACATCCTGCCGTCCAACCAGGCCGCCGTCAATCAACAGATCCCCTCGCAGGCCTTGCCGTCTCCCGGATTCCCGCCGCCGCAGTCGCCCATGGGTCCCCCATCAGATGCTGCAGTCGGGCCAGGCCCGGGTCCTCTGCGACACCCAAGGCCGCTGACGGCTTCCGAGCTTCATATGCAGCTGGAAAAGGAGCAAGAGGCAGTGGTAAGGATGAACCATGAATTCTCGGTGTAATTCACATGTCTTGGCCTGTGATACACCCGTCGCGCGACTATCGACTGACCATCGACAGGTGAATCGTCTGACCCGTGAACTCTCTCTGCTTCGAGCTGCCCACAATGCGTCTGTCGTTTCAAACACTTCCTCGACGTCCAACGCTGCCTCTTCCCATGATCCCATTGTCGAATCTTCGCTCTTGTCTGGCTCTGGATTCTCGATCCCTACCGCGCGCCGCCATCACAGAACCTCTTCTTCTACTTCTCAGACTTTCCCCAGCTTTGTTTCCTCGTACGACGCTCGAGCCCGACCATCCCACCCCGCATCGCTCTCGCGGCAGAATAGCAGTGCTTCGCGTCGAAGCCAGACAGGATCGCCGGCACCACCCAGCTCTATAGACCCGTCCAACTACTTTCATCAGCAGAGAATCCCGGCCGCTGCTACTAATTCCGTCATGATGAGCTCTGTCGTGGCTACTCCTGGCAGCTCCGTTTTGGGTGATCAGATGAGCCCTGGGCTGATGCCCGCAACGTTGCGATACGAGGAGACGGCCTTTTATCGACAGGAGCTGGACAATGCAAAGAAAGAGAACGAGGCGCTCAAGAGACGTATTCGAGAGCTTGAAAGACTCGTCCGTGAGAGACGATCAAGCGATGCAAGCCGGAATAGAAGCGACAGCGCCAGCACTACAGCTAGCGCGAGTGTGGCCCCGGGTGGCGGCGTTAGTATTGCGGGCCCCCGAGAGAGCATTTACGGCCATGGCAGAGACCGCGAGCGCGCTATGCAAAGCTCAACAAGCTTGGCTGGAGGAGTAAGCATTGGTGTCCCTGATGAAGAGGTCAAAGTTGGCGAGAGCGCCGCAAGTGGACGATCGGGAAATGACAGCCAGCGGTAATCATCCAACATAATCGACTAGATTCACAATTTTCTTTGTTTGGCAAGCGGATGGGTATGGTATACAAGTCTTGGGCTTTATTAACACTCAAAGGAAAATACTTAATGGCGTTCAGGAGTTGATAGCGAGACTATGAGTTGGTTCACAAAACTATTTTTTGTTACTTTTCTTTTTTTCCCTTCCGCTTCGCTGAGCACTGGAGGCAACATAAAAAGACTATCAAGACCTTTGCAGCCTATCCTATTTCATTTTTTCCTTTCATTTCTTGTTACAGAAACAAATTATATAACTTGATATGGATAGAGTGAGCGCCCTTGCTTTCACTATCAAGAACTAATGACTTATGATCTATTATCACTCATAAATTTCCTCAATAATTTCTCAATACCACTGAAACAAAAAGAAAGAAATCAGCGTGCCGTACCAATGATTAATCCAAGTGGAGACAAACCAAACGCTGGTAGCAATTGCTCAAAACAAAAAACGCCTTAAGAACAAGCAACGCAACGCCCTCTCACCAAACGGCATAGTCTTTGGCTTTTTTAGCCCTTTTCTTGCGGACGTCGAGCAGAGGCATGTCCTCATCCGAATCTTCACTAGACACTTTGGGTAGATAAAGAGCCTGGGTCTCCTCTAGCTGCCTTTTCCGTAAAGAGCGCGGGCTTAGCAAGCCCAAGTTCGAATCGGATGCTTCAGTGGCGTCGGCGAGCTTGGAAGAAGATTCGAGTGCAGAAGATTCAAGGTGTCGCTCCTCATCATTTTGACTTTGGTCTCGGCTCTCTTGAGCCTCGACCTCTCTGCGTCTCTCGGCCCAGCAACGCTCAATAACTCGTCTGAGAACACCGTGGATGGTGCATTTCTCCTTGATGGAAAGGCTGCATTTGAAGACTACGCGGTAGGCACAGCGAAATATGTATGATTCGTGAGTCTTTTCCTCCAGCATCTTTGTGAGAAACGTGTTCTTTTCTGACGCGGCAGCGAGATCCGCGACGAGGGTCTCGTTCTTGTCGTTGAGTTCCTCGATTTTGTCTCTTTCCTTCTTCAACTGTTTGCTGATCGAGATCGCTTTTGCTTCGGCGAGTTGACATCTCGCCTCGTAGGTGGCCCCCAGCTCGTGTTTTTCTTTCGTCATGCGTTCTAGGGCTGAGCTGAGCTCGCGACATTTCTCTTCAAGGCGGCTGCATTTGAGCTGTGCTTCACGCTCTCTGCGTTCTAGATTGAGCACTTGGCGAGACAGAGGGTATGAGTTGTGAGATGGGATATCGGCTTCTATCGAAGGTAGGATCTCGTCATTGAGGAGGAGAGAATTGTTGCGCAAATCGCTTGGCGGTTCGATGGGCGGAGGAGAGAGCTGTGTTATTTGCTGGTCTTCTGGTTGAAGGGTAGCACTGGGGCGGAAAGCAGCTGAGGACATGTTATTTTGCTGTTAGAATGAGCGAGTGGCGTGAAATTATGTTTATAAGAGCATCTTTAGAGGCTTGTTCTTGAGAATTGTTTATATCGTTTGACATAGGGTTGAGTGAGCAAGTGAAGTTGGTGTTGTTACACACACAAAAGAGAGAGGGGGAGAGAGAATAAAATAGAAAGGCCAGTTAAATAGATAAGTGTTGCAAGGGCATGGGTCATCTAATTTTCGTCTGAAGATTTTTTCATCAATATGCATACTACTACTTGAACAGCCTTGGCACAGGTGAATCGAAAGTGAATCAGAAGTGAGTTCAGCCGTTTTCAGGACTATGTTCAAGTAGTAAAAACTATGTTCAAAAACAGGCCTGGTTCCCTGACGAGCATCACGTAATTTTCTGCGCGCCCGTTTTGTGGCCCCGGAATTAATGAATACTCTATCCATGTCTTTCAAAATTGCCTCTTGTTGGGCTGTTTCACCAAGGGAGGCGAGGCGTCGAATGTATAGGATTGGCCGAGACGCAGGTATTCGGGAATAGACTCCCACAGCGTAAGGAGGTTCTCCTGGAGCTCTTTGATGGCTGTCATTGAACGATAATTTGCGGTGTAAGCTCGTATGTCAGTTTCTACTTGCTAGAAAAGAGGGACTATTTCACTATAAACAACACATGCCGCTTTTTATGGATTACGACACATCGCATATCGGAGTTACAGCATGGTGATAGCTCCTACATATTTGCTGAAAAATATCAATGCACCTTAACTATCCATTCATAGAGTAAAAATGTTTCTCTAATATTAAAATAGTGCCAATGTAGGGATAGTAGTTCCCAGCACTATATTGCCAAAGATCGCGTCATCTATTGTTAGGTGTCATATAGAGTCTCCTTTATTCTGGACCAGGTTTATCTAACCACTGTTTAATCTGACCCATAAGTAGAGCAAAGCCAGGCAATACCTTATATACAGTGAACAATTATTTTATAACGATTCTGTAGATGCCAAACTTGGTCTGGGCTATGTAATACGTATCAAACGTTCATTCTACTGCTGAGCAGCTTACCGCTCGGTATCTACATCTCTACTTCAGCCAGTCCCGAATAACAAAGCAATCAAGACCAACACCAACCCTCAATCCGCTTGACGATCCAAAATCACTCCCGTAGGATCTTTAGTCTCTCTGTCCCCCCACGTGGCCTCCCACCCGTGATCAGCCAAGTACACCTTCCACGCCGCGTCATCGTCCTCCAACCGGCGGGACACGTCAGGGATGACGAAAAAGGCCACGAGGGCGCCGAGAACAGCAAAGGCAGACCCGATAAGAAACGCCACTTGGTTTCCCTTGTCCGGGTTGCTGGTGTACTTGTTGAGGATTGCCGTGAAGACTTGAGTGCCAATGGCTGCGCCGGCTTTGCTGCAGGCACTGATCAACCCCATCATCTGGCCACGAATCGAGGTGGGGAAGCATTCGGATGCGGTCAGGACCACAGTGCTGCAATAGAGTTAGCTAAAGATTTGGATGATATAGCTGCAAGATTGTTTGAATGGATAAAGAGGATCGGAAGTTGGACTTGATTCATGTATCCAGCAACAGTCATCATACCTTCCAGGTCCCACCTCACCAAGCGTCAAGAATATCCCATACAGCACTACAAAGAGGGGAAACACCGTCTGGATAGGACCAATTGCACCTCCAATGATGAATCCAAGGATGGCCTGCAGACTGAATCCGAGCGCCATTGTCTGCCGCCTCCCAATCTTGTCAGACAGATAGCCGCCCAAAAAGGGGCCAGGCACGTAGAAGCAGTTGATGAGGACTCCCCATCCGAGAGACTTGACAAGGCTCTGCTCCGTGTTGACTCGGCTAATAATAGTTGAGCTGAAAATACCGAAAGGAATGGAAATCCAATTATACAGAAACCAGCTGGCTGCAGATCCGATCAGTGGCCGATAGTATCGCTTCAACGCCAGCCAGTACGGGACTCGCTGCTTTCTCATGGCAGATTTACGATAGGCCGTAGCAACAGCCATGCGCATCCGGAACCAAAAGATGCCCAGCGGCGGAATCGCCCCCAGAGCAAAAGACGTCCGCCATACAATACCGTACTTGTCCTCTCTCTGGCCGACGCAGAGCAGCAACAGGAGAGGCACCAGCCCGCCCCAGACATAGCCAAGGTCGGAAGAGAGATCAGCCAGCATGGCGAACATGAAGCCGCGGCGCTTGCGATATGCGCCGCTCTCATCAGTGGCTTCGACAGCACCAGCACCAGACACCGGATACTCGCCTCCGGCACCAACACCGGCAACGCCCCGGGCGACGATGAGCATCCAGAAAAGGCCCTTTGGGGACGTGCCGTTGGCCGCGGCCGACATGGCAATGCCGAGGACGAGCAGAATGGTCGTGGCCACGGCGCCGGTCTTGCGGCCGAGCTGGTCGACGATGACGCCGAAGAAGAGCATGCCGATGATCATGCCGATGAGGAAGGCGTTGCTGAGGCGCGAGTAGATGGAGTTGGTCAGTTCGTCGGGGTAGATGACGCCGAGGAGAAGCTCGACGTTGCCTATCACGGCGGCATTACTATATAAATAAGATGATTAATCGTGAGACGTTATGAAAATGCCAATGGGAGGAGTAAATGTTCTTACTAGCCATCTGATCCGATTGCCAGACCTGAGAAGAGAACCATCAGCCAGACGGAGAGCTTGCTGTAATATCCTTTGACGGACTCGGCTACACTGCCCGTCTCAACGTCGACGCCATCTTTGCTCTTTTCAACATGCGTCTCATCTTTGACTATTTCTATAGCTGCTGTTTCTCCGACAGTCTCAACTTTGACACTTGGGGGTGAAGTTTCCGGCTTTGAAGCCTCGTCATCCTTTGAGCCCCCAGCCATCGGCAATGATTTGGTAATAAATGAGCTGAAGGAACTGGAATATTTTGACGCGGGCTTATACGTTGATCTATACCCCACGTGAGGAATGGCTTACATGAAGAGGGGTCGTGAAAGGGAGGAGTGCATGTACTGTAGGGTTACATGCACTTATCTTTCTTTTTTAACCCTATTCCAGCTTTAACATACTGATTCCTCCTCACTGTAACACATACAGGGCATCTTCATCCAGATACGCTATCCGGTTAAGTAGGAGAGATCGGCGTAAGAACATGGTTGCTCGCTTGTGGAGATGACACTTTGGGATGACATTTCGCATCATAAGCGTTGATAAACAATGGTATTAGCGTTGGCAAAGATTGTTCGTCCGTTTCTAATGACTCAGCTCTTATTACGATTATCTATAACTCAAACAGCATTCTCCATACAAAACCCATGTTTCTTCAAACGGTAGAGGCGTCCAACTTCTGTTTAAAATGGGGAGGGGATGTTATGAATGCTTTCCTAAAGCAGTTCGCCGATCCGTGGCTGCATCTAGAGATGGAACCAATTCCCCGCACTCTGATGATCTTCGTTTTCAAGACAGATACACATGATAGGGCGCCTGATAAAAGCTAAAGCGATGCTCCATGCGACTGCGACCTTTTTTTTTAATCGCATGTTTGTAGCAGAAGCGAGCTAAACAACGACTTATTCCCGTGCATGATGCCGGCACTCGTTGCTAAATTACCCCCTCCCCCACGCATAGAAGAATCCCACATTAAAACGGTTGAACATCAACTTGACCTATCATTGCACAACGCTAAATACGCGGTAACAGGGATACGTCACTGCGATTGGCTTGTAAGATAACAGCTATAAGCTGCCAAGTCAAATCAAGTGGATACAAGTTCCCCGAGATAATCGTGCCTCAATGTATTAGGAGCTCGCGATCTTTTTTAGTTTAGACACCATTCGCAGGCAGGGTACTGCAGCCAAGACAATAAGTGTGTATGTACACGCCGGTTTAATGAAATCTGACGATAGGCTTGAACTTGATTCTCATCAATCAGATTCGGATTCATTGCCGTCGTCTTTTTGATGTCAGGAAATTAACCAATAACAAAAAGACATCATGTATCATTACCAGCCCATCAACAGTGAAAAGGGCACAGCGCCGACAATAGAAACACCAACGCGAAAGCGCATATCCTCAAGATCACGATTCCGCATCTCATTCTTCACAACCCTCGTCCTCCTCGGCACCATTCTCCTCTATCACAACACATCTCTATCATCACTCTGCAGTCACAACAACAACCACCACCACCCAAACGTCGCCAAAGTCCAACAATGCTCCATCACCAACTTCAAATCCGACCTCTCCTTCCTAGACAACGCACAGCCCATCCAAGCAGATGAATTCCTCCAACGCAGAGACCGTCTCGCACAAGCTCTCGCCCTCAACAAAGTAGACGCCTTCGTCCTCGAGCCGGGCTATACGTTCCAGTACTACGGCAACATCTCCCAAGTCGACTGGGAACCATGGGAGCCCGAAGAGCGCCCCTTTCTCATGCTCATCATGCCGCAGGTCTCTCCCGATAGTGGCAAAATCTCCGCAAAGACGGCTTTCCTCTCGCCTCACTTTGAAGAAGGCCGCGTTCGCATGCTGGGCATCCCCTCTCATGACGCGGAGCTGGACATTGTCATCTGGGAAGAGCACTGGAACCCATACACCACGCTCCTCAAGTCCAGGCTCTTCAAAGACATTGACTCTCCAACGCTCATGGTCGACGAAGAGATGCGCGACTTCATCGTCCGCGGCCTCGACGCCGAAGGTTTCCGCACCGTCGGCCTCACCCCCGAAGCAGAGCTCGTAAGGCAGCAAAAGTCCGCCGCCGAAGTCGAGCTCCTCCGGGCCGTCAACACCGGAACCGTGGCCGCCGTGCGCGCCATGCGGCCGTGCCTCGTGCCGGGCCTCACCGAGGACGAGGTCACTTCCATCCTGGACAAAACGCTGCTCTCCGTTGGATTCAGCCTCTTCTTCGACATTGTGCTCTTTGAGGAGCACGGCGCTCTGCCGCATGGCGGGTTCGTTACCGGCGGCAAGAAGCTCACGTACGACTCCATGGTTGTCATTGACGTTGGCGCCCATTATCTCGGCTACTCGTCCGATATATGCCGTAGCTTCTTGATTGATGCACCGCCATCGTCACCTCGCAAAAACAACGCTGCGGATCCTCTACGGGCCGAAAAGGAAAAAGTCTGGCAAATCGTCTTGGAAGCGCAAACAGCCGCAGCCGGAGCCATGAAGCCGAATAACACGGCCGCCAGCGTCGACATTGCGGCGCGAACAGTCATTGAGGATGCGGGATATGGATATGGCTTCACGCACCGCCTCGGACACGGCATTGGCATCAAGGCTCACGAATCTCCGTACCTGAACAAATGGAACACAGCTGCGCTCCTGCAGCCCGGAATGACATTTACCAACGAGCCAGGAATCTATCTAGAAGGTAAATTTGGAGTTAGGCATGAAGATATCTACTTGGTAAAGGAGGACGGCGAGGCAGAGCTCCTCACAGGCCAGCGAGCAAGAGGGCTGTATGAGCCTTAAAAAACAAAAATTATTACAAAATACATGCAAAAGGGGGTATCATTAAACTTCCTGTCTAAGTGTTTATACCATCATATCCAAGTTTCTTCTTTGTACCAGGTGATGCCTTTGCCAACAACAACAACGACAACAACAACGCTATGCAATTTTCACATCGTCATCAATGCTTCTGATGATCCTTCATGCAAAGGAAAGCCGCTCGCAATCACAGTACGCGGCAGGTACTGCAGCCACGGCAAGCTATCGCCTTCCAAGATGGGGCTGTGATTCAGACTGCAGTCGATGTAGACATTGCCATCCATGTACGTCCAGTTCGACACGTCTGTTGTGCTCTCCGCCACTGATCCCTGGAATGGCGAAGTGCTCAGAGCTGCGCAAAACCAGGACATTTGTTGAAACACTTCAATCAGGGTATGCATCCAGGCGCTCACGCTCATTCTAATCCAGGAGCCCTCGGTTTCAATATGGATGAATCTCAAGCCAGGACAATGGGCGCCTTTGCCATCGCTGCCATCCCAAACAGACATTCCGGAAAATTCATCTCCTCGCAGGAGTGAGGATGTTGCATTTTTATGTGCTTCCTCTATGCAGCCCAGGATGATCGATCCGCATTTGGGCCACTGCTTCTGAATGTATTCCGATATAGTTGTGCAATTATGCTCGGTTGAAGTACCCGTCACCACAGGTAAAGCTCCCAAGCGAACATGGGAAAGGTCGCCAAAATTGCCCTGTGGATCAAACAGCTGACATTCGTACTTGAACTGAACAATGTGAAAGCCATCTGACGGAGGAGGACCAGGTCTTCTCAGCACAATATCCCAGATGGCCGATTCAGCAAAGTGGATCTGAACAAAATGTGGAGACAACAGCACTCTTCTCATCTCATTGATGAGATTCTTGGCGGCATTCCCCGTTGTGATGAGTGTGTGAAGCGCACGTGCAATCTCGTCCGGGTTTCCTCCCGGCGACTGGTCCGCAAACTCTCGATGCCAGAAGCCACACAGGAGTTGCAACGCCAGCGGGAAGTCAATGCCTTTGGTGTTAGTCGACCAGGTCACGGGCCTCTTGGACAGACCCGGGCCAAGCTTGTCAAGGATACATCTGGCCGTCTCTGGCCCATTCAGCACAAGAACGAGCTGGCGGATCGGCCCATCAAACAGCAAGCTGACCTGGCGAGAGAGCTGCGGCCCGGAGCCGCCGTGGTCGGGATCGTGGTAGAATAAGAAGAGCTCGTCCCACAGCTGCCTGACAAACACAGATATGAGGCGGTCGAGCACTCGGTCGAGGTTGACTTGGATCCTCCTGTCCGGGAAGTAGTAGTGGCTGAGCAGCTCGTTGCTCAACCCGTCGGCCAGGGCCTTGGCAAAAGCGGCAACCAGAGCCCCCGCAACCAGTGGGGGGAGCTGGACTTCGATGTTCTTCGCTTCTTGTCTGAAGTTGGTCGGAAACGGTGGTATCGGCGGCTTGATTGGCGCCGAGGGCAGAGGGTGGGCAAAGCCTGTCCCTGGTATCCTAAGGGTTTCAGGACAGCCAGGCGGAGGTGGCATGTCTGATCATGGCTAGAGGGGGAGGATGTGATGGATATACTGGTAGCAGTGGTTTACACGATGCTCGCCATATACGTGTATGCACCGTGCCGGCGACAGGAAACCAAGTATGGGACGGGGATCACCGCAGGGATAGCAAGCTGTGCATTTAAGCTTGACCAATCCGCTTCATATAAGAGAAAGTCGGTCCAGAATCCTCTTCCACACAAATCTGGCCCAATAGAATTCCCACCGCCATTTTATTTATAAGACGTGGGTTAAAAAAAAAAATAGTCTGCGTTTTTGGGGGGCCACCTCAAGCTGCGCAGGCAAAGAAAAGCGTTGCGTAGCTGACGTTGCAAGCTGTCGAAAGCATTGCGCGTCCCATTTCCCAACTGAGTAAAATGCGGCTACCGGCTTGCCACACAGTCTGCGATTGTCGCTGCTCTCTCAGTATTTGCTACGCTTTTTCCATACCAGGAACAACATAATGCCGGGACATGCTAATTGGTTTTGGAACTTTTTTTTTGTTCTGCGCAAAAGGGCGAAACGAGTCGCGACTCATTTACCGTACTGTAAGCATGTTTGACGGAGCTTTTTTCCCGCTGGCCAGGATATCGTTCCTAAAGCTGCGCGTCTCGGGAGCAGCAACCCGCGCCGGGCCAGGTAATTCATTCGACGCCAGATTACGATTCTTGATTGAGGCAAAAAGGGGCGAATCATCTGCTTGCGAATGCTGACCTGAAATGCGAAGTGAGGAAGCGAATGCGAAAACAGCGAGTGGGTGGCTGACCCGGCGTAGGGAGGTGGTTACGTACCACGCCAGTCGAGAACCTCCTCGGGTACAGCTGCCATGATAATGCAACACCTATAGTACTTATATCGATGATTAGTACGGCCAATTCTCCTTATGGGGGGGCTATAAAAAAAACCTCACTTGTCAAACTATATAATATTGCTTTTCGCTGCCTCTTTGGCCTCAATTCCATCATTTCAAGCCCTCAGTGGGGGGGGAATTATTGGACCGCAGTCAACGGTCCACGACGACGATCATCCACAAAGACTCAAATAATCGACTTTTTCTTAATCGCACTGAGTTGGCATAGATGCCTGAGGATATCGCTTTGCGACATTTTCCACTATCCTACGGAGTATTAATATCAGCATCCATCTCCGTCTCGGGTACAGGAGGCGAAACGGGTTTCTTTTTGGCGCTGTCAATGTAGTCAGTCCGTGCAGCGACTGCCTCAAGGCAATGAGTGCTCCATGTATGCGTTCACCCTACTGAGATGGCATCATCTTCCACAAAACAGGGTATAGAGGAATCTGCGGCACAGCAATAAGTATCTTAGGTAATAAGAGTAAGTGCATTCCAAATAAAAGGGGATTGGAGGTTTCATACCGCCAACTGCTCATCGGCGGCGCAATTCCTCCCCTCCATTGGACCGTCCCTGGAGATGTGCATCAAAGGCGTTAATGTGGCTGCTGTCGTGCTACTATACTTCTGTCGATCGCGCTCCAACCCCGCATCAATCGACAAGAGAAGAGGGGAAGCTGGCCTGGCCGAAAGAGCTCACATAAGAAGAGTTCACAAAAAGCTACACATCAAATCACCTCCAAGAGACGATTGGTCACAATTCAGAGACACATACGGAGTAGAATCAAAGTACCATCAGGTGAAAACCTGGTCAATTGTGATAAAAGATTTCAAGTTATACATTAAGAGTGCGTGCACTCCTTTCATGAAAGTAATTGCCGTAATAAGCGATGCATCCAGCAATCGCATCATCATAACCCGACCAACAACATCTAGTTGCAATATCCCGGGCGCCGACTCGCACCGAACTAAGCGAAGCCAAACAAAAAACAATTGAAGGAACTATTGGAACAGATATTAGGATGGGTGGATGGGTATTTACTCGTCAGCGTCCTTGTTCTTCTTCTTCTTCTTGCCACCGCCGCCGCCGCTTGACATGCCCGTTGCAGGTTGGCTTTGTAGGTGAACTTCAAAGTAGTTGACGCCTTCTTCCCATGCGAAACCCTTCAGGTATGGGTTATCCAACTCATCATCAGCCTGCAGACAAGCATTTTATTAGCCATAACGTTGTATTAAAGCATCAAGTCTCAGGAGCTTACTCTGTTCTTGTTTGCCTTGTGGATGGCTGACAATGCGTCACCTATTGTCAGGCCCTTCATGTTTCGTGCCACGACCTCCTTGCCATGCGGGAATTTTAATGTTATGCTCTTGATAGGAGGCGATGTTAGGGGAATCATAAGCAGTTGATCATTGTCAAGATCCTTTGGCCGTTGATTTATTTTCCTATGTGATACCTGTTAGTATATGCTGCAGAATATGGGATGGTCTCGTCCTCCATCGGACAGTGCGAACATACCAGGCAGTCTGCTGTGTCTCCAAAGCCAGCTTCAGAGGTGCATGGCTTTCGTCTGTTCGACGGTGTAAGCAATTGGTCATCAGCAACAATTACAACTGCGGGACAACTCACTGATTTCGTTGATTGTCATGACACCAGCCGCACTAGAGCTTGTTCTCCGGTGGCCCTTTTCTTTGGGCGGTGATGATGACAGGCCTTGGACGGCAGAATCGACCTTGGTGAGAGGTTCAGACATGATGGTTGTGGGATCAGACGAGATCCGAGAGCTGCAAATGATTTCGTGTGAGATGCAATGAAACGACGTCACAGGGAAGCAAATTAGTTTACCTGTTTGATGAAAAAGAAGACGAGATAGTCGAAGAAGATGAATGTGATGATAGAGAGGAGAGAGGAGAGAAAGAGGAGAAGGTTTGGAGAGAGGGGAAGGAGTGGCTTCATAAAGGCCGGCAGGACTTAGGCCTGCTAGGCACCGTGACACTCGCTTCCGAGAGCAGGAGCAGGAGCAGAGCATCGCCGCTGCCCCTTACGCAGCCCGGGCGGGGTAAGTGCCTTCCTTCTCCCAGACTGGGAATGCGAGCGGATCGCGTGACAATGATACCACCGGCGATGCTGGCTGCGTGCAGGTCACTGTGGTACCCGATTAGGCTTAGCACTGCGGCCCTGCACTAAATCCACCAGAATCCGGGGAAGAATCTGGGGAAGCGCCCCACTGCCCTGCGAGTGCCGGTTGATGGAAAAAAAGACATTGCGCAGGGGGAATGTGTTGGGAATTGCCGTGCATCGAGCTTCAGCTGGTGAAAAAGTCGGTTTTGCGTCTTTTTTTTTCTGCATCTGTTGCTGAAGCTGGTGCCGTGTGATTGGGGATGCGACTGGGTGAACGAGCACTCGATGTGACTAGAGCGCCCCTTGCCCCTCACCGGCCGATCTCTCCGGGTGGATCGGGTACTTGATGGCAACGCGCCCACTCTGCTCGATGTAAGGTATCCGGTACCTCTGAACCTTACCATGTCTCGAGTAAGTGACGTACTCGCCCTCCATCCCGTACTTCCTGTCCAATGACATTGGCCGAGTCCCCCAACCGCGTCGTTTGCGGACTGTGCTGCAGCAGCCATTTACTACTCGTCTAGGCTTAGATGAGGAATGATCCGATGACTTGGCAGTCTGAGGCCCAGGGCACAGCCAGTGTGCATACCAGACGAACGCAGGCATCGTTTTACTCCGCACCGGCTGAAAAGGAGGAGACGAGTCTCGTGTTCGGGGGCTGGAGCACGCAGGCCAAAATGGCCTCGCCACCCAGCATCTTGTGTCTGTCCAACTCTTCCTCTTCCTGTTCATCTGCCCATCGTGCAATAACTGCGTGTCGTTTTTTATCCCAACATCAAGCGTCCATCCATGAATTGTCCCTCTCACACGACCAAGATGCTCCTACGGACGGCCCCGTAATAGACAATGGCTCTACTGCGGGACTCTCGGGCTGTACACCGAGCCCCGCTGTGGGCCTCATAGCACGATGCATCGCATGTTTTGCCGCCAGGTCAGCACACGTCCAGGCCACGGGTGAAGAAGCGCCGCCCCATTGCGCCGAAACAAGAGAGAATATAACTCGAACGTATCGTCATGACAACCAGTGCCTCAATCCGGATGGCATATTCAATTGGAAAAAAGACCACCGCAAACTGAAACTTCGCACCTATGACTGCCCTGTGACCCGATTTCGAGAGTCATCCGAAACTCGCAGTTCTCGTTACGAGAATCTCCCAAGCACAATACACCAAGCGCATAATTATCCTCATAGAATTACTAGATAGACGCAAGGGGCGAAGATGGGGGAAACCCGGAACCTTCCTCTACTGCTTATTTTTCCCAGTACGCATACCTACCAGTATCGCATACTAATGGTTTGAAGTGATCAAAACCGCCATATACCCATTATCCCGATGACGACCAATTGCTCCTCTCGAATTTGACCGTGATCATGCCGTTATGCTCTGCGATAGCAACACGTTTCGCTCGTGAACTATTTAGCGACCTTTGCCCGCCATGTCTTCGTGCTTTCGAGCGTCAGCTACCCTGTAACCCTGCGTGCTATCTTGCCACCGCACACCGTTTTTCGGCCGATGAGACGCAATACCGAATCGTCCCGAACAGCACCATGAACTCATGTTTTATCTGCGCCAATTTCGTCATTAAACTGTCTTTGTTGTGTTTCTCGTGAACCGGCAATGCCATGCATGATTGGGTGTCCCCTGTGGTGGAGGTCGGCGAAGTCCTGGCGGTCCACAGCACGCCTGCGACATCAAGCGCATAGCGATGTTCATATGACTGATTAAGAGTTTAGACATTGCCCAGACGACGCGAGAACCGCAAGCCGTAGTCGATTCTAGACCTTTCTGCGACTCACAACACCCGCCCGTCAACAATGTCTCGTGGTAATCAAAGAAAATTTCCAAGAGTATCTACGAATAGACGACGTCCGATCAGAGAATGCGTACAAATTTCGGCGACACAAGCTCGAGAGCCCATTGAAGAATTATACGCCTTATAAACGGGAATTAAAGAGCATGGGGGAATGAAAATACAACGCTGCTGCATTTTACTTACAATTGTACTTGCACCCAACTTCACATTACCTTCAGCTTCAGGTTTTGCCGATGCGCTACGCCGATCTCTTACATGAAGAGAGCCCGCCAATGCCGCCAAATTCGTCCCTGAAAATGCTCCACGCGAAGAGCGAAGTGATAGATGCGTCCATTGAATTGATAAAGCAACACTTTACTCGCTCCAGCAAACGCTGTATGACGCCCTAGAGAGTTGATGTTGGACTTTTCCTTTACATGGCTGCCTGCGAAACAGCCACTGACAAGTCTGCCGCCGCTGTATAGAGACTACCAGCCGGCCGATCCACGAGATATGAATAAGATTTCCCCCTCCCCTCCGCGAATCTACGTCTGGAACGATTCATTTCGACAATAACCAGCTCTTAAATGTTTTATTCGCCCCAAGCATATTCTGTTCTTTCTTTTTTTTTTCTTTTTTATTACCATGAACCTCGAAGTATACGCCGGAATCTCCCTCTACGACAGCGTGCGAATTGCATATTCACCCCGCTCACACCACGAATTTGCCTTCTATTTACCCAGTGGCCCAGCGTACGGGATCGAAATATTTCTTTTCTTTTTCTTTTCTTTTCTTTTTTTCTTGTATCTCTACTTCTTTACAAATTCTTTTCGCTTGTTTTTCATTTCGCTATCTAAAATATTCTCTACACCCTTTATTTTTACCGCCTATGAAATTAACTGCAGCGGGGGAACACCGTGTTGGACTGGATATTATCACCATGGTCCTTGGATGCAGCAAATAGCGAACAGGCCGCTACAGGATACCTATGTGCTCGAGGCACCGCTACGTATTAAAACGCCGCAACGCCTGCGGTTATAGGACGCAATTATAGAATAGCTTTTAGGTGAAAAATCACGAGGTAATTGGAGCTCTGAACACGATAGACGGATGCGCTTGATGGTAGGAAGCTAATTGCGAAGACGTATGATGGAAGGGAAACCAAGGAAAGGGAATAAATACGATGGTTAACAATCGTTCATCGATGTATTGAGAGTGTGGTGAGCCTCTATGCATTTTCTACTTTCCACATGTTTGTTTTCTAGACAATTTTCACCTAACATATCCTCTAGGGAGATGTTAAGGAACATTGGAAATGGTAAGAGTGAGGCAGCTGAAGGAACCTTTATTTCCATGGCTCTTTCTCTGACCTTTTGACTCAGAGGGAACGGCGTCGAATCCGACCGACGGAGTGATGATGGGATTTGTTTGCGGGCTTAATCATGGGAAGATGGGTTGGGTTATTCATGTGGGCTTGGTCATGAAAATGCAAAGGCAAATGGGGGCGAAGAGGATGGTACTGTGTATGGAAAAGAGGCTATGCAATGTGAATGGAATTCAACACTGGCGCAATTCAAGCACACGGGAAGCTGAACAGAGTGTATTTTTTGTGAAAAAGGAGAAACAATATGACGAGATGAACTGCTCAGATTTAATTCGTTCAACATTGGTCGGGGAGTCATTCCCGACGCCCGAGGTTGCACTGCTAATGCAGAGATAGCAGCAGCTAGTCTATCCAACGCAACCGTGGCAGCACCTTGATCCCAACATCTCGCAACACATTTCACCTTTCCATGCGAAAGTGCGTCGCAAATATGGCCATCCTAATCAATCCTATATGCACCGTACTGTAATTTCAATTTCGTAAGATAAGATTGAAAGTTTGAATCTACCAATCCGGAGAGAGTCGAAAGAAGGTATCCATACACCGAAACCGCACCATTGGCTATGAGAGAAGCCCATCAAATGCTCATGCATGGCGCATGCAACACAAGGAACAGGTTCTAGACAACCGAGCTGGACCTCTTAGGAGGCGCCATGTCACCGTGATACATGTACTGGACGTCTTGTGCAGCACTTGACTGCTACATCAGCTATATGCACGCGTCCCCAACAAATTCGCAGCCTGAGGCTGGCCAGCGTCTTCACCATCTATATAAACGAGAGATGAGCACAACCGAGAGCTTTGCAAATTTTCATCCTGTACAACGTTAATAATTCATTCGTTCATTCATTCATTCATTCAGTAGCTAATTGGGCATTCAGCAGAATATGAAACCGCGAACAAACTTGCGTCGGTGCCGTGATTGTAACACCAGTTCCCATCAAGGCATCGCCTCAAGTTTGGTCCGCAGTTTCATACATTGCTGAATGCCCAATTGGCTACTGAATGAATATCTACCTACTACATACGAATCTTGCAAGTGCAATTTCTTTGCACCAAATTGGTTAGTTTATTCATCGCCCACCACAGTAGGATCACTTGGCTAATTTTGACCGTCTCAGCAGATCTAGCTCCACTATAACAAGAGAAGAGTAGGATGTACTGGCTGAAATCAACATGACTATATTCTCAACTGTGCACTATTTTAATACAACTGGATTCTTGTCAAGGCTGAATACTTTTTCAAAATGCGGCCATCATAACACCATCCCAGCCCTCTCTTTACTCCTACACGACGCGCCATTGAGCGCGGAGTTTAAGCGTCGGTGCCTCAAAGATCTTGTCAAGGCAGAGAGATGAGGCAAAGTTGCTATAACAGAGAGTCGCAGGCTATGGTCTAATTATGTACTACTGGTTTTGGTTGTTTACATAGAGAGAGTATCAGTATCAAGACATTTGTATCAATTGAATCGAGGGCTGTGAGAAATGGTTTGCAATACTATCTGTGTGAGCATGTATGTAATCTTTTGTCAAGCACAAAACAAGGTGCAAAATGTATGGTTACCAAATACTGCAGAACCCTTAAAATGCTCCATTCCGATTAAGCCAACCTCACAAACTGTTCGGAGTAGCAAATCAATGCCCTGCCAAACAGGCAATGCGCTCGCTGGATGCGCTAAGCCGGGGCTGCTCTCGGCTTTAGCCAGCCCGCAGCCCTTTGACGGAACCGTTCCGGATATGGAGACGCGGGGAAGAGCGGGGGTTTTGTCGACTATCGACGGGAGTAGGGGAGACACAAAAAACGGCTCATTAGAGCCTCAGCCATAGCTGCAGCGTTACAGGCATATTTTTGTCATATAGTCTTCAATGCCCTCCAAAATCCGACAGAAACCGCCGGATTCGGGGCGGAATCGGAACCGGAACCCCCAGGCGTGGCGCAAAGCTCCAGACAAGCTCTTTTTTTGGGTGCTTTGCCATTTGCGCAAAAGCAGAGAGACATTGTCATCAGATGGGAAAAATATGCCGACCTTGCGTGAGCGTGTATGTTCGGCGGTGGTGGTGTTCTAGTATTTTAGCTTTTTTCTTTTATGTAATTCGTTCCTGATATAAATGATACTTCGACTCAATTCTTCACACTTCCTCCTCCGTTGTTCAGAAAGCTAAGCTGTCTCGGTGAATTGATTGAAGCGCTTTAACCCAACAGATCAGATACTGAACACACAGACGCATTGTTCCATCATGCCTGCTACCGTGTTCGCCACGAAGGAGCTGTACAAGTACCAGAATGGATTCGATAACCACCTAGAGTATGTTTCTCCTGCCTGGCGAACTAGCATCATTCGCCGTGAAGCTCCATCCCAGCAACTGAAAGACTAACACCACACAATATCTCCAGATCCGAAGCCGTCCAAGGCGCCCTCCCCATCGCCCAAAACTCGCCCCAAAAGCCCCCCTACGGCCTCTACGCAGAGAAGCTTTCCGGAACCGCCTTCACAGCCCCCCGCCACGAGAACAAGCAGACCTGGCTGTATCGCATCCTGCCCTCGTGCGCCCACCCGCCGTACCAGCCCTCCGCCGAGCCGTCGCGCGCCGAGCAAGAGGGCGCCGACACCTCCAAGCTTCGCTACATCCCCAACCAGCTGCGGTGGGACCCCTTCGACCACAATGAGGCGCGCGACCTGGACTTTGTGTCCGGCATGAGACTCGTGGCCGGCGCCGGCGATGCCACGCTCAAGCAGGGGCTGGGCATGCTCGTCTACGCCGCCGGCAAGAGCATGGACGCCAGCGCGGCCTTCTACTCGGCCGACGGCGACCTCCTAATTGTCCCCCAGGAGGGCGACCTCAACATCCGCACCGAGTTCGGCTGGCTGCTGGTGCGGCCCATGGAGATTGCCGTCATCCCCCGCGGCGTCAAGTACCAGGTGCAGCTCGTCTCCGGCCCGGCCAGAGGCTACGCGCTGGAGCTCTACCAGGGCCACTTCGTCCTCCCGGAGCTGGGCCCCATCGGCTCCAACGGCCTGGCCAACGCGCGCGACTTCCAGGCGCCCGTGGCTCACTTCAGCGAGGACTGTGGCGCCACGGCCTCCGAGGGCAGCAGCTCCTTCACCGTCACCGTCAAGATGAATAACGCGCTCTTCGAGACTCGCCAGGCCCACACGCCCTTTGACGTCGTCGCCTGGCAGGGCAACTACTACCCCTACAAGTACGACCTGGGCCGCTTCAACACCATCGGCACCATCTCGTACGACCACCCGGACCCGTCCATCTTCACGGTGCTCTCGGCGCCGTCGCCCATTGCGGGGACCGCCGTGGCCGACTTCGTCATCTTCCCGCCGCGCTGGCTGGTCGGCGAGGACACCTTCCGCCCTCCCTGGTACCACCGCAACACCATGAGCGAGTTCATGGGCCTCATCTGCGGCGGCTACGACGCCAAGCGTGGCGGCGCCGGCGGCTTCGTGCCCGGCGGCGCTAGCTTGCACAACGTCATGAGCGGCCACGGCCCGGATGCCGAGAGCTACGAGGGCGCGCGCAACGCCCAGCTGGCGCCGGTCAAGGTTGGCGCCGGCAGCTGTGCCTTCATGTTCGAGAGCAGCCTCATGGTTGGTGTCACTGACTGGGGGCTGCGGACGTGCAAGAAGGTCCAGGAGGGCTATAGCGAGGAGAGCTGGGGAGGTGTCAAGGCGCACTGGGCGAAGCCGGCCGATAAGGAGGTGAGAAGCCACCTCGCTAACTAGAAAGGCGAAAAGAAGAAAATAAAATAAAGCGAAGAGAAAAGAAGAAAAAAAAGGATAGCGGGAAAAGAGGAGAAACGAAGGAACGATGTCGCTCTCTCCTGAGAAATATTATAACCTGTAACTTGCACGTGTGAGATGGATGATGAGCAATGCTGTCTAATTTTTATTTGGGTTTTTTTTGTAGGATATTAGCGATCACTAGAATGAGACAAACTGAAATATCAAAAGTTGTATAATGAGTCATCTTCTTATTGCATGACAACTTCCATCTTACACATTGCATGTAAAGAAAGCCCACAGAGCGCATTCAAACCAGGCAAGACATACACACCAGCTCAACATCTCAAAAGACAAACTTGAGCATTGACAACGCCCCGTCTACATGCAGCTTTCTAACATGAGACCTAAACATAACAAACCGCCGGCCCCCCTAATTAATATCGATCCGAAATTCATCTTCCAACGCCAATACGCTACAGCTCCTCCAAATCTTACACATCACCTTCGCCATAATATCAACACCCCCCTCTAAACAACATCTCAGCGTGAGACGTCTTTCTTTTTCCTCTTTATCCTCTAATCATCCTTCTCCCTCTCCTCCTTCTCTTCTTCCTCTCCATCCTCCTCCATAGCCCAATCCTTCCATCCTTCACCCCGCAGCCAGCTAATGCCCTTGCGCCACTGACCCTCTCGGATAGCCCTGGCATCTCGTTCATACACCACACCCGAAATCATCAACGCAAGGACAAACACCCAGACATCGCCACCCTTCATCGCTTTCCACCAGCGACGCTTCACGCCGACCTTCCACAGGCTGTCGACGCTAGCACGGGCAGAGTACAAGAAGACACTGCGGCCATGGCGGCGCTCCACCCAAGCCCACATTCCCGCGAAGAAGCCGCCGAGGAAGATACGCTGAGTCGCAAGAACATGGCGAGGAAGATACTGTTGGAAAAAGCAGAGTGATGCCCAGGCCGTGGAAATAGCTCCGGTAGCAAAGGTAGAGAGGCGCAGAACCTGAGATATCATACGCTGAATGGTGGAGAAGGGGAAGTGGTACAGGTTCCGGAACTTGGGGACGATGGTTAAAGCGGAGTAGAAAATGAGGAAGAAGCGAGTCATTGTCGGGAAGGAGTTGAGCCAGAAGGTCAGGTATGTTCGCAAGCAAGATGGGTCAGTCGGGTGAAGAGTTGCGCAGGAGAGAGACGTGATGAGTGGATGAGCCTGTGAACTCAGTGGTGATACGCCAGCAAGTGAAGGTGGAAGGACTTCTTTGTTGGGGAATAAGATGGGAGATACGTTAGGTCTATAGACGTTAGTCCAGTGTGACACAGATAAAAAGGAACAAGACTCCACATACGGCCAGTTGAGTCGAGCCATCTCTGCAATATTCTCCAAAATCTGAGAAGGGTTTGGCCATTTGAGGGCCGTAGGATAGTTTTCTGGCCGCGGAGGCAGATACGTAGCGGAATGTTTGAAGATCCAATCTCCAAAGGACTAGCAAAGGAAAGGTTAGTAACAAGGCAAACCTTGATCAGAGCCTGCCAGAGTTGAGGGGAAACATACAGTTGGGAAACAATCAGGATCAAAGACAGCAGCATGGAGCAGCTGTCCAAAGGCAAATGGCTGCAGCATCCAGCTGCCAAACCACCACGGCCGCTCGCGATTCTTCCCATTCTTGATACCCCATATCATGCCTTCCTTCTCACAGACGTTCCAGCCAAACTCCAGAGCGCGGAACATGGCATAGATACCGATGCTGACACGCATCTGGGACGATGGATAAGCGCCGAGAGCCAGACCCGCAAGCGAGGCTCCAATGGCCGGCGCAAATGGCGACGTCAGCGTTGCCGTCGTTCGTGGGTTGCGCAGCCGGAAGGGCTCAGCCTGCGGATCCAAGAGATGGGCGCGGAGCCTAGTCAGGAAGCGGAAAAGAACGCGGTAGAGGAACAAGATTGTCGACAGCGAGAGGGACAGCCTCAGAGCTGGAGATTTGTAAAATGGCTTCTTCTGGCCACTGCCGCCTGGTCTGGGAATTTGGTCCGTCAGTCAGTACTGCTGTTTGTGATTCACTATTTCAATCTGCTTGCCAGCAAAGAACCTACTCCTTGTTCCCAAGCCTCCTCATGATAGCGTCCCATGCCTTCATGCCTATCCAGGTCGCCGTGAACACGCGCAGCGAATGTCGCACGGCTTTGGCATTGTAGTCGTCGCCTCCCTTCCTCGGCTGTAGCGCCTTCTCCACGCTGCTTGGACTGGGCGTTGCGCGACGGAGCGCCCGCGACTTGGAGAGGACGTATTTGTGCAGGGCCGCATATTCGCGTGGCGAGATGGTATATCGCAGGGCATTGCGCAGAATGGGATCTGGCCCGGCGGAGGAGCCGGTGGCCGACGCGACAGCCTTTCCGCCAGGAGACGGCGGCAATGGTAATGGTGATGCCATTGGGATGGAGAACGTCGACGTCGTAGCAGCTTGGATGTCGTAGCCGTTGAGGCCTGGCAGCAGCTGAAGCTCGGGAGCTGACGCCGGGTCTATGGCGAGATCTCTGGAGGCAAATTACATCCGTATAGATGCCCTTTGTCACGAGCCTGTGGCGCAACCGGCAAAAAAGAGATGTTGCTACCCAAGGGCGCGATGCAAAGGGGGAGCGGAGCAGCCGCGCGTAATCTCTGGTTCCCTGTTTCTTGCGCTGTTCGTCAGGCGTATCTCCAGAGACAGCCCAGGATGAGGCTCTCACCAAGCCAGGTGCTCGTCTCGAGATGGACAGAAGGCTACAGAAGCCGCCAGTGCATGTACTGGAGCAAATGCAATGCTGGGGGAGGCACCAGCAAGAGCCTCGGCAGCGCGGCAACATGTGGACGTCACAGTGTACCTGCCCCAGGTACCGCTACATTCCTAGTGGTGGGGTTCCCCATTATTTGATGACTTGACGACTGCTGCGCTTGTAAGACCGCCAAATTCTCACAAGCGGTCTGCGACAGTCCCTCTATGGCGCCAGCACTTATTAGGAGCCATTCGATTGTGCATTGAAATTTACTTGTTTTCTCAAAGCTAATAGGTGCACTTGTTGCATCACCAACCTTACTCTATATCGAAAACACGACGCGCTCAGCAGCACTTGCAGGAGCCGCGGAGATGGATACTGCATTTAGGGATAATATTCATGCGCTTCTCGCTGCCAGTCAATACGCCCAACTCCATCCACCTGGCATACATACGGCTACCTACCTAGTAGTAGCTAGGGAGCTTGACGTCCCCTCGGGTATATCTGATCAATCCGTCACGCATTTGTCTCCATCAGGGATTAAGAGGCTATATCTGATATGTCCTCATCTGTCTAACTACCTATTATAAACTATCTGTTACCGCAGTCACGATATGAGCCTAACCACCACCCTTTTAGTCCATTCCATCCAGCCCTTTGCTCCTTTTACAACCATTCGAGTCGGCTTCTCGGATCCTCAACAGCGCAGTATGCATTCCGCATTACCTAGCCACTTCCTTGAGAGGTAGCTGCTTTTTTAATCATCAACATTCGTCATATGCCTCTAATTAGAGGCAACCTTTTGTTTTCTTTTTAATGCCAATATCCCATTTCGCCTATTCCTTTCCCATTCCTGCACTCCCAGCCAAACCTTTCCCACCATACTTATTTTCCTCCCACAAGACGGTTCAAAAGGGGCGCCTCTAATATATGACCACCTTTGGAGAGGCAACTTCGCTCGAGATCCACCCCCAAACTTTGCAGACATAGACTCATCAGCTTGGAGCACTCTGAGTATGCTTGTACGCTCCGCGTTTTCATAGAAAACGCATCTGTACCACCAAACACGATGTGCTCCCGTATGTGCCAAGCGCTCGCTCCAAGTGCAAGTGTTGCTGCTTCTCCCAATCTTCTCCTCCATAACCGACCTAATAAAGGCAGCTTTTTCCACAAAAACAAAAATAACCTGTCGGTGATCTTAATGTTGCAATAAAAGCACCAATGCACGCCAATTTTCAAAACAGAAGGAGAAAAGGAGTTTAGCGCCATTTGCAATGCAAAAGGCTAAACCCAATAACTTTTTTTTAAGAGCTATAACGCCAAATGCTCAATAAGATTCGTCAACTCGTCGAGAGAGATGTGGTTAGTCATCAAACTAAACCGACGAGATCATTATGGATACTCGGGAATGTTGGATATGGGACCACTCTGGAGGCCAACCAGGGGAACCCATTTGCGAGCCAAGGTAGGTCCATCCGGATTGCCATATGGTAGCAGCTCTTCCTGCCATCCTAGTGCAGTCCACCAGCCAAGGTCCCTTGGTTCGGGGCTACAGAGGCCCTGTCGGATTGATTCTGATTCGGGAGCTTGTCCGGACAAGACGGCATCCAAGACTCGGCGGCGGCGCAATTCACGCTCCTCAACAGCAGTCTTAATAATGCGATAGCGAGATTCGGCATTTGCCCAGCCGTTAACGTTACCGGACCCAGAGGATTCCAGGATCCTCTTTAGTTGGCGAAATGGGATTTCCAAGAGGACTCTGGACAAAATTGAAAACGATATTGGCTGAGCGGCGCGAGTAGCCTTGGGAGTGTTTGCGTCCGCCAAGTTCTTGCCTTCTGAGAAGGATAAATCACCAAACTGGATACCGTTAATCTTCTGAGGGCGACGTCCCTTTCCTAGTTGTACGTGGGGGCCTTCGGTATGTGCTAAGGGTATCTCTATGTCGGCAGAAGAGCCCTTGGTCAACGGCGGTGGGTTGATTGGCAGCCTGCTGTAAGGTGCAAGTTCCACAGCTTCAGTATCAAAATTGAAGTGAGAGGGGAAATTGTGAACAATAAACGTGACAATGGCACTGAGAAGGATCGGGGATCCAGTCTCGTACTTGTAGACGTCATGAGAGCCCTTGTCTTGATATCCGTCCAGCGCAAATTCCAATACTGTTTCCAAAGTCTCCCAAGTTAGGAGATGGGTAGCAATCTCACAGCCGCGTCGAACAACTGAGGGCCAAGCGAGTAAATGGCCGGCAGCGGCGTACGAGATGGCAAAACCAATCTGCTCATTGATTGATCCAGCGGCAATCACGTCATTTGATTCCATACCCACGCGTTGAGGAGGAGGCGGAGGAGCTTGGAACCGTGGTAGTCCGTAGAGACGCTGAACAGCCATGTAAAAAGAATCCGAGCGGATCCATTTGCTGCTGGTTTCGATGAGAAGGGTTTGGAGAGATCTGTCGTTGGGAGACGATTGGAAAGCTTGATTCTGCAGGAGATTGAAAAGATAGGGGCTGCGGGCGAATATAAGTTTATGGCCAGGGATCCGTACTGGCGCAGCCCTATCGTCGGTGTACCGAAGCTCCAGAGTACAATCAGCAAACTCGGGTGAGGCAAATTGTTGCTGCAGGTAGCCCAAAATTCCATCAGCATCGTCGGCCTGTGCCATGTGAGGGGGTAGGCCGTGATTGGGCATCATCTGGGAAAAGTCTGCGGGCCTGAACGCTCGCCCTTGTTGGTTTTGAGCTTGAGGCTCGTCACCTGGCCCAGTAGTAGCGCCGTTAGGTAAAGCTGCAGGACGATACTGATTATACATGCCAGCTTCTTCAGCGTGGGCCGAAGACTGGGAGTCATGGAAGCTAAGCGGCGTTGACTGCCCCATAGCATTGCCGTACTGGTGGTACGAATCCATGGGCGCATAGGTAATCGGTCGGCCATAGCCGTCAAAGTTGGCAACAGGCATCATGTCTGTCATGTACGGCACCATTGGTGGGAATCCACTTCCAGTGTGAGGGATCATGGGGTGTGGGCGTCCGTCAGGCATGGGCATTCCAGGAGGTGGAACAATCCCCCCAGAGTGAGGTGGAGCCGGCGAGGAGCTTTGAGAATCGTGGTAGACCCCGAAGTGAATACTGCCGTTACTTGGGTGAGCTTGATGCATATGAAGCGGCGCATTTGGTAAAGGATGCCTAGGACCTCGAGATAAGTCCCCGTTCGCCGCGATGCCCATCGGAGGGTGGGCCGGTTGGAATGGTGGCGGCATCTGGTACCGAGTTGGCGATACCGGCAGAGGGGGCTGAGAGGAAACAAGTTTCACAGGGGGATATTGGGCTATGGAGTGCATCATGATCAGCTTTCAAGCTCAATAAGCTTGCATACAACAAGAATAAAGCTTACCTAGGTTGTGCCTAGCTTCGCCCTGGGATGTGGCCATCGCTGGATCGTGAGGCTGGACCTGCAGCTCAGAAGAGGTATCTTTAGCAGCTGGAGGAGCAGGAGCTCCTAGATTGGGTGGCTGCACGGCGTAGGTCGTCGAAAGTCTGTCCTGGCCAGCAGCGTGGTCTGCAGCGGCGCCGGGTTTGCTGACAGCAGCAGAAATAACTTCCTTGGACGTATCGATAGCTATAACTCTAATATTAGCCGACGAGTCTTTGCCAAGCGTACCAAAGACAGAGCGAGCAGGCAGATGATATGCCATGATGCAGTCTCCTTTTCATTCTCATCCATGAAGTAGTATTCATGCGGACAACTTACCCTCGGCGCCCTGGGAGCTTAGATCCGTCTGGGTGGCAGATTTCCACTCTGGGCTGCTGCTGTCTGGCAGCGACTCGCTGGCATGAATCGAGTTTGCAATCAGGGTAGGCGAAGCAGATTGGTTCGCGTCGTTCGATTGCACCCCAAGAGTGCCGTTGCGAGGACTGTCCTCTGGCTTGACATTGTTGATCGAGGGCAGGGCAGTCGCGGGAGCTGCTGCTGCTGCCGCTGCTGCTGCGGCCGCAGCTTGGCGTTTGACATAGGGCAGAGGAATCGCAGGCGTCACGGGCTTGGGCATCGGCTTGCTGGACACAACCGCAGGCCTGCGAGACTTGGCTGCTTTGCTGGACGGGGCCATGGTGGCGGTCGATGGGCCAGCACGTCGAGTCTGTTGATGGATCGCAGGGCGAGGCGAAAGTGGGCTGAGAGCCTGGAGCCTCGTTCTAAAATCCGCAGGTCGGCGAGGGGCAGGGTCGGCCCTGGATTTCCAATCGCCCGCGCGCCAGACCTGGAAGACAAATCTGGAGGCTTCGGCAAAGAGGCATGAGTCCCGTCATGGGAGACTGTGCTGGTCAATGCCAGAAATCGTCGCCGTGGGCGAGAGGCAGAGGCAGCGCTGGCGTCAGTGGCAGTGGATGTGAGAAAGAAGGCAGCTGAAAGAGGAGGTTGTTGGACCGCCCACTAAGGCCTTGCAGTGATGACACTAAATCGGACATGCGTCAAAGGCACTGAATTTTTTTTTCGCCCTCCCCGCAGAGGCTGCACCTCATGCCTCGCACCTGCCGCTACGACCAAGACTGAGACAGCCGCTGCTAAGCATCTGAACGCGGGTGAATTTCGGGTTCAACCTGCACGCTGTTTGATATTACAAGGTATATGCAGTATTACTGTGTATTTACAGGTTGCTTCTTTTCGTTGTGAATCGGTGGATAGTATGCATGTTGCGGAGAAGGCAGGCTAAGGCGCAAAACATCGGCAATGAATCACCTAGGGCCAAGGTAGTAATATGTTGCGTACTAATCTGATCCAGTAGAGATCATGGTGCCTAAGCAAGGACTAGTCACATTCCCTCTAGGTATGGAGTCGATGCGATGCATGCCTGCCTTGCTTTAGGTGATGGTAGATCATCCCATAAATGATAACTGGTCGGATATAGGCAAATATGGCCTCATCCTCGCCTGCAGTTCAGCGACTGATGCTGTTGTTGCTGAACATCCTGGGGTGGAGAGTAGAATTGTGAGATAGAGTCACAAGTTTCATTACAACAAAAGCGTTTGCAACCTGAAAAAAACTAAATTCAATTACTACTAAACCTTGCCAATCGCAACCCAAAACGCCGTTCTTTAAACTACCGATTGCGGCCTCATGTATTACCTGTATAACCTGCGTTGTGTCCACGCTGAATTGCGGATGATTCTTCTGATGTTCCAAGTATCCAAACCCTTGATTATTACGCCAAGGTTTCATTGCCATTCACCAGTCTCGCAATGAGCACGTAAATGAATATCGCTGCACCGGCAACCAGTAACTTGTTCCGATAGAGCCAGCCTCGCCCGGCGTCACGCTGCTGGACGACAGCATCTACCACAGCCTGGGCTTGGTTGCCACTTGATCCGGCAATGCCCAACTGTGGTCCGCAAGAGGAACCATTGTCGCCGTCAGGTTTTGCGCCAGTGGCTGCGTCTATCTTGTTCTTCCTCATCCACTCCCAATTCTCAAGGTCCACCTCCGGCCACTCTGAGCGGAACTTTGCGCCTCCGTCACCAGCCTTGACGTTGCCCTTTGTAGCAAAATTTCCCTTTGCTTGTGAGCCGCCACCAGTAGAATTCCACCATCGCGATCGTGAAGCAAGGAATTTCCGTTCGGCGCTGGATGTTGAGACGGAGCCGGTGGTCATCTCGTCACTGGTCATGAACGATAAAAGGCCGATCAAGATGGTGGAGACTTCCCATGCTGGATTAAAGGATTTTGGGTGGAAGTCGGATATAGAAAGACAAAGTCTGGTCGACGGCTGGAATCGCCCCGATGGGGTATGCATACGAATCGCAGGAGGCGCAAACGGATAGTTCGGAGGGAAGACGAGCGTTCCCCAGTACTGCCCTCCGTGGTAGGGAGTGTCTTCAGGGCCGGTAATTACATAATGCCATCTGCGCTTCATTGTCAGAATCGGTTCGGAATCCGCAAAAATGGGTGACGACGTACTCGAGGATGTTAGATTCGGAAGGATGAGCGGTGATATAAGGAGGGGGGTTCTCGGAAATAGACTTGTATTCTCGCGTTAACTAGCCACTACTGTTAGCATAAATTATTTAATCTTGATTCTTAGCCTGAGACAAATACACACCCGCTTTTGCGCAGCTTTGCTGGCCATGGTCGCAGTTGGGAGAACAGAGAAGGATAGTGTGGCTAAAGTTCGACAGTAAAGAGCGTTCTGAAGCGATCGCGTGCGCAAGTCTCCGTGGAACGAATCAGACTGCTATAGAAAAAGAAAGAATAGAAAGAGTCGGAGATAAAAAGTCTAGTAATGAATACAGCGACGCCTGCGAGAAAAAAAAGGGTTGGTGTTGATGGAATTAAGTGGTACTAGATTAACGAGGACACGGACAATTACGACGGATACGGATGATGATGAAACAAGGTTTAGGCCGAATGACTCCAGCCTGGCGCTCGGGGGGTTTCGCCTCACTGGAAAGAAGAGCGCTGGCGGCTACGAAGTACTTGTAATACTTGTACGTACTAGGTAGTGTGCTGTAGTGCGTGTACACGCCTCTCAGCCACATCCTAAAGCGTAGAAAGTACTTGCAACTAATGTGGCTGTGTTCAGGTGTTCAAGGTTGCGCCACATGTTCGAGCTCGGTTGCGCAAGGATGACCCTCCCGAACCAAGCCAGGCTAGCCAAGGTCAAATCTTCCGATTCCAATTGCATGCGCTGACTTTATCGAGCGAATCGGCAGATTCGAGGCGCTGAACAATGGCGCCAACCTCAGAATCTTCTGGGCGGCCGGTAAGCATTGGATGGAACAGGCTGGCAAAGGACGGCGGCTGACAGCTTCTCGAGTCCGCGAATCACTTTAATAAACTGCACGAAGACACCGAGGACGTACTCCGCGATGCCAGAGCGAGCCCGGAGTTTCAAAGCGCCGAGGATGAGGCCAAGGAGCAGAGAATAGCTCAATTGGTACTGCCGAACCTTGTCTACAGAAGTAATACCATTCTCGACTGACCGTGCTTCAAGATGGTGGACCAAATGTCAATGCCAATGACCGTCAACGAGGTTTCGGTCACAGGGGCTAAGAACATTCGACGGGGCTTTCTCGATCCTATACTGAATCCCTTACTGAGTGATAGCCAAGACCCCCCGTATACCGTTGGCGAGGTGTTGTCGAGGCTACAGGTAGCCACTGGGAAGCTCAGTGGACTGCGTAAGAATGACGAGCGGGGCATCATCTTGAAAACAACTGCTGATAGAGACAACCAGAAATCTTGAGAGAGCCTCCACAAGTCTACTTGTCTCAATCGAGCCAGGTCGATGCTTCGACAAGCCCTACTGATGTAGACATCTCTATCGGACTACGCGAGTTACCCCGGTTCAAGCTGCAAACAGGCACGGACGTTGGAAATGGCGAGGGATCTGCATACGGTTCTCTGCTATGGCGGAACATGTTTGGCGGAGCTGAAATGCTCACGCTCAATGCGAAGGCTGGTACTCGTACACGTTCCGCTTACAGTGCAAACCTAAGTGCTCCCGTGCTCAGCAACCCAGACATGCGCATTTCAGTCGAGGCACTGTCTTCAGCCGTGGAAAAGCCCTGGGCATCGCATGAAGAAGTCTTGAAAGGAGGGACGGTGCGCTTTTCGTGGCTTAACCGCCAACGAGATACACACTCTGTCGAATATTCAGGATCATGGCGACAGATTACCGGTCTTGCGGCTGACGCTAGTCCTACTATTAGACAAGATGCTGGCGATACAATCAAGAGCGCCATCAAGCACGTGTTCTACAGGGAGAGACGTGACAACCCTCAGCTCCCGCAGAGCGGCTATATGGTGCGAACAGGTTTAGAATTGGCCGGCGTCGGGCCTCTAGGTGGTGATGTTGCCTTCTCCAAGAGCGATTTAGAAGTTAGTGGCGCTGTCCCTATTCCTCTCCCCGGAGTTAAAGGACCCTCGGGAATCTCTTTTGGAGCAGGCTTTAGAACGGGCCTGCTCTACCCATTGCCTCTCGGATACAACTTTGGTGGCAAAGCTTTACCTAGCCGCCTCAACGACCGTTTCTTGCTCGGAGGGCCAACGGACATTCGCAGCTTTAAGCTTGGTGGGCTAGGACCGCATGATGGCCGGGACGCAGTGGGTGGAGATGTGTTCGCTGCTGGCAGCGTCAACATGCTCTTTCCCTTACCCTACAAGGGACCCGATTCTGGTCTCCGATTTCAGCTCTTTGCCAATGGAGGTCGCCTGATTGCTCTGAAGAGCAAGCTAAAGTCTCAAGACACATCCGAAGGGCTAAGTGGCGGAATGGTTCGTAATGGCGTTTTTAATGCTGTTGGAGAGCTATTCAACGGCCCCCCGAGTTTCGCAGCTGGTGTTGGGCTTGTGTATGCCCACCCCGTGGCGAGATTTGAACTCAACTTTGGCTTGCCGGTAATAGTCAGAAGGGGAGAGCTCGTCACAAAAGGGGTGCAGCTAGGAGTAGGCATCAACTTTTTGTAAGGCGCAGCGCTTGGCAATCAAAAAGTTACGATAGACCTGTATGTAGTAAAGGCGGTTGAGGTGACTGGTTGTTCAGAATATCAACCGCTGATGAAATATATATCCCACTTATCTGTTTTCAATATCCCACTAAGTAAAATGGTAACTCAAGATTATAACTAGCCAACTTTTTTTTTTTCAATAACGTAATTTACCATTGTTAGATTATTCTCGGCGTAAATTCTTCATCTTTTGCAAGAATACCTATATCAAATCGCGAGTTACTCACGAATATGAAGCAGATATCTTCGGCTGGCAAGCCACAAGGTGATTAGTCAAATGTAGGGTATGGGAGCATATCAGCCAACCGGTGAATCTTCTCCTTGCTTATTCGTATTTATGATGACTATACCCTTTAGCAACGTTTATCCACCGTAGACAGGTAGACAGATTGCCATTGGCCACACAATTACTTGGCCGTTCAGCTCTAGACTTGGGCTGTGACTCAGTCCTCTTCAGCAAGGGGCCAGCGGCATTCAAGGGGGGCTTGAGTTAGTAGCATGCAGGCATATCGCCAGTTGGATTAATTGTTCCATCAAATAATACAGCCAAAGGAAGAAAATGATGACCAGTATTGATGGTTATCGAGTTCTACTCTGGTAGTTATGC